AAGATGGAAACATCGAAAACATTCGATCTGATTTTCTGCTCCTCGAGCAAGAGCTTGTCACTTTTGTCGCTAGCAATTACGCAGGAAAGTAAAATGTATTTTTCAGGTAGCAAACAAGCAGAAAAGTAGATGTGATTTAACGTAACTTCTGCTTCAGTTTTCTGGTAGCAGAAAGGCAGGAAAGCAGAAAAAAATTGAACTTTCAAAAACGTCCCATCTGATTTTCTGCTATTCTGAAGGCAGAATTAGCACATGTACATAATAGGTATGCGTTCTTGCTTGGTTACGGTACTCTCTAAAATCATAATACAATCTATCGCACCACTTTTTAGTAAATTTGTTTGAATTTGATTAGTAAAAACGCATGATAAATCTGTGTGTTGTTTCTTCCAGAAATATAACTGGAGCATTACAGACTAGTGGTATCTTCACATCAATAACTGTACAAATGCATTTCTCGTGGTTTTTATCCCAGGATATTGAAAGCAATACCACAGGGCAATGGCGGCGCCTACAATTTGGGGGAAAGTGAGGGACAAAGAAATAATTTGGGGGCAACAGAGAAAAATCACAGGCAGTTGCAAATTTGAAGGGGGGGGGCTGGGCATCATTTGATGCTTGGGGGCGCTGTTCAAAATCATTCATATACGTTTCCGAACACTGCATCATTAAAAGTGCGCCCGGTGACATTTCAAATAAATTCTAACCAAAACAAAATTGTTCAACAAGTTCACCATGATTACATTCACCTCTCCATTTTATTTTAAACAATGGGCGCAAACAAGGTGTCAAATGCTTTTAACAAACAAAGCTATATAGGGCTAAATGCCATATTTGATGCTCTTCATTTTTTTGCAAGAATTTGTAATTATAACAAATTTGTTAGACCCAAAGATTTTGAAAATAACACCTCAGTATACTTAAGTATGTGAGCAACAATAATACAGTGACTATTAAAATTAAGGTCCATGTCAGATTCATTTCTCTTATAAAGAAAATCACTACCAACTAACGAAATTATTATATAAGCCTATACATCTAATATCCATTTACTGCAATAAACAGCGAGTAATTTTAGAAGCAAGTGCAACCATGTTACTTAAGCATCACATACAACATTAAGTGAGCAAAGTTCTGACATTAAAGGAACCTATATTAAAGGGAAGATACAACTTTTGCAAACATCACAAAATGAAATGATAAAATTATCACACAATACCTCACTGGATTGTTAGAGAATGACAATCTAAAGCATTTTGAAAATCGTAGCTCCTGGTGTGCATTCATTTTCAAGAAAACCGATATTTTTCCAACGCTGGTCGGCCGAACAGCGTTGGAGAAAACTGGCTATTTTTTTTCAAAAACTGCTCCTTTATTTTAATAATTAGTTATTCCGCATTATTTTGCAATTGATTACACAACTGTGAAGGGGTACAAGCGTGCTAGACTGTTCTCTGACCTTACAATTCCCAAAAGGCTATACATTCTCCGTTTCATCTAAAGCGGGGTCAGGGAACCAGACTACAAGAACATAAATGGTCTTCTTGGTTTTTCCAGCAACTACAAGCCCAAAACGTGAAACAAGTCATTTATCAATATTTGCTAAATTAACATACTCCTCCAAATCCATTTATTTCTGAAAATTGCAGCAAAAACAAATGTTGTACATTCCCTTTAACACCATAATCGATGGTCTATTTCAATATGAGGTCTATTTCAATATCATTTAAACACAAAGACAACATCAATGGAAACCAGAAGAGACGCCTGTTTTAGTCTAACATGACACTGAACAACACTCATATTGCTTTAGAAGTAAGACCAAAATTCATTAGTGTAAACCAAAGCAGAGTTGTAATGACTCGAGTCAATGACTCGACTCGAGTCCGACTCGAGTCACATTTTTTGGCGACTCGACTCGACTCGAGTCCCGACGGGTAAATGACTCGACTCGACTCGAGTCACTGCGAGCAAATGACTCGACTCGACTCGAGTCCCTCATCAGAATGACTCGACTCGACTCGAGGAAGGCTAATAAGACTCGAGTCCCAAAATAAAAGCAAAACTTACTTGCGAAAAATATTTGCAATGACTTACGCTGCGCCGTTCGCGTTGCCAGTTTTTGTTCACGTCACGTTAATGTTCGCGAATAATGTACGTTTATATACAGTGGCAGTCTGTTTCCTTCCTCCATAATGAAACAACAAACATACACCGTGTCGCGGACTCCCACCTTGTGGTTCTATAGCATGTAATGCTAAACCCGGAACGAGACTTAAAACGCATTTCTCAATCCGTGGTTTCATCATTGGTTTCGGGCGATTTTGAAGTTCTTGGTGGAACGCTAGCTAAATTCATGTCCCAATTTCACACAAAAAAATGGATACGGACGGGCCCACCTTTAAATAATCAGAAACAGTTTTGTATAATGCAATTAGGTTTTAACGTTGTCAGCGATCAGCGAACAACAAAATCTAGACCCGAAGCCAAACCAGTTATAAGACCGAAGTTTCACATCTTCTTATCTGTGACGTGAGCTAGCAATGGAAACTGTTGGTTGGGTACCATACAGCATACTTTATGTCTTTGGATATCCGTAATAGACTGGTGCCTTGTATTCTTTCTCTCTTGTGTTGTTGCTTTTTATTGTAATTTAGTGTTCAAATATTTGTGACTCGAATTGACTCGAGCTAAGTACTTGACTCGACTCGACTCGACTCGACCACACTCTGTGACTCGACTCGACTCGACTCGACCTTGTTGACCTAATGACTCGACTCGACTCGAGTCACTTCTTTAAAATGACTCGACTCGACTCGAGTCACAAAAATCAGTGACTCGTTACAACTCTGAACCAAAGTAAGTATCAATCAACACAATCGAAATTAAGCTTTCTAAAAGTGAACGAAACGTTTTGTAAACTTTTTGTTATCAAAAGTTTTGAATTAGTTATTAAGAAAAAATAACAAGAGTACTATACCTTGATTTGAAGCTGGACTAGTTACCCAATAACTGTTTTCAGCACATGCATGGTGAGCCGATTTTCAAGTAATTTTCCGGCTGAATTCAATAATGTGATTCGCGTGTAATTACATTGCTCCCTGTCAGATAATTTTTGTGTGAATGTGATATAAATTTACATAATGTATAAAGCCTTCAGAAGCAGGTACAAAAAAGCTAACTGAAGGTATAATTTCGGCTCTCACAACATCAATCCATGTTGACCTGTTTTTCTTCATCATATAGGATGACCCTTTTCGTATTAATACTCTCTAATACTTTGCGATCTAAAACATCGCATAGCAACCATAAATCTAGTGCATAGAACTCATTAGCATGTGCGTTTTCAAAATACCCAATCAAAGTCATCATTATTAGACAAAGGATAACTGATAAAAATAATGAAACAAACTTTCTGTGTAAATTACGAACATCTACATGTACATATATTATGTAATCACTTTGTTTAAAAGAAACTGTGCGTAGTCTTAAATAAGGTTTTGGTTTTGATGCACATTGATCTGGTACACGGTACCCTGTGGAGACGTGCATAATAGGGAACAAAAGATTGTATCCGTCTCCACAGGGCAATTTTTTCATAGATGAATACGTCTCCATAAGGTTATCACGAAATAGATATATGGATTTTACTCAAAAACTAGGAATTTCCAAGGTGGGTTGATTTGTCGCAAATTGAAGTATTTTATAAAAGGGATATTAAGTCCAAATTTCAGCCCAGGAAATTAATTCTGGTTAAAATAGGAGCATTTTGAAACTGCACTTTCAAACTCGAAAACTTTAGTACACGAGAACAAAGAAATGACTCCACAAGGATACACATTCCAGAATGCGTGTCATCATGTATCATCAGGTTAAAAAATGTTATCCCTTATATAAAAGCCTGTGCAAGATTTGTTAAGTTGTTATTAGGATAGTTGTAAAATGAAAGATCAAAATAACAAACCCTGTTAATCCATTACATTAACAGCACCAATAAAACCAAATTTATACCAAAAAATTATATAAAGTTACCAGTCTGCTTTGATGAATAATTTAAAATTTGTGACTAAACACACCCTATTGTGGTAAGCCACATTAAAAAAATTATTGAAAGTGAGGCTGGGAACGCACTCCAATCATAAAATAGTCTGGCACCATCCCAGTCAACAATTAACAATTTATGAAATAGATTCAGGGAACACGATTGAAAAGGGCTTCCTCGCAAATAAGGTCTAATTCGCGTGGCATGGAAATTTTTAATGCAAGTAATGAATTTTTGGTACATAAAATTATAAAAACTATTAACAAACATGACAGGTATTTTGTCGGTACATAAAAGTTGTTTACGCACGGACTGTACCCGAGCTGTTGCGAATATATCCGAGTGTTAACGAAAGGTATTCGGTAAACTTCGGACATTTTCGGAAACGGGCAGAATCCTGCCTTTTTTTTTTAAGACGTGGCGGCTACCTGACCTAACTTATTTGATAGTCAGAATCGTTTGGTCTGGGAACCGCACTTATGTAGGCATATTATCAACATCTACAGCAAATCAAATGAAATTTCATAACAATCAGTCATGCATTTCCAAGATTAGAACAGGGGAGGACCCTACCCCGCCCCTCCCCCCTCCCCGGATATAAGATGATCGACACCCCCATTTTAATGTTAGTTCCGTTGTTGGTATTTAGCACCATCATAGTGCTTGTCTGCATCCCTTTCTATATGCAACTGCAGGGTTTGGGCATGAATGGCGCGTAGTTATATGCATACATTATTTAATCAGCGCCCCCTGGAGTCCGTTGAAGTCCATCCCCCACCCAACCCCTCCTCCTCCTCCTCAACCCGCCCGAATTTGCAAAGCTGCTGGACCCCCTCCTTTCCAATGTTGACAAGAAACCGTAGCTCCTGGTACCATAATAGGCCTATTATTTATTTTTACCCCCTTCAATAGCCGTAGTTTCCTATATCCCCCATGATTTCAATCGAATATACAGACTCTATTCGTCGCAGTAAGTGTAAAAGATCCAGTTAACATCGTACCAAACTGACGTTATACCAATGTACTTGACATGAACCCGATGTGAATCATCGTGGTACTCTATGAAGGGCGCCACCTCGTGGCCGCGACCCACCTTGATAGTCCAGCTGTCGTAAGTTAGCCAAAGTCGGCGGTACTCGTGTTCACTCATGATCCCAGGTATGTCAACCCTTGCGTGAAAATGTACACTGTGTTTGCGGGCCCGGATGATTGTCCTTTGGTTGTTCCAAGCAGCTATGTCTGATTAATTAAAAGGAATCAATACAAAATACGGTAGTAGTGTAGTTATTAAGCACACCCCTATGTTTTACAAGTTTTACAAGTTCGATATGCTTTATAGACAACCCGCAAGCAAGGACAGTCGAAAGGACTACTTCCTGCCGAGAACTACAGCAGAATAGAACCTCTTCCCAGCATCTGCGCGAGAGCCCCCTTCGCTTGATGCATTTAAGGAAAGTCTACTGAAACTAAACTTGTTCAGTATAAAAGCAGAGCTTATTATAAGTGCCGCCAGCCATACACACCTGCAACCTATACATCCCATAACGGGAGATTGCTTGCAGTACTGATCCAGATCCAGATCCAGATCCAAGTTCCGTTCATGAATCCAAACTCTGCCCTCTTTCCACAAAACTAAGCTAGATGATAATCAACATTGCATCTTTGCAAACTATTAAGTTGATTTCAAACACACAAATTGACTTTCCCAGCTGCTTTTAATAATCCTAGCCAAATTAATGTTTAGGTATTAAGTCCCTAAAAGATGTGTCTTTTCGTTCTCTTATAGGGAACGGGCCAATACATGTATACACGATTATCAAAAATATTATCACTTTTAAATGTGTTGTACTTCGATAAAGGCTCGGGGCGCGGCCAGATGCTTGACTCGTGCCCAGATATACATGATGTAGTAATACCTGATTTTGTTTTTAACCTCTTCCCACCTCATCTAGCATATTATAATTATATATTATAATACCTACCGATGTCATAAAGATTGTTTTCATTTGTCTCTTCAGAGAGAGCGAATATGGCATCTTCTTTCCCTTTCACAGCGAAGTCCAGTCGATAGGGCTCGCCTTCCTTGGGAGGTGGCAGTACGAAGAACTTGTATTTGTATTCCTCTGTAGTCTCATATTCCAGACACTCTAAACAAAATGGGACGAAAATGAGTGATTAAGGCTCATAAAGTGGTCTCACGATTGTCAAGTCTAAAGGTAGAAGGATGGTTTTGTTTTAGTGCATTTGTTTTTCGTTTGAATCAACAAATTGCTTAAATCTGAGGAAGGTCACGTAATAACTAACCTGTTGAAGTTTCAGCTTTATTAGATGTTATACATTTTGAGAAGAAAAAAAAAGAGAGAAAAGTCAGGCAGATTTTTTTGTGGCCCAGTTAATTTTGTTTCTGAGTGTGAATTACGCCCTCTCGCGGTACAATCCCTGAATCAGCAATCGGGAAATGATTATACACAGCCGATAAGGATCCGCCGATGCAAAAAGCGGCAAACAGTATATCATTCTCGTCAAGCATTTCTAGTTCTTTAAAGATAGCGAGGGCAATATTTTAAATTCTCGATATTAAGTTATATTATTTAATAAATATGGAAGCCGGTTCGGGCTAGGTTTAAAAGCGAAAAAAAATTAACACAATAATTGTTTTTTTCTGGAAATAATGTAATAATTTTTCGAAATAAAGCAATAGTATTGTGAAGTAACGCAAACGTTTTTTTCTGGTCTATACTGCACTGGCGCACAGAAACAGATTTAACCAACTTTGAACAATACCGTCCCCACTAATCATCTTCAATTATTGTTGTTTTCTTCCAAACGACACCAATTTCACAGATCAGCCCTATCTTCGCTTTGGGCAAAGTTTTAGTAATTTAATCGATAGGTATACGTTTCTCGGTAAATGCAAAATGATCGTACGTATACCTTCAAATAAAGCGCATTTCTCACGAAAGGACACCATTCCTGATCAAAGGGAACGATCATGGACAAAGTGGCGCTCCATTCTTCACGGCGGCACAGTTGCCGATGTTCGTGCGACATTCAAAACAGGGCACGCGTGAAAAAAAGGTCACTCGTGAAAAAATAAATGGGGGGGGGGGAGCCTGGGCTATGTCGATGTCTCTTTCGAAATTCAATAACTTTTGTCTTGCAAGAAAGTGATAAATTTAAAAAAAAAGGAATCTACTTTTCGGTATGATACTCGAAAATAGCACGGGGAACGCCACTATCATTCTATTGTGGTCTGACGTCCTGACGCCGCGATGTTTGTATAATGATATTAGTGTTAGGCCTACTCCTTTGGGGGAAAACGTTTTGCATCTTACCAGAGGCCATTCTCATTGAACCAATAGGCACAGACATTTTCCAAGCCCAGAAAAATAACAGTGGCGTATCCAGCTTTTGATGTCGGGGGGGGGGGGGGCGCACTCGCACAGCCGCCGAATTGTGGACATGTTTTTTTCTCGGGACACTTTTTTTTTGCCCCCTCCCCAAAGAAATTGTGTTCTGCCCACTTGTTCCCAGCTGATTTTCGCTTAGCACATAAAACTGCTGAGCAATAAGCCGGCTACGTTTGGAAATGACACACGTACACGCCTATAAGCGGCTGCAGCCATAGACTCGTGTGGTATTTCCAGCCGTAGCCCAGTCATTCGAACGCGGCCTATATTTTCTGCTTAGCAACTCTTTTCAAAATTCACCCTGGAGATTGACAACAGATAAAGTCCATTTACTCTTTCTCTGCCATGTCAACACAGTGCACGAGTACATTTTTTGAAGTCGATTTTCTTTTTACCGACGTCTGGTTATTAATTGCATCTTGTTGAAACACGAATTATTGGGAATATTTCAATAAATTCTGTTTTAGAAAAGAGTTATTAATTAATTCCTGATTCCCATAGACTTTGTATAAACACAACCAATAAATTGTCGTTCAGGGAGGCGACTACTTGTTTTTGTGGAGTATGATAATAATTGAAAAGGATTACTTACTTCCGTGCGGTCGTTCGTCGAAGTAAAGACAGCCATTCGACGGAAACAAGTCGCTCATGTTCCGGGAGACCACGGCCAAGTTGAGCTGGCACAGACCACCATCTTGGCAGAAATTGAAGGATTTACAGGCATCGTCGCGTAGGCACTCCCCGGCGCACGATGCGTGTGAGCGCGCCGTGTGGTTACGGTAGGCCTGGCCGACGAGCGCGTGGTCCCGCAGCGGTCCCCGGTAAAACCGGTGGAGTTCCCCGCCTTGCACTCGATGCTCGCGTTGACTCGGGAGGCAGGATTTTAGGCCCGATTCCCCGGCAGAAACGACGGTCACAGCCGCCAACAAGTCGAGGCAAAATGTGATAAGATTAATCGCTGATGGTATCATATTGAACACGAAAATGGACACAGAATAATATTATGGCACTTATTGAGAAAAATGAGTAAAATGTTTCGTCAGAGCTGATCTGGAGCTCCTGCGCCAGTTAAATCATCTCAGTACTGCCTCCGATTGTCACTACAAAGTCGTCGCGATAACCTTCACATTGGGCAATGAACGTTGATTCATTGCCATACTCAGCCTTGTCTCAATATGAGAGATTGGATGAGAGATGCGTATAATATTGTTTAGATACCAATGGTATTAAATTTAACAACACTGTGTTTGATGTGTATTGGTAAATACCTCTTTGACATTTCACGAATAGACGCGCCGGCTTCAAAAGTCGGTCATCTCTGAACAAAATATTGATTTTTCCACTCCAGTTTTGGCAGTTACTGAATCTGAAAGGATATACCAGAGACAGTTTAGTTCCGGTCATTTCTTTTTTTATATCTTACTTAAAAGTTTAATATTCTTGTCATGTCCACACTGTCAAAAGAAATCGATCGACTCTCTGTTGTTGAAAGGCGCATTGTTGAAACCCCGTTACCTTCAACATTTCAAAATTAATATCGGAGGTTCAAACGAAGGTCTCGCGGGAGTTCTTCCTTAAGTTGCTCTTCAGCATATTATATTGTGTTTCTCCTAATGAATTTGTTTTTGTTTTATTTAAGCAAACAATATAATTTTTTTTCATTATGGACTTTTCCCCCACCCTCTGGATATACGCTTTATGCGCATGAACATTCATATCTTCGAAAGATAAACACGGAAACGGAAGGAGCAAAAATATATACAATGGCATGTATCATGTTTTACGGATAAAATTTGCAGTTACCCCAATTTTTTTCTGCGGCCAAAACATTTGGGCAAATTTCTTTTGAAAAAAAATCAACTTCTAACAAATTTGCGCCACTGGTTAGTTTATCTACACATTCGTGCCACGATGGCTGATCACATCAGTGAATGACGTGGACTTTGCCTACCAAACCCATCGCTATTATGGTGGTCTCTTCAAGAAATAAATGTCATGACACTATATCAAAGATTTCGAGCTTGTGTCTTTTGTTTTCCTTACTGCACAGAGGGAATGAATCCCATTAAGATGTACTAATTCCAGACATATACCCTTATATACCCCTACACTGAATAAAAGAAAAATAACAATATACAGAGACATTGTGTGAAGTTTTTGGTTTTCCAGTGTCATGACATAGAACATCCTATTTAACTTTTGTGTGTTTTGAGAGACTGCAAGGGCTTGCGTGCTTGATTTGAGTGAACCCCTGTCCAAACATAATCCAACTAAATCCAGCTAATCCACCTGCAATCCATCTGGTTTCCTTCCAAGCAGATGTGCCGACGCAAAAAAAAAAAAAAAAACATCACGAGCAACATTCACGCATTCCTAATCACATTCAGTACCAACAACTGACGCTCGCTCCTAATGATTCATGAAAAGGTGCCAATAATGAGTTGCTTCCGACGCTAAAAATATCTTTTTTTGGAAGATCTGTAGTGCCGTATTTAAAGCAACACATAAAGAAAACTTGACCCCGGTGTCTCATTGACAAGACAAGCGACACGGAGTGCGGGCTGTACTTCCATTGCCTCAAGCCTGCAATGCATTCGATTAAATGAATGTTATTTTCTTCTGTGAAACAGAGATCGATGTAGCTCCGTACAGTTGCAAATACGTTTTTATTCATTTTTTGATAGGTGATCTTTTTGTGCAGCAATTAAGTCACTGCTTGAGAAGATTTATTTTCAAGAACAGGCAATTGTTCTGGATATCCTTCAGACTTGGCTTGCCCTGGCTGTTCATCGATTAAGCATCTGTTACGACACAGATGGCAACACGGGTAAGACTTCTGGATAAATTTTGTTTGAAGTGAATTCCGAAAATGGCCCCATTTTCTTTGCAAAAGTAAACATCGATCATTTTGGCATTCCTATCCACAGTCAGTGGGCTTTTTTTTGGGGGGGGGGGCCATATGCATACTTGGGTACAATCGTTAGAACTCATGATCTTTTTTGGCTACAAGTGCGTGCAAAACTACTTGATGCCAATTTTTCGACCCTTTCAAAGGCGGGCCGTGATTTTAAAAAAGTGGGCACTTGATGTAATATCGGGATTCGATAAATGCACTTTTCTACTTTGCCTGTAGAATTAAAAAATCCAGCTGTAATAGGCAATTGTGGTGCTACTTTTTATTAAATATTTGTGCACGAAGCTAGGTAGAATGTTTACATGTCAAATCAGAATTCTTACCCTTCAGGGCCAAATCATTATGATTGTCCCCTTTAAAAGGAGCTTCGAAGAATAGACCTCCCAGTTCTGTTTTCTAATTTTAGGGACACAAAATGGCTTTTAATTAAAGTTGTCTTTGCTTTTAGTTATCCCCATTTTTTATCAAAATCTGTTCCATCATTCTGCTATAGAGACCACTAGAGTCGGATATGTGTTGCAATTCTCCAAGTGCCAAGTCTTCCTCAATTACTGCTGCCCAGAAAAAAAACTTTGGAGCAGCTGCAAAAACGTGCGTGCAGAACCATTTTGGCAGATCGCTATGCCTCATAATTATGCAGATGCAATGCAGCTCTGCGGGTTTGAGTCTCTTGCTAAATTGTTATCAAACCTTGGTGTTCCATCCGCAAAAAAAATTTAAAATAAAACTTTGCTTTTAAATTTTATCACATACTCGGCCACAAAAAAGTCGTTCCGTTGAACATCTTCATTTTGGCATAAAATATCCCCAAAACACTCTGCCTGGTCGGGGTGCATCAAGTGGATTTTGTTTTTTTTCCCCTCTAATAACCCCTGGAATTTTCAGGGATTGTACCCCAAACTGTATAGGACATACCCGAGTCCTCTGACTTTTAACAAGGGCATTATATTTATGTAAACGACTGGGAAGTAAGAATCCTTAAATTTTCCAAACTTGTACATTTGAAAAGCGGGGAGGGGCGCGTTTGATACCATACGTCACTCGGCTGAATACCCAGACAAGGTCAATATCGATTCCGCGTCATATGAAAATAAATGGGGGTTTTCAGCGTTTGTCTCTAAATTGAAGACATTGTGTAGATCTCCTGTCTGAGACATTTGAAAGATGGTGAGAATTAAAACGATACAAAAAATGGATGTGCACCTTTAATGATAGTTATTCCCACATTCATCAAGTTGATATCTTATGCACTTACGCAGCGACATTATCAGCCGCTCTTTTGTTAGTTTCACCACACACTCGTGCCACGATGGCTGATCACATCAGTGAATGAGAGATGGACTCTGCCTGCATGCCAAACACATCGGTACAGACCTTTATCATGCTGCCACCATTTCAGTCATGTTCTCTGTATCCAATAAAAGAACTGAATGATAATGTTTCTTTTGTTAAAAAAGGAACCAGACAATTTGTCCTTCCAGCCTCGCTTTGGTTAAGTTGATCTGAATGGGAACACATCAAGATGGCCGCAACATGATAATGGTCTATTACGGTGGTCTCTGCAAGAAATAGATGTATTGTCATTGTCTCAAAGAGTTTGTGTGGTTTGTATTCCTTTATGTACAGAGGGACTGTATCCCATTAAGATGTACTTATTCCAGACTCTCCTGCTTATATACCCCTACACTAAATAAAAGAAAAATAACAAATAACACTAGAATCGTATGTGTTGCAAAGCCAAACGTCCGACTCGAACGAGTCTAGTCTGAACTTTTTGGTTTTCCTGTGTCATGACGTAGAATATCCTATTTAACTTTTGTGTGTTTTGAGAATATATTTGCAAGGGCTTGCGTGCTTGAAGGGAGTGAGCTGCTGCCCAAGCGTAGTCCATCCAAATCCACCTAATCCATATAATCCACCTAATCCATCTGGTTTCCTTCCAAGCAGATGTGCCAATGCCAGAAACATCACGAGCAACATAGAGGCATTCCCAATAACATTCAGTCCCAACAACATTACAACACACGCTCCTATGATTCATGGAAAGGCGCCAATGTGTCGCTTCCGACGCTAAAAATATCTTTTTGAAAGATCCGTATTATTTCGGTATTTACATCAACACATAAAGAAAACTTGACCCGGGTGTCTCATTGACAAGACAAGCGACACGGAGTGCGGGCTGTACTTCCATTGCCTCAAGCCTGCAATGCATTCGATTAAATAAGTGTTATTTTCTTCTGTGAAACAGAGATAGATGTAGCTCCGTACAGTTGCAAATACGTTTTTATTCATTTTTTGATCGGTGATCTTTTTGTGCAGCAATTAAGTCACTGCTTGAGAATATTTTTTTTCAAGAAGAGGCAATTGTTCTGGATATCCTTCAGACTTGGCTTGCCCTTGCTGTTCATCGATTAAGCATCTGTTACGACACAGATGGCAACACGGGTAAGACTTCTGGATAACACATTTTGTTTGAAGTGAATTCCGAAAATGGCCCCATTTTCTTTGCAAAAGTAAACATCGATCATTTTGGCATTCCTATCCACAGTCAGTGGGCTTTGGGGGGGGGGGGGCCATATGCATACTTGGGTACAATCGTTAGAACTCATGATCTTTTTTGGCTACAAGTGCGTGCAAAACTACTTGATGCCAATTAAGGCGGGCCGTGATTTTAAAAAAGTGGGCACTTGATGTAATATCGGGATTTCGATAAATGCACTTTTTCTACTCTGCCTGTAGAATTAAAAAATCCAGCTGTTATAGGCGATTGTGGTGCTACTTTTTATTAAATATTTGTGCACGAAGCTAGGTAGAATGTTTACATGTCAAATCAGAATTCTTACCCTTCAGGGCCAAATCATTATGTTTGTCCCCTTTAAAAGGAGCTTCGAAGAATAGACCTCCCAGTTCTGTTTTCTAAGTTTAGGGACACAAAATGGCTTTTAATTAAAGTTGTCTTTGCTTTTAGTTATCCCCATTTTTATCAAAATCTGTTCCATCACTTCTCCAAGTGCCAAGTCATCCAAACATGTTTCAAAACTAAACCCCCACCACATGCCGAGTCGAGCATTGAGGGAACCCTCTGAACTTTGTATCTGAGGCAAAGATACTTGGAGTCTGGCTACAGAACGACCTTCGATTGGAGAAAAATATCAATGAAAGTTCCAAGAAAGCCAAAGTTCCAAAAAAATTGTATATGCTCCGCCTGCTTAAGTGGTTTGGATTCAATGTTGATGAGCTCATATCATTTCATAAAAGTTATGTGAGGCCTGCTGTTGAATATGCTGATGTTGCCTGGTCTTCCTCAATTACTGCTGCCCAGAAAAAAACTCTGGAACAGCTGCAAAAACGTGCGTGCAGAACCATTTTGGCAGAGCGCTATGCCTCATAATTATGCAGATGCAATGCAGCTCTGCGGGTTTGAGTCTCTTGCTAAATTGTTATCAAAACCTGTTGTTCCATTCGCAAAAAAGGTTAAAAATAAACCTTTGCTTTTAAATTTTATCGCATACTCGGCCACAAAAAAGTCATTACGTTGAACATCTTCATTTTGGCATAAAATATCCCCAAAACACTCTGCCTGGTCGGGGTGCATCAAGTGGATTTTGTTTTTTCCCCTCTAATAACCCCTGGAATTTTCAGGGATTGTACCCAAAACTGTATAAGACATACCCGAGTCCTCTGACTATTAACAAGGGCATTATATTTGGGTAAACGACTGGGAAGTAAGAATCCTTAAATTTTCCAAACTTGTACATTTGAAAAGCGGGGAGGGGACGCGTTTGATACCATACGTCACTCGGCTGAATACCCAGACAAGGTCAATATCGATTCCGCGTCATATGAAAATAAATGGGGGTTTTCAGCGTTTGTTTCTAAATTGAAGACATTGTGTAGATCTCTTGTCTCAGACGTTTGAAAGATGGTGAGCATTAAAACGATACAAAAAATGGATGTGCACCTTTAATGATAGTTATTCCCACATTCATCTAGTTGATATCTTATGCACTTACGCAGCGACATTATCAGCCGCTCTTTTGTTAGTTTCACCACACACTCGTGCCACGATGGCTGATCACATCAGTGAATGAGAGATGGACTCTGCCTGCATGCCAAACACATCGGTACAGACCTTTATCATGCTGCCACCATTTCGGTCATGTTCTCTGTATCCAATAAAAGAACTGAATGATAATGTTTCTTTTGTTAAAAAAGGAACAAGACAATTTGTCCTTCCAGCCTCGCTTTGGTTAAGTTGATCTGAATGGGAACACATCAAGATGGCCGCAACATGATAATGGTCTATTACGGTGGTCTCTGCAAGAAATAGATGTATTGTCATTGTCTCAAAGATTTTGTGTGGTTTGTATTCCTTAATGTACAGAGGGACTGTATCCCATTAAGATGTACTTATTCCAGACTCTCCTGCTTATATACCCCTACACTAAATAAAAGAAAAATAACAAATAACACTAGAATCGTATGTGTTGCAAAGCCAAACGTCCGACTCGAACGAGTCTAGTCTGAACTTTTTGGTTTTCCTGTGTCATGACTTAGAATATCCTATTTAACTTTTGTGTGTTTTGAGAATATATTTGCAAGGGCTTGCGTGCTTGAAGGGAGTGAGCTGCTGCCAAGCGTAGTCCATCCAAATCCACCTAATCCATTTAATCCACCTAATCCGTCTGGTTTCCTTCCAAGCAGATGTGCCAATGCCAGAAACATCACGAGCAACATAGAGGCATTCCCAATAACATTCAGTCCCAACAACATTACAACACACGCTCCTATGATTCATGGAAAGGCGCCAATGTGTCGCTTCCGACGCTAAAAATATCTTTTTGAAAGATCCGTATTATTTCGGTATTTACATCAACACATAAAGAAAACTTGACCGGGGTGTCTCATTGACAAGACAAGCGACACGGAGTGCGGACTGTACTTCCATTGCCTCAAGCCTGCAGTGCCTTCGATTAAATAAGTGTTATTTTCTTCTGCGAAACAGAGATAGATGTAGCTCCGTACAGTTGCAAATACGTTTTTATTCATTTTTTGATCGGTGATCTTTTTGTGCAGCAATTAAGTCACTGCTTGAGAAGATTTATTTTCAAGAAGAGGCAATTGTTCTGGATATCCTTCAGACTTGGCTTGCCCTTGCTGTTCATCGATTAAGCATCTGTTACGACACAGATGGCAACACGGGTAAGACTTCTGGATAACACATTTTGTTTGAAGTGAATTCCGAAAATGGCCCCATTTTCTTTGCAAAAGTAAACATCGATCATTTTGGCATTCCTATTCACAGTCAATGGGCCTTGTGGGCCCATATGCATACTAGGGTACAATCTTTGGAACTCATGATCATTTTTGGCTACAAGTGCGTGCAAAACTACTTGATGCCAATTTTTCGACCCTTTCAAAGGCGGGCCGTGATTTTTAAAAAGTGGGCACTTGATGTAATATCGGGATTTCGATAAATGCACTTTTCTACTTTGCCTGTAGAATTAAAAAATCCAGCTGTAATAGGCAATTGTGGTGCTACTTTTTATTAAATATTTGTGCACGAAGCTAGGTAGAATGTTTACATGTCAAATCAGAATTCTTACCCTTCAGGGCCAAATCAGTATGTTTGTCCCCTTTAAAAAGAGCTTCGAAGAATAGACCCCCCAGTTCTGTTTTCTAATTTTAGGGACACAAAATGGCTTTTAATTAAAGTTGTCTTTGCTTTTAGTTATCTCCATTTTTATCAAAATCTGTTCCATCACTTCTGCTAGAGAGACCACTAGAGTCGGATATGTGTTGCAATTCTCCAAGTGCCAAGTCATCCAAACATGTTTTAAAACTAATCCCCCACCACATGAAAAGAGCATTGAGGGAACCCTCTGAACTTTGTATCCGAGGCAAAGATACTTGGAGTCTGGCTACAGAACGACCTCCGATTGGAGAAAAATATCAATGAAAGTTCCAAGAAAGCCAATCAAAAATTGTATATGCTCCGCCTGCTTAAGTGGTTTGGATTCAATGTTGATGAGCTCATATCATTTCATAAAAGTTATGTGAGGCCTGCTGTTGAATATGCTGATGTTGCCTGGTCTTCCTCAATTACTGCTGCCCAGAAAAAACTCTGGAACACCTGCAAAAACGTGCGTGCGGAACCATTTTGGCAGAGCGCTATGCCTCATAATTATGCAGATGCAATGCAGCTCTGCGGGCTTGAGTCTCTTGCTAAATTGTTATCAAAACCTGTTGTTCCATCCGCAAAAAAGGTTAAAAATAATACTTTGCTTTTAAATGTTATCACATACTCGGCCACAAAAAAGTCGTTCCGTTGAACATCTTCATTTCGGCATAAATTTTCCCAAAACACTCTGCCTGGTCGGGGTGCATCAAGTGGATTTTGCTTTTTTCCCTGTAATAACCCCTGGAATTTTCAGGGATTGTACCCGAAACTGTATAAGACATACCCGAGTCCTCTGACTATTAACAAGGGCATTATATTTGTGTAAACGACTGGGAAGTAAGAATCCTTAATTTTTCCAAACTTGTACATTTGAAAAGCGGGTGGGGGTACGTTTGATACCATACGTCACTCGGCTGAATACCCAGTTAAGAGAATAATAGTGTAATTGTATTGGTGTTTGGTTTAAAACCAAATACATGTAGATGCCTTGTCGCTGATAATGGCGCTCGCCTTCGGCTTGGGTCATTGTTGGTGACAAAACGCTTATAACTACCTACTCATTAAACTATCATTCCCATTCGTAAATACCTTTTTGGTCAACAGCTGCAAAAGGTAAAAAAAAAAAAATCCCAAGGATTTTGTTTGCCCATGCACTATTGTAACGGTATACATGTATTGCTGTTCATGTTCGGAGCCATTTCTGTTAACAGAGCATGTGTAACTCATTTACCACGAGTTGCAAAATTTATCGACATCATATGTGAGGATTTCATACATTTCTTTTCAGCCATATTTATGGTGGCTTTGAAGGGACATCAAGAATACTGACGTCAATGTTCACGACATTCCCCAAATCGCGAATATGGACTTTAATATTCGTGTCAACAATTTCACGTTTCGCTCTCCGTTGGCAAATAGCGGTCGCAATTTTTTCCCAGCAAGCTAGGCATGTTGACACGTTATGTCGATACACTGAGGTTAACCTGTAGGCTTGATCCCGTGTCGGTAATTGGCTGGGGTGGGTTTGCACAGTCTACAGTTAGGTCAGCCATATGTCACGTGACACATTTGTCTGGTTCCCAGACTTCGTGACTATCTAGCTTGCTAAAACATTTTCCAACAAAAAGTTTGCGACCGAGAGCAAGACAAGTCGTGATAATATGTTTTACGCAAATATTGACGTCAGTGTTTGCGACCGGATATAGTCCATGAGCCAGGGGCTGAAATTTCACAGATTTGGACCATCTCAAGGGACTAATCGCCACTATGATTTTTCTTTCCTACATGTGTATAGATGTCAGAAAAGTATGATAGACTTTTGTAGGTAATAGCTTAATGTGGAATTTGGGGCATGTTCTATCAAACAATAACAACAAACTTTATTTTACTCCATAAAACACTTGCTTGATATCTGCTATGGCATCCCAGCATTAAATACTTTCAAAAGGTTACAATTATTTCACCTGTATTTGGCTAAACACTGTATTGAGGCCACCTGCCTAGTGTGGCCAACATGTCATTGCATGTCATAAGCTCATAAAAGGGAATGTACAACATAGCTTTTCCTGTAATTTTCAGAAGAGCTGTATTGGGGGGGGGGGGCGGGGAGGTTAAGTATTTTATACTTGTATGAAGTTGTGTGTTCATAGATGCTGGAAAACCCAAGAAACAATCATTTTCTTGTAGTCTGGTTCCCTGACACATCTTTAAATGAAACACAGCAATTTATAGACGCCAGGGAATTGTATGGTCAGGGACACAGTCCAGCTGGCATATACCCGTTCAAAGGTGTGCAATCGATTGCAATCAAAATGTCGACTAACTAAATATGGAAAATTGGGGGCAGTAGTTGGCGGAACACAGTTTTTTCGACCAGCGTTGGAAATTGATACAAAATACATGTACCACTTTTCTTGAAAATGACAGCAAATCAGGTGCCATGGGTTTTACAGGGTATGCTTCACTAACAGTCAAGTACAATATTTCATAGATATTTGGTAGTTTTATTTTTGGATGTTTGCAAATCTTGTATATATTCCCTTTAAACTGCTCACTTTGCTTTTGAAACTGCACTCGAAGACTACTGACCCATGCGTGTTATTTTGATGAAGCGCATTGCAGGCTGCCGGGGCAGATATAAAGGGAGGCAGTTGTTTTTCTTGGGGGGGGGGGGGGCTGGTGTAGAAGGTTCATTTCAAATTAGCTTTTGAGTTGCCAATGGCCACATTCTACAGGTTGATGGTTGAGGTGAAAATGTATTAAAATTGGTAAAGAAGTCGAATGTGTAATCTTAAAAGAACATGTCCATTTTGGAGGGCTGAATTTTCTGAAAGCCATGGTTGTTTCCTTGTACTATAATTGGCAGGTTTTATTTTCATGAAACTGTAACTATTAGATCATGACAGAGATACCTACAAATGGCTTACATATCTGTTATAAAATTAAGTGCACATGTATTTCCATAAATTTGCTGCACAGAAAATGTGAGTTTTCATGGGAAAACAATTCAGTATTTTTTGGTCTTCTTGTCTTCTTGCTACTGCTGGTATTCTTATATAGGTTTTCCCGGCCAATTTTGCAAAAATAGCATTCGAATTCATCTTGATGGTGGCCAATTTGAAGCGGGTATAGCGCCCTGCTGTCATTCCCGTAGTTCGTATTAGATTTCAGGCGGTCAAATTCGTTTAAATACCTGACATTTTCATGTTTAACACATCCTAAATTGAAGTTATGTCAGTCGGTTTAAGTGATCATTCAATTTAGCAATCGGTTTGATCAAGGGTTATTTGCGTGAGATTCTTTGATTTCTTTTTACATTTCCGTGCATTCTATTTAGCACTTTTTGCATTTAAAAAAAAAATAAAACGAAGGCATACAACGCGAGTCTTTTAATTTCTTCCACCTTTTTTTTCTGCTTTTCCGTTTCATTTGTTTCAAAGTGTCTACTATCTGTCTCTTTCTTCTAAAGAAGTAAAAATGTAAACAAATTAAACAAAAAGGGGGCGTCAATAAACATATATGTATATATATGAAATAATAAACCTATAGGCAACAGTAAACTTCAGTGGATCTTCTGTTTTCAATTGTGATCTTGGTCATATATTTGTTTATATCTCTTAAACTTTTTAGATGTTTAATTATCTTAGAGTCCCTTTTTGTCTCTCTTTATTTTGGAATGATACTGTCTCCTGGTGCAGGTCTGTTAGCCATCGATCTCTTGCCGTGCCAAGCATCTACATTTGAAATTCTCATATAACGCCCATGAGCTGCCATGTTGATATTTCTAGTGCTTCAAGCTAACAGTGTGCACGGTGATCAGAGTATTGGCAGAATTTTGTTGGAGACAGATTTTTATATCCACACTTCCAAATTGGAACAAGGGCACTCCATCTAATTCTAACAAACAACGTAATGACATAAACCTATTTCGAATTCATTTGCTTACTTTTCACAAATGCCTGCCTAGTGGTGAATTTGAATGACCAAACTTACACAGCTGGAAGCTCCGGCGAATTTGGATGCTCGTTTGTACAATTTTTATTTGAATGCCCTGTTGTTAAAATTGCATGGTTAAAATGTGAAATCGCATGCTCCAAATGTTAAATTGATTGATGTTTTTAGCTAATTGAATGTTGATCTCAACGTGCATTCAAATTCGTGCGAAAATGAGTGATTGGTCACCAATTTGGCCGCCAAATCTGCTAACTTGGCCGGGAAAACCTATACCTTTATAAATGTAATAAATATAGTATATTTTGCAACCAGATGGAACTTAAGTTCTTTCTACATACTGCAATAGGGCTTATCTGATTTAATTAATCACCAAACCCTCCGAAATGAGCTTAATAATTATGAACATTTATTAACTTAAAAATTGTGATGCCTGTATATCACTTTTGATTCTGATGAAACTCCATGACAATCATTCAAGTTTACTCGAATTCAGAGTCAGAGTCTGTATTTGAGTTGTCATAAAGACAGGCCTGATCATCTTTGTTGATTTAATTGTCACAATGTAAGTTGTTCCCTTGTTGACCTCCTCTGTTCTGTACTACAACCTGCCAAATCTTCATCACTCTCAACTTTTGACAGTTCATGTTCATGTAGTGCAATAACTTTTTTTTCAGTGTAATCAATTGAGAAATTAATTTTCAAAGATTTCGCCCGCCAACGTGAACATGTGTGTGTACATGTAGTTTCATTCAAAATAAAGTGTTATGTAACCTTTAGAAATCGCCCTTAGCAGCCACATGACTGTTAGTCTATTTCCAGCGCGGTATATGCACTATAGCTGTAATAACATGAAAAACAATCTACATGATGTAATTTAAACGTGTCTTGCTTACACTGTACTGACCATGTTCACGGACAGAAATCATAATCAGCAGTCTGGTGGTTTCAGTTCAAATCTTCAGCTTGTTCCTTGGGCCTAATCAACCCTGTTAAAAAAAATGAGAGTGGGGGTTTACGGTGATATACCAACTCCAGTCCACGGGGACTGTGCCCCTTTCAATTATTTCTCGTTTTATTCAATTTCTTTTTTAATTATTCCCCGGCTTTTTCAGGAGCAAAGAAAACCCACTGGTCTGCTGCAGCTGCTACCTCTGGTGATTTTGTTGCTTTGGCTTTCAAGTAACCATTGTGTCGCTCAAGAAGAGCCCACAGACTCAAACTGTTGCAGTGCTTGCTTCCAAGGCCCGGCCGGAACACCAGGTGTTCCTGGAATCCCAGGAAATCCAGGTGGAAACGGGATCCAAGGACTTCTTGGTCCCAAAGGTGACCCTGGGTTAGGCCTTCCTGGACCCACGGGAGAGACCGGTGTCCAGGGACGGAAGGGAGATCGAGGCGAGCCAGGGATGTTGGGACCTCCAGGGAAGCAGGGACTCGCAGGTCGCAACGGAGACATCGGTGAGAGGCAGAAAGGTGACAAGGGGGAGCCAGGGATCCAGGGACCGCTAGGTCCGCTTGGTGGAAAGGGGCAAAAGGGCCAGCCAGGAGATGCTACCCTTGTCACACCAACACCGCCCTCTGCCGTCGCATTCACCGCTTACATCACGTCACCGGTTTCAGGATATAGTGAAGATCAAGTCATCATCTTTGACAACATCATGACGAATCTGGGCGGTGGGTACGACTCGCAAACGGGATTGTTTACCTGCCTGATACCCGGGGCCTACTTCTTCACGACCAGCGTGCAAAGAATGCTATCATCTAGGAATCCTTTCGTACAACTGAAACATAACTCGGCCTTAATCTTTACAGCGTATGACAACCACCACAACCATTATCACCAGTCCAGTAATTCAGCAGTTCTTGTTTTGACCAGAGGAGATAGGGTGTGGCTTGAGGTAGGGGATGGCAATGGTATTCACAGCAGTACCAACCGAGATTCTTTCTTCTCTGGCTTTCTGATTCAAGCAATGTAACGGTTGCGCAACTATAATTAAACATCCCCGTGTGAATATTTTCTGAAACCAATTGGGCCTCATAATTATATATGTTTAGACGCACTGATTTAGGAGTGGTTTTTGGCCGCATGTTTGGAAGGGGTGTCTTATAAACTAATCAAAAGCTTTGTAAACTTATCGAAGAACAGGAGTAAGAGCAATGCATGGTCAACAACTGTGTTCTGCAAACAGAAGTAAATATTAAAATCTGGTTGGTGTTTTGAAGGTTTAGTATTGACTATGCTATACTCTGCCCCTATCTGTTTATGGCCTCTGCCTATTTGTGATATTTCTGGTGTTTCATTAGAAGTATTTTGAAACCAAGCAATGGGTTATCCAGTGGTGCGTTCCAGTTTACGCGAACGTGTTTGCGCTCGTTACGCTAGGTCCAAACCCAAATGGATGGTTAACACAAACTGTTTTCAAAATGGCGGCCCTGTCTGCAAGTCGTATATACAAGTGACACTGTTTGGATAGCAGCTTGCAAATCTTTGACCAAAAAAAAAATTGTGACTGGAAGCGAAATGTTGCCAGTATACAATGAACTTACTGCGGATATAGAAAACGGAAAATTTCAGCTCCAACAGTTGTATACGTTCATTAAGTTGCTAACGGCATGTTGCTAGCGTCCACCAACGTCAGCCAATGTTGGTGATAAACGGTCGGTCTCACTTGCGCAAACGTTGCCAACGTTGGCAGCGTTAGCATTGTTCGCGTAAATGAACGCACTCCAAGCCAGAGAGAAAGTACGCCGAAAGATGCTGTGACGTCATTGTCAGGCATTAACCACGCCCATTTTACAAGATCAGCACCCGATTTCATCAAACTCTTCGTATTAACTTACGATGCATCGCAGCGCTGCGACGCGTCGTATCTCTACGATGCGTCGCAGCTGCGACGCGTCCTGCGATCCATTTCACTAAACACGTCGTAAGTGCGACGCGTCGTAGGTGTATTTATAGCACAACTCGGTGACTGTTTTATGTCTTTAGTCAGCGTACAGTAAATAGTCGTCTGATATTCAACAAAGAGTCGTCGGATCTCAGCTCGAAATTTGTTAAAACGTAAAACAAAATGGCGGCCGTGCAATGCAATTTTGAAGGAAAACAAGCTCTCATTGGACTTTATAGCTTCTTTGAAATTTCAACTCTAATATTCCGGTCTAATTCATAATTATTCAATGAATTTTCTATTTACAACTTAACACACATTGCCTCGGTATTATAATCTCGTTAATGTAATGTTTGTGGCATAAAACTGGCTTAGAAATGACTCTTCTTATTTTGTGACGACCAATATACACGTCTTAACTTGCGACGTGTTTTAAGCCGTTGTCAAGGAACTTACGACGCGTTCAACACATCGCAACTTTCGTGAAATGGAAGTTACGACGCGTCGCGAGTTGCGACGTGTAACACGTCGCAACTCGAGTTGCGACGCGTCGCAGCGCTTCGTGAAATCGGGTGCTGCTCTTTCAGATAAATTTCATTTCGTTAGAAAGTATATTATATGAGACTTGTAGGCTTGTATGGTGGACATGAACAAAGAATGGAAGGTTTGCGGTAACACCACGCGAATATCTTTTGAGTTGTGTGGTTCTAAGAAGAACCAGTTGTTTTCACTGTGTATGTTGGTTTTAACTTGTTTATAATCTTCAAGAGAGTAATGACTTACGAAGTATTCCGTATACTGATTAATCTAACCTTTGTGCCCAAAGAAGCAAACGAATGACTCATCATGTCTGGTCATTTTATTCACAACTAAAGCAATGTAGACCTATTAACATACCATTTCCCCCTATTAACATCCACCTTGTCAATGTAAAGTTATATAGGGCACCTCAACATTAATGTTGTTTTTAGATTGGTGCTCATATCGCGCAAATAATGTACACACAGATGGCTATTGCATGGTCGCTTTAAAAACACATTACAAATAAAGCATGCTGTTTGACAATTTTCAAATACAGACACTTCACTCAATTCGATTGAACTGTTCTATACTTTAATGAGTATGTCCTCTTGTTTTAATAAAAATGTAAAACAATTTAAACTTCTGTGTAAGTGATGCATTTATAAGTCATGAGCATGGCAAAAGCTGCCAATTAAACGCTATTTATAGTTCTAGAGAAGTCATCTGAACATTGTAAACAACTGAAACGGCCTTTTACCCTTTTTTCAGCAAAGAAAATAGCTGATGGGTTTACAAGAACGAACCTTACACATGGACTTATTGTCTACATGCTAGAAGTCTAAGTGAGATTATGCAGAGCATGCCGACTTGAAGCCGCTATGATTTCGGTCAATAAGAAATAATTGAAGAAAAACACGCGAAACAGACCGCGCTCCTAAGCTGCGAGTGTTTATTTCAAAATTAAAAACTAAAGCGGGGATGTTGAGGGCCAATGGTAATTTGTTACCAGGAATGTATCCGTTAAATGTTTTCGTCCACGAATAAAAACAACTAAATTCAATTCTAGCCGGTCCTAACACCTCCGTGTTTACATGGACATAGCTAGGCCTGCATGGACCATTTACAATGGCATTTTTACTTTAATGGCCATTCCGTGGTTTCATTATTTTGTGTTATTCTATTACTGCACTGATGGATTCAGTATTTCATCGAATCATGCACGCACGCCCTAAATCGTACTCATGTTTCTCTCTAACGACCTTATACTGTGATTATTATAACTACCAATGCCAAAATGACACAGCCAGCGTGTAATGCATAACCTCTGCTACATTAAATTATCATACCGAAACGTTGCGACAGGAATTCTCGAATTAATGCTTATATGATTCGGCTAAAGCACTAAATATGGTCAAAAAATGCTCCAAGAGTTCGTCCACTATGAAGAACGAGCAGTCGAGCTCTGGAATACGCTGTATAAATACAAGGTTTTTATGGTTAGGCGGGTAAAACCTCCGTCGATCGCAGTGACTCCTCCACGCTGGTATCAGACAGTCCTCTGCCGGACATAGTTGTATACATCTTGAAACGGAAAATCTCGCTATTTCCTTTGGAAAGAACAAAGTTTTGTTCGAGATACGGAACAGTGAGCTGTTACGCCTCTACCTCAGCCTTATTCCCTGAATATTCCGACACTTGTCTCACGTTCTGGGAGCTGATCTGCCTGAAGAATCAACCACGATGGCGTCACTGGTAAGGTTATTTTTCTCCCGATTCAAAAAAAGTAATTGACGAAATTATTATAAAAAAGCTTACTCGGTTTAAAAATAGTAATGGCACTAAACTCCCCGTTAAATTATTCTTTCTGACATGCTGTCATTTTGAAGAAATTAATAAAAGAAGGCCTTTTCGTTCTCACGAAGAGACGGGCATGTCAAAATTGACAATTTTTTTGGATTTCGAGTATTTTCAATATTTTGCTTTAAAACATGGTACTTAAGCATTCTGACATGTTTCCGTAAGCAAAACATCATTAGTTCCTGAATAACATTAATGACGTCAGGGCAGGCATCTCGATAATTGCATTTTACGATTTCACGAAGAGACGCAAACATGCCTGCCCCCGTGAACACGAACAAAACGTATTACACGGAAAGGCGGTAAAAAGTAGGTCAACGGATAGTTTCGTTTTCACGAAGGGAAGGGCATCTTGTTACATTCTCAGCTGCGCGCGCGTAATCGAACACGCGCACCCTTCCCTATCCGGTTCGTTAGTAAAAACGTCATACACGCACTCGCACCACTGATTACTAGCGCCCATTGGCTACAAATGCTCAAGCTGCGTTAACTTCCGGTTCCAATCGTGCAGAAAGTGCTGGAGGTGACGTCACACTAACGAACCGGATGGAAAAGCACATTTAATTAAACAAGAAGGGCGTAAACGTGGAACAGTTGGATTTTCGTTTTCACGAAGGGACGGGCATCTTTACTCATTAATTTTGGCTAATTAACACTGTATTAATTATAATTATTGGTTAAAGTTTATCTATCAAAGAATTACGTCAAGGTTTCCTTATTGCATAAACTTGTTGCAAACCTCATGCATATGCATTGCAGAGGCTGCATATTATGAATATACGCTTGAAAACGTCTTAGTCAAGTCGTTAGACACGTACAGACTGACCATGCCGCGCGGTAGTACATGACTTTTGCATGAATGGTTGTAGCGCTCACGTTGCATGAACGGCAGTGGCATGGTATGCGGATTCTGGCGCTGATGACGGACATAAACCACTATAGTCTAACGACTTGTCATCAAGTCTATCACGTTGCATGAACGGCGGTGTCATGCGGATTCTGGCGCTGATGACGGACATCAACCACTATAAGTCTAACGACTTGTCATCAAGTCTAATGCAGAAACTGACAACGATCGAGTTATTCAAGTCTGTAATGCAGCACACGCATGGGATCGCACACGCATGGGGTCGAAAATGTACGTAGCGTCCCCGCTACTAGGACAGCATGCGGTACGTCGTACCCCCGGCACAGAGCTTGGCAGTCGCGCGCGGCGGACGCGATTAAAACCTACGGAAGTGGATTTAGGGACATGACCCCCCAAACAATTTCGGCCCTCTATTTCGCCCGGGCGGATTACTATTTCGCCCGGACGGATTACTAAATCGCCCGGGCGAATTATTATTTCGCCCGGGCGGATTACTAATTCGCTCAGGCGAATTACTATGTCGCCCGGGCGGATTACTATTTTGCCCGGGCAGATTACTAATTCGCCCGGGCGAATTACTATTTCGCCCGGACGGATTACTAATTCGCCCGGGCGAATTAGTAGTCTGCCCGGCCGGGAGAATTAGTAATCTGCCCTGGCGAATTAGTAGTCTGCCCGGGCGAATTAGTAATCCGCCCGGGCGGAATAGTAATCCGCTCGGGCGGAATAGTAATCCGCCCGGGCGGAATACTAATCCGCCTGGGCGAAATGCTAATCCGCCCGGGCAAAATAGTAATCCGCCCGGGCGAAATAGTAGTCCGCCCGGGCGAATTAGTAATCCGCCCGGGCGAAATAGTAATCCGCCCGGGCGAAGTAGTGGACCTAAAAAATATTTTCGGTCATGTCCTAAATACGCTTCCGTAAAAACCACTCATTACAGACTTGATTTCAAGTCTAGTCCCTTCGTGAAACCGGTGACAAAGTGACGCATTGCGGTTGCTACTATTCGTCAGTTCAGTGCGTGACATCGCTAGCTGCGGCAATCAGCTGAATGAGAACGTGTCCGGACGCTGATTTTGGGCGCATATCAAAACAAGACTCTTCAAGTTTTGAATTGAAACCAAGATCCTAGAATATTGGTTGTAGCGCTCACGTTGCATGAACGGCAGTGGCATGGTATGCGGATTCTGGCGCTGATGACGGACATAAACCACTATAGTCTAACGACTTGTCATCAAGTCTATCACGTTGCATGAACGGCGGTGTCATGCGGATTCTGGCGCTGATGACGGACATCAACCACTATAAGTCTAACGACTTGTCATCAAGTCTAATGCAGAAACTGACAACGATCGAGTTATTCAAGTCTGTAATGCAGCACACGCATGGGATCGCACACGCATGGGGTCGAAAATGTACGTAGCGTCCCCGCTACTAGGACAGCATGCGGTACGTCGTACCCCGGCACAGAGCTTGGCAGTCGCGCGCGGCGGACGCGATTAAAACCTACGGAAGTGGATTTAGGGACATGACCCCCCAAACAATTTCGGCCCTCTATTTCGCCCGGGCGGATTACTATTTCGCCCGGACGGATTACTAAATCGCCCGGGCGAATTATTATTTCGCCCGGGCGGATTACTAATTCGCTCAGGCGAATTACTATGTCGCCCGGGCGGATTACTATTTTGCCCGGGCAGATTACTAATTCGCCCGGGCGAATTACTATTTCGCCCGGACGGATTACTAATTCGCCCGGGCGAATTAGTAGTCTGCCCGGCCGGGAGAATTAGTAATCTGCCCTGGCGAATTAGTAGTCTGCCCGGGCGAATTAGTAATCCGCCCGGGCGGAATAGTAATCCGCTCGGGCGGAATAGTAATCCGCCCGGGCGGAATACTAATCCGCCTGGGCGAAATGCTAATCCGCCCGGGCAAAATAGTAATCCGCCCGGGCGAAATAGTAGTCCGCCCGGGCGAATTAGTAATCCGCCCGGGCGAAATAGTAATCCGCCCGGGCGAAGTAGTGGACCTAAAAAATATTTTCGGTCATGTCCTAAATACGCTTCCGTAAAAACCACTCATTACAGACTTGATTTCAAGTCTAGTCCCTTCGTGAAACCGGTGACAAAGTGACGCATTGCGGTTGCTACTATTCGTCAGTTCAGTGCGTGACATCGCTAGCTGCGGCAATCAGCTGAATGAGAACGTGTCCGGACGCTGATTTTGGGCGCATATCAAAACAAGACTCTTCAAGTTTTGAATTGAAACCAAGATCCTAGAATATTGTATTCTCGAAATGTACAGCATTCACTGAGCTAAAATCAGGTTAGTTGTTAAGCACTCTATCTTTAGCACTTTTGTTGCTTCAAACGAAAACAAAAATCACAAATGACAAATGATCTATACCTTACCTTTAAAGGTAACATGCAACATTTTGCACACATTAAAAAACCTACCAACTTTCTTTGAAATACCTTATTTGACTGTAAGTATAAAAACCTCAGGCATCCTGTGAAATCACGGCACCTGGTGCGCTGTCATGTTTAAGAGAAGTGGGATTTTTTTTTTAAATTTCCATCAATTTCCAAGATGGTCGCCCGTACTCCTAAGAACCCCGCAAAATAGTTTTCAGCACAAAACACTAATGAAGTACAAAACACGTCCATCAGAATGCAGACATTTCCCACAGAACCGCTGCACAGTTTGCCCCCAAACTCCGTACTACACCTCATGACATACTCACGTATAATATGCGCAGAACAAACATTGCTGGATTTTGTCGGTTTTTTGGCTAAAATGATGACAAATATGCCCTTTCCGCACTGAGCCAACCTGACACTTGAAATGTGCACGCATATGATCCAGCGATGATTTTCGGTTCGCTCGGTGAGCGCCGCGGGGGGGGGGGGGGGGGGTACGGTACTTGCACTTGTACTCATGCGCGTACTATCATTTCGCTTGTACCGTACCCCCCGCGGCGCGCTCCGAGCGAACCGAAAATCATCGCTGGATCATAATGTGCACGTTTCAAGTGTCAGGTTGGCTCAGTGAGGAAAGGGCATATTTTTCATCATTTTTGCCAAAAACCCGACAAAATCCAGCGATGTCTGCTCTGCGCATTTTACGTGAGTATGTCATGAGGTGTAGTACGGAGTTTGGGGGCAAACTGTGCAGCGGTTCTGTGGGAAATGTCTGCATTTTGATGGACGTTTTTGTACTTCATTAGTGTTTTGTGCTGAAAACTATTTTGCGGGGTTCTTAATCTATGAGGCTCCACTACGTGGAGCCTCATAGTTCTAGGAGTAGGTCGCCCGATCGCATCATCGTTTGAAAAAAAACCTGACTATTTTTCATTTACCAAATTTAGTTAATCCACATTTTGTTTGAAATGGATTACACATCCTTGAACGGGTGCAAGCCACAATGGCTTGTCAACTTTGTACTTCCTTTCATCTTGATTAGGAGGATATTTTTTAGAAGTGACGAACCATCTTGGTTAGGAGGATATTTTTACAAGGGAAAACATGGAGGACACTAATCGTCTGGGCTAGGGGGATACTTTTAATGGGAGGTATAGTTGAACTAACCAACTTGGCAAGGAGAATATTTTTAGAAGGAAATATGGAGGAAACTAACCATCTTGGCTAGGAGGATATTCTTTGAAGGTAGTTATCGAGTGGATTAACCATTTTGGCTAGGGGGATATTTTTATAAGAGAAAATTTGGAGGAGATTATCCATCTTGGCTAGGAGGATATTTTTTAGAAGGGAATTATGGAGGTGACTAATCATCTTGGCTAGGAATTTTTTTTTTTTTTAAATAAAAACAAATGTGACCCTTGCAGTAATTTTGGGCCGAGTATAGATAGAGGCAGTCGGCAACAACAAAGTATCTCAGTTTTGCTGGTTTAATTCTGTGGGACGAAGACGAAACAATGTTGGTGAGTCTACGTCAAAAATCAGTATCAAGTAAATAAGTTAAAAGTAAAATAATAGAAATGAAACAAATAGAATATTTAACACTCTGCAGTTCGCGCCAAAATTACGGCAGCGGCCGCCATCTTGAATTATGCATCGGTTATAAGCAAAATCAACGTAAATGATTCTAAAATAGGCCTAATAATGCAAATACCGACAAAATCATCATTTATCCGATCTCTTCAGTAGTCAAAGAAGCAAGTAACTTTAGAAGGAATAATTAAATAATCGGAAACAGGGAATAGTCTGACGTTAATACTCTTACTGTTACTCCCGAATAAAGTCAAATACATACATATATAATCAACGAAATATCATCGGAACGGCAAATAAGAATGAGTAATGTAATGTGTTTATAGTGCTAAATAAATGATAATCATACAAAATAAAGTGAACTTACAGCAAAAGATTATTACCTGTGGGACGAAGACGAAACAATGTTGGTGAGTCTACGTCAAAAATCAGTATGAAGGAAGCGCGCGAAACCTAGCATAGAGGGCGCTCTCCGATTTAAATAATATATGCGGGTAGATAAAGAGATTGTTACGTAATCAGGTAAGTAAAGGCTAAACAAAAATAAACGGGGGTATTAAAGGGAATATACAACATTTGCAAACATCCAAAAATAAAACTACCATGTTTTTGCGAAATACCTTAATAGGATGTTGGTAAATGACAGTCTAAAGCATCCTGTAAAATTATGGCACCTGGTATACTGTCATTTTCAAGAAAAGTGGTATTTTTGTATCAATTTCCAACGCTGATCGGCCGATCAGCGTTGGAAACAACTGGCTTTTTTTCAAATACTGGCCCCAATTGACCATTGCACTTGTTTGCAATCGATTACAAACCTATGAACGGGTACGAGCCAGCTAGACTGGTTCCCTGACCTTACAATTCCCCAATGTATGTAAACTGCTCTGTTTCTTCTTATATGGAGTCGGGGAACCAGACTACAGGAAAATGATCGTTTTTCTTGGTTTTTATAGCATTTTCGAACCCAAAACCTCCAAAAAGTCAGTGTAACTATATTTGCTTTATATTTCCAACCCCCCAATTCCATCCATTTCTGAAAATTACAGCAAAAGCAAATGATGTATATTCCCTTTAAACTTACGACCGTCACATTATTCCCCATTTTGGATAAAATATCGTCCTCGACATTGCTCAAATTATTTACACAACAATAAACACAGAATTAATAATAAACACTGTAAATTAACAATACACACTGTGAAATCTCTTTCCTGTCGTGATAAATATATACACTTATTCTTTAAATGAACATTACGACCGGCGCCTGGCCTTCAGTAAATTCAAAGAAAGGAGCATTCTACAAGCTTTGCTAGAACACAAATAATGTGAGAAATCACTTAGAATCAAATGCAACAAAAAATGTAACCATCATGATCTTTCATAATGAGTGGAAAACGGTCAAAACGATATTTAAAATAAAACACAATAATCCTTTTCATTAGCATCATAAAAAACAGGCAGTACTAACTGAACAAACTCATTTCCATATACCTTGAAACTCTCAAGTGATTTAAACAATGGAAATTACAATAGAAATTATACCATCCTCTGTCCTTATTATGTGAGGATTCTGACAAAAAAAATAACATATACATTGACTTAATTCAATTCACTATATTCATGGAAAGTGGAAGTGCGAGGGTTGGATTGCACTGTGTTCTTGCAGAAGGAGTCGAAGACAAGCTCTTTTTCTTGTCTCTGCCATATTGGGTTTTTTCCACTCCTTCTCTTGGCGTGGCTTGGGTTGTTGTACTCGATGTTGTCTGTTCTGGCCAAGAAAATCGTAAGTTAGTCGGTTGACAGGTCTTCGAGTTCTGGTTGGTCTTGGACTAGGTGGTGAGAGATATGCTGTGCTCTCGCTGACATTGGCCTCTTGTACACCCTAATTAACACTTTCTGTGGGTTGAAAGGTCAGAGAAGGAGGTGTGTCTTCTGCGTAACACACTTCTGGAGTCAGTTCTGGAGGTGATAAAGATGGAAATGGGGAATTGTCTCTGGGTGTGTCATGCTTCATTACTGGAGTGAGTACTGGAGGTGACAGTGAAGGAGATATCGTTTCCATCGGGAAGAAAGCAATGTCTATCTCTTCATCACTGGTCTCGTTCTCTTCCATGGCTGACTTGTGGACGTTCTTACTTGTATCTGTTTTCACCTTACTTGAGGCATACACAGGCGTTTCGTCCTCCATCTTGTTATCCTCTTTTACGGGGAGAAACATGCATGGGGTGAGGAGATTCCTGTGCACAGTTCTCTCTTTGCCATCGTCAAGGGAACGGACGGTGTAGACAGGTACGTTTGTGTGTTTACTGATCACGACGTAAGGCTGTGGCTCCCATCGGTCGGCTAATTTGCTGGTTCCAACTAGGTGTTTATTCTGAATCAGAACCCTGTCACCTGGATGTAAAGGGAGCTACTTGGGTGCCTCTGTCATACAGACGTTTCTGTTTTGCCTTTGCCTGTCTGACGAGGTCGCTGGCTCTTTTGTAGGCACTGTGAAGTCTATTTCTGAGCTGTTCTGTGTATTCGTCGTATGCGGGTGTGTCTTGTTCCTCTGCTTTCAGTCCAAAGAAGAAAGGGGCATACCCTGTGGAGTCATGGCGAGTCGAGTTGTATGCGTGAGTCATCACTCCGTATTGCTTCCAGTCTTTCTTTTGGTCTGCTTCAAGTGTACCGAGCATGTTCAGTAGTGCGTGGTTGAAGCGTTCGGTGAGACCGTTTCCTTGAGGATGATAGGGGGTTGTACGACTCTTTTTGATGCCTGAGATTTTGCATAGTTCCTTGATGAGCTGGCTTTCAAAGTTTCTACCTTGATCGGTGTGAATTCGGACGGGGAAGCCTTAGTTTTATATGATCTTCACCCAGAGTACCTTTGCGACTGTGTCGGCTTTCTGGTCACGCGTCGGGAATGCCTGGGCGTACTTGGTAAAATGATCTGTCACTACCAAGATATTTTCAAAGCCGCCTTTGCTTCTCTCGAGCTTGAGGTAGTCTATACAGATAAGTTCCATTGGCTCGCTGGTGTTGATGTTGACGAAGGGCACTCGGGTTTTGGTGGATGGAGTTTTTCTAAGACAACATCTCGTGCAGCGTTCGCACCATTGTTTGATGTCTTGTGCCATCTTGGGCCAGAAGAAACGGTTTCTTGCCATGTCCAGAGTTTTTTCATAACCAAAGTGGCCGAAGTCGTTGTGTAAACCCTTCATAACGAAGGTCTTGTATTGTTGAGGTAGAGCAAGTTGTTGTGTACTTGAACTATCAGGTGTCTTCCGAACATGATACAGCACACCATCTCTCATCTGAAGCTTCTCCCACTGTCGCAGGTACAGGAAACAGCCAGGCTGCTCACGAGACCTCTCAGCTGGAGTTGGCTTTCTACCCTTCTCCAAGTAGTATATTACTCTGGAGATGTCTGGATCGGCTGTCTGACCTGATATCAGATCCCGCTGCGTAACTCGAGGTAGCTCATTCTCCGCGATTGGAGTGTGGCTTTGTGTCATGACGTCACATTGAACAGCCGGTGTTTCCATAAAAGGATGAGACACCGGTGGATGACAGTTACAATCCTACCCCTGACGCATCCGTCTGCAGTATGAACGGGAGTTCATAGTCGGCGTACGCAAGGATTGGGGGAGACGTCATGTGCTTCTGCAACAGATCCATGGCTTTCTGGCAGTCTTCCGTCCAGATGAATGGTGGTGTTAAAGATGGAGACTGTCGTTTGGTTCCCCTCTTCTTTCGTCGTGGGTCACCGGCTGTAAGCTGGTACAGTGGAGAGACTATCTGTGCGTACCCTTTAATAAACCGTCTGTAGTAGCCTGTGAAGCCAAGAAAACTTCGCAGCTCTTTGCGGTTTGAAGGAGTTGGCCAGTCTACCACTTGTGCGGTCTTGTCTGGATCAGTGGCAACGCCTTTGCCTGAAACGATATGGCCAAGGTACTTCACTTCTTCTTGAAGTAGATTGCACTTCGAAGGCTTAAGCTTCAAACCATGCTGTCTGAGACAGGAGAACACTTTGCCGAGACGTTCAATGTGCTCTTCGAAGTCCGCTGAAAAGACAATTATGTCATCGAGGTAGAGTAGGCAGGTGACATAATTTTGTTCTCCGAGGCAGGCCATCATGAGTCGTTGGAAAGTGCGTTTTATAAGCCGAAGGGCATCCTGTTGCATTCGAATAAGCCCATGGGAGTGGTGAAAGCCGTCTTTGGAATGTCTTTCTCTTCCATCCGCACCTGCCAGTAGCCTGACGTTAGATCTAGCGTGGTGAACAGGCGAGCTTTGCCAAGGGCATCCAGGGCTTCTTCGATGCGAGGAAGAGGGTATCGCGTACTGTCTTGTTGTTGAGTTGACGGTAGTCGATCCATATGCGTAGGGAACCATCCTTCTTGTGTACTATCACGATAGGGGAGGCGTAAGGACTGCTGCTCCTGCGAATGACATTTGCATCTTCCATTCCCGTTAGATGATCCTTTACTGCTTGATACTGGGATGGTGGGATTCGGCGGTGAGGAAGACGGAAGGGTGGTCATAAACGATGAACAAAAGATTGCTCTTTGAAACTTAATTAATGTCACTCTTCCGTCTTACCATAGAGCTAGTCCGAGTAACTTGGACCCAACTTATCGCCTTTTTAACATTCGGACATGGTCTGGCGATAGTAGGGTCCAAGCTAATCCTTATATGCCGAGCAACACAATTCTGTCATTGACCCGAAACCCAACAATACCCCCCAAAAACATCAGATTTCACCCTCAAAATGGCCTCCAAATGACTAGATACGCCACCTGAGGTACAAGTAGACATCGATGATTAAGATGGTTGTACTGAAGTTTACTTGTGATCTGGATGAAAAGTGACATTTCTCGTTCAATTCCGAGAGCTCCCCTCACGATCGTGAACACGTTAAATTTCCGATTCCTCTTTGAATTGCAATGTGGTCTTCATGCCCAGCGTTCACTCGATGGTCCCCGTATTCCGAGTGCAATTCCGTTACCGAGCGCGCGCGCAATGCATCGATTATGATAATGAGTAGACTGGATCACGTTAGTAAACACAGGTGCATTTCGAACGATAATAGGGAGTCGGGAACTAGGGCAGATTTTATGGACGGAAACCAGTTCAAGCTAGTTCCCGACTCACTATCGTTGGAAATGCACTCGTGTTTACAAAGTATGTGCACTCGGGATACGGGGATTTTAACGTCGGAATTTAACGTGTTTACAATCGCGAGGGGAGCTCTTGGAATTGAACGAGAAATTTCACTTTTCATCCGGATCGCAAGTAAACTTCAGTACAACCATCTTAATTATCGATGTCTACTTGTACCTCAGGTGGCGTATCTAGTAATTTGGAGGCCGTTTTGAGGGTGAAATCTGATGTTTTTGTTGGGCAATGTTGGGTTTATGGGTCAATGACAGAATTGTGTTGCTCGGCATATAAGGATTAGCTTGGACCCTACTATCGCCAGACCATGTCCGAATGTTAAAAAGGCGATAAGTTGCCGGGGTCCAAGTTACTCGGACTACCATAGAGCAAGGACTCTTACTGGCCTTCAGCGGGCAATCTTGGGACAAATACAAATGTGGTACTCGGTATGTAATCAGACCCCCTATGCGATCCTATTTCTACGCACTCACATTCAATTTGCATTACCTGCGCAAATATGCAGGATTGAGGATATTTTACACTACGTCGTACACAATAGGCTGCATGCAGTGCGCGATGCCAGGCTATACTAGTACTATGCACTATCTAGCCCTGGTAGGACGTCGGTCTCCATTGCACTAGTTACTACTGACGTCCTGGATATGAAGTGGTCGCTACATAGCGAAACAATTTATAACAACATTATTTCATTGTTTACCTGATTAAATTAGCTGAAACTTCGTCCATAATATTCCTTGTGTCAAAAACTTGCAGACGGGCGGGTTCATAACTCTTTAAAATGTTTTGACCAAACATTATTTGCGCAAAAATAAAATGAAAATGGGCCCCGAAACAGAAATCGGCGAAAATTGCGCGGTCTTTATCACGGAGCAGCAGTGCTCATTTACTACTTTGCGCGTGCTCTTGCCTTGCGCATTTCTAACATGTGCGAATATAATAGTTGCCTGCTAATTTTGTGCTGCGCAAGATTCCAAAAAACTGCGAGCGATGCATTAGCCTGGCTCATGCGTACAAACATGAAAAACTTCTCGACGATTCGTACACGTGCACGTTTTATTTCACAGTGAATTTTCACTGAAAGTGAAAGCAGATTTTTAAAAGATATTCAAGGAGTTGTTAAAAGTACCAGGAATATATAACATCCCACATGAGGAGGGTGTTCGTGCTTGCTCCTTGGCTCTGGCCAAGGCAGGACACACGACTCCTCCCAAGAGTGATGTTGGCACCCTCATGAGACTTATACTAACGAAGAACAATTTTTCCTTCCTTGGTGAACACTATCTACAGGTACACGGCACTGCAATGGGCACTCGCATGGCTCCGTCGATGGCTTGCCTCTTCATGGGTGACCTCGAAGAACGCATTCTTGCCTCGGCCCCATGTCGCCCTTGGATCTGGTGGAGATATATTGATGATGTTTTTTTCATCTGGACTAGTGATAAGGACAGTCTCTTGAACTTCACTATAAACCACATCAATTCCTTCCACAGAACCATCAAATTCACATCGGAGTTCTCGGCTCACCAAACCCACTTTCTGGATGTCACCGTCCGCAAGCAAGGCAACTCACTAACCACTGACCTGTATTCCAAACCCACAGACACCCACCAGTACCTCCACTCCTCCAGCTGTCACCCCAGGCACTGCAAAACTGGCATAGCGTTTAGCCAGGCACTCAGACTCAGAAGAATTTGTTCTAATGATTCCGATTTCTCCCGCCATACACAGATACTGAGGAACAACTTGGTGGCCAGGGGTCACAGCTCTCGCCAAGTTCATCGTGCCATTACCAGAGCTAAAGCTATCCCCAGAAATCTAGCTCTCACGGGAAAGGCCCCTGATGCCATGGCCAAACCCATGATTCCCTTGGTTACCACGTTTCACCCCAATCTCCCTCCCCTTCGCAAAATCACTAATGACAATCATCATATCCTCCATACTTCAGATCGCCTTGCCCGCGCCATCCCCAACGGCCCCACATTGGCTTACAGGCGTCCTCGAAATCTACGGGACTTGATTGTTCGAGCTGAAGTCCCATCCTTAGATGCATCCCCTCCCACCCAGCATGGTACTTTCAAGTGCAGTTCCAGATGTGTTGTCTGCCAGATTCATATCCAGGAGTCTGACTCCTTTTCTGGCCACTCTTCTGTCACTACCCACAGAACCATTGGTAACATCACTTGTAACACCTCTAATGTCATATATCTCATTTCTTGCAGGGTCTGTGGAGTGCAGTATGTAGGTGAGACTAAGAATACGCTCAAGAAGCGTTTCTATGCCCACCGGTCAACGGTCAACACCAAGAAACTAGACACCCCTGTTGGTCATCACTTCAACCTGCCTAACCACTCAATTTCTGATATGATTTTGCAGGGCATTGAATCTCTTGGCCATCGCAAGGACTCAGTTCGCCTCAGCAGAGAGAAAGTGTGGATGAATCGTCTTCGAACTATTCAACCACATGGGCTCAACATCCAACTTGGAAATGATTAATCCCTTTTTTTCCTCCATTGTCTTCTGTTACAGATAATCCATCTGGTCTTCCTTGTTTGTGTTTACCCATCTTCCCCCACCTTTCATCCCTTTCCACCTCCGCATTATCCCTTCACTCTCACACTCTTTTGTCCGTTCCCACTCCCTGTGACCTTTGATCCTTCCCCTTTCTGGTCCCTCCCCTGTTCACAACAGACCCCTTGTGGTTTGCCATCTCCCTTTGTTTCTTTGTTCTCTCATCCACCCTCACCTGCATCTTTCTACACCTTTCCCACTTAATCCTCCTTTTGTGTTTCTTCTTTCAGCCCTGCATGTTTGTGTGCACCCCCATGTTAATGTATGTACCTCTGCCATTTCTGTTTTAGCCTCTGAAGAAGAACTTGCTAAGTTCGCAACGTCAGGCCACATTAATTTTAAGATTTATATATTTCAGGTCCATCCAGTCAGTAAGCAGTTTGCAGCAGTTTCACTTTTTTACAGGAATATATATGAACGGACTTTGAACGAAAGCGCGGGTAACGTTCGCCAGCGATATCCCATAATTTCTTATCGACCAATCAAAGGCCTTATTTCACACACGCAAGCGCATTAGGTCAAATTACACCATAAGTTCGTAACACCAGTACTTGATTTGAAATGAATGCTTCAAGAATCATTTTACTCTATTTAAACACCAATTTTCATTCCAAAAGATTTAAAAAAACATTGGTGTAAAAATTTTATCACCACAGTTTTTGCAGTGTAGATGAGCGTATCAGATCTCTGCGGTCCGTGGGTCTTTTCAAGTCTTCATACAACCAAGCTAACATCTCCCATTATGCATCCTAGCCTTCTCTCATAATTGAGTATACTGGGTTTATTTATTCCTCACTTATTATAAGTTTTGTTTGTTTATCTTTTTTTTGCTCATACAGCCTTTTGTCATCTTTTCATCATTGCCTCTGTCATCAGTATATGTTCCTTGCAGTGGCGTAGCCACGGGGGGGGGGGGGGGGAGGGGCGACCGCCCCCCATGAAACCTTGCCCCCCCCCCCCGGTCGCCCCCCACTGAGATTTTGAGTTTCTAAAAAAATTATCATTGGCGCCATGGGCCCTATTATGTACTACAATGTATCTTTTGCTTAGAAAATATTGGTTAAAGTGGTCAGAAATTGCCTCAGATAGCACCACAGAGCATTTAGAATCCAACATTTTTCAGGGCCCTTAAGCGGGCCCCCAACCCCACGCCTATAGCTCAGAATTCTGGTAGCTGATTCAATGACTTAAACCTCGAAAACAATGTTCACAAAATTGTCTTATGCCTTTAGTAAAAAAACCCTCGAAAATTATGTTTAAATTATTATCTTTTGTGCTAAGATAATTATTGGTTAAAGTGGTAAGAAATTACCTCAGATCACACCACAGAGCATCAAAAATCCATTTTTTTTCGGGGCCCTTCAGCGCTTGCATCAGTTATGATCAAGGTATGTCCCCCCCCCCCCCCCACTTTTGAGAAGCAATTGACGTCCCTGCTTGACGCCCCCCCCCCCATGAAATGTTCCAGCCCCCCCCCCCCCCCCAGCGCCCCCCACTGAAAAATTCCTGGCTACGCCACTGGTTCCTTGTGTCGTGTCTGCTTACCATTTTAATGTCTTTGTTTGTTTGCTTGTTTGTTGTTTGTCATGTGTTGGTTCTGTAGGCCGTTTTCAACAAGCTTCTGTTTATTAAACAGCCCCACGCTCTATTTGCCTCTTATATTTTGCTCTTAATTTGATATTCACTAATGCATGGTTTAACCCTTTGTATGTATTTTTTCTTTATTAATCATGCAACTAAATGTGAAGTGGAATTGAAGAATTAAGATAATGAGCGTGGTCCTAGGGCCCAATCAACCCTGTTAAAAATGAAAGGGGAGTTACGGTGATACACCCACTCCAGTCCACCGGGACTATACGCCTTTTCATTATTTATCAGGACATTTTATTCAATTTCTTTTTACTTTCCCCCAGCTTTTTCAGGAGCAAAGAAAACCCACAGGTCTGCTGCAGCTGCTACCTCTTGTGATTTGGTTGTTTTGGCTTTCAAGCAGTCATTGTGTCGCTCAGGAAGAGCTCCCAGAATCAAGCTGTTGCAGTTCTTGCTTCCAAGGACCGGCCGGAACACCAGGTGTTCCTGGAATCCCAGGAAATCCAGGTGGAAACGGGATCCAAGGACCTCTTGGCCCCAAAGGTGACCCTGGGTTTGGCCTCCCTGGACCCAAGGGAGATACCGGCGACCAGGGACGGAAGGGAGATCGAGGCGAAACAGGGTTGCAGGGCCGTCCGGGGAAGCTGGGACCTGCTGGGAAGCTGGGACCTGCAGGTCTTGAAGGAGGAATCAGTGGAAGGCAGAAAGGCGACCAAGGGGAGCCAGGAGTCCAGGGACCGCAAGGACCGCCTGGTGAGGGGCAAAGGGGTCAGGAAGGAGAAAAGGGCCAGCCGGGAGCAAAGGGCCAGCCAGGAGGAAAGGGCCAGCCAGGAGGAAAGGGCCAGCCTGGAAGACATAGCTCGGGTTCACCAACATCGTCCGCTGCCGTCGCATTCAGCGCTTACCTCACAACAAGTGTCTCAGGAAATCGTGGTCATGTTATCATCTTTAACAACATCATGACGAATATCGGCAATGGGTACGATTCGCAATCGGGCGTGTTCACGTGTTCGATACCCGGGACCTACTTCTTCACGACCAGCCTGCAAAGAATGACACAAACTAGGGATCCTTTCGTACAATTGAAAAAGAACGGGGACGTTATCTTTTCGGTTTATGACAACCACGACCATTTTCACCATCAGTCCAGCAATTCAGCAGTTCTTGTCTTGGCCACATGGGATAGGGTGTGGCTTGAGTTAGGTAGGGATGCCACTGGTATTCATAGCGGTTACAATAAGGATTCTCACTTCTCTGGCTTTCTGATCCATGCAATGTAACTCAACTACTGTGGAACATGCCCGTGTGAATATTTCCTGAAACCAACTGAGCCTGATTATGTGAAGACTCACTGATTTAGGAGTGGGTTTGGCCAGATGTTTGGAAGGGGGTGTTCCATAATTTAATCTAAAGCTCTGTAAACTTATGTAATAACAGAAGTAAGAGGAATGGTCAACGACTGTGTTTTGCAAACAGCAGTCAATATTAAAATATGGTTGTTGTTTCGAAGGGTTGGTATTGACTATGCTATACCCTACCCCTGTGCGTTTGACCTCTGCCTACTTGTGATGTTTCATCAGAAGAATTTTACAACCAAGCAGTGGGTTATCCAATTGTGCGTTCCAGTTACGCGAACGTGTTTGCGCTCGTTAGCTATTGGCCATGCGAACGTGTCAACCCGAAATGGATTGTCATCAAAAAATGCTTTCCAAATGGCGGCGCCCTGTATTTCAATTCTGTATGTCAAGTATCGCGGTTTGGATCGCAGCTTTTGAAATCTTGGAAAAAATTAATTGTGACTGGAAGTGAAATGTTGCCAGTATATATACTTGTATATTGGAACTTACCAACCCAACTGATGTAGAAACGGAAAATTTCAGCTCCGATATAATAATAATAATAATAATAATAATAATAATCGGCATTTAAGAACGCTCTTTTTAGTACACTAAATCACAGCGCTTACAGTATTATTATTATCCCTGATCATTGGGCCAATTTAACATTCCAAATACCATCTCAGCTCCCTGGGGAGTATACAGCTCGATGCTGCCTGTTAGGCGCAAGCAAGCTAAATCAATCACATAACCATCTCTGCCCTCACAGGTACCCATTTACCCCTGGGTGGAGAGAAGCAATGAGTGACAAAGTGCCTTGCTCAAGGGCACACGCACCATGACCCCGCCAGGACTCGAACCCACAACCTGCAGCTTTACCCACAGACCACGAATCAGTGCCCATGCCCTTAACCACGAGGCCACAGCACTCCACTATAAGCATTACACTGTTAAAAAATGTCTGTTCATTAACAGTTGATTCTATTGTCAATTGGCATAACAGGAGTTACTGTTTTTGCACAGTATATTCTACTGTTTCTTTTTTCTCTGTACATTAACAGCAGATTCTACTTTATTTGATATTGTTCATTTACAGGGCATTCTACTGTTTTGCAACAGATGATTAAGTGTTGTCGTTTTGTAATCTAACAGCACATTCGCTGTTTTTTTGTTCCTTAACAACTCTCTGTTGCTGAACAAAATGTTGTTTTTGTTTAAACGGTGATTATTTGATGGGGCCGATAAACGACAAAGTGTTCATGTTTGTATCGAGGATTGCGAATGACAGGTCCTGTGTGAGCCTCAGTACACAGATATTCTCGTATAATGAACGTACTTCACATGCAGATACTTGTTACACGTCATGTAATGGCGGTTCTATCGATAAAACCCATGAAGGTGCAAATGTAGATACTTGCACGTTGGCTAACGGCGAGTCATGCTGCAATGACAACCAAGCAACTTTTAAATGTGTTGTCGTTGACAATCAGGCTTACAAACTGAAACCGCTTCTATATAGCGCTTCTCCTTGAGAGTAATAGTCATTTACAATACAAAATACAAACATGTAAGCAGAAACGGATAAGTAAATTTGCTCCAAGATGCTACCGTACGCATACGCATGGACGCAACGGGAAGTTGTATGGTACTGTATAGTCCAACTCCCGCGTGCGCCTTCCTTGACAACATACTGATACCCTTCAGCGTTTATGCCACAGTAACGTTGCACTACTACCGCCTACCAGTGAAAAATCACGGGATACGGCCGAACCCTGTACAAAAAAGATGATTCTCTGTTGACCGACAGCGATGTGACTGCGTTCTAACAGAGTCAGAACGTGGGCTTGTTCAAAACATGATGTTCCTTGTGCGTCCACAAAATTTTAGTTTAACAGCGAATATACCGTAACCAAACAGAGAAATTGAGGAAACTGTACGTAGGCAGTAACACATTTGTAGATTTACAGAAAAATTCGAAAACAGTAACGTCTACTGTAAATTTACAGAAATGTCAACAGAAAAACAACTGTTAAATTACGCAATTTTTTACAGTGTACGTTCATGAAAATTTAGTGTGTCGGCCATTTTGGGAAACATAGCGACTGACCCATGAGAATGCAGGAAGACCGTTGGGTTTTGTTGCCAACGTTCCCTAACGTTGGTGGCAAATAGTCGGTTCCTCTGCATAAACGTTGCTCACGTTGACAAACGTTGGCATTGTTATCGTAAATGAAACGCACTCAAAGCTAAGGGAAAGTATGAGGTTGCTGTGACGTCATTGTCACCATAAACCACGCCCATTTTACAAGATCTGCCTTCAGACAATTTTCACTCCACTTTTTCACTTCAGTGCAATGTGGTTATAATCGGGAAAACGATTTTTTTCACACGCTGATAAATTGTTGCTTTCATGTTGTACCGCACATGTAATGTATATTGCATGATCGCTTAAAAACACAGTAAAAAACATGCTAATTGACGACAAGTTGTGTTTTTTCTTCAAAATACAGACACTTCACTCTATTCCATTGAACTGTTCTACTTTAATGTTTCAATAAAAAAATGATATAATTATAATTTTGATCTGATCTTAAAGTGATAAATTTACAGTCACAAACAAGGAATGCTGCTAATTAGACGCTGTTCTTTAAAGTTTTAAAGAAGTCATATGCAGATTGTAAACAACTGAAACGGTCTTTTTACCCTTTGGTCAGCAAAAATAGTTTACATGCCAGAAAGTCTCAGTGAAATTCTGCAGAGCAGTCGACTTGAAGCTGCCATGGTTTCGGTTATAATTTTTTTTTTTAGGACAGTTCTCCAAAACAAAACTATAGTTGCTATACAAACGAAACAGACGCTCTCCTTAATTGAGACGTTCAATGCTCCGAATTGGAATTCCGATTTATGCGAGTGTTTATACATAAATCAAACAAGCCGGGCTGTTTGTGCCAAAGAAAATTGATGACCAGGAATGTAGCCTTAACTTTTGTCGTAAATAATAGGCCTAACTGTAATTCTTGCTGTTTCGGTGTTTACCAATGTCATAGCTAGAGGCCTAAATGGGTCCTTTTTATGTGATTCATTATAAAGGCCATTCCATGGTTCAGTTATTTGCATATTTTATTTACTGATGGATGTAGTATTTCGTCCAAATAGCATACCTTCCATCGAACCGTTAATACCCTAACTCTTACGACTTCTGATTAGAACTACCGACGCCAAAATGCCACAGAATGTAACATATAACCTCTGCTGCAGTCAATTATCATTTCAAAACGTTGCGCCAGGAATTCTCCAATTAATGCCAATTATGATTCGGCTAAAGCACTTAATATGGTCAAAAAATGCTCCAAGAATTCGTCCCCGGGAGACCGAGCAGGAAATCGCTGTATAAATACAAGGTTTTGTGACTGGGCGGTTAAAACCTCCGTCGATCGCAGTGACTCCTCCACGCTGGTATCAGATAAGCCTCTGCCGGACACAGTTGAATACTTCGTGAAACGGAAAACCTCGCTATTTCCATTGGAAAGAACCAAGTTTTTTTTTCGAGAAACGGAACAGTGAGCTGTTACGCCTCTACCGCAGCCTTTTCCCCTGGATATCCCGACACTGGTCTCACGTTCTGGGAGCTGTTCTGTCTGAAGAATCAACCACGATGGCGTCACTGGTAAGGTTATTTTGCAGCCGATTCGACTTAGTCCAGTAAGAATTGACATGAAAATTACCCCACCCTAACATTTTAGTTAACAATCGATATTTTTACTCAAAAACCTTTATACGGTTGCCATGAACACACACAAAACTTATTGGTGTTTCCAAATACAAACATTGTGTGCATGTCTGTCGGCAAATACACTCTAAAACGTCCCTGGTCATAATATTGACATGGAATCCGGGTTCTATTTGCCCTTAATACCCTTTCCGGCCACAATGACAGTTTTCACGGTACAAAATGACACTTTTTCTGGTCATTTTTACCCGGTAACCTCTGGGGAAATTTCAAAATTATTTTGACCCGGAAATTGAAAAAGTATCATTTTGACCCGGAAAAGGGCAAGGCCAATTAGATTCCGGATTCCAGGTCGCGTATTTTTTTGCATCATACACTGTAAACCATGTGTTTAGGTTTAGAACACCTAAATAAACACTAATCTGTGACAGTTTTTAAACATGTGACGCAGTTTATCCAATGAACATGTTTAATTTGAAAACATATTTGGTGTTTAAAATCAGCACACTGACGGTGTTTAATCTTTAAACAGAACAGTGTTTAAAATATATACATCAAAGGCGTTTAACATTTAAATACTACTGACGTTTAAAAAGTAAACACACAGTCAAAAAGAAAACACGTCAATCTGTTGTAATTTTAAACAAGTGACACGTTTATTGCCTGTGACAGATTTTAAACATGTGACGCCATTTATTATTATTTTTCAAGTGTTTATATTCACAGTGTGTGTTTAGTTTCGAACAGTATTCAAAATTGCAAGTAAAACCTCAGTCACAATATTAACAACATTGCAATAAACGCATTTAGGGCACTTCACAAAGCTGTCTTGTTTTCACCTATAGGATTGTGGTGACAGGCCAATTGCGTTCTATCGAATCATGAAAATGGACACAATAAAATACAAATGTATTTTGTGGTCACCCCTAGAGAATATTTTACATCACGACAGCAAAAATAATGTGACATTTATGTGAATATACTGCCATGCCTATCAGTATGTTTCCAACAATCCTTTTTTTAAGACGCCAACATTTTAAGGCCAATTACAACTTTTACAAGTATCAAAACAAAGAAACAAAAACATTTACAAACAAAAAAGGGTGAATATAATGTAAAAAGGGCTAAAACAATTAGTTTCCTATTCAATGAGAGTTAGTTTTAGAAGTAAAACTGCAAATGAATTATACTTTCGGTATAGTTTGTAGTGGTAAAATAAGTATTGATCTTTAGCTGAGATTTCAACACAAATACCTTGTAGTGAACTGCATGAATTTGCTGGAATCTGCCCAGAATATTTTTCTCTGATTATGATTTTTTGAAAAGAACTCAAAGCATGTGAAAATACTTTGAATAATCCAAATCAAAGGCATAGTACCCCGAGGATAGGATGGAGAAGAAGCACATCAGTGTATGTTGTAGTTCGAGACTTTCTTGATGGTGTCTCCACATATATTATGTAAACTGTCGTTTAGATGCAGATAGTCTGTCTGGTTCAGCAGCATTCTGTGGACAAAAACAAGATTTCTGAGTGAGCCATACAAAAACTGATCAACTTTGAAAGTGAAACCATGTTCACAATAAAAAAAACAATGGAGAAAAATAACAGTCATTAAATAAAGTTTACTCAAGGAAGAATATGAAAACTGATTACAAAATTGGGTTCAAAGTAAGTTGCACAATTGTCGGCCTTTTTTTGGACCCACGTCAATATTAACCTTTGTTATCCAAGATAATGTGCACAAAGACTGTAAAGTTACAGTTTGAGCTTGATCATGGATCAAAAATTTTTAAAAAAACTGAAGAAAATAGGCAAGCTTTTCACAGTTTCGTACATAACTTTGCAGTCATGTAGGTATTTTACAATACAAAAATACCTCATGAATAGTTAGCACTCTCCTCGTCTTCGTACCCTCGCCACGTTTAAACTTGGTGTTCTGCTGGACGTACATGCATGCAGTTACATCGAGCATCTGCAGAGGACCCTATATTCAAAACATAACACATGTTCTGTAAAACGAACGTTTTTGAATCACGCACTGCAGGTTTTTTCAAAGGTTTTATACACAGCTGATCTATACAATCACACACTGCCAAAGCCAAATGACGATCAATGCCAAAAGACACTTAGCCTACCTTATTTTAAAAGTCAATAGCTTCCTTCATCCGCATGCAAGGGATTAGACACACCCTGAAAATATACAGACAGAAAATATTAAAACAATATACGCCCATATCATCATGTGAAATGGAAATTATGGTTAAAAAATCCACTTCACTGAATTTTCTAAGATTACAAACATTTTGACACGGCGTGTTTGCAATTGTAATTCGCACCATAGGCTATAGCCTCATATTAATGTAGCCGTACTCCATTAAGGAGGTCCGCTCAAATGATTAGATTCAAGGATGCCAAGAACAACCCAAGACAAACAGATACAATCAAAACACCAGGAGGAGTCAAAATATGTTTGGTCTCATGAACTTGTTACAGATTACTTGTTTACAAAATCAATTACGATAGTTCTGGATCTGAATCTCAATCTAGCTCACGAAACAAGTGTTACAAAAAGCAGACTTGGATTCAACTTCCAGCTCTATAAATTGTAATAACGTTGCCAATGATAAATTATAATCACAAAGTTTGTATTTCTAAAGTTGCCCCGGTTCCTAAGATTCCCAGGTTCCTAATATTCTTGGTTCTAATATTTTAATCAGGTTCCCAGTTCACAGGTTCCTAATTAAGGTTCCCAGTTCACAGGTTCCTAATATTTTAATATTTTAATCAGGTTCCCCGAAGTTCCCCGAACGCCTGGCAAGTGTACGGCTGTATAGACCGCTTGCAGACGCGTTCGATAATCGACGCGCGAAGGCGCGCGACGCCATGTTGTGGGACAGGCGTATATCAATTCACGCACATTTTGTCCCATAACATGGCGTCGCTCACCTTAGCGCGTCAATTATCGAACGCGTCTGCAAGCGGTCTATTGTGAACTAGGCCTCCATATTGCACCTGACATGAAACAGTCGTATTGCAATAAATCAACATGTGACACACGGTGATTAAAACTTTGAGATAACGAAGACTAATTCACCCAAAAATCACTCCTTTCATCAACATGAAATAAACTAAAACCTAGCCCAGCGGTAGCAGAGAACTTGCATTGTGACATTAGAATGTAAAGAAAATACAAATTTCGCTCATTTGAAACTAATATGTTGGTTTTCAAGCACAAATCTATGCACACGATACTCACACTTTGGTGTGCAGGCAGAAAAGGGCTGATCGCGCGTTCACGGCATGCACTGAGTGCGCGTTTGTATACATTTTTCTGGGCTGTGTGCCAATTGTATGGTGCCTCGTAAAAGACGTCTCACTACATTAAGTATACACTCAACATAGACCATCCCAATAATGTGGCTCAAATTCAGAACTTCCTTCATAATATTGTGAGGTGCACAGCAGTTATACTTCATAACAGCATCGTCATCCAAGAAAAGGAATATGAAGAAATCGAAATCAGGGTTCTTTTTCCCCCTTCATATTCATGTTTTATCACACGATCCTTTGGCCAATACCCTCTAATTCATCTCAATCATATTTTTAATCTATCATACTGTATATCGGGATTAATTAAATCAAACAACACAAAAGATAAAACTTACCACCTGTGTGGAAGCTTCCAGAACTGGTTCAAACTACAACCGTCGTACTGCATGCACAGAATACGTTGCATCTGAGTCGAGTACTCTTGCTGACTTGGCAATATGCATACCAAACTTGACCTCTAGCCTAGGTCATGACCAACTGTTACTGTTAGTACTTTCGGTGAGACTACATCATACATGTATATTGTTTCATTACCCGATGCAAATTTTGTTACCACGAATGACGATACTAATTCTCGCCATTACATTATTCTATTAGTGTGCCCAGATTATTGTCAGAAAAATGGCGGTTCTCTTTGTGCCGCGTAATTACTGGCCCGATTATGCCAGCACGCAATCAGATTTAATCCTATTGGTTAAGACCTAACATCACGTGGTCATATTTAAACATCGTGACGTGTAACGTGTTTATTAGGTGTTGAACACAAACAGCTAAATTAATAACTTGAGTTATTATTAGTGTCCTAATTAGTTAATAAGCCTTTTTTAAACAAAGTGTTATTCTTTGGGAATAAACAAAATGCTAACTAGTGAAATTGAACAGTTAAAACATTTTCTAAAACCGATCTTTTAATAAACACCCTATAGCACTGTTGACATTAAACGCAAACTGTTTTGTTTAAAAACACATGATGTGTTTAATATATTTTCACATAGTGTTTAAATCTAAAACACTGCGTTTATTTTTTAAACGTGTCACATGTTCTCGCGTTTTACAGTGTACATCGTCTTTGTAACCAATCACATCACGCACCCTAACATGAATATTTATCACGATGTGTGGATGGAAGACACTTAGGTTCTCGTAGTTTTTTTCCCTTCAATTAAACTTATCCCAACCAACAAAGAAATATTTGATGAAAACGGGCATGGGCTCGAACCACAGATATTGCGTTTTATAGTTCACTGCACTATCCACTAGGCTACAGTCTGTGGCAGCTCGACGAAAGCCGTCATTTGAAATGCTTGAATGTACATGTCTGAGTGATAGAAATAGTGTGACGTCATTGTTATTTTCTTATGAATTAACATCAAACTAGCTGAATAATCTGTACAGGCAATATCAGAGATATTTTGGACAACTGCACTAGTCTTGTTTATGTTTCTTTAAACTCCTTTGTTTTTTATTATTATCCAATACCCTATAGGTGAAAAGAAGACCTACCGTTATGTTTCTTTTGATTCTGCTGCTGTGGCTCTCCAGCAGTCATTGTGTCGTTCAGGAGGAACCAAGAGAAGCAACTTGCTGCGGTGCTTGCTTCCAAGGACCGGCCGGAACACCAGGCATTCCTGGAATCCCAGGAAATCCAGGTGGAATTGGGGTCCAAGGACCTCTTGGCCCCAAAGGTGACCCTGGGTTTGGCAACCCTGGACCCGAGGGAGAGACTGGCGACCAGGGACAGAAGGGAGATCGAGGCGAACCAGCTTTGCAGGGACCTCCAGGGAAGCAGGGACCTGCGGGTCGCAACGGAGACATGGGTGAGGGGCAGAAAGGTGACCAGGGGGATCAAGGGGTCGAAGGACCGCAAGGTCCTTCTGGTGAAAAGGGGCAAAAGGGCCAGCCGGGAGATGCTACATTGATTACTCCCTCTGCCGTTGCATTCAGCGCTTATCGTACGACAAGTGTCACAGGCGGCCATGGCGAAGTTATCATCTTTGACAATATCGAGACGAATGTGGGCGATGGGTACGATTCGCAATCGGGCGTGTTTTCATGCTCGATTCCCGGTGTCTACTTCTTCACAGCCACCCTGCAGAGAATCGCATCAACAGTGCGTCCTTTCGTGTACCTGAAAAAGAACGGGGAGAGCATCTTTGGGATCTTTAACTCTCATGATAATTACTATCATCAGTCCAGCAATTCGGCAGTTCTTGTTTTGGCAACAGGGGATAGAGTCTGGCTTGAGTTTGGCAGCAGTAACAGAGGTATTTACAGCGATAGTAATAAGTATTCTTTCTTCTCCGGCTTTCTAATCCATGAAACCTAACGCAAGTGTGGAAAGGCTTCACTTGAGTATTCCTGTTTTTGATCTATACTGTTGCTTGCATTGCAGAGGAGTAGTTCCTCGCTACATCATTTTCCCGCTATATGGACTGATATAACAGAAAATGCCTATCTTGCTCTTCAAAAATTCATACTACCAGAGACAGTACCTCCAGATAATATTCTGACTTTTAATCCCTAAAAGAAACACACATCACGGATAGAACAATAACACACGTGGATGTTTCTTGTGAATGTATACATATCAACGTATTTGTTATGGAAGCTAATTATAGTATATAGGGCCTATCTTGTATATCGAACTTTTTTTTATTGAGAGTTTTGGTTTGAACTAAGAGCCCTGAAGGTACCTGTATAGTTTTTAATAGCCTGTGTATAATACTTAAAAGTAGAGTGGACCATTTTGTAGCTATCCAAAAAGTAACCGATCAATTACTGTTGGAAAGCTGACTTGGTTTAACAATAGTAATGGCACTAAACTCCTTGTGAATTATTCTTTGTGGCATGCTGTCATTTTGAAGAAAACATTAAAAGAAGGGTATTTCCAAAGATGTGTCAAGTGACACACATGCGCGCGCGGCTGCTATATGGCTGTGTCCGAATTACTTGACTGCGGCTGGAAATAACACACGAGTTAATGGTAGTGGCTGCAGCCACTTGCCATAGACCCGTGTGTAATTTCAAGTAAGAGCCAAGTAATTCGGACGTGGCCTATTATCGGTTCAGTGTGTGACACCGCGTAGCTACAATCGGCTGCATGAGAATGCTGATTTCGGGATTGTGTCACGAGAGGGCAAAATTCAAAATATGACTTGGCAATTTTGAACTGAAGACCAGATCCAAAATATTGTGTTTTCTCGAAATATACAGCATTCACAGTGCTAAAACTTCATCGGGCTAGTTGATAAGGAACCGGTCTTTAGATTTGGAGCACTTTTGTTGCTTCAAACGAAAAAGAAAGCACAAATGACATATGAATCGGTAGATTTTGCCCTTCACCAACGTAGTAACACTGTATACTCAGTGTGTTACCTCTCCTGCTTTCTAGTGCAGACGTCTTACCAATCAACCACTGAGCTTGCGGGATCGGTTAGCTGGTTCGAAGGGCAAAACTTATACTGATTTACATCACCTCGACGCAAATTAAATAAAATAATGACAAAATTTTGATCCAAATATGCGAGCTCCTTTGGTTGCAATAATGTTCTCCTTTTTAGAAAAGACATGTTTGATTAACACTCTTTGAAGCCTTCATTTAGAGGATATTTTGAACTCGTTAAACGGGTTTTGTAAGGACGTACGTATATATTATGTTTACAAATAACTCTTAACATGGATCTTTGAACAGTTAGGACCACTAAGGCTCAAAAAAGGTCTCCGGTTTCTGGTATGGAGCTTGCCCGAAAAGTGGTGCGGTGACGCGTTTTTTTTTTTTTTTTTAACGTTTTTTTCTTTAAATGTCGGCTGTTGACTGCAAATGGTGCCCGACTAATTTTAGTGCAAATATATGGGAGTCCAGAGAGGCCACATACAGCTTATACTCGATCGTAACCCCATCTGAAAACAAGTTAAAATTGTGCAGCAGCAGGATTCCAGTCAAACCAGTGTGTTTGGCGGTTTTGAGATCATCTTTCATTGAAAAAAAACTTCTTCATTTTGCCGACGCGCATGGCTACGGCGACGCGCGTGCATACCAGAAACCAGAGACTTTTTTTGGGCCTAATCGAAAGTGGATGACGATATCCAATCAGGTTTGCTTGAAAATTTTTGCTTTTCCAACTTCAACTTGTCAAGAATTTCTAATGTTTTTCTTTATAATCTCGATTTTTGCTACCCTTAAAGGATAGCAAAATTCCAACCAATCATAAGTCTTTTAGGACGCGCGTGGCTTCTGTCCGGACTCGCGCACCCTATGCGCGCGCGCAACCCGGATACTGGCACTTAATTTAAAAAAAAACAATAAAAAAATGCGAGTCTATTTCTAATTCTGCCTGAGATCGTGTCAGTGTAATTGTTCTTTTATTATCTTATTATAATTTTGCTTATAAAAGTATTTCAAGATATTATTTGAGTGTATGAACTTATTGTTTTATCTGAACTTATTTTTTTAGTTATTTCCTCTTACGATTTCCATATTAACTCACCTTTCTTTCACAAATAACCGCAACTAGGCAAAATCCGCGCGCGTTGTGATTGGTTAACCTTTCAGCACTCTACTTATTTGCATAAAAAAATGAATATAATTCAACAAAATCAAGGTAGAAAAGGCCTCGTGGCTTCGCCTCGTGCGCGCTGAATTACTTTTCGCTCCAGTCGCTCACAGCTTCGCAGCTTTAAGCCACGATGGTCTTGGCGAAAGGCTAGGTGGACATGAACAAATAATGGAAGGTTTGCGGTAACACCATATGAATGGTATGTCTCTTGAGTTGTATGGTTCTGAGAAGAACCAGTTGTTTTAACTGTGTATTATGGTTTTAACTTGGTTATAATCTTTGTGCCGAAAGAAGCAAACGAATGAACTCATCATTTTTGGTCACGTTTTTATCACAACAACTGTAGACCTATTAACATACTAATTTCCGCCAGTCAACATCCGCATTGTCAATGTTAATTTATATAGGGCACCTTAAAAAAGATACAAGCAACGTAGGTTTTTTTGCATTGAACATAAATGTTGTTTTTAGATTGGTGTTTATATCGCGCATATAATGTACACACAGGCTATTGCATGATCGCTTTAAAAACACATTACAAAAAAGCCTGCTGTTTGACAATTGTTTTTCAAATATAGACACTTCACTCAAATCGATTGAACTGTTCTATACTTGATGAGTATGTCCTCTTGTTTAAATAAAAATGTAAAACAATTTAAACTTCTGTTAAAGTGATACATTTTATAAGTCATGAGCATGGCATGCTGCTAATTAGAAACTGTTTATAGTTCTAGATAAGTCACAACTAAAACGGCCTTTTACCGTTTTTTCAGCAAAGGAATTAGCTGATGTGTTTACAAGAACGAACCTTACACATGAACTTATTGTCGACATGCTAGAAAGTCTCAGCGAGATAGTGCTGAGCATGCCGACTCGAAGCCGCCATGATTTCGGTCAATAAGAAATAATTGAAGAAAAACACGCGAAACAGACCGCGCTCCTAAGCTGCGAGTGTTTATTTCAAAATTAAAAACTAAAGCGGAGATGTTGAGGGCCAATGGTAACTTGTTACCAGGAATGTATCCGTTAAATGTTTTCGTCCATGAATAAAAACAACTGAATTCAATTCTAGCCAGTCCTAACACCTCTGTGTTTACAGGGACATAGCTAGGCCTGCATGGACCATTCACAATGGCATTTTTACTTTGATGGCCATTCCGCGGTTACATTATTTTGTGTTATTTTATTACTGTACTGATGGATTCAGTATTTGATCAAATCATGCACGCGCGCCCTAAATCATACTCATGTTTCTCTCTAACGACTTCTGATTAGAACCACCAATGTCAATATTTCAAAGTGTGTAATAAACCTCAGCTGTATTGACTTTCTAAATACCAAAACGTTGCGCTAGCGATTCTCGACTCAATAATGATTCGGTTATGGATTATGGTAAAAAAAAATGCACGCGAAACATACCGCGCTCCTGTGACGTTTTCATTAGACCATTAAAGGAACATGGGAACATCTGCCTTTTGTGCATTTCTGATTTTTGTTTGAAACAACAAAATTGCCAAACATCATAAGAACGGTGCATATACAGAGAAAACGTGTGCAGTTTTTGGTGTCTTGACTGGATTTCGATGCCAACTCACGTGGAAATCTGTGCCCTCGGACACAGATTTTTTAAGAAAACCGTCAATGATTGTTTTCTTCCGAATGACACCATTTCAGACGGAATACTTTAATAGGGTGTTTGGTACCAGTCCTATCTTCACTAAGATCTCTCGATAAATCGGTAGATACATGTATATACATCTTCGGTTAATTGCAAATAACCGTGTGATGCGATGGTCTCGCCAAAGATGAAACAAGCCTAAGATGTTCGGGGCATTTAAAAATTTGCGACCAGGAATGATGCCATTAATTTTTTTTTCACCAAAAAAAAGTTCCTACTCCAACCGTACGATTGCTTTAGGCCTACATGGACAAGTTACATATATGAACGTCTGTGTATTGCAGGCCGTTCAGTGAGTACTGCATGTGTGCTTTACTGCTTTGCTGATAGATTCATTTTTGGCGAAACACGCACACCGTAAATCATACACAATTTTTGCCTCCTGATTACAACTATACCGACGACAAAATGACACAACTTGTAATACTCTGTTGCATTGAATTATCGTGCCAAAACGTTGCGCAAGGAATTCTCCAATTAATGCCAATGTGATTCGAAAAATGGACTAAATATGGTCAAAATATCTTCCAAGAATTCGTCCACCGAAGAGCTAGCAGGAAGCGGCTGTATAAATACATGGTTTTATGATTGGGCGGGTAAAACAGCTTCGAATGCACTGACTCTACGATGGTATCAGACAGTCCTCTGCCGGAAACAGTTGAATACGGAAAATCTCGCTACGGAAAGAACCAAGGTTTCTTCGAGTCACGGAACACCGAGCTGTTACGCCTCTACCGCAGCCTTTCCCCCTGGATATCCCGACACCGATCTCACGTTCTGGGAGCTAATCTGTCTGAAGAATCAACCATGATGGCGTCTCTGGTATTTTTTGTTTTTACAAAATATTTGTTCTTATTCTTTTTACGAAGACTAAACACAAATTGGTGCTAAAACCCGAGTAATATGTGTTTAAAATTACACTTTTAGTAAAATTTGCCCCAGGTCCTATTCTACTGAGAAGAATCAAACCTTTTCTATGTGCAAAAAAAATGTTTCCCCGGAACAACCCAGGGAAACCCAATTTTTTTTACAGATGAAAAAGGTAGCCATATTTTCATTTCAAAAAGTGGGGCAAGTACTATCGCACAGTAGGTGACACAATTCGAGTGTCCCCCGCAGCGTAAAGTATTACTACATGTACCATAATAGTATTCGCGCTTGCGAGGTGCTGGCACTTTCGTTTAAAAATTATTGGTAAAATACCACTGGATGGAGTTGGCCCCGCCCTCTACAGAGTGTCTCTAAAAAAATACCCATTTATAAATGTAAGTTATTGGAAATGTACCTAATGAATATTTCAGAAAGCGGCAACTACTATGAAACAGACCAGTTATATCCAATGATATTACAGGCGCGTAGCAATGTCATTCTGATTGGGATAGACGTAAAAAGGGGCACATAACCCCCTTTTTACTCCCTTTCCTGTCACGGATGCTACGCCACTACAATGTCATTGTCATGGATAACTGAGCAAACATGGCCTTTGTGAAAGAGGTCAAGATCAGCACTGTGACAAGTTAGTAGCAATATTGAAAGTTGGTGATAGGGACAATTATAAGGTGCTTCAATGAAGGATACGACCCGATCACCTGTTTGAAATGGTAAAAAAGTTTCTTCTTTACTGTTTTGAAATTGTGTTAATATATGTTCTTTCTTTCTTTCCATCTTTCTGTCTTTCCTTCTTTTTTCCTGGACAATAATTCTCCGCGGGTATTCTTCTAAACGGTTTATCTATGAACTTGTAACTTTGAACCAACATCAACCCTGATTTAAAGGTGTGCATATTACTTCTCCGTCATGAAAATATGATCAAATATGTTTATACTTTGTAATCGGATAGATCATTATTGGATAATCGTTTATTGTCGCGTATGTGAAATCGCTTGACATTCACTTCCGAAGCTACCGGAAGGTCAAAGTTATTCATAATTTAAAATAAGACAGAAGCTTCAAAATCAAAACGAGCCTAATTCTTTCAAAACGATTCATGCATGGATAATGATAAAATCTTGTAGAAACTTGGACCCCGGTCCAAAGATATGTAAAATGTTGTGACGTAATCATGACGTCATACGGTACCAAATTACAAGCAATTTAAGGTAAAAAAATTAGTAATTACTTTGAACTATATAATTTTTTTAATGAATGTTCCGTTCTCATTCTTTGTGATCATCAATTACACATTACCTTTGGCAATATTTTGGATTCCCTGGCACAAAGCCCACGGTTTGACCTTTACTTCCGGTGTTAAAGGAGGTGCAATGAAAATGTAAGCATTTTAGTACACCCAAACACATTATGGAAGTGCTTAGTGAGGAATGTCAACACAAATTTGTAAATGAATTTTCTATAAACACAGCCAATTACTTTCGTAGTTTCGTTTACGTTTCGACTAGTTTCACTAGTCATCCTCAGAACGAAGCTCCACCAGTCGGTTGGTGGCGCTGTTTCCTGTTGCGGCCACTAGATGGTGGTCTGGCCGCTTGTGTCCTCCCCCCGGGGTGGTACTTGGGGTGTGAGGGGTCCCATATGTGTGACAGTATCTTTATGATAATTTTCATGATAATGTCAACACAAAAAGCATGATGACGTCATCACCCAAAAGGGCGCCCTCTAGCGGCACATCAAAGACAGTTGAACTTTTGAGATTTAAAAACCATTCTTCAAAATTTTACCAGATTGCCCCTAGATATTATTTGGACAACCGCAAATGGCTTTGCAAAGTTTCAGAATCATGACGTCATCAGCGACCGGAAGTAAATGGAGGGAGAATTAAAAATCTTAAGTTTTTCTTTTTTTAAAGATCAAATTCATCATTTTGATCCGTGTCAAGTGACTTATTTTCATAGCACAAGTAATGATATCCGGCACAATGTTGACCTTCGGCTTTCAAATCCTGTGACGTCATCAAACCGCAAGTTAGGTGTTATTTATACATAAACACACTAAAACATCCATTATAATTTCCATAAATGTATTTCAGAATTTACTTTCACTTCTCGATGAACTAAATCTATATTTACTTTGCACGTTGTAACTGATGATCATTAAACATGAATTAAGGTGATGTTTCCTCCGTACGTGTAAATAAAAATGTGTATCGATCCCAAAAGATGCTTTTCATATATTATTTAAATAAATTGTTCCACTGGAAAAGCTGAATTTCGTGATCCTTTTTCTGTTGTGACCAAACATAAATTCACAACTTTAATAAGTCGAGAATGGCAGGGGTATTCACAGCAGTTCTAACAAGGATTCTTTCTTCTCTGGTTTTCTAATCCACTCAATGTAACGCCGCAATGGACCTTTATGCACACATGCGCATATAATGAACCTGGCGGCAAGAAGCGCAAGCTGTCCATTGAAAATGTACAGAGGTCCAGATATTCGGGGCATTTTCTTTTAATTTCTCCGGGATTTGTCGCTTTTTGTATTTAGAAAAGCCCCTAAAATTGTCATAGGCATCATTTTTAGGCGTCACTGAAGCCCGCGCCGGTGAAGCCCAGCGTATTTTATCTGCTTTCAGATACTTTTTTAGTTTTCACTTGGTTATAATCGCTTAGAATGTAATAACTTGCAGCTGTAAACATTCACCATTGGGCCAAAAAAAATGTTTCGGTCTCTGGTCAGACCAAAGTTCCGGAAATGACGCGGGGACGCTTTTGGTTTTTGTTTTTTGTTTTTTTTCTTTCTTTTTTTCTTCAAGCTTGGATTGTACAGACAAGGTGGGGTACTATTTTGCTTTTTTTGGTGTCCTCATGTACATTGGTGTCCTCCATAATTTGCCTTGGTGCTCTTGATCATTTGCCTTGGTGCAATTTCCCATTCCTTGGTGCTCTTTGGTAAAAAAAAAAATTGAGCAGGTGCGGCAATAGAGGGCGCTGTTGGAGCTACCGCGGAACATTTTGGGGAAAAAAAAGATTGACGCGCATGATTAAAATCGACGCGCGCGCTGACCAGAGACCGACTTATTTTTTTTTTTGGCCTTATGGGGAAAAATATGGTGTTTGGCAAATATAACTTTAATCTGATAAATCGAATCTTTGTTTACCGGATGTATCAAAATGATTTAACTTTATAACGTTTGCGGCACGTTTCACTCAATTACTTATAAAACAATGTAGGCCTGTTGATATATTTTCCGCCCTACCGAGATCCGCCTTGTCAAACTAAAAGTAGTCTTGAACACAACAAAATGATAACGCCAAATAACATTTTTGCACTGAATATTAACTTTGCTTTTGGATTGCAGTATCGCATTATCTAATGTACATAAACATGATGTATTGCATGGTTGCTTATAAAAAAACCTTATAAAGGCATGCTGTTGAAAGACAATGGTTCTTAATTACAGACACCTCATTCAATTTGATTGAACTGTTCCGCTTTAATTAATGTGTCCTCTTGTAAATACAAATTTAACAATAGTTTTCTGCTAAAATTTAAGTGATAAAATTTAGTATCACAATACAAGGAATACTGATAATCAGACGACAGTTCTAAGATTGTAAATATTACTTATAAACCTTTTAACCTCTTTGGCCATGTGTTTACAAGAACGTAGTCCAATTACATATGGATCGTTCTATAAATTTGGGGTCTACTTTTTTCTTTCTCTATTACATCCGACATCTATGACTATATAATTCTGATGCACTTCTAAATGTAGTGATTCTCCAAGAGTGATTGTGAATAGCAAACAACCAACCAAACAAATTTAAAAAAAATTGATGTCAATTCTTACCGATACTTGAATAGCAAAGTACTAATAAAGGTGACAGGGACAGGAAAAATGTCACACTTTGCACCCTAAATTTATAGAATGAAGCATCACTTATCTTCTGCTTACGGAAACACTCTCAGTTGCTTTCGTCAGAGTGGTCCAGTTTAAAGCTGTCATGATTTCTGTCATGTTGTGTTAATTATGGAACTACCATCCTGGTATTTTATGTGGGACTACCATCATGGATTGATAAGACAGGCCCAGAGTGAGCCTGTCTGATTTTATTGTGCATCTTACTATGCGTTTAATGTTTTGATGTCTTGATTTTAATTGTGGGATTACCATTATTTATTTTACATTAATTTTCAATACGGGACAACCTTCATGGATTGATAGTCAGGCCCAGAGTTAGCCTGTTCAGGGGCAGATCCAGGAATTTTTGTTCATCAGCAAACAATTCTAGAATGTAGACAGGGTTTTTTCTCCGGACACTTCCCCCCTCCCCCCGATAAATAATAAAAGGTGGAAGGGGGAGGGGCTCGTACATATTGTCAATGGGCGCGCTGTTCAAATCTGACGATTATTAACACTATTATTACAGAATAGTGTACTAATACCCCCTAACTAAGCTGGCTCTGTCCGTATTTTGTGCACAGGCGGACATTATTACCAGTATAATTCTTTTGGTTGTCAAAGCAGGGGGGGGGAAGGTTCGCATTATTTCTAAGGAATTTCTATGAAAAACAATATTTTTTGACGGAGCTGGGGCGGGGTTGAACCCCCCAGGATCCGCGCCTGCCTGTTTCATCTTGTGGGTTTGAGGGGTTTTTTTAATTCAACGTTTTGATGACTTTATTCTTATGCAATTTTTTTTTAATTGTTACAGTTTTATTGTAAATAATAATCAATGTATCCATCCGTCTATGGCGCTTGCGCAGTTGGATGTTGTGTGAAATAAATAAATTTAAAAAAACAATTTAAGAACCACACGCAATCCTGACGATACGCAATGCTCTGAATTAGACAACCGATACTCTGATTCATGTAAGTGTTTATGCCAAAATCAAACGAACCTGAGACGCTGAGGTTAGCTAACAATTTATGACCAGGAACGTAGCCTTTAATGTTTTTCGTCAAAAAGGGCCAAATTCTAGCTGATCCAAACGCAGCTTGCTTGCCCAGCTCTAGGCATACATTATGATCATTTACATAGGCGTTTGTATATGGGACCATTCCATGATTTCAGTTGTGCTATATTTTTGTTTTACCGATGGATTCAGTAATTGATTGAAACATTGCACACGCACCCTAAATCATACACATGTTTCTCTCTAACGACCTCTGATTAGAACTACCGACGCCAAAATGGCACGCCAAAAATAATCTCCACTGCATTAAATTTTAATATCAACACGCTCTAGAAATCCCCCTTTTTTTGTCGATACAACTTTTAATTAACGGTTTTGATTTAGAAAGCAAATTATTTGTGGGTAAATAAAAGACTCAAACTTCGCAATTGAATTTGTTTCTTTATTTTCTGCGTAGATGACAACAAAGTGACAAAACCTGTTTATTTTCTGTCACCTCTGCCTGCTAAAATGACTGAAGTTACTGATAATTAATTTAATGTGTATCTGTAGGCCTACACCAAAATATAAATACAAACTCGTATGTTTGAAAACGCATCATCGTATGCTATCGTAAGAAACTGAATGCTCATTTCAAAGTTTGCTTTCAAGTCGGCGTTTTCTAGCCCAATACTCAAAACGAGCCGAATTAAAGTAAACAGCTTCTAACTGCATGCATGGATCGTGTTTCAACAAAACATTATACTGGTAAACAAATAACACATTCCGCGGCGTCAAACAAACAACAAATTCTCTTCATAACACCTCGCCGATGCATAAATGTCACGGACGTGCTTCAATTTTATACTTTTTGTCCAGACAACCAAAAAATGTATGTTTGTTCGAAATTCGGGTACGGTCATCGATCGACAGGCGAGGATTAATTAGTTTCGCAATTAGTGTACTTATGTTTAATTACTTTAGTAAAACAATTGTTTACTTGGGTAGCAGAAAGGTATAAAAGCCACTCCAAATCGCAGTGCCACACTAGATCGGGACTTCGTAGTAGGCACGATCTAATTTGCGATGTTAACCATGAAGTTGTGCGTTCTTCTTGGAGCGGTTCTGGCGGTCTGCCACTTGGTGGCTGGCCGTAGCAAAGACTACAGAATGGCGAAGGTAATTTTTGATACTTTTTTGGTTTAGAGTAGGCTATAGATTGACTTGAAGATACCTATTATGGCTTTTTACTGGCTTGTGTATGATACTAAATATGACGGTAATTATCATGCGAGCTCCAGTGGCGTAGCCAGGATTCTCATCCGGGGGGGGGGGCGAGTGGGGGAGCTGAATGTTACAATGGAGGGGCGCCAAATTTCTTCCGTGCTGAAAGGTAGACAGGATTTTTTTCACCTGACACCCGCCCTCCGTAAAATAAAATAGGTTGGGGGGGGGATGGACACCATGGCGCTGTTCAAAACCGATAGAATGGTAATTGTCAGACAATAGTTAGCGCTATTCGTTTGCCGCGGCACGTTCAAATAAACAGCCCTCGCGGATAACAGGGTTTTGATCGGGAGAGAGGGGGGGGGGTAAGCGGATTTTTATGGGGGAGGGTAGGGGTGTGCCCCCCACGCCCCTGGCAGCTACGCCGCTGGCGAGCTCCTTCATAATTGTTTTCGGTTGCAATAATGGGCAAGTTCGTGCAAGAAGTATTGTTGACCAATGGTTAACCATCAGTTCGACTAAAGTTAGCCCGAACCCTGTCTAGTCGACGATGGGTGACTACGGTAGTCGACTATTTGGAACCAGCAATTTATAATATTTGGAATAACAATTTAGCTTGTTATCAATAGCATTTGTCCTAGCATAGTGCAGAGGGGACAAACTATCACCAAAAATGGCGGAAAAAGAAACTGTCAGCGCTAAATTTCATTTTCATTGCACAGTTTTTCCATGTTAGTTTACGATTATGACTTTTGTCACTATTGTACAATGATATTGGCGATTATGTAAGATGTCCTAAACTATACACATTCAAACAATTTGTGTAAATATAGAGAATTAGAAACAAGAGTTGAATAATTGTGCGACGGCAATTTTCTTGACGGTCGTTGACATGACAAGCAGTAGTTTCACTAGAGTCGTTCGCACTTTAACTTCAGTGGTACGTCACGAACCAACCACTAGTTAACCACTGGTCCTTGCTCGAACTTGCCCAATGTTGATTGACTTCTCTGAAATTGTTTTTTATTAACACTCTTTGAAGCCGTTATTTAGATATGTTTTCAAATCGGTGCTTTTGAACAGTTAGGATCACAACTCGAAAGTGAACGATGGTATCATATCAGCTTTGCTTGAAAAGTCTTTATTCGTTAGCATAATGTTTCGTATCCATTCAACAAATATTTTCCTGTCAAACAGTCGATTTCAAATAAAGAGTTTCCTTCAATTTTCTGCCATAGCTCAATGCGATGAATATTTTATCCACTCGCGAGCATCAAATGTGATAAATTGTAGATAGGCATGCAGCACTGAAACATGCCTATCTATAATTAGCCATTTTTATACGCGATCTGTAACATCATGTTTATATTTTCTTGTTTTCTTTCAGGGAAAAGTTCTCCAAGAGCTCCACGGGACCGGGTCCGTCCGGCCCGAGCCGGCGGAGGAGATCGACGACACTGTGGGTGCGTTCCAGTCGGACATGCTACTGACTCCCAAACAGATGCAGGAAGTCATGGAGCTGATCGAAGAGGGCAAGACTGGAGTCGAAAAGCGGAAAGCCGTCGCCTACCTGAACTACCGATGGCCTCAGAACACGGTGCCTTATGAGTTTGATTCTTCCTCAGGTAGGCTACACACTAACAAGTCAGGGGTAGGATTTGACCCGGAAAGAGGGTTCTAGTTGGCCTGACAATGTTCATGGTCAAAATCGACACTTTCCGGGTCAAGATGACAATTTTGCCAACTCTCTAAATTCTAAAGAGTGAAAATTCACTCCATTCGCGTGAAGATTCACCCCCACAGTCGGAAACTAGGGACTAGACGTTTTAGAGTGAAATTTCTTTAATCGTAAGGATCGAGGTTTCATTCGAGCTTCGACTGAAGTGGTTCATTTTTTCAGACTGTGAATCGAAAATGAGAGTGATTTTCACTCTAATACGTCTAGTCCCTAATTTCACTCTTTGGAATTTAGAGAGAAGGTTTCGGAACATGTGTCATAGAAGTGCCATTTTGACATTGGAAATTGTCAATTTTGACCCTGTAAAGGATTAGGGCAAATAGAACACGGATTATGGGTCAAACTGGCCAGGGACCTTTTTTTGTTTAGGATCATTTGCATTTATTCCAAAAGTAATCTACCGAATTATCATAAAAAAACTTACTCGCATTAAAGATTGTACTGATACTAAAACCCCTGTGAAATATGGCTTGCTGTCATTTAAACGAAATTTACAAATGTAGGTCATTTCCAACGATTGGTCAATTGTTTTTACAAAAGAGTGCTATTAACGAAAGCGTGTTTCGTGTGCATAAGATTGTGCACGGCTTTTCACGAAAATTGTAATATCTACCGAGCTGAAACTGGTTAGGTTTTGAACTTTCTTCTTTTGGTTTGAGAGGAATTATTTTTTGGAAACGAACAAAATGCATGCAAAGCAAACGATCATCTATGCCTTTCAAATGAGTTGGAAGTCGCCCAAGTTAGTTTCACATGTTCAACCCGCTATTGTTTAGTTTGGAAAGTTAAACAAGACGTTTGAAAACAGAACCACCTCAGAAACATGTCCTTTTACTTTGCAGGCCGTTAAAAATGTTCATGTTTACCACGTGATGTCCGTATTCATAAGGATGTTAAACTGAGCATCAATAAAACACAGTTTTCAATACATCCCAGTCCGTTGGTTCGTTTTTGTTTTGTACATTTTGTCTGTCCTGTTCCGTTCTCCGTCTTTCCTGTACGATCTGATGTAAGTTCGTTTGTCCAGTTGTTTGTCTTAAAAAAGGCATTTCTATATAGACATTGGCTTTTGTCTATGCCTCCATAATTGCACCTTTTTCATTTGTGTCTTACATAATTGTTATTCTTGCATTTTATCAAATATCATTTATATATTGATCTTCTGTATAATTACCTGACTGAACACTTTGCAATATGGAAATATATGTTGAGAAGAGTTGAATTAAATTGGCCGAAAGTTGATGTTTATACTGTACGTGAAAAAAGCTTTAAAAGCCTACACACTTATATATATATATTGAGATCCTGCGATTTGTTTAAAAGACCAGAGGGTCCAACACCAAGCGCTGTTTGGGCCTGTTTTTTTTTTTTTTTTTTATAGCAGACCCCTTTATCCCCAAAGCAACATTAAAACTTCAATGGGTCCGTGGGTCTTTTTACAGAAACAACTTTTGAGCTAAAAGAAGTATCAAAGTCTATACTTGTGAATTGTGACTAAGCTTTCCCTATATTTGCCCCAACACACTCAAACACCTTCGTCTGAAAGTTTCCCCTTCTTTATCCCACGGATCCTTTCAGAGGCCGACCGAGACGCCATCATGGCAGGCATGAGTCTGTGGAGCGAAGAGTCTTGTGTTCAATTTGTCCCGTACTCGGCACAGGTTGCCTCAAGTCTGGGCCATGAGAATCGTATCCAGTTCTACAAAGGATCAGGGTCAGTAGTTACTTGATTTGCGGTGTCTTTTATAATATGCATGGCAACTTGAACATACTGCACAAACTGTGGTAGATATTCTCTGTGTGGCAAGGTAGAATCATTTGCAATCCCTACAACCCGAAAAAAAAATGCCTACTGCGATATAATGACAGAAAGTTTTCTCAAAGTAAAGATCGGTCTGGTAATGATGTCGTTTTGAAGAAAAATATTGCCATAATGTTGCAAAGTCATACAGTTGTTTAAGTTCAGGATTTTTTCCATCGAAATGATGATTGAAATGTCAGAAAGAATCTTTGACAGTAAAAATTCGACTTCATTTTTCAGTCGCTGCTTCAGTATTGCTTGAATTCAACTTCCGTTAAACTTCAATTGGATTTAACAATTTTGACAGTCAATACATGTCGATTGTACTTCGGGCAAGGTTTAAACTTATTCGTGGTAACTTTGATTGAGTATAGACTAATGTGGAAACACTCCTCATGAAGAAAGATTATTGAAAATAGATTCAGAGGAAAAATGTTTATCACGAAAAATGAGTAAAGCATCAGATATACCACTAATCTCTCAAGAGAGAATAATGACAGAAAGCCGGAACGCCATTGCTGCCGCGCGTTTGGCGTCCATCATTAAACTTTGCTCTACAATTTTGTTTCCGTGTCATCAAAGTGCTCGATGGATAAAGTGTCTACTAACGAGCAAACTGGCCCATACAAACAGAACTGATCTAATGTAGTTATTGATTTCTCAATCACAATTTGTCTTTTACCAGCTGTTCGTCTTACGTGGGCATGATCGGAGCAGGTGCACAGCAGGTTTCAATTGGAAACGGATGCACAGGAGTGAGTACAATATTCTATTTGTACAGCATCACAGGCACGGCGTCGCTGTACAATCATGATGGCCCCCAGTAATGGCGGAAGCATTGTACCAACTGTTCCATGATGATTACTATGAATAAGAACCTTGCCAAATGCTTCAGTCATTACTAGGGACACAGCAGTCATTTCTATAGTATGTTCTTTGCAGAAATCGGTTCATTTACATAATTATGCTATTCATATTTGGGTACGGTTTTACGTTTACTACTTAAGAACACAACTTGTGAAGTAATGTTTTTCTCTACATTTCTTCATATACCCCATCCGTTGCAGTGATTCTAGAGGGCAATCATTAATCGATAAAGATTTAAAATAACAAAAGATGCACGCTAAGATGGCCGCTGCGCATAATGTCTATTGAAGATATAGGTTGTATTGCTATCGATTTCCTGAAATTGTATTGGAATCTATAATTGAAATCCTCACGATCAGCGGGTTTTCTTTTCCACAACGAGTTCACCTCCTGTTCTTAAAAACTAGAGCAAACAAGTCAGAATTTTGACAATTTGGTATTTAGAATATAACGAATTGGCTGGCATGGCTTTCATTCAAAACGCCTAATTTTTTTTAGGCAGGTACTATTGCCCATGAGATCGGGCATGCGCTCGGCTGGCATCACGAGCAATCCCGGCCGGACAGAGACGAGGCGGTCACTGTCAACTATGACAACGTGCAGCCTGGCAGGGAGATCAACTTCGCCAAGTATTCCACTGCGCAGATCAGCACCCATGACGTGCCCTATGACATCAGCTCCATCATGCATTACGGCAGTGGGGTGAGTTATCATGGAGCTGAATTTGAACAGAACTTATCTTTAGCTTGAATAGTTTTGTTTAGCATAACATGTAAAACAGCCAACTTGTTATGTATTTATTGCGACAGCTTCTCATTCGATTTGAGTAAAGGCATATAGGATCATTTGCATTTATCCCAAAAGTACCGAAATATTATCGTAAAGCTTACTTGAATTAAATATGGTACTGATGGTACTAAAAACACCTCATGCATTTTCCGTCTGGCTTGCTGTCATTTAGAAGAAATCCTGAAACGTAGGTTATTTCGAACGATCAGTCTATAGACTGATTTCTGGAAATAAAGAGTGCTATAGACTAAATCGCGTTTAGTAATCGGAAGTTTTGTATTATGTTTTCACTGTTTTATCGACAATTTAATATCCAATGAGCTGAAACTTCGACAAGTTAGGTTTTGAACTTTCTTCTTTGGAATTCGAGTTGTGTTATTGGAAACGAACAAAATACATAGAACGCAATTGATCGTATGCCTTTAAGCATTAGTTTCTGCTTAGTGGCTCAAAACTGAGCCAAGATGCATCAATGCGCTAAATGTATAGCATAGAACTGTCAGAATAGCCTAGAGTGTTAGTGTTAAAGTGATGTTTATAATCAAGAAATCGGCCTTTGTGCGCAATGGAATAGTATTTCGCAGGGACTTAATATATAAGTGATTACTTGAAATTGGAGGTTGATTTAATGCCTGGTTTTTACAAACAGTACATGTAGTTTTGTGTAGAAATAAACAGTGGATATCAACACAAGCCATTACAAAAGTTCTTCTTTTCGAATATTAGTGTTTGACGATGGTACTGGCGAAGGTCAATTTTTCTCTTTTTTTATTTGTTACTTATACATATATCACGCCACCATAGTTTTTTTGGGGGTATTGTCTATCATATTGGTCCTTGTTACTCTAAAAACAATTGTCGTTTAACTTCTCAGTATTTTAGCGCTAATGGGGAGCCTACTATCGTGGCTCTTGATCCTGTCGACCAATTCCTGATGGGAAACAGGGCCGACTTCAGTTTCTATGACATGAAACTGGCTAACATCATGTTTGGCTGTAGTGGTGAGTGTTTATACTGGTAATGATATGGATAATGTTCAATTGATAAAAATATGACATCAGACGCAAGGACTGTTGAGCTACAATTTCAACTAACATGGTGGGCCTGCTTTGGGTGGATCCGGCAATCAGACTAGATGGGGCTAGACATTTAATCAGTATCCAGACACTTTTCCCGGTCACGGACAAAAAGAGATTTAAAAAAAAAATGGGAAGTTGGAACCATGGTACTGTAGCGCTCCGTACATAATGCGGAAGAGACTGAACAACTGACTTTAGGTGACGCCGTTTGCCAATGCGGGTATGGGGTAAAACGGGCCGAAGAGGAGTTTTTCTTAAATTATTTTTGTATATTTATACTCTTTCAGCCATTGTCGATCCACTGCAGGATAAAGGCCTCAGCATATAGATCTCCAAATGTCTCTATTTTGTGCTTGATGGTACCAATTGACTTTCCTCGTATTATTGCAGCTCGTCTCCCCATCTTTTTTTCTCTGGCGCCCTCTATTTCGTTTGTTCTCATACGGTGTCCAGTGATTGATTGTTGAACTCCAATGGTTATATTTTTTTCTGTCCTTGTGGGTGATCTTTATCATACTTCTTTTCCATATTGTGTTCAGCTGCTGCTAGTTTTCTTTCCCTTTTTTAAGTAAGTGTCCAGGTTTCAGCTCCGTATGAAATAGCAGGGAGGATGCACTGGTTATACACTTTTCTTTTCAGGCAAATTGGGAGGTTGCCTTTCATGATGGTGCTGTTTCTTCCATAGGCTTGCCATCCAGCTTTGATTCTTCTTCGTATTTCGTTGTTTAAGAGTCTTGTTGAGGGAGAGGCTGAGTACTGGCAGGGGATGGAACACCCGGCTTCTCTTTTCACCTTGCGATTAGCCAGCGGCAGCGGTTGATAGCAAAGATTATTGTAAGCACTATGCTAAAGCTACCCCTGCCTACTACTGCGCTAGTGGCAAGCTATCCAAATGAATTGCGGTAGTGGCACCAGCCCCTGTTGCTTGTGACTTGACTTGTGATTGACTGTGATCTTATGAATTGATTTGTGATAGGCCTGTACTTCACGCGATTACAATCTGCCTGCAGCTCAAATCACATTATTCATTTTAATGTTGATGTTCATTTTTTGTCATCGACAGATCATTGTAACACCAATCTGCAATGCCAAAATGAGGGATACATCGGAAAGGACTGCACTTGTGTCTGCAAGCCTGGCTACAGCGGAACCCACTGTGAATCGTTCAATCCGGATAGCTTGGGTTAGTTATCTTTCACTTCGTGACCAGCTTATTGCAAATGAACATGAACAAAAGTTAATTTCAATGAATCCAAACGTTTAAGCACCTTTTGGTGCTATTGCTAAAGCCTTTTATTGTTTGTTGAGAGCTGTCATGCTTGCAATACATGTGTCTTAACGTCAACTGGTTTACATGGTGAAGGTTTTCGGATATAGAAATAAGAAAAATGCTAACTGTTATGAAACAACGTTCAATTACGTATAAGATATAAAAGGCATAATTGTGTTTCAGTATAATTTATCGAGAATTCCGACCGGAGAAAAATGTCATTGTGCATCAGACAATCCCCAAAACGCTCCTTTGGGCAAAGTAACAATAGTTTTGCACGCGTACAAAATCGGTTTGTATCTGGGATGGGCAAGCTAAGTTGTATTTCATGTTCATTTGTTGTATTTATGAAGACACAGTGGGACAGGGGCGGATCCAGGAATTTTCGCAGGGGGGTTCATCAGCAAAAAAATCTGAAAATGTACACAGGTTTTTTTTCTCCGGACACTTGGCCTGGGGGGGGGGGCTGGTACCATATTTCAATAGGGGGCGCTGTTCAAATTCGAGGATTATTAACACTAGATTACAGAATGGTATACCGTATTTTGAACAGGCGGACATTATACCAGTATAATTTTTTTTTGGGGGGGGGGCGTCACAGCAGTGGGGGGGGGGGGGGGTTCGCATTATTTTTTAGGAATTTGTATGATAATTCTTTTTGCCAGAGCTGGGGGGGTTTCCCCCCCCCCCCCGGATCCGCGTCTGTTGGAAACAATTAAAACTTAAAGCACATCAGTCAGCAACATTATACTTGTACACGATTGTACACGACGAACATATATCTTCGCTTTGGGAAGACGTCTTAAAAAGTCCCGTTTTTTCAACTATGTTATATATTGGTTTTTATTCCAGGATGCATCCGCAAGATGACTGCTTTAACTGGTACCCTGGAATCATCCGGATATCCGGCACAATATCAAAATAATGCGGTCTGCGCTTGGCAAATCATGGTACCTTAAACGATCGATTATTGCAAATACTTAATACCTGTCCCTCGACAGCGAATTGTTACAAGTAAACCGACTGTTTTGGGGTAACAGCATGTTAATAGACGAAACAGTGCAAAAGACGCTTTGTGCAATTCTATATCTGTTCAAGATACGATTTTTGGGCAGTATTTCGGAAGGTCATTCGACTACTTTTAAACGCGCTTTAAGAAACACATTTTTGATTATAGTAATGAAACAAGATACTATCTTTTTATTTGTTACACTCTCATGGGAATCTCGTCACAACGCTAAGTGCCACTCAACTACAAACAAGAACTGAAGCAGCAAGTTGAAGAGAGAAAAAAGAATCTATTGATATTCAAACTCTTTCAAACCAAGAGTTAGTTTTCAACCTTTCTCGAAAAAAAGGAACACATATTTGAGGCACATGCTTTGGATGTTTCGTTCTCTCTGTTAGGGCGGGGCAGGTTCCACCATCTCGCTATCTTTTGAAGCATTTAGTTTGGAGACTGATGCGACATGTCGCTATGATAAGCTGACTGTACGCGCAGGCACTGACATCTCTACCGGCGGACAAGTGTGAGTGCATTTGAGTGTCTTTGATTTAACATGAATGGACTCGATCAAATATCAAGATATGTTTAAAAAAAAACACAGGGCAGAGGAACTTGAATTTCAAAAATTTGACCACACCCTTAAACATATAAAATGTGCAAGTTCTGATTAACTTTCTTTGGTGTCAATTTTCTTTCCAAAAATTTGCAAAATTCTAACCCTCAAATTATTTAATGATAACGAGGTAGTTTTATACCAGTTGTCGGGTAAAATAATATTAAACCCTTTACCCAACAATCCGCAAAAAAACCTGAATCGAGGTTAACGTGCAGGCTTCATATAGTAAGTATTTCGAGTTTTGGTATACTGTACTGGAGCCAATACAAACAAACCAAATATTTCGTTTTGCTTTCAAGCGTAAAAAGCCCAGCTCATCTTTGGCATAGCTGATCTTCGACTATAATGCCGAGCAAAACCAAGCTTAGCTTAGCCGGGCGGCCCAGAACAATTTGATAACGGTTGCTTTTTTTTTAAGTATTTAAAAATTTAAAAACAAACATTATTTTCACAGGTTCTGTGGTACCACCATCCCGCCAGAAATCGAGTCAGTCGGTAACCAGATGTTGGTGATTTTCTCCTCCGATAACATCATCACTGCGCCAGGATTCCAGGCCAACTACGTCATCCATGGCAACACCGTAGCAACCAATGCCCCGCCCCCTCCTTTTCCAGCTATAACCACCAATCAACCAGCTGTGGCCACTACTCGTGCCCCTACAAATTGTGGTGAGAATTGTGTGTCTTTTCATTTTACCAATGTGAACAAGCAAGAGCATGACATGACTATTTCTATACTTAAACTATATAGCGTCATCGGCACCACGAACTGACACTCACGAGCAAGTGGGTATCAGTTCGTGAAAACTACGTTTTTATCAACATTTCGGTTTCACGAACTGACACCCAGTAGTGCGATACTGACGCGAAATAGAAAGATTTTCGTTTTCACGAACTGACACCCAAGTATGATGCGGCAATACAGAACGGAGAAAATCGGTTTGAAAGATTTGACACGAATTTAATCCGTCCGTATACTTGTGTGCTTAAACAAAATTTTAATCAAAAAGCGTTTTAATTGGTGAAATTAAGATCAGTGTCAGTTCGTGAAAAAGTGCCGCACTGTGGAGGATGTCAGTTCGTGAAACCAATAGAGCTGTATTAAATTACTAGAGCGCTAACGCGTCATTCTGCGCGCGGAGACGCTTTGAAGCAGTCCTGGGCGCAGACATTTTGAATTCATGTGCGTGTTTGTAAAACATAATGAAATTAGATACTCTACATGCAACGCGCAAGTAGAACATACGCAAACAACTTAAGCGCGTCATTGACGGTTCAAAAAACGTGACGGCAAAAAGCATCTGCAGCGAATACGTGCACGCGTTGCGCTGTTTGCGTATAGCAAAATGACACGCTCGTTTGCTGATCGTGCGTTTCGGTTTTGGGCGTATTGGCTTCGATAACGCACCGGTATGGAATACAAACGCAGATATGCAAATAGCCGTGCAAAGCCGTACAAATGTGCTAGGTCTTCATAGGTTTGTTCACAAACATGGATGCGCCCAGCAGGCATTACTTTGTACACGAAGTTAGCGCTCTAGTAATTTAATATAGCTCAATGGTGAAACCATCCGGTTCGTTAGTGTGACGTCACCTCCAGCACTTTCTGCACGATTGGAACCGGAAGTTTACGCAGCCCGAGTGTTTGCAGCCAATGGGCGCTAGTAATCAGGGAGGCGCGCGCGTGTATGACGTTTTTACTAACGAACCGGATATGGAGATCAATGGGTGAAACCCAAAATATCCCGGTTCTGTAAATACGCGCGCGTGCAGGGCACTCACACGCACATGCGTGTCAGTTCGTGGTGCCGATGACGATAGAACAAAAAATACATCTTCAACACAAATTATAAATTTATCAAATACATGTACTGGGCAATCCAACTGTCTTAAGAACAATCTCTGGGATAAGTGCAGATGATTTAAACCTCTACGTCTCTTTCTGTTCCGATTGTATTTCCCAAGAGGTGATTCCTGGTACATGTGGAGGCACTTATGGCAATGCTGGCTGCATCGCGTCTCCGAACTATGGCGAAGGTACTTACAACAGCGATGAAGAGTGCATCTACAACATCGAGGTACGTCCTACGCCATTCAGGCGACTGTCTTCAACTTCAACTTTTCAAAAAAAAATATGGAAAGCTACTGTCTATGGCCGTCAAAAAATACCTGAATTGCGTTTTGTGCGTTGTAACAATCTTGTACACTTACACCACTTACTGTATAACACTTATAAGATATAAATCAAATTAGGTTTTGCCCTTCACCGACGTTTAAACACTGTATACTCAGTGTGTTACCTCCCGAGTGAAAGTTGGAAAAAATCACTCGGGTGGGACTCGAACCCACGACCTCCTGCTTTCTAGTGCAGATGTCTTACCACTCGACCACCGAGCTAACGGGATCGGTCGGCTGGTTCGAATCTGATGTACATAGCAGCGGGTACCGCATAAACTTATAAGATATGCATCTTGCGGGTAACGATGCACTGCCCATGCTCTTCAACGAGCTCTTCAAACAAAAAACTTTTGGGATCTCCGACATCCTCTGAAAAAGACTTTTATTTTGAGTTTCTTTTGCGCACATAATCACACGAGAACTAAATTACTGTCTGACCGCACTATCTGACCGCAAATAATTCGCAATTAGTTAAGACATTATTCCATAACTATATGTGGGCCGATTTTTCATTAACAAATAAATAACGTTTGTATTTCTAGCAAAAAAGCAACTTACAAAAAATCTACTTTTTGGGGTGAATCTCTAAAATAGCGCGGACTGTACATCTTCAAATCCCCCAATGTAATTCCGAGTTATACTCAGATTTGCGATGAGACTTGTGCTTCACTTGGGATAACGGCTCCCTGTAATTTAATCTCTGAATCCGCTCTGCGGTATAGGTGCCTTCTGATCAGCGTGTTGAGTTGAACTTGATGGATCTAGACATCGAGGAGCAGAGCTCCTGCGCCTGGGACAGGCTGGAGATCGACTTGGGAAGTGACTTCATCGGTACCTTGAAGTAAGAATTTGGTCTTGATGTCTGTCTGTCCGTCTGTCACTGACTTTTACAACAAAACGTGGCCCCTGGTGGCGGTTTGTGCAAGGGGTCTATGAATAGTTTTAATAACCTTTCTTAAGGCTGGTTCAAATTTCACACGAATGCAAAGCATTGTTAACGGCACGGGACATTCGGGGCGAAATTCGAAAGTTTAAATTTGCTGGTGATTTTTTTTTGCGAATTTCATGCGTGAAAACTTGCTTCCGTTACGTCATAACTTTGCGTGTCGATCATTTCGCTCCAAGAATGAAACGGCCTTTGAACACTTAATTTAGGTAAAACCTGAACAAATAACTCTCATTGCAAATCTCTAATTTCTGCTTTGTGGAACCTTGTAATAAAATGTTTCTGTTTTGTTAAAAGAAACTGTTGACCAAATCATACTCTTCAATATATACTTCTGGCAGTTTACTGCTGCCAACACATTTAATAACAACTGTAACATCTTTAGGCCTGTTCGCACAAATTCATGGCACAAGATACAAAGCTAAATAAACACAACTATATATATATTTTTTTTTTAAATTACAACTAAAACAAAAGGAATATAAAAATCAAATGACATAGATAGCAGTAATTATTTCGATGACATCAGTGTCATTAAAAAATTCCACATTCAACAACGCCGTCTCTAACATCATTCAAAATATCCCTATTTAAGGACAGACACATTTGATTTCACATTTAAAGGTACGTTATTATACCATGCTTTACGGGAATCCTTCAGTTCAATACAATTTGATGTTCCGAGCTCAATTATCGATTTATTTCACTTTTTTGACAGGCTGTGTGGAAGCAATCGCCCAACCGGATCTATTGTTTCCATGACAAACAAGATGCAAATTCGCCTGATCAGTGACAGTTACGTCAACAAGAAAGGCTTTGCAGCTGCGTACAAGGCGGTCTCCATCTCTTAAAAGGCAGTCGTTTGGATGGACATCAAAAACTGCGTATTAATTGGCTTATAGTCGCGTAAAAGAAAAGCCGCAATTTCAAGTTTGATTCTTAATTCCTATATTTATTGCTGCCTGTGCATCCATAGGCTAGAAAGCTGTTTTTTATTTCTTTTTATGAAATAGAAGAAAGAAGCAGGCTTACAAAATAATATCACTTGCGCTTTAGTCGAATATTGCCTTGCGTGATTAGTTGCCATTACCAATGATTTTGCTCAAAGATTAATGTTAAAAACTATTCGCTAGCAATAATGTAAAAAAAAAATCATATAGTTATTCGTGTGAAAAAGCGGGATTATAAAACAACAACACACGACCGAGGTTCTAAATTTTAACCCCTTTTCTGAACACCTGTTTGTGTGCATGCGTAAAAGAAGCATCACAATATTGAAAGTATTTTTATCAATTAATTTAAGATAATCATTTCTCTTTCTGGATGAGTTTGTAATTGGCCGATGTAATTTACAACAATTATTGGGTGGTTAGATTGCAGGTTTATAACTTAAAATTTCGCACTTTAGAAGAGATTTCGCGTTTTCTTAGTGAATCATGGCGCTGAGATCTCTTAACGAAAGTAAAGACAGGGAAATTTGCGGACGTCTCTTGGTTATTGACTATAAAACAAGGATGGAAAAAAGCCCGCCGAAGCTGCTATACCGCGCTTCTCTGTCATGACATCTCTTCAAAAATATTCAACAATGTGACTTTGGAGTCTCCTGTTTTACATGATTTATATGATTATAATAAGTTAAATAATGATTATCATTCTTTCAAAGTATTAAAAAAAGATGTCTCAAGCGTGAGATGCTTCAAGATTTCTCATCACGTGTTCTATTTAAAAAGAATTGAAGAAGAAAAGAAAAGCATGTGCAATAAAACATCAGGTATGGATATGCGTCAAACGTTTCGCATTGTCGTGTCGAATGCAATTCGTCCGATGCAGCAAAAGCGCCACAGGAGTAAGAGTCGGTGTCAAAGTACGTCGAATTTAATCAATCACAGAATATATACTCGCAGTTGCTCATACGGACAAAATGGCCGAAAGAATAAGGTACTATATGTATTCCCCCCCCCCCATTTTTAACACTATGAGGGTCACCTTAGGAAGAAGCTTGGGTGTAAGCTTCAGCATCTAATAAAGTTTCATTTTGGGGAGGAGCTTTGTGAATTGGAACACGCCAACCTGTGAACGAGCACATTTGATGCACTCAACTTTTCTGCATGAGCTATCTATTGGGGTTCATAATTATTACAAAATCTTTGACATGTATATATGGAAAAAGTGACATATATAAAGAAAAAATGCATGAACTAAGCCAAGGCGTCTCCTTTTATGGAGAATTCAGAGAAACAATGGATATTTGCCAAAAGTAATTTTTAAAATAAAATCCATTGCATGAAACCTTTCATATACCTTTACTGATATCATGCAGCGTAGGTCCCATACCTGCACGTACCCTACCCTTTGTCCAACATGTCTTATTTGTTCTGATATTATACATCATATTTTAGATGAATAAACTGAAATGTTCACGAACTGATGGCGCGATCGAACAAATATTACTTATCAAAAAAAAATTTGTCCAATATTTCGCACGCAATAATAACAAATTTAAATTATGTTATTCACAAACCATTGGTTACTTTCGATTCAGATACTTCAATCGGGCACAGTTAATTAATCAATTCATTACAGAAAAAATTCAACACCTCAGAATACTCTGAAAACAATAGTACATTATTGGTTGGTATCTGTAGATCGTGTACAATGGAATCAATGCAATGATAGATATTAATCTTAACTAAACCTTATGATTTCGTTTTAAAGCATGATCACCCATACATCATTTTAAAGTTCTTGTGTTTTGTCAGTTTTTTTTGTCTTTAATACCAAAATAGTACATCCTTGTCATGTTCTTCATATCATTTGAGGGTTGATCCAATAGCCCCTCCCCCGTTCAAAAAGTGGGGGGTATATACCCCATCCCCTTCCCCGGGATTTACGCCCCTGGTATTATTGCAGTTATGTGTATCAGGCTTAATTTGGCTTACACTATACGACTTCAATAAGAGCCAAATATGAAAAGTCATGATCAGAATGGATAAACAAGACAAACATTGCCTTGTCAAAGATGCGAGCTACCACCTGCCAGGTAATCCGCTCTTTGGGCTGATGGCCGATGTAGGACAGACAGCGGATGTCTGGGACAGGTATGGGCTTGTCAGCTGGTGTATGAAACAGTCGTAGGACGAAGACCGATACGCAGATTGAGGCACACGACTCCACCACCATGCAAAAGATGTACATAGCTGTCAACATTCAACAAGAAAAACAGTAATCAACCCCCACAAAGAATTATGGCTAGAATAACAAGCTATTTTGAATATTTTCAAAATGGCTGCCATTGCTTGTTTTTCTACATATATTTTTTCAAAGGACAAATTTGCGATGGCCCTGTAGCCAAATTTCTTTCTCATGACACACTCTGACCGTGTGCCAAATGCCATGCTTGTATCATCAAATGCACAGTCCCATCACCTATCTGCCGTGCTACATGTATGTTAGAGAGAAGATGGGAAATACTTATGATTCAGTTATTAAAAAGACTTAACACATAGCACCCACCCAGTTCCCTTGCTGATAATAAATCACCGAACTCCTGCTCCTAAATAAACTATAACCCGCGTCCGAATCACTTGTTTTTAACATTTGCAACTATGGGTTGGCACATGCTGACAGAATAATGATCATAATTTGGAGCATTTGATGGGAGTCATAAACAGTAAAAATATCACCATCATTGAACCGAATTCCACAATACCTTATCTTAAATTTAAATATTAAACGTTTCCTTTTAGATTTAAGAAGCATTTAAACCTAGATCAATAAACTTGAATTCAAATTTGTTTGCACCCCACGCAATGGTACCGCTTCAATAGCGCCACCATTTTGTTCAAAAATATTGCTGATGTAATTAGGGTGTAAACCAATAACATTAGTAAAGAAAAATACCATTACTTCATAATATCAGGAAAAATGCAGCTCCCCAAAGTCTTTAAGGAATAATGTAATTAAAACTTGATATATTTGGGGAAGGGGGAGGGTTCCAGACAGTTGCACCCTTCATTGCTACGAACCCTAAAGTAAAAGAGCCATACAACTCTCTATTAGGAGGAACATTTTATAATACAAATTGTGAATTGTTTCATATAGGAAATTTGAGGCTTCTTTACTGCGCGTTTCGCATTCGTCTACATACTGTATTTTGATAAATGGGTACCCTCATTATGTGAACTACCTCAACACAAAATTTTAATATTCTTTATTTTGGGAGAGGGAGGGTTATTCCCTTTAATCCTGTGCTTACTTCTGAACAAACCTTGTGTCTTGGATATTAAAATGTCTAAACATCACTGGTTCTCCCTGTTCAATTAAGGTCTCTGATTTTCCATTATACTTCACTGGAAAAAAACAACTTGTCACACTAAAGGATAAGGCCACAAAAAAAAAGTCTCCGGTTTCTGGTATGCGCGCGCGTCGCCGTAGCCATGCGCGTCGGCAAAATGAAAACGTTTTTTTTTCAATGAAAGATGATGTCTCAAAACCGCCAAACTCACTGGTTTGACTGGAATTCTGCTGCTGCACAATTTTAACGTGTTTTTAGATGGGGTTATGATCGAGAATAAGCCTCTCTGAACTCCCATATATTTGCACTAAGTTTAGTCGGGCACCATTAGCAGTCATCAGTCGACATTTGAAGCAAAAAAGTCAGGTAAAAAAAAAAAAAAGCCGCGTCGCCGCACCACTTTTTGGACAAGCTCCATACCAGAAACCGGAGACTTTTTTTTTGGCCTAAGGTAATTACGTACACTGTACACGGTTTTCTGAAATGGTGTTAGACCTTTCCATTAAATTTAAGGTTTAATTAGCGGTCTGCAATTTAGCTAGTTCCTTCCTTTAATGTACATGTAAATTCGATGCGATAAACGACGATGCGATGCGATAAACGACACTGGGGGATGGGGGGGGGGCGGTACTGTCTATGATAGTCCGATTTGAACAGCGCCCCCTATATGAAGATGGTGTCCAGTCCAGTTCCCAGCTTTTCGATTTTGTGAAGGCGGGTGTCCAGGTCAGACGTCTAAAAGGGGTCCCCTGGGGGAAATTTCTAGATCCGCTTGTGATGAACGAGGTGTCAAAATCAATTAGAACAGCTTTTAAACGATATAATTTTTTTACACCTGTTTCTACGAATGTCGCCAGCCGGGTGGGGTTTCCCATGCCTCGGTGCTTTCAGCCTTCAGGCCCGTGTGCAGTAGACAGTCCATTATTATAAGAATTAAAAACAACGCGGAGAAACACTCGAACTAGAAAGCACTCAGCGATCGCAAACCTCCGCCAAGGCTAAACAAATCCCCGCCGTATTGTCAGTACACCCAAAAGAAGTACTCGCATAAATGGTAAAGAATCCTTTCAAAAAATTCTGGATCCAGACCCAGATCCGGATCACTTCTAAAATCTAATCGATTTGTACTTGTACCAAGGACCACCCCTAAAAAAAATTGTCATGCAAATCTGTCCATAACTGTTTGAGTTATCTTGTGAAAACATAACCACCTTGGCGGACGAATTCAGCAAATAGTCAAGCTTGTATACCGCCCTCTACGGCAAGCGTACAACATCGTGCAACCTGCTAGCACTGTGTGCGGAGACCTCTTTCAGTGTTCACGTCTGCGTAATTTATCTTGCGGGACAGCTACTGTTTGAAACACCGCTCAATTAATTAGATTAGTGATTTCCTGCACTTCATCATGAACATGGCTCGTACGGGAATTAAACGTCTCCTCTTGAACCTGGCAACCATTCAACTGGCATGTGGAATAATAGGTGAGTTCGTCGTATTGTCGTTGAGTGGTGTGTGGAGGGCAAAAATATTATCTTTGCAAACAACAATAGAGTGAGGGAAACGTTGGTGGAAAAACTGTGAACAAGGAAACAAAAGGCAAAGCATCACTCATTGATATGCTCTATTAAAGATCGAAAGGATTTTGAAGCAGGTCAAGATTTCAGCAAAGTCCCATAAAGCTTTAGTAAGATTTGAGGCTTTGCATGGTGGAGATACTAAATAATGCCAAGGTTTGCGGAAACACCATGTGCGAATAATTTCTCAACTAAGAGAATGGTTCTGAAAAGAACCAGAGGTATAAACTCGACGTTCCGGTCAGTATGCTCTGACCGTCTTCTGACTATCCTGAAGACGGTCAGAGCATACTGACCGGAACGTCGAGTTTCAGAACCATTCTCTTGGTTGAGAAATTATTCGCACATGGTGTTTCCGCAAACCTTTCATTATTCCCATAAAGCTTGTGTAAATGGGAATCACTAAATAAGAAGTAAGAAGCAAAAATGACATTATAAAACCCTAAAACGAGCCACTTAATTCAGAAGTGAAGACCTGTTTTCAAAAATCAAGTTAGGATTGACTTTTAATTAGTTGAAAATAGTTATATAATATTGGATGGCTTTGGGGGATACTATGCCGAGTGGAATGGAACATTTTATCTGTCACCGAAAGAAATTATTCTTTCCATAGCACGAACGTGAAACATTCATTATTTGTTTTATATAACACCTGGAAAAAAACCCTGATCATCTGATTGGTTGACTCTAAATACTGCCAATTTATTCAGTTTAAAAACTGTTTAAAAGTTCGACAAGTTCACCATATTAAATTTATGCAAACTGTTCAACAGGCTGAGAACAATCATATTTAATTTAAGTGGAGTAGAAAGTTGCGCGAAATATGCTCCTATGAAAAATTCACTTCACGATCCCTTTAAAAAATTCAATAAAAGCTTTGAAAAGCTATAAAAACATTGGAAAGAAATTAGTACAATTATATTACATTAAAAGCCTGAGGTCAAAATCAATGAGAATATAATGCTAAGCTCTTTATGAAATTCAATAAAATAAACATCAATCAAAATGTGCTGACAAGGTTCGTTTTATGCATTACCCAGCCCAACATAATTATCTTATAGCCATGCCTTTTATGTTCAGTTCGACGCTTTTTGTTGTCAAGGTGAAATTGATAAACACACCTCCACTGCATCGGCCTACGAAGGCTTATTTAAAGGCGTACAGGATGATTTGCCTGTCATTCATTTTGGTCGTTTCCAATAATAACCCCATAGAAGAAGGTTCAAAACCCAACCTGTTGAAGTTTGAGCTCTGCAGTTGAAACTTTTCGCGAAAACAGTGAAAAACCCTTTCCAAAGGAAATCGATTTGCCATTTTCAAGGGTATTTTGATGCCTTTTGGTTATGCTAATGCAAATCCGCATATTCATGCAAACCTCAATGTTTTCGTTGGAAATGCTATAATTCTTGGTTCGTTGAGTACCAGTACGCTCTTTAATCCATGCAAGCTTGTTGCAAAACCAGTTATCTCCCTGTAAAAAACAAAAATACACAATTTTCCGAACGAATAACATCCTTAAAATAAACCATTTCAATGCTGCACCATTTTTCATATTGTTGATATTCCCCGTTTTCTTTTGCTTTATGCTTTTGGAGTTAATTTTTCCTTCAAAGAAATTCAATATTGGCATTGTTTGTTAACTTAGCAATAAATGAAATTTCTAATGCACTTTCACAAAGCTCCAAAAGTTATAAGAATTCTCCTGGCCAAGTTGCAAAGTTGAAGTTTGAAAAGTTGAAGTTCTGCCCACATACCAGCTGCTTTGTCATCGATATCGCTCGATTTAAGGAAAGTGGGTGGAATGGCTAAATTTGGTCTGACATTTGCGCACGATGTCGATTCGAGCGGATGTGAGAGTTTGTTAGTGGATGTTAGAAGGATGATGCAATTTGGTCAATAAGTTGAAATTGAGATATTGATTATTACTAGCCAGTGAGCATAAAACTAATGTAGAATTGGTAAAAACCTAACACCGGCGTGACTGGAAGTTGCGAGTAACATGACAGGTCAGTGATCATGTCTTTGGAGTTTGGTGTATACATCGTGCCATATGTTAAAGCTATAGTCCATCATTTGTAATTAGTGCATTTTGTTCGTTTGAAGCAACAAAAGTGTTCAAAATCCAATGAAGGATACTGAGCAACTAACCTGATGAAGTTTCAGCTAAGCTTCAGCTGTACATTCCGAGAAAAACAGCATTCTAAGATCTCAATTTCAAATCAAAAGTTACTGAATCATGTTTTGAATTGTTTTGAATTGCAGCTATACGCGACGTCGCGCACTGATCCGACGAATTACAACAACCGCGCGCGCGTGTGCGTCGTTCCAATACTTGTGCGCGCTGCGCCGAATAACAAAACGAACTACTAACTTAAATTTTCCCATTAAATGCCTTCTTTCGTTGATTACTTCAAAATGACAGCTTCCCAGAAAGTTTAGTTCCCTTACTATCTTTCAACCAAGTTTGTTTTTCAACAATAATTACGCCAGTTACTTTTCGGATGGCTGCAAATGATGGACTATAGCTTTAACTGACTGGTTATGGTGGCTTTTTTATGTAGTGTGAATATTACACACCTCTCCAGGCAGTAACAATTGGCTGTGCTACACCACCTCTTGACTTCCCAGCAACCTCGTGTTAAAGTGAAATTATTTTTTCATGGAATTTTGGAAATTTCTCGGTGAAAAATCGGGGAATTTGTTTTCATAAAGTGCTTTGAACCCTTTTTTTTTAACTCAAGTAACGATAAATTGCAGGGTAATTAATATGTTTTTCTACGACCATATGTTCAATGTAAATTGTATGCAGCATTTGCTTTTCGTGTATCTTTTTGCACATGTACATGTACACACATGGACTGTACCGGTATGGACATAACAAAAATGTGTACGTACATGTATTGTACCTGCATTATTCCCGTGTTTCATGTAATTTGTTGACACGTTTATAGCACGAGGAGTTACTCATTATACTCACTTGTTCCAAAGTCTTCATTTTCAGTGTGATGAAATAATTTATCAAACGCATGGGTTCGTCATATATTCCATAAGTACTTTTTTGGTACGGCATCTGCGTGCCACAAATTCTTCTTAACAATGCGGTTGTCAATGCGGTTTTTTTGTATCAGTCGCTTACGTACGTGGATTAAAAACTGTTTTTGGACTTGTATTGTTCCAACTGTAGTTTGTATGATTGACGCTTATCATCCATACGTATTTCGTACTTAGGGCAATTCTGTGGTAACTCCCGTTAACGGTTATTTATACAGGGGGTCTTCTGTCAACTTTATACTGTTATGTTATAAAGTCAAAGTATGGAGGGTAGATTTTTTTCTGACAGAGGATTCCTTGAAGTTAAGTGACTAACTACAAAAAAAAGGTAAACAAATTAAATTAAGTGATTGGTGAAGTTTGTCTGCCCATCTTTGATTTACAAGTAAAAACGTATTCGAAACTAAAAATTAAAAAAACAACTTTTTTTGGCACAGACTATGAACCTTCCTCTAGATCTGCCTTAGAAACAAAAACTCAACATAAAACTTAATAAAACAAGATGCGAAAATGACTACCGAAACCAATAATTTTAGCCAAAAATTGAAGTTTTTTGACGTTACTCAAATGAAAGGTCTTGTTGTCCCCTTTTATTTGATACCACATTTGAGGTTGTGACGCTTGTAGTTCTGAAGATTTCATAAATGTTCTACTTTTCAGCCGTCTCCTTTTTTGCATGAAATTGCCCGTAAATTAAACAAATGTATGTATGTATTCAGGGCTGCTTTTAATCTCTATATCTCTTAGAAAGAGAATGAAAATATTATGCTGGGAACTGCTAACATTCGACAAGCCCCTGATCATGAAAAGTCAGATGCTACCAGAGAATTATATACAATGTACAAAACAAAAACTTACCCCTAGCAGTGGTCCGATCAATATGATACATGAACTGTACATTTATCTATGCATGAGCTAGGTGTATATTAAAAGAAAAAAAGGACAAAAATATTGTTATGACAACATCTTTGCGAAAAAAAATATCTTCCAAAGTCATTGTAGTACCCTATCAATCATACAGTAGCCTAGATCTTCCAGTTGTTGATATGTTTTGCAGATACCGGTAATCTGAAATTTGAAAACAAAACTCCTGAAACAAAATTGAAAATAAGAAACAATAGCATTTATAAAGAAAAAAAACTTTATTGTAAGAATATAGAGAGTGTTCAGTCGGCTTCCACCTTGACAGAATGAACGTCGTCATTAAAGGTTTTTTGAGTTTCATCCTGAACATAGATTCCTTTTCTGAACTGCTCTTTTTCCTGCAATACAAAAGTTAGTTACATGTACAAGTACTTTTGAATGAGACATCGAATGAAAAAAAATCATCCATTGATTAGTTATTGAACTATTACTTAACAATTTCAAATTATTGGCTGCCAAACAATAATCTTGTTCTCATGGGGTAGGCTGGTTGCCGCCCCACAAACAGTATGAAAAATGTATGGTCCGGGAACCAGTCTGCTCGCGAAGCAGATCTGGTGGTGCCCAAAACAAAACCGTGTATTTTCAAAGGGGTTGCAGATTGCCAAAGAAGAAAAAAGGAGGTATATTTCCGTTGGAATAAAACATAAGTTGAAAAGTTTATTAACCCTAACTCCCTGCATGTACTGGACCAAGTCTGCCAAAATCCATCACTGATCCTGCTTCACATAATGCTTCAGGAGCAAATCCGCAGAAATCCACCACAAGACCACCACTACTATAGGTGGATTTTGATGGACTTAGTACTCATGGCTTGCCTACCAAAATCCCCAAAATGGGGGGGGGGGTGGATTTTGATGGATTTAGGAAGGTTGGAGTTAACAGGTAAAAAAAATGAACTTTCATTGAAGAGCTAGGGAACCCAACTTTAATTTGAGCAGAAAAAAAACTGTTATTCAGAATGCTGCAGAGTACACACAAAGTCTTGTGCCTGTATACGAAAATAGGATTTTTTTCCAGGTCACTCAACTGTCTCCGGGATAATCTGCCATTTTTTGACATATTTATTCAGGTTCAACTGAGCTGACAGCCCTACTTGACCTTTGACCCTATATAAGCTGGCTCCTGGCTCACCTCTAGAGGTCTACTGTGCAGGATAAATATTGTGGCAGTGTCAATGGGGTGGGCCTTACAACCCCCCCCCCCCCTTTCCCAGCACTCAACCTGATCAAGGAATATATGTTCATTTGCATTTACCCCCAAAAGTAACCTACCGAATTATTATACAAAAACGTGTACTGGTACTAAACACCCCATGAAATTATTCCGTCTGGCTTGCTGTCATTCTGAAAATCAACAAATGAACTTGTACATGTAGGTGATTTCCAATAATCAGTCAAACTGTCAATTGATTGATTTTTGGAAGTCGAGTGCTATTGACGAAATCTTGTTTCGTGATCAAAAGTGGACTTTCGTTAGACTCTTATAGGAATGGGGACCAGTAACTATGCAATCGGACAGGCCTCACAGCAATACCTATAAAACTAAAACATGTAAAACCTATAAAACCCAATAAAAACCTGTATTGTTTAACTTGGGAGCCTACCAGTATTTACTTTTTAATGTAATCTATTAAAGCTAGAAATATATCGATCTTTTTGTTCCGCCAAACATTTTTAAAAAAATTAAGAAACTGTGAAAAATCAAATTGACCCACAGTTTAGTTGTAAATGATAATGCCAAAATAACCACATTGTCAATACAGATTTTTTTACAAGTGTTTTCAGAATTGGGCAGTTTGCATGAAATTGGTTTTAGGTAACGTTATCTAGTGTGGAGATCTTGAGGTATGCAGTTTGCTATGTTTTAATTTGCACAGATTTGCATCCTAAAAACCTACAATTTACAAATGCTTATATTTTGGCACTTGGAAAGCCTTTAAAAACCTAAATTTGGATTTTCAAAACCTATTTATAAACAACCTATTTAATGAAGAGGGCCGCTAGGCCTGGAACTGCCTTGATTCATGTAGTCCTTTCCCTTTAATATCAGGGGGCGTCTGTCATGTTTCATTTCTTGGTGTAAGTTACCTGGCTAGGAATACAATGTACGTCCCATTAAACTCCTGACACCGCCTTTCTGTCAGGCCATGTAATATGAAGCGGCAATGACATGAATTATAGGATTCACCAGGGAGTTCATTTCAAACTGATGAACAAGTTGGTTGCATTGGACATTGACCAGACATATTATACATATATTATCGGATCAGTTTCAGATATGAAACTTATAACTTTAATATAAATAATGAAAGGTTTGCGGAAACACCATGTACGAATAATTTCTCACCTAAGAGAATGGTTCTGAAAAGAACCAGAGGTATAAACTCGACGTTCCGGTCAGTATGCTCTGACCGTCTTCAGGAGAGTGCCTAAACTCTAGCAAAAGGCGAAGTCAATGAAGTGTGAAGTTGCATCCAGTGAGGATGCCAAGTAGACAGGATCCTAGAACAAGCTTGGTGCCCACTGAAGTGGAACAGTAGGGTAGCAGCTTGTCAGTAGCGGGAGGACCTAGGGTATAGGAGACCCATCAGTCTAAGGTGGTAGCTGAGGACCTAGGGTATAGGAGACCCATCAGTCTGGAGAAGTGGGAGCCAGATGTCGTGGAGGTGAAACCCGATTACTTGCGGAACTGTGTTGTGCTTGCGGATCTCGATGGCTTCCCGTATGCGTCTTGGATCGGTGCGATGAGTTCGGCCGCATCCCAATCAACTTTGTGGTCGTTGATGTGGGAATGTTTGACAATGGCCGATTTGTCAAAATCCCCTCGCCGTCCATGTGCTCTGTGTTCCTTGAGCCTAGTGGGAAGGTTCCGACCGGTTTTGCCGATGTAGACTTTGCCGCATTCACATGGAATGCGGTAGACTCCCGCCTTGGAAGAGGAGTCCTGCTTGTCCTTGTGAGTATGGAGGCTGCCTTGGAGCTTGTTGCCAGATGAGTGGTACACCTTGACGCCGGCTTGTCGGAGGATGCGTTGCATATGATGAGAAGCTGGATCTATGTAAGGAAGAGTGACTGAGGGAGATACAGTGGAAGGACCTTGTGTATAGGAGACCCGTTGGTCAGGTTTGCTGATCGTGATGCGGTTGGGTTTGTAGCCGTTCCGTTGTAGTGACGCCTGGATGTGCTTGAGTTCACGCTTGAGGTTGTCTTGGTCGCAGACCTCAAAGGCTCTCTGTACTAGGGTGCGGTTGACCGATGACTTGATGCTGGGGTGATGAAACGACCGCTGGTGGAGATAGCGGTCGGTGTGGGTTGGTTTCCTGTAGACGCTATGTCCCAGGGTGCCATCCGGATTCCTGGAGATCTTGACGTCCAGGAAAGGAATGGTGCCGTGCTGTTCTTGTTCCATGGTGAAGCTGATGCTGGTGTGTTGCTTGTTGAGGTACTGGAGGAAGTCTTGGAGTGTGTCCGGGCCATGGGGCCACACTACGAAGGTGTCATCAACGTAGCGTAGCCACAGGCTCCTGTGAGGAGAGAGGAAGACTCGAACTCCTCCATGAAGATGTCGGCTAGGACCTTCATGGGCCTTCATGCACATTGTACATGTAAATCCTTAATAGCTGAAGATTAAGCAAAAGGTTATGCTCCGTATGAATAACAGTCACACTTTGAAGATAACCAGGCATTACTTATTTAAGGCATATAGGATCATTTGTATAATCCGAAAGTATAACCTACCGAATTATTATCAGAAAGCTTACCGGTACTTGGATTAAAGATCGTACTGCTACTAATCACCCCCGTGAAATTGTTGCATCGGGCTTGCTGTCATTTAGAAGAAATCAACAAATAAAGGTGATATTCCAAAGAGCAGTCCATTGACTCATTTTTGGGAATAGTGCTGTGGACAAAATGGTTTGATGATCAAAAGGTTGTACATGGTTTTTCACTGTTTTCTCAAAAAGTGTAACGTGTCCACTGAGCTGAAACTTCAACAGGTTGAATTGGATTTTGAGTGGTGTTATTATTGGAAACGAACAAAATGCATGAAAGGCAAACGATCCTATATGCCTTTAAGAAATCAATGGGTAAGAGATATTCACATGTAATCCAATTGTTTTTGGTTTCATTTCCTTTTTCAGTTTTGGACATTGCCCTTTCTACTTTTTTGGTCAAATACATGTCACCTGTTTTCGAGTGGCTTTCAGGTGTTGTTGCAAATCAAAGGTGATATTCTAAAGAAAAAAATCATGGAAAAATCATGGAACCCTGCACATCCCGTACGTGATGATGGCTATGGTAGTTGGTACTTGTAGTCTTCTAGTTTGCATGCCAGTTCACTATATTTCCCCTTTATGCACGTGTACTTGTTGCTTCTTCAGTGCACAATTTCAATGCTTTTGTAGTTTTAAGTCCAACTAGAGCTGCAAGGTACCGGTAGTGACGTCCTTTGACTCAGTGTGATGATGGCCAGTGAAATGTAAACAGGCTCCTAACATGCCAAAACAGAAAAGGAATTGGTCACGGAAAGCCCTAAATTTTGTCCTTGAAAAAAATGGAAAAGTCATGGATTTTCATTTTAAGATTTCTGTGCGAACCCTGATGTAATGTTTTAAGTGTGAAAACTTCATTGCTGTGTTCAACAGGCTGAGAACAATCATACTCAATTTAAGTGGAGTAGAAAGTTGCGCGAAATATGCTCCTAAGAAAAATCCACTTCATGGCCCTTTAAAAAATCAATAAAAGCTTTGAAAAGCTATAAAAACGTTAAAAAAAATTAATACAATTATATTACATTAAAAGGCCGAGGTCAAAATCAATTAGAATAGAATGCTAAGCTCCTTATGAAATTCAATAAAACACACGTCATTCAAAATGTGCTGACAAGGTTCGTTTTATGCATTATCCAGTCCAACAAAATTATCTTATAGCCATGCCTCTTATATATGTTCAGTTCGACGCCTTTTGTTGTCAAGGTGAAATTGATAAACGCACCTCCACTGCATCGGCCTACGAAGGCTTATGTAAAGGCATGCAGGATCATTTGCCTGCCATTCATTTTGGTCGGTGCCAGTAATAACACAAAAGAAGAAGGTTCAAAACCCAACCTGTTGAAGTTTGAGCACTGCAGTTAAAACTTTTCGCGAAAACAGTGAAAAACCCTTTCCAAAGGAAATCGATTTGCCATTTTCAAGGGTATTTTGATGCCTTTTGGTTATTATGCTAATGCAAATTCGCATATTCATGCAAACCTCAATGTTTTCGTTGGAAATGCTATAATTCTTGGTTCGTTAGTACCAGTTTGCTCTTCAATCCATGCAAGCTTTTTGCAAAACCAGTTATCTCCCTGTAAAAAAAACAAAAATATACAATTTTCCGAATTAAATGAATAACATCCTTAAAATAAACCATTTCAATGCTGCACTATGTTTCATATTGTTGATATTCCCCGTTTTCCTTTGCTTTATTTTTTTGGTGTTAATTTTTCCTTCAAAGAAATTCAATATCGGCATTGTTTGTTTACTTAGCAATGAATGAAATTTCTAATGCACTTTCACAAAGCTCCAAAAGTTATAAGAATTCTCTTGGCCAAGTTGCAAAGTTGAAGTTTGAAAAGAGATATGAAGCTATGACCCAGCATTTTACATTTCTTTCATACCCTCAACGCGGTATCAAATAACCTTGAGGAGAAATTATTTAACCACTAACTGTCGGTGTTAGTTTTTTTCAATTGATGTCTCATTTAAAAGTGAACACATTGTATATTGATAAGAACATTGCAATTAAAAAAAAATCTATTTTTCGAGGTTAAACGTGAAAGTAGCATGGAGAACCATCTCTAAGTTCGCATTTTTCCACTGGCGACTTTCTCTCCCTTGTGAACCTCTTCACCTGAGTTTATTCAAACTTTCTCCAACCAAGCTTTACGGAACAGTACCAATCTCCACTCACTGCTGAAACAACATCGAATTGCAAGTCCAAAAAATAAACAGTTCTAAAAATAATACATGGAATAATACCGCATTGACATTATAGATACTTAAAAAAAAAAAAAAAAAAAACTATGCAAACACCCAATACCGGATACAATACTTTTAAGTTCTATCACTTTCATTTTAAAGCTAGACTAATAGTGTTCAGCACGCACGTCACAATCTTAACTGAATTTGCATTTTTTAAATAATGAGGTACTGTTCTTCTTTAAACGGGAAGTTCGGAAAATAGAAAGTGTTGGTGAAACTCTTTCACTAGTAAATTATGCAGAATATAAAGCTACATAAAACTACACGACGTCAACCGTGTTGGTGCTGAATTAATCGGAAGATCAGAAATATATAACTACACACAGGCCAAACGAAGCCCAATATTCAGGCAACGTCCATACTTGTCCCCGTTGTCCAATTAGGCATTGTTACTGTTTTCTAAATCGCCCTTCAACACCATTATCTGACTTTCAAGTACCATTTTTTTCACGGCCAGTTTTTATTAAAGTGGTTGAGTAATAATAAAGTAAACCTAACTATGGAAACGCACTTCCCTAAATCCACTCTTTCTCAACCACAAGGCCGTATCCATGGTAACCAATTAATGTCCCTTGACAAAACCAATGAGAGCTGTTGCAAAAAACAAAAAAACAAAAAAGGGAAGAGGAACCATATTAAAATCCTCGATTTACACCATAAACAAATATGTATGGGCGTGTTCAGGCGTTCAATGTGTGGACGCAAAATGCCGGAGAACAATATCGTCCACGATTCCCAGCATACGTCCACGAGTGGGTCATGTACAAAACCTATGGGAGTCTTCCAAAAAATTGGAGTACAAACAAAAGAGGGACAATAGGAACTGATCAGAATCATATTATCGTACGTTCATTGTCGTCGCTAGACCCAAGCAGACGATTGTGGACACTCATGGACAATAATTGCTGCCATTCGTTACGAACCATTTGCTGGAGGCCACAATATTTTCCAGCGGAACAACGATTTAGCCGACAAAAAGATTAATGGGGTAGGGGTAGAGTGTCGACAACACACACCCACGCCCATGCCGACTTACCTTCCATACCTACTGTGGACATTTCTTAGTTTACGTGTAGTTAAGAAAAAAACAGAGAAAAATATCATTTCGCTCCCACCGTGACCACTCTTCAACCCAAATTTGTTATCATGATTTCCTTGTATGTTCCTCTTCATTTTGCGACAGATATACCTAACGCAAAAATGCCCTAAAACCTATTTTCGACAGAACGGGAAACATGGTGTGGACGTGTGCAAGTTCACAAAACGTTCACATTTCCTGCACCTTGTGGACCTCTTTTGTTCACATGTCCTCAACGAGTACATGTATATAGAAGGTTAGAGCGCCGCCTACGCGAAATACAGTCAATTCTTTCCTGTGCCATGCTATGTGGAGTGCCGTGGCCTCGTGGTCTGGAGCGTTGAATTCTTGGTTAGCGGGTAATTCGGGCGATTCACAATGCAGTGCGCCGCCAAGAGTTTGCCACGGAAAGGTCATTTTTCCCATTGCATCGTGGGAAATGGTCGACAAATTCGCAGCGCGGGACATTTAAAATCGTTAGTTTTTCCGGTCAGTAGTTTCGTAAGCGTTTGATTCGAGGATCTGTTTGCCCTTTCCTTTTCTTCTTATCACTATGGTGTTTTTTGTAAGGCGGCAGAATGCTATGCCCTAATCTATATCATATTAGCTCAAATTGTCTACTGACACTCATTCAAATGGGCCATGTTTTGTCGACCGTAAAGTTGAAAAATGGACTCTCCATGGCAAACTCTTGGTGGCGCACTGCATTGTCTGAATCGCCCGAATTCTGCAGGTTGTGGGTTCGAGTCCAGGCTGGCGTTGTGGTGTTTGTGTGCCCTTGGAAAAAGAACTTTGTCACTCATTGTTTCTCCCCAACCAGATGTGGTTGTTGTGCTGATTGCAGCTGCATTTACGAAGCAGAAGTAGAGTAAAAAAGAACGGAATATATATTTTTTTTTGAAAAACGGAATGTACTTTTGAAAATCGATATTGAAAACCGAATGAAATTTTGCAAATCTAACGTGTTTTACGACTCAAATGTATTTCAAAACAGAATGAAATTTAGGTTTGTAAAATCTCATTCGGTTTTGAAATGGATTCGAATCATAAAAACATGTGAGTTTAGTAAAATTTCATTCGGTCTTGAAATGCATTTAAATCATTTAATTCGGTTTTGGGAAATGCATTCGGGTGGTAAAAATACACGTTCTGTTTTAAAACGCATTATATTTAGAAATACGTTCGATTCTCACAATACATTCCGTATTTTCAAAAAAATATGTTCCAATCTTTCTTTTACTCTTTTTCTGCTTCGTAGCTTTGATCCGAAATTGCAGCATCAAGCTGTATACTCCCCGGGGGAGTTGGGATGGTATTTGGTATGGCTAAATATCCCAATTAGCAGGTTTATGATGTAGCGCTTTCAGCATCAATATTGATGGACACGTGCGTTTAGCACACATTATTATCAGAGTTAATGTATTTGGTTTAATCAGGCATTATCACAAATTGTTAACGCTCTTCGATGAGTAGCGTATTACATGTAATAATTTCTCGCGCAGCTGCTCAAGGTGCAAGCGATCTCCGGCCACGACACTGGAAACGATGTGTTACTTTTTGTCATCGAATTGTCAGTGAATAGCAAATCTATGTCCCAAGCAAAAATCAAGCAAGACTATTTATGAGCACTACATAATTGCATTTCATTTTGGCTCGTGGTCTGATATTTCCTATTAAGCAAATTCATCCCTCGCCCAGCACTTTTCTGTGCTTTTATTTTCTGTCTCCCCCAGCAAAGCCAATGTCTGGAAATTACGAGAAAGACATCGTAGCCAGTCTGCTGAACAATTACGGGTCACGTGTGATCAGGCCCCTAAGGAACTCCTCACAACCAGTGGATGTCACCTTGCGCCTTCTGATTTCGCAGATTGTGGATTTCGTAAGTCCAAATTTTCTCTGATTTCCAGACAATACGATTGTCAATCATGGGGCATCCCTTTTTTTTCCTTTGGTTCTCATTTCCGACCGAACCTTTTTTGGGCTTCCGGGTTAAGATATAATATTTTGTTTTTTATTACCGCCGACCCTGTCTGGAACCCAATTAACAAATGAGGGCTCAGCCCTCGCACAAGTGTACAGGTGTGAGGTACATGCGACGTCTACAATATTAATAAAGATAATGGGTAATAAGCCTAGCACTAAATTTTCAAATGGGAGTCAGCCAGCTGACCCCAGCAAGCTCGTTGGCCGAGTGTTAAGACGTCTGCAAAGCAGGAAGCTATGGGTTCGAGTCCCATCCGAGTAGTTTTTTAATCACAATAATTATTCGGTACAATACTGAGTGTAACAGTGCATGAAAAACAAATATCGGTGAAAGGCAAACCCCAATATTGAAAATACGAGCAGTGAATTTATGAACTCGAAATTTCAAAACTGATAGCAAGGAAGACTGGTGTTTTGTTATTGAATTTAAAAAAAAGTAGTTTTACGCCCGGAAATCCCCGAGCTGTTGCGAACATAATCCGAGTGTTAACAAAATGTATTCGGTAAACTCCGTACATTTTTGGAAACGGGCAGGATCCGGCGTCTTTTTGGTCATGTTTATTTTTTAGCCGCGGCGGCTACTTTATTATTATTCTGGTTTATTTAAAACAAAAACACCGAGTCGACAGCCACTAAAATGTCTCTGATAAGACCGGCTTACAATAGTATAACATTAATAATACATATAAAACATATAAATAAAAGACATATAAAACATATAAATAAATTCCAATAGGACGAATCGTCAAGTTATTACCAGAAGAAAAACAGGATGTAATTCCTTATTAGTTACTTATCCAGACAGTTTAAAATTAGTTTGTTGTGCGTGGTTGTTAGTGAAATATTTTATGGTTATTAATATTTTATGATTAAGTTTTTTTTCTGTGAACCAATTTGTGAAAATTTTCGACTTTACACTGAATTTGAAACAAAACGTCATTTAATTCGCTAAAGAATGGGAAATGGGAAAAATATATAAAAGAAAAGTTGTTAAAGATTCTCTTATTTATACAGCGTTCTCGTTAAGTAATATATCCTGCTTTTCTTCTGGTAATAACTTGACGATTCGTCTTATTGGAATTTCAATGCATCAATACTTATTACTTATCCAGACAGTTTGAAATTAGTTTGTTGTGCGTGGTTGTTAGTGAAATATCTTATGGTTATTTTTTTTTCGATATTTGTCTGAAACAGGATGAGCCGAGACAACAACTGACTGTTAACGCTTGGCAGAAAATGGTACGTGTACATGAGGTAGAATACCGGTTCCTAGCAAGTGATGCGAGGGGCTAGAAAGGCTGGAGGCGTCCTTTTACCCTGAGACTTATCCCGTTTTTAAACAATATTATGAAAGAGCAATGTAAACCGCCATACCGGTGACTAAATGTTTATGTACACACGTGCGTCGATATACATTATTCGGTGCAGACTAAAATGTCATGGAATAGTAAGCAGCGCCATTGTTTGACTTGTAATAATTAGCTGTTGAAATGAGATAGCAAAGACAACCAAGTACTTCCAATCAGAAGAACACCAAATAGTTTAGTCAAAGAGTGACACGAATTATCTCTATCAATTTTTTGCCCCGAGAACATTGAGCGAAGAATCTCTTCAGAAATTAAAAGAGTGATTAACCAATTTCAATTTTCCCTTGAATTTCAAGTCCTGGCGAGATGACTTTCTAGTCTGGAACCCCAACGACTTCGGCGGTCAGGATACTGTGTACGTGTTGGAGTCGGATATTTGGATACCACGAGTCGTGCTACTGGAAAAGTAAGTTCCCCAACCTGTAGCGCCCAGAAACTGTTAGTGTTTGGTCGAACAATAGGTGTTTTTTTTTTGGCAATGACTGATTTATTTCAGGGCTGGTTGTGGTTTTAAAAGAAACATTTAGTAGAGAAGAGAAATGGAAATTTATTTTCGGAAATTGAAGAAGAGTATTGACTATTATAAAATATTCCACATATAATTATTATTTTCATATTCGATAAACAAATATGTAATTGATAGGAGAAATTGACAAATTTTGTAAGGGGTCCCTAAACCACTCCTCTTGTCCCCCCCCCCCCCCCCCCCCCCCCACTTAAGTTTGGTTGATGGATAACTATATAGGTCTCGGTCAAATTAATCGCAGGGTTTGATACAAAGTTCTTGTTGTAATCTTGATTAAGCCTTGTTTTCACGAGGTTAATATACCTAACATTGTTGTCTGGCGTTTCCTGTTTTCAGTGTACATTATGAGTTTCCGAGTGTTGATGAGAAGGAATTGATCGTCTCATCAGACGGTACCGTGGTCTGGTACGCGTCCGCCATGTTCCAATTCTCCTGCAAGGTCTACGTCAAGCGCTTTCCATTCGACGTCCAGCACTGTAACATGACTCTCATGGCCTGGTCCCACGACATCTCCACCCTCAACCTGTCGTACTTTGACGACGAAGACACTAAGCAGTACATCTTCAGCAAGAATGGGGTTTGGAATCTCACTGGCGTTGAGATGACTCGGGTGGAGACGAAATACGCGTGCTGCGAGCACCCCTTCCCGCAGATCATTTACCGTTTGACCTTCCAGAGGGCGTCCTTGGTCTACATCTTTAGCATCTTGATTCCATCCATTCTCCTTGCAATGCTCACCCTGATGGTGTTCTGTATTCCCCCTGAGTCTGGGGAGAAGATCTCACTAGGAATAACCAATCTCCTGGCGTTCGTTCTCTTCCAGCAGCTCATATCGGGCAGCATGCCACCGATTGGTGACGAAACACCCATCCTAAGTAAATTGGAAACTTATTTGTGCCCGTCCGTTTCACATTTTGCTATAGGTCACTCGTACCCTGCATCCGTGGGCACCGACATTACATCGTTCTTTGTCGACAAGTTTGTGTCGGCATCGTACATTTTAGATGTCAACACGTAGATAACTTAAGATGTTTCCAACCAGTAATAAATGAACAAATAACGAGTATTGTCGACGTATCATTGTTCTAAACCACTCCCCCAACACGCACACAAGCCAAACAGGTTTCAGTGATATTAAATGAATGTAACCCCCGAATGTCAGTTTAGAAACGCATGATGTGAAGACCTAAATACTCTTCTAATAGAGCCCTCTCTAGGAATGAAGGGTGCCTGATCCATATAACAGCCTGTTTTTGTCAAATTCCTGTTTTCCATGCAGCCATCTACATTTTCTCCATGGTTGTCATCGGTTGTGCCTCCATCTTTGTCTCCGTCTACGTCCTGTGGCTGTTCCACTCTCCCCCAGAGCGGACCGTCACACGCCGTCTGGTCTCCGCCATGACGTACTTCAGTCATGACCCGAGCAAGAGCAGGGTTACTTGGAAGGCTGTGGCTTGCAAGTTGGACCGGGTCTTCTTGGTTTTGTTCCTGGTGTTGACTCTTATTGTCATACTTGCATCGTGTATTGCACTCGCAGTTGCCAAAGATGGACCCAACTGATTTCATTAAAACCTCTTATTTTTGTGAAATCGCGGCTGCGTCTACAACAGTGGCTTTTGCCTTGGCTCTCGAATTATTTCAAAATCCTAACCAAGATGTAATCCAGACTCTGATCTTGTATTTATAAGTTTGATTTTCCCAAAGCAAACCATGGACTGTATAATTGTATTAATTCGGAGTCCTCAACAAATGATCCAAAATCACCTGGAGCCGAACCGCACACGAAGTCGACCTTTAGAAAACCGCTTAGATGTGAATGTCGGAACATAGTATTTGCAGGTGATTGACATCCATATGAAAAAACATTGACTTAGTAATATTTTATTGAAGCAAATAAAGGCAAGTGTGCACAATAATATTCAACTTTAACCCACGTAGTGTAAAGCATTCTTGATGTCTTATTTTTTATGTTTACAGAGCCATCCAGCTGTATAGACTACGAGATCTTTCAAATTGTTTTTACATGAATTGGCATTTTCGAGTAGAAGTTGGTAACATAATTATTTTACCTAATGATGGTTCGTAAACAACTATAAGTTTATTATATACTGACAAAAATGTAGACCTAGCGGTACAGAACCTTAATCTTGAGCTCCGGAAAATCACTACTTTGCTTTTGGCCGATAAATTATGTATAAATGGTATTAAATCAAATTATATAATATTTTGTGCTAGCCACTGAGTACAAGTACACTCAGTCTGCTCCTATAATTTTAAATGATACTGATTTTGATCAGGTTAAGGGTACCAAATTTTTGGGAATGCATATTGATGAGAATTTATCTTGGAAGAAACATAGAGACAATATAACAGCTAAATTATCCAAAAAAAATATAAGTATAATGAACCGTCTAAAATATATTCTACCTAGTACCATGTTACTAACCTTGTACAACTCATTTGTTTTACCGTTTTAAATTACTCATTTCTGACTTGGGGTAGTCCAAATCCTACATGCAACAAACTGCTTACTCTCCAGAAACGAGCAGTTCGAGTAATTTTTAAAACTGTCTTTTGTGAACACTCTGGGCCTCTATTTGCAAATTTAAAATTGTTAAAATGCACAGACCTGCATCATCTTAACTTAGGAAATGTATGTATAAATATATGAATCGTGCATTACCTGCTTGTTTTAACCTCTGTTTAACACTTACATCAACCATTCATTCCCATAATACCCGCAGTACTACTAGGAAAATCTGTATGTTAATTATAGTAGAACTTCATTGTCCAAAAATAGTGTTGTTCAACGTGGCCTCTATATTGGAGTAGTCTGGATGACTCTTTTAAATCATCACCCACTCTCTCTATTTTTGCTAGAAACTAAAAACTCATTTGTTAATTGCATACTCAAGCATTGTGATAGGGATAATAACGGCCTTGATTACTGTCTGACACCGGTGTCTCTATCACCTACTCTCTCTATTTTTGCTAGAAACCTAAAAACTCATTTGTTAATTGCATACTCAAGCATTGTAATAGGGATAATAACGGCCTTGATTACTGTCTTACACCGGTGTCTGTGCTCTGTCTTTTCATGTATGTCTGACACTTTTCTGTCTGTCCATAAGCTGGGGAACAAAAGCTGCTGCTTCACCCCGGACCTAGATGTTGCCATTTAGTTAATGTTAACTATTGTAAATATATCTATGTATGTATTGACAATTTGAATATATAACATTATGTATTATGTATCATCCTTATGCAGCATCGAAATAAATGTATGTAATGAAACAGGATTTGGAGTTCGTTCTAACACAGTCGGTCCCCTACTGCTGCCGTTCCTGGAAAGTGCGGTCAAGCCAATTCAGTCTGTGGAACTTTGGCACTGTAATCCGTGGAATTCCGAGCATAAACAGTCCACTTCTCACGATGTATGTAGGTTAATGAACGCTAGTGAGTCGAGGTACGTTTGGAATGTTCCAGGGGCGGCGGAACGCTTTTCAAATTTAGGAGGGGGATACCAAAAAGGAGCACTTCGGTGTGAAAGTGCGAAACCTGCGGCTTTCACGATGACGGATCCAGAACACATTTTTGTTAGGGGGGAGTGAGTCCACAAATTCACAGTGTAGGGTTCGCGGCCCGCTTAAGGGCTCCGGAAAAACTTGATTATAGATGCTCTCTGGTGTGATCTGAGGCAATTGCTGACCTCTTAAACCAATATTGGTGAAAATATATAGTGGTGTATGTAGTGGGTGTTTTTGTGACATCATGGGGGGCATGGCCCCGTTGCCCCCCCCCCCCTTTGGATCCGCCTTTAGACCTTCGGCACACCTCACACTCTCTGATCCTGGCGGCAGTAACCTCTCTCGGACCGCCCATGAACTTGACTAGTAATGTAGAGAAACCATTTTTTTCGCGAGGGGTGTACTGTTGCTTTTAATGTCCAGCACAGTGACCATATAATTCGCGTTAGGAGGAGTACTGTTATTTTGAAAGGCCAATTTTTCATGAACGTGTACGTGTACTCTACTCTATTCATGCATTATTTGGACGTAAGCTGCAGTCGTCCAAGTCAAAGATATGCAGAAATATTTTATTAGTCAATTTGCGTTCATAAAATCTTGATTTGCTCTGTAAGTTATTCATGATGACGTAAGGACGTACTGGTACCACTACATATCATGTACATGTATGTGTAATAATTGTTATCGTCCTTGTATTGTGGTAAAGGATTGGTCATCTTGAGGGATATATTCACCTGGCTATTTCTTGGTAATCTTGAAAGCTTTTCCTCAGTGCTAATATTTTACCATTTTGCTTTTGGAAGTTCGACGATTAAGTTTGGTTTGGAAGTTCGATAATTAAGTAACCCATCCCCCGGTCAAAAAGTGGGGGAGGGGTATATAGCCCTTATCCCCCACCCGGGATTTACGCCCCTGGTCGAGTTCCTCAATATAACCCATGATAATAAGTGAATAATATTAAAGTGAATAAAGAATGTACTCGGTCAACTGAGATTGCTGTCTCGACAACCCCAATGGATCATATCGGCTCTTGGTTATATATTTGTGTCGACAAGGGGAGTTGGAAATGGCATTTGAATATTCAAATCCTTACTCTGCACAACCTTCAAATAACGCAATGAGCCAAACGTACATTTATCATGGTACTATGTATGCAAATCTTAACTAGCCAGTTCTGCTATTAAGTAGGCCTACTTGATAATGTATATCACGTGTAGGCCTACAATAAAAAAAATATAAAAATAGAGCAAACCTCGTTTTGCTTGCCGGGAAAGTAACTTTTAGTAGTTTTCAGATCGCGTTAAACCTGTTTGAGGATTGTAACAGTTTTTTTTTCAAATTTTTGAAGAATTTTTGAAATACTCTTGTTCGTATTGGTTGTTCTAACTGTGAGATTTTCTCTAGGCACGAAGGATTTCAAGGTTGAGTTAAGATAATACGAAGTGCCAACAAACGGCATAAAATGTCCTGTGGTTTGGCTTTTCTTGTGTTGGCCATTTATGTTTCGTAATAGTTTCAAGATGGTCTTGGTTGAATTCAAGTGCAATGCAAACACTACAAACTCCCGTGCCTTTTGTTAACAGCCAACTAGACAAGCTTTGCTGAAAAAGCAGTCAGTCACTGCAAAGTGTACAATTCGCTCTTTTCACACTCGGCCTTTAGGCATGCATCGAAATGGCAACTGTAGGCCTACTCAATAAAAATAGCCGGTTCAGTGATCTGAACCCCAACACGGGAATCACTGAACCGGCTATATCTATTGTGTAAAGTTGCCAGATCGAGGCTCATCATGCCCATGGCGGAAGTGTGAAAAGAGCGAATGGTAGTTTTCCTCTCTGAAACACCTTATTTTATTCAGGACTACATGCTGCCCACCATTCGTACATTTCTACAAATAAATCCTGCCCAAACTTCATACAGTTTATCGTGAGAGCTTACGTAGGTGTAGATCTATCATGACTCCATTGGCCCATCATTACCGTAAAATGCACGTTCTGCACGAATGCTCATCTGCATTGATGGCTTGCTATTATTAGCATACTCAACCATTACATACCGTCAGGGTGACCGTTTTAGCCGATTTTCGGCTAACTTTGCAGATTTGTTTTAAAAACGAGTTTGACAGAAAATATGACAGAATGGATTTTTTGGGCAGATTTCTGACAGAATTCTGCAAAAATGGATAGTTGACAGAACAACAGTAAATCTGAAGAAATATGGTACATTTGTTGAATAAAAAGCTTCAATCTTTTCAAACAAACCCTTGCATAATGGGTCAGATTGGCTTGTCTAGGTGCTGAGGTTCACGATTCCGGAATTTCAAGTCGTGATGCAACCTTGGTTTGCCTGAAATTTACGCAATTTCATAGCATCTTTATGTTACTTTAGATTGTTTATAATGTAATTTGAACCTTAATTAAGGCAAAACTACAACATCTGCATGTGATTTTAAGTGTTTATGGTGTATTTCGAGTAATTCTGGAGAATTTGGCAGATTTTTGATAAATCTGGCAGATTTTTGATAAATCTGACAGATTTCTGAAGTGCATTTGGCAGAATTTGGCCACGACCTCACGGTCACCCTGCATACCGTAGATCACACAACCGTTCGTTGCGGAGTGGTTGTCAGAAGGTTACAAATATCCGGATGTCGATCGTCATTTTGAGGACCCAACTAACACACTATAAATAGCCCACAGTAGCAACATCTCCTTGGAAGGGATCTGTTTTAGTCTTGTGTAAGTGTTGCTAACGCCACAGAAACATCCTGAATTATATGCGTATCATAACACTACACAGGACTATACCGAGAATGGTTCGACGAGAGCATATTCACCCCTTGACACTACCAATCTTGATCGTGATGTGTGGAGTAACAGGTAAGAGTAGATAATTAAGAGGGACACAACATAATCTCCAAACAAGTGTTGGTCTCATTTAACTTACTAATCGCTGTATCGTGTTTCATTTTCTCGTGTTTGTTTGTTTGTTTTGTTTTATAATTTTTTCTTTTCTGTTCTGTATAGGAAGATTTTAAAAGCACTTGCTTCATTTTCGTCCCTACATTAAATACAGTACAATTTAAAATTTGCTTTTCTGTTATGATACATGTAAAATGTATTTCTATACATGGAAATACAAGTGCTATGCAGATCTTTTTGAATCGATGATGTCAATGCATATCAGCAGTAAATTTCTTTGTATAAAAAAAATAATGGATGTACCTTTTTCACGAAATCTGGCGAAGTATGAGGTACAGATTCATAGTTGCTCCTTCATGTTGGCATTCTCAAAACCTCAGCATGAAGTTATCTTGTCAGCCTGTCATGCACACTCTTCTCTCCATAGTGGCATTGGTGTCTGGAAATAACGAGAAGAACCTAGTCGCGGAGCTGCTTGGCAGCTACGGATCCAAGAGCGCCAGGCCTGTGCAAAACACTCACCAAACACTCAATGTTACCTGTCGCCTACTGATAGCGCAGATTATCGAGTTTGTAAGTAGTCCAGCCTTCAAGGTTATAGACTCATTTGCCTTTGTTTTAATGTCATGAAATTTACTGATTTGAAGGATGTATTCATTGAGAGCAAACATCGTTCCACTGAGCTGTCTAACGTTCTGTGTCCATTGGTGCTGGGAAAGCACAAACAAAATGTTGTTACCAGCCGACATGATAATGTGTAGCTTGCGGAATCTGTCCGATTGCATAGCTGCCCGAGTGCCGGCTCTGTCGTGGGAAAGTAAAACATGACATTTTACCCGAGCGCATAAAGTCAGCAGCGAATATAGGTCCTGACCATCGTTAGTAGGTTACTGATACAAAATGATTCTTTTCTTCAGAATGATAGCTAGTACTATATAGGAACAACAATTTTGCAGGATGTTTTTAACTATTATTACTTACAATGTAGAATGCTGTTTCATAATATTTTGGTAGTTTCGTTTCTCAGTTTTTGCAAAATAATTATATACCTTAATTACCTTTTCTGGAGGTACTCGTTTGAACAGTCACGTTATAATCAGTTTGTCTCCTGATGAACTTTTGACTTCCGAGCACATCATTCAGCAAGGAGAGAAATCGTTTCTCGTTGATTCATATTATAGTCGTGAACTATCTGCAATTTTATTTTCGTAAAATTGTAGAGACCAGCTTGGATTTAGAACCAATATTTAATGTTCTGTTATACGTCAGACGACTTCGTTATGTTCTTTTAAAACTAATTTTCAAATAAATGATACTTTTAAAATCAACAGAATGAGCCCAAACAACAGCTGACGATAAATGCTTGGCAGAGATTGGTACGTTATAACATATCTTGCTTACTATATTTCGGGAGCTTTAAATTGTAATATGCATTTAGGGAATAAATTTGTGATTGGCCGATTTTAAACAAGTCCGTTTAAGACCAGCGTGGGTAATGGACGCCGATTGGCGACCAGGCCCCTCACCGGTCTAAAACGAACTTTTTTACTTTCGGTCAAAAATATCTTACAATTCAAAATCATCGAATCCTGTCGTGATGTTTGATGAAGTTTAGGATTTTCCAGGCTTATAGATTATTCTAGAGCCGGGTATAAGGTCCAGTTGAAAACATAACTTATTTTGCTCATTTTAAAATATATTTCGTTTAAATTTCAAGTCATGGCGCGACGAATTTCTTGTCTGGGACCCAGTGGACTTCGGCGGACAGACTGAGTTACACGTCTTCCCGTCCGACATATGGACTCCTAGACTCGCACTCATGGAAAAGTATGATTACATTTGAAATAAACTGATCATCACCTTTGTTTTTATAAGCTCTTCGTCTTATGATTTAATGAAAAACAACGAAAACTATTATTCATAACATGGAATTTTTGCGTCGGGGTGATGTAAATCACATTAGGTTTTGCCCTTCACCGACGTATAAACACTGTATACTCAGTGTGTTACCTTCCGAGTGATGTTGGAAACAAAAATCACTCGGGTTTTTTTTTTTCGGAGAACCTGTAAGCAGTAATGAAAGGAAAAGCTTCATTGAGAACGTCACATTCATGGAATCTGCATACAAATGTTATCTTTATAGATCATAGCTCATAGATCATTAATTTTGCAGATTGTTATTCTACAATCTCGTGTTTGGTGGGATAGGCCTATTATAATAAGAATCACATCTTTCTGCATTAACGTTGCCGTTGCAAATGACGGCCATATTAAACCGGGTTCTTAGAGCATTGTTTCCATTGAAGATGTCATGTCCATAATACTATCGATGCTGTATTTATTATTGTCTCTGTAGTGTCAATTTCGACTTTGCAAGCATAGATGATACGGAGATCACCATAAGTCCGAACGGTACAGTCAATTGGTACACACCAGTCATTTACCAAGTCTCGTGCAAGGTTGACGTCCGGAATTTCCCCTTCGATGTCCAACAATGCAAACTAACCTTCGTACCGTGGGTCTACGAAAAGACGGGTCTGGCCTTGCAGAACTCCATTGGAGCGGACACTAAGCAAACTGCTTTCAGCGAAGACGGAGTGTGGAGTCTGGTGGATGTGGATGTGGCTGGTGTTGAGGTCAAGTACGCTTGCTGTGAGAACCCTTTCTCTCACATCATCTACACACTGACCTTGGAACGATCATCTAGCTTCTACATCTTCAGCATCTTGATTCCCTCCGTTCTCCTGACTACCATTACCTTAGCCGTGTTCTGGATGCCGGCCGAGTCTGGGGAGAAGATCTCTTTAGGTATGACCAATCTCCTGGCGTTCGTTCTCTTCCAGCAGCTCATAGCAGGAAACATGCCGCCACTTGGTGACCAAACGCCGATCATTAGTAAGTAGACACAATTTGATTCTCCGCCCATTGGATGAGGGAGTTTACCTTTTCTTTACAATTAAGTTTGACTTTCGTTGCTTAAGTTGCGTTTCTGTGTTCTTCAACAAATGTCTTTCTTTTTTTTCCTTTTTGTAATCCATTTTCAATTTGTGCGGTTTATTCCCATCAAGCATTATTTGGTGCTGTTTTGTAGATGTCTGGGATGTTTTGTTCGGGATTCCATTATCGATAATGATATTTGATACTGATTATCGATACTAATTGTGGGGTACGAAACAGCAGGGGCGGCGGAACCGGGCGAGGGGGCACGGGTGCACTTAACCCCCCCCCCCCCCCCCATTTCCCCAGGCCAACAAAGTGCCCCTCTCGCGGTCATAAATGGGGCCCCTCGAGCTAAAAACAAAACTGCCCCTCAAACGCACACATGAAAGCATTATGATCGCGCTTAAAAACAATATTGTGCTCCTCTCCCGATAACTTATCGAGATGGAAAACTACTCTGTGCCCCTCTTGAGATGGAAAACTGGCTTGTAAACAAAATAATTGTGCTCCTCACGCAAATAAAATTGTCACTGAATTGGCCATCAAAAACAACAGTGCCCCTCTCACTATAAAATAAATTTGTCTCTTTGCATAGGCCTAACTAGTCAAATCCAAGGGCGGACAAAGAGAGGTTACTGCTGGGGTGTGCCGGAAGCGGAAGGGCTCTCTCAAGTGAAAAAAATACCTCATTTGATAACAATATGGCTATATTGAGACTATTTCAAAAGGCCTACGCTGTAATTTTTTTGAGTATGGGAATTAGGATGTTTAAATTTTTAACACAAACATTTTTAAAGTGTGTATCAACGTTTTTTGTAAATTTTGTTCCGGTTAACATATTCCTTGCAAAGTGAACGAAAATAGTTTCACAATTTTCTTCTCTTTCTCACCGATGGAAGGTGCCTTTTTTCTGAGCAAGTGCCGCTTTTTGATGATGCCCCCCCCCCCCCCCCCCCCCCCCCCCCCGTTTGAAAAGCGTTCCGCTGCCGCTGCGAAGTAGCCTACCCCGGAATTAATGTCTGGCAGCCAATAATCGAAATTATACAGTAATAATTCAATATACATGCAGGGCACATTTTTTTCTGATCGATGTCCCATTCAAAACATGAATGGCTAGCAACTATAGGTATCTTTTTGTTCGGGTGAAACTCGAGAATTGGACGGGGAACGCAGCTTTATAGTTTTGAATGTGAGTACATGTGAAAAAAAGCACTGAATTCGTGTATTCACATGGGGTTACATGGTTTCAAATAGTGTTCTGTGGTCAAATAGCTGACATAATGTGATGCCTTAGTGAAAGTTTTTCTAAGCGCAGTGATTCATGACCGTTACTGGCCTGTTTTAATACGGCGCTGCATGGGATAGAGTGCGTTCTGCACTAGTTGTGTAGCAGTCTGAAAATCGACGCACTTTTATCTGGAAATTAAAATATGTGCGAATGCGGCTTTTAGGTTGATCTTTAAACCATGTAAATCAGACATCGCAAGATCCGGAAGATTGAGGGAAAATCTTAGGATCCTAACATTTTCCGATAATGACGGTGAATTCCTGAAATGCCACATAAGATTAGTTGTCCTGTGAGGGATACCATTGTAAAAGTTGTGTTTCCCTCAATCCTTACAGCTGTCTACCTCTTCTGCATGGTGGTCTTGGGTTGTGCCTCCATTTTCGTGGCTGTTTACGCCTTGAGGTTGTACCACACAGCTCCCGACAAGCCCATACCTAAAACAGTCGTCGGAGTAGTGAAATGTCTCAGTCGTCAGAAGATCCCAGTCACGTGGCAAGCGGTTTCCCGGATGACAGATAAGGCCATGTTTGTTTTGTTTCTGGTGGCATCCATCGTGATCCTGTTGTTCACGTTCATTTCAATCAAACATGACCATACTCTGTATTAAGATTCATGTATTTATTGGTTAACGTTATGGTTAGCAGGTTATGGGGTTACGTTATAAGGTTTAAGTTATGGTCAGAACACGACATTAAAGTTATGGTCAGAACATGTTATAGCTTTTTTGAGTTTTGTTTTGGTGAAGTTAAATGTTCTTACAAAATTATCTTTTATATTTTATACTACCATAAGATTCCAATGAAGCATAGTTTAACGTTTGGCCTTTTTCATCGAAAACTAAAGCCCATAACAGTAAAATCCGTAGGGTGCGATAGACTACGCTATTTTTATTGAACACTTCTACAAACAGACTGTTCCAATGTTATGTTCAAACGTTTTGAATAGTATAAAACCAACATTTTGTTAAATGTCAATTACATTTGATCACGAGGTTTTAATTCCAGGTAAACGAGCAAGTAAATCAAAGAGGACCATGCAACTATTATTTTGATTCTGGTCTTTTTTTATTAAACGGCGTCACTATTGAGGTTAAACTTCGTTGTCGAATTCTAAGCTTGAAGACGATTTGAACAGGCCGAAATACATCACTATGATCACGGGGACGGGGTGCACATATGCAAGTGGGAATACCATTAAAAAAATAAAAATAGTAGTAGGAGAATAGGGATCCACTGTTATGTAGTCTTACCTTCGATATTAGGGCAATATGTGTAATGTTCATCGTATTTCATTTGGGGTATTGTTCACACCCCCCCCCAAAAAAAAGAGATGGCAACGTGACAATAATACTGATAAACTGCGTTTTAAGGCCAAGGATCCTCTTCCAGGTTTTTCTTTACCTAACTTAAAGTTTATGTGAAGGGTTTACACAATATATGGCGGTTGTCGCCATGAAGCTGTAAAGTCTAAATTATACACATTTTGACAGGCAGAAGAATGACCAAAATATTCTTTAAAGGTTTGCATTTTGTTTGTCAGGTTGGTTGGTTGTTTGTTGGGGTGTTGAAGTGTTTGTATAATTATGGGGGTTTTTTTTGTGCATTGCTTTATATCTTTATTAGATACTATACCGGTACAACGTTCATGTTCTTCACATCATTTATCGATTAACTTGATTTGAAATAAAATAAATCAAAATTCTTATTGAAGGTGGGAAGAAGTACAGCTTTGCTTAGTACAGACTTCGTTAATACTTCACATTAAGTCGAAGAAACAGCATTTTGTGGGTCGGAGGCTTAAACGGGACTACATATAGTGCGCCACCAACGTTCGTATGTTTCTCAGACGTACTTCGTATGTTTTTCAGAACGCTGCATCTTCGGGGCTAATAGCTCAGCTCTCATTGAACGATGTTTTCTATCCGGGGTCAACACGTTCTCAGCTCTCATTGGACGCACTATTTCCCCTTGTTACACAAATCAGAATAGATGTAATCATCTTTTTATTTCAATCACAAGGTCTATCTTGGCATCAGTGGCAATAATTTAGATTAAAATGTAATCAGTCAAATTTAGAACTTACTGAATCTCCAACAGCGTTGACTCCTTGACACACTACCTTATTCACAGTGATGTGTATCAGCTCCAATCAGAACCCCAACAAACATGTTACGCTCTCAGATTGAATTTAAGCTTCCTGGAAAGCATTGATAACATCTGTCAAAATTACTTTGATGCTTCTATCAATACTTTCCAAGCGCAAGCTGATAGGAAAATTTCCACTTTCTACAGTTGCGTAAATTTGTGCCGGCGAGTGGGGGAATGGGGGATGACCAAAGTCCAAAAATTGCCCGGCCGTGGAAATTCGAAGGGGGGGGGGGGTTGTACTTTGTTTCACCATTGTTCAGTGCCATTGAATACATTTTTGTTGTTGGGATGTTCGAAAAATACTTTGAAATCCGCATTTTTTTTCTCATCACGAAAAAGGGGGGAGGGGGTAATAAAAAAAACAAAGCCTCAATTGGTTTCGTCTTCTTTTTGATGATTTGATCACAATTTTGTAAATGGAACTTTCCTTGAATGCAAGCTTTGGACTTACTTCGAGTCTTGCAAAACCTCGTAGTGACGGCCATTTTGTGCATGTAGTAACCCTGTGCAATTCCATATTCTTTGGCCTGGAGGGGAAAAAATTACCTGTTAACGCAACAAAAGAGCGTGATTGAAAATACGTTGCAACATTAACAACGTATAGGCTGAGGGTTACTGGGTTGTGCGTGGATTGTTTCCATAAAGTTTATAACAACTCTACCAGTTGTAATCAACAGTACCCTATAAAATAAAATAAGTTTAAAACAAATTGATGTGGGTCTACTTACTGACTAGTAAAAGCCCCCATCATTTCCATAATTTTAGAGGTACATCCCCACCATTATGAATCACCACAATTACGACTTCAATACCATTCTCACCGCTACAATAACCGCATTCACAACTACCATCATTATCACCAAAAGGCCCCCCCAAAAAAAGTCTCCGGTTTCTGGTATGCGCGCGCGTCGCCGTAGCCATGCGCGTCGGCAAACTGAAAAAGTTTTTTTTTTTCAATGAAAGATGATGTCTCAAAACCGCCAAACTCACTGGTTTGACTGGAATCCTGCTGCTGCACAATTTTAACGTGTTTTTAGATTGGGTTATGGTCGCGAGAATAAGCTTTATGTGGCCTCTCTGGACTCCCATATATTTGCACTAAGTTTAGTCGGGCATCATTTGCAGTCATCAGCCGACTTTTGAAGCAAAACAATCAGGTAAAAAAAAAAAAAAAAGCCGCTTCGCCGCACCACTTTTTGGGCAACCTCCATAACAGAAACCGGAGACTTTTTTTTGTTGGCATAATGCCTTCTTTAAATGCGTTTAATTACTAATACACGGCCATGGGCCTACACTCGGCTCCGTGCACAAGAATGAACCGCCTATCTGTTGTTATTTACAGTTTAAAAAACTCGGCTAATTTACGGATTTCATGCAATTCCTGATCTTTCGCTGTCTTTGCACTCCCTCCACGTGTCGCATTCAACTTGCATCATAAGGCATTATGACGACGTTTTCGTGCAGTACTATAGACAGTTTTGTAAACTACACCATCAACACCGGCAAGCGCACAGCTGGTATCAAACCTAAAGCACTTGTTTTGTGCATGTTGGGAGTTTTAATACGCAATTCTTGAGGGCGCTGTTAATCTATCAGCCGTGATGGGTGCACACCAGTAAATGATATCGACTCCTACAGACCTCAGTGATAATCACGCGCGAAACTCTCCAAGGTGTTTGAGACACTCATCAAATTAGAGCTTATTGCATCATCTTTAATTTTCCGATCAAGTTTGGGTGATAATCCGATGATTTTTGGGAGAAAATTCCATCCAAAGATGATCACCCCTAAAAATAGTCCTGTGGCCCATCACAATTTTTAAAAAATGATTAAAAGGCTCCATTGAAAAATATAGCACTAAAATTACCGTTAAAAAGTGCATGTTATTTTGAAGTGCATTTCTTGGCATTGGCATAGCAAAGTAGTGGGGGGCTCCATGCACCCCCCCCCCCAAAAAAAAGTATCCCAGATGCCCCCACACACACAAAACCATCTTTGTAAATGCCAGCAATCGTGGACTCCCTATTGTCCGTAATCCTCATTCATTTGTTTTGTTTGTACTTTTAGGAACAGCTCTCATTGGTTTTGTACACGAATTTCAATCGTGGTATCGGTCAATCGTGGACACATGTTTGTGGCGTAACCCTTTTGTCCTAGCTCCACGATTGCCGGTGTTTACTACTCACCCAGAGCCCGAAATGTACCCCTCGCCAGAGAAGTGTCATGAAAAAGAGCGCCCCCTATTGTCGCAGCATTAATAATAATGGCCGACACCGTTTTCAAACTGAATAGGTATAAAGCCAGTAAATAGACTGCCGTTGACCTCAGTGATAATTACGCGCACTTCCCAAAATTATCAAAAATACTCACAACTCCCCAAAGTAGTCGAGGCACACATCAAATTAAAGCTTATTTCATCATCTTTCATTTTATGATCAATTTTAGGGGGTTACCTAATGACTTGTGGGGAAAAAAATCCATCCAAAGATGAGCTCCCCTAAAAGTAGTCCTGAAGCTCATCGCAATTTGAAAATGGACGCCTATCCATTGCAAAATAGAGCCATTGTAGCGCCTAATTTCATCTGTATTTCACCGTAATACGAGTTCGCAGTCCTCTGCATGGCTTCCACCCTTCGTTTCTACAAACCCTCAAGTTCGTGGCTTTCGAAATGCTCTAATACCGGAGAATTTGCGGGCATGCAAATTGTGATTTGGCCGGTGTGGCAGGTAATTCTGTCCCCCCTGGTAAATGTGTCCCCCCGGACAGATCTACCGGGTCGTGACCCGGTAAATCTGTCCGGGGGGACACTTTTACCTAAACCTGTCCCCTGTAAACCTGTAAACCTGTAAACCTGTCCCCCTCTAGGTAAATCTGTCCCCCTGCACGACGTTAAATGTGTCCCCCCTGGTAAATGTGTCCCCGTGCAAAGTCACAAGTCTAGCACCCAGACTGTATATTAGTGAAGTTATTTACTGTTTTTGCGCGGCGCCTTGCTAAATTCGGGAATGGTGCTTACGTCAAAGCACAACTCCCGTTTTGATGACGACTTCGGGAGCGAACGATTTGCATGGTGGGCGTGCGCGCGATACCGCACCTACGGGCCGCGCCAGGGCCGCGGCCGGGGACGGGGACAACATTGCACCAGCAGCAGGCCTGCGGCGCGGTGACCCGTGTCGCGTATAATTTTGCCAATTCTCCTCATTGAAGTCCGCCATGACCGTCACACGCGTATCGGCGGCTGATGCGCATGCGCGCTAGCGATAGGTTGAGTATTACTACGCGTGCCTTCTCGCAGAAACATAGATCGGTTGATTAACATCTAAACGTTAATTTCATTTTGATAATTATTGATGAAGGGTGGAAAATCTAAAAATGTATACCTGTGCGCTGAATTTATTATAATAACATCAATATAACAACTTATGCGTGCAAAACCAGGGGGTACAGAATTAACTGGAGGGGACAGAATTACCTGGAGGGGGACACAATTAACGGGACAGGGGGGACACTTTTACCTAGGTCATTCTGTCCCCCCGGACACTTTTACCGGGGGACAGAATTACCGTCCACAGCGGCGTAGGCAATTTCAGGCCCATTTACTGGCATGCACCCTTTAGTTCAGGTTTCGATAGCCGCGCGTGATATTCTGTCATCGGTGTTTGCCTTTTACAATCTCTTCCGCGTCATTCATTCTGCTATCATTCTAACTGTTGAGAAGAACTTAAAAGAGAAAAAAAATGTCTCCTCGCGGGGCTTCTGTTTTTATACTTGTCTTCGTATTTGTGTCGATGTTATGTGGCACATTTTCAATGCCTTCATTTGTCTCCAAACGTTTGTGGTAAGTTGGATGTGTTAATCTTTTGTTTCTTGACTAGAGTTGACACACTAGATTTTGTCTGTGATAGCTGTTCCCAATTTCAATTTCTTTTGTTTTTCTTTTGTTTTTCTTTTTCACTTTTCCCCATGGGTATTGTGTAAGTTTTCATTTTACATGCCACTTTGGGAACTTTTTTTTAAAGTACGATTACCTTTGTACATTGCATAGACGGTCATTTAAGCAACATGTGAAGATGTGTCCCGCAAAATTTCGTCATCGTGACTTCATCAAAACAAAAATATCTCACTAGAAGATAGCTATGATTCCCGTTCTTTGCACAATGCATTATAATTGCCTTAAGGTATGGTGTTCTATAGACGCCAAATCTGCGACGCGTCGTGCTTTCACGTCGTGCCGTCGCGTCGTACCGTCGCGTCGTGCCGTCGTCCGTCGCGTCGTGCCGTCTCCCGTCGCGTCGTGGCGTCGCGTCGTGCCGTCGCACCGTTTCTAAGCTCGTACACTGCGTGAGGAAGCGACGCACCTTCACACGTCGCGTCGTGCCGTCGTGCGTCGCGTCGTCCGTCGCGTCGTGCCGTCGCCTGTCGCGTCGTGCCGTCTCCTGTTACCTCGGCGCTCCTAAGTAGACTGCTTGAAGAGGCGACGCACACATTGCCCGTCGCGTCGTGCCGTCGCGCGTCGCGTCGTGCCGTCGCCCGTCGCGTCGTGCCGTCGCCCGTCGCGTCGTGCCGTCGCCCGTCGCGTGACTGTATCTTTCTTGGCAATAGGTGGCGCCTTCATTCGTCATGTACTTGTGTTTAATAGGAAGGGGCGTAATCATACATGTCGCCACTACATTTTAAGTTAAATGGAATGGAGTTTGGCCGCCACCATGCATTAAAGTTTTTATCAGACTTGTGTTTTCTTAAAAAGAAGTGGTTTTCTGGCTAGGAAAATAGCAAGGAAGAACCGGTTTTGTGCGAGCAAAATTCAGGGAACAATCTGTTGATACTAAAAACTTGTTGCCGCCGTGAATAAGGGTTAAAAAACTCATCCGGTGTTTTGGCGACGCAGGGACTGGTTTGTGTACATGTGGTTTTTGTTTCTAGTTCACTTAATGATTTGATTTATACCGGTGATAATATGCCGTCCCACCTGTTTTTTCTTTTGTGTGTGTCGGGGGAAACAGTGCATATTTTCTGTGCCCTTTTTACGCACTTCATCAGTCACCCTTTGTTTAATTCTTTTATACGTATTTACTTTATTGCTAATGATGGTTAAGAATATTTTACGCGTTAGCATTTCTTGTAATGATCAGATTAAGTGGATTCCTTATTTTTTATTTTTATTTCGAAATCCATGCCTAAATGACCATTATGTTAGTTCTGTTCTTCAAGAACTTCCAATAGGACTTGTACGTTTTCCTCATCCAAGTTTTTTTTCTTGGTTGGATGGTGGAGATGGGTTAATCCCTGATCGGACCAGGCCATCTTTTATGTTTTTTTGTCGTTTGTATGCCAGGATGGGTTGGGTCGCAAAGAGTGCACTGTGAAAATCATTATCGCTGATCAGATTCCAATGTTTCAGAAGGGCCTGCTTAAGAGCTGGGTGTTTATTTTGTGGGTGGTAGGGTAAAACAAAGACCAGCGGGATATTCTTTTCGATTTTTGCACGCTTTTTAGAGTTCACGCGAGTTTCGCCTTTTTTGGGAAGAAGGGCTAAGTCTTCTTGGTTGTATCCGCGTTTTTGAAGTTTGTCTTGGAAGAATTCAGCCTTCTCCTCAAATTCTTTTGAGTGTGTACATACACGGTCATATCTCATTAATTCTCCCTTAATCAAACCGCCAAACACTGACTCAGGGTGGGCTGAATTTCGAGCAAGATACTGAAAGGTATCAGTTTTTTTGGTTGCTACTCGAGTATCCAGTTTCCCTTCTTTTTTGAACCGTTCGCCTTTGTAGATGACGAGGTCGAGAAAGGTGACTTGACTGTTTGAAATCTCTGACGTGAACTTGAGCGTGGGATGAATTTGGTTTAGAGTTTGGACGAGGTCACCGGCTTGGTCTTCGTTACCGTTAAATATTATTAAGACGTTGTCCCTGTATCTCACGTAACTCACAATTGAAGGATTGTGTGGGAGAATAATTTCTTTTTCATATTTGAACAGGGTTATATCGCATATTTCTGGACTGCATTCGCTTCCCATAGCCACGCCAATTTTCTGTCTGAAGAACTTTCCATTGAATTCAAATATGTTTCGATGCATGATAAGTTCCGGGAGACAGCGAGCGTGTTCTCTTGTAGGTTTGGGTATTGCGTACATACTGCTATCGGCAACTTCAAGTGCATCGCAAACTGATTCAATTGCCTCATCTACGGTGGGCAGTTCGTATACATGGACACAATATCCAATGTGATCAATAGGCTATCCTGCTTCAATGTCACGTTGTTTAGTTTTTCAAGCACATGCCCGGAATCGCGTGTATAATTATGTGCTTTATTGTTTGACAATCGGAAGCAGAAAATAGTCTATGTATTTTGAAATTGATTGAGTCGGACCTCCGCAACCACTAATAATAGGCCTCCCCACAAACCGTGTACAAACTGTACGACATAGCAATTTGCAACACTTTCACCACACGGCACGCATGTCATAAATACAGTACAGTTACATGAAGAATGAAGGTGCCACCTATTGCCAAGAAAGATACAGTCACGCGACGGGCGACGGCACGACGCGACGGGCAACGGCACGACGCGACGGCACGACGCGACGGGCGACGGCACGACGCGACGCGCGACGGCACGACGCGACGGGCAATGTGTGCGTCGCCTCTTCAAGCAGTCTACTTAGAAGCGCCGAGGTAACAGGCGACGGCACGACGCGACGGGCGACGGCACGACGCGACGGACGACGGCACGACGCGACGCACGACGGCACGACGCGACGTGTGAAGGTGCGTCGCTTCCTCATGCAGTGTACGTGCTTAGAAACGGTAATTTTACAGGCGACGGCACGACGCGACGGGCGACGGCACGACGCGACGGACGACGGCACGACGCGACGGTACGACCCGACGGCACGACGTGAAAGCACGACGCGAGGCAGGTTTGGCGTCTATAGAACACCATATTAAGGTGTGTGTGCTGGAATATGTCAAGGTCATGTGATCCTTACTTCCAGTGTTACCAGAATATTTTATTGAAGACCCTAATTATGATATCTCACGAATTATTAATTTGATGGGTTGATACTGTACATTATTTTGTAGGCAGCAATATTTAAAGTTAAATATGTTACATTCATATTACCATGCAATCTATTATTCTTATATTATGACGTCATGAATATTTAATGAGACAAATTTGTGGCATCATATCTCGGCAGTATGACAGGTATGATACTTTTCTTTTGCGTTTGTATCATAGTATACTGAAGGTGTGCCTGCACAGATGTAAAGGACATGTGACCCTTACTTCCGGTGTTACCTGAAGTGCAATAAGATTATAATTTCAATGTTTAAGTGACAGTGTATAGATAATTCATTCAACCATTTTGTACCGTCCAATAGACAATCAAAAACCATATTGGGAACAGCTTTGCGGTTGTTCAGTACTACCACAATCTTATTTTGATTTTTTTCTTGCGGCTTTGCTTTGCAAGTTTTTGCAAAAGCTCAGCAAATAAATGAAATGTGCTAGTACGTGAATCATGATCCATAATGTTTCTTAGACGACAGGCATGACACTAAAATTGACAGGATTAGTCAAAACAACTATCCTACAATTCTTCAATATTTTTGTCTGAAAGTATAAATGCAATATATTTCATTTAGTTTACTTTTAACCTTCACTGCATTGGATGATGCACAGCATTGTGTAGATTCTTCAATTTCTTTTTCAATTTATTTCTCAGTGAAAACTGTGTAGAAAACAAGCATACAAATTCATGGGACTATCTCCTCTTTGTGAACGAGTGGCCAGAGTCGTTTTGCAAGTTCTACAATGTAAGCGGATTGAACCAGTGAATAATTCCTTAAGATATAGATTTTCAAACAGAAGCAATCTCAACAGTTATTTCTGCTGCTCAGAGCATCAATAATAAAAAAAAAGTTAAGATTATGAGCTGAAGTGGCTAATACTAGCCCTAATTGGGGGGGGGGGTTCGTTTGTTTCTAAAGTTCCATAGTTTGTTCTGTTGACAAACTTGGCAAGAGAATGTAAGAACGATAGTGGCATTGACAAAAATGTTCAGGGTTTGAAATTTTCAGTATTTCAGTACAAAGAAACACATTGAAAATATAATATAAATGAGGACTTTTCATTGGTTATTTTGTAAATGTTGCGTTAACATGTGTACTCTTTAAGCTGTTAAATTTTATTATGTGTAACGGTCGAAAATTTGACTATTCACTGTTAAACTTAACAGTAATTTGCCTTTTGCAAAACGAACTTAGTAACATGTGTCATTTGGTGGAAATATTTGGCCTGCAAATTAACACATTTAACAATGCTGGTCTCAAAAAAAAAATTCAAGTTAAGTATGAAACTGACTATGAATTATTTTACCAAAAGATAAACAGATCTTCATTTTTTTTTTATAAAATTGTATTTAAGGCCAAAAAAAAAATAAGTCGGTCTCTGGTCAGCGCGCGCGTCGATTTTAATCATGCGCGTCGATCTTTTTTTTTTTTCCAAAATGTTCCGCGGTAGCTCCAACAGCGCCCTCTATTTCCGCACCTCCTCAATTTTGTTTACCAAAGAGCACCAAGGAATGGGAAATTGTACCAAGGCAAATGATCGAAAGCACCAAGGCAAATTATGGAGGACACCAATGTACATGAGGACGCCAAAAAAGCAAAATAGTACCCCACCTTGTCTGTACAATCCAAGCTTGAAGAAAAAAGAAAAAAAAGCAAAAAAAAAAAAAAAAAAAGCCGCGTAGCCGCGTCAATTCCGGAACTTTGGTCTGACCAGAGACCGAATATTTTTTTTTTGGCCTAATTGTCCAATTTTGAGCTTAACAAATGCCACATATTTTCACTTCCAGGCATCACACGGACATGATAAAAAAGCTGAGAAAAAATGCGTCATTCCGCCAAGCGTATCAACTTGGACCATCCATGGCACATGGTAAAAAAAAACCTATATCAGACTTTTCAATATAAGAAGATAAAAAAGGAAGTCTTAGACTGAAGAGAAAAATTGGAAAGTCCCTCGATGTTTTCTTTGATATTATTATTAAAATTATATTCAGCTTTTTATTTTTTGGTGTATTAGTTTGGTATATGTGATACTCTTGCTGTTGTCGTTGTTGTCGTTGTGGTCGTTGTGGTCGTCGTCGTTTTGGGGGAAATTATTATTAAACTTGGTGAACTTCACTTACAGTATTTGTTTCATTGTTACAGTATTTGTTTCACATAAATATTCCTTGAATGATCCTAGAACCACGTAATATGATATTCAGAATGTTCCATGTTTGTTAATTGACAGGCCCAAGAAGACAGGCACCAAAGGACCAACGAGTTGCAACAATACTTGGCAATTCAAATTAAGTCAAATTAAAGTAAGTAATTCATCAATACGTCTTTGCCTAATGAGAATGACATCGTTTTTGATTTATTTCTTTTTTTTAAATGTTTTTCGGTTTTTCCTTGTGTGTATTAATTTTATTTTACCTTTATTTTTGTTGCAAATGTAGGCATATTTCATCTTACGACAAGTGCAGGAATTTAAGTCTGTGCTGATTTTTTTTACGTTGAATTGAGCGAGTTTCCTCTGTTTTTCAGGATCTGGTTCCTGTACTGAACAAAACTTGGCCTGGGCTACTGACAGCAAAAGAATATTGGAGTTTTTGGTGAGGTCACAATCATTTCCTCATTTTCCTTCCAGTTCTGAGAAAACCTCCGAGAGCTGAACCACATTTGTGGTAAAAATACGCCAGTTTTCAACTCACCCCAGTGACCTAGTGTCACCATTCCATTCCTCATTCTTAACCTGAACATCATTGGAGTGGATTGCAAACCACTTCTGGTGTCCGTTTAAACAACCCTCCATATATTGTCCTCATTCGTAGTTATTGCCTCAAACATCAGCAGGATTCAGTCCCCATCATCAAGGACAAACTAGAATCCCTGATTTCTGTATGCCTTTTGGGTGTACTTTGCAACATGTTTCCTGTTTATGACAGTTTATTTATAGCACAAAGTGTTTGCTTTACCTGACATTGCAGTATACAAGGCTTGTATTGATGTGCCTTCAATCAACATTGCTCAATTAAAAGTAGCATTGCCCCTAACAATGGAATGGGTTTCAATTGCACACAGCTCATCAGTACTTATTGTGCGTCTCATTTCACCAGAACTTTTATATTGTGCATGTAGATAATTGTGTACAAATATAGTTACTTCCTCACTGCAATTGGGGTGGTTTTTTTTCAATATGAGTGACAGTTTCACAGAATCAAAGACTTTGTGGTTTAAGAAAACATTATTGTTATCTTTTGAAATGATAAATATAGATGCAAAACAAGATGCAACTTGGACTATAACATTTGAATACAATAGAAGAGTAAAAAAAACTCTCAGAGTTGAGGTATTTTTCCTTAGGGTTTTTCTGTTACTCAAAAGCCAACTGTTTGTGGACATATATGAAAGTGGAACACCAAGACAAAGATCAAAAGGGTCGTTCAGTTTTTCATCATGCTTCCTTAAAGTTTAGTTAAAGCTTGAATTCTTACCATTAGAATTCAAAAAGAAACCAAAACGTACATGACACATTCTCTTAAACTGATAAAAATCTAGCTTGATTCAGTGTAGGCTATACAGATTCCTGTATGCAGGGGAGATCTAGAGCAATGTTTGTTTGCACTCAGTACCTTATACTTATTAGCTCTCAACCAGGAAATGTCCTTGTGCATTTACTTTCTGTTTTGTTTCCCTGAAATAATATACCTAAAAGAAGATACGGTACTTGCCTGCATATTATTTCTTTTTTTATCTCCTTATCGTGAGTCATAGTGAAAAGCGTTTCTTCACACTTAATTATTTTGTCAAGATATATGATCATATTCCTATAAATATTTCAGATTTTGTTTGTCTTCCTCGTGAATGTTAAAAACTAATATAACTTAAGTTTGTATAATTTCCCATTATTTAGTCAGATGGTTTATTTTTAGTAACAGAAATTTCATTTCTCATACTGTGTAATTTTCAGTTTAAATACAGATTATGTTCAATATATATCTAAAAGGCCATGGCTATAAGTTCTTGTGTGTGCAAGTTGTGATTCTGTAAAATTATCCATGAACTTGCAGTCACATGTAACAATTTTGATGGCCATTTCGTACTCATTTCACCATTCATCCAGGTTACATGAATGGGATAATCATGGCACTTGTGCAGCTAGTCTTCCTGTTCTGTACGGTGAGCACAACTATTTTGACAAAACGCTCCAACTGAAGCAACAACATAACATTGACAAGTAAGTCACTTACTTTGACACCACTCACTTGTTTTACATAGTACATAACAAGAGTTCTGTCACCATTATGGAATCATGGGGTTATGGTGTGGTGGTATCGAATTTTTGGAAGACAGTTAGAGTGGAGCTGTAGTTATAGGGGCCGAATCCGCCAAAATCAACCAGGCAGTTTAGGGGATTGAGGCCGAATGGCAAAGGGTCAGTTGATTTGGAGGATACATTGAGCAAGGTCTTTGACTGTACCCTGCATTGTTCATGTTCAGCCATGCATAATTGAGGCTTACGTTATACTGAGTACCATCCACATTGCTTTTGGATTTTACCCACACTGCCTCAGTGTAATCCCATAAGGCCATGCAATAAACAAGGCTGCCAACGTGACTTACGGCGGGCGGCGATTTTTTTCCTCTCCCAAACGACATCTGCATATGGGTGTACGCTATGGCGTTTTGGGACTTTACTTTTCTAAAAACATGAGAAGAAAATATAAAATTAGAAAAAAAAATTGAATTCGAACGTTATGAAAGTCGGACTTTATTTCCCTTTAAAAAAAAAATCCTCCGAAGCCTCAGGTTAGAAAAGAAAAAAATTTGGGTACAAAACCGTGATTCGAACCCGCAACCTCGCGGTGCAAAATCACGACCCTGTATCGACTGAGCTATCGCACGTGCATGGGGGGGGGGATAATTATATACCTGCGTACGTATCATAAAAGTATCGTAGAGGGCGCTAAACAACCATGTATGCGGATGTAGCTTGGGACAAGAAAATTCGCCGGCGGGCGCCTCAGGCCGTGTCATAAACGGGCTTCCAGAGCTACGGCTACGTCTATTGTCAATGGGAGTGGACCTAGACCTAGCTTTAGACAGTTGATTCTGATGCAGCCTGTGTCATGTCAAAGTTCAACTTTCTTGCACGAAACTTCACCCGAAACCGTTCGTTTATTTAGCTCCACTGCGCATGTCTGTCATCACGCGAGGATCCAGGCGCGAGTAAGCTGGGGGAAGTAATCGAACGCACTCAGTATACGCAACAGTAATTGTCGAAGGATTTTGAATGATTGAGCCAGTGGTCACCCTTCCGGTGAAGAAATTGAAAAAACAAAATGGCAGAGGATTTTGGGGGATTGAGGCTATATCAAATTATTACATGGTAGCAATTGGAAGATTTTGCAGGATTGAGGATGTTCCTAGTCAAAGGCCCTAGGCTGTTAGGGTAATTATGTCAAAAGCTATCATGACCATCAATAAACATTCTGGATAAACAATCTTGGATGTGGTAGATTGGGTGGGGGAGGGGATGGAGGAAGTCAGATGCAAAGACAACTGCCGGTCATTATCCAACCCTCACAGTTGCTAAACTAATAGACCTTTATCATGCTGCCACCATTTCAGTCATGTAACCTGTATCCAATAACAGTACTGAATGATAATGTTTCTGTGCAAAAAGGAATCAGACTACTTTTTTTCCTTCCAGCCTCGCTTTGGTTACGTTGATTTGAATGGGGAAAAGTCAAGATGGCCGCAACATGATAATAGTCTATGTGATCCCTGATTCTCTACTTCAATTTATATCATCACAAGTGCATTCTCATTGCTGCCTTTCATCATATCCAGGATCCTGAGCAGCAGTGGCATTATTCCATCATCGACTGTCAAATATACTCGGGAAAAAATCCTGGAGTCTGTCAAGAATGCTACCGGGGGCATGCCAAATCTTATTTGTTTCCAAGAGAATGTAAGAATCCAAGCAATGTCAAGTGAGACTGATCAAGTAGGGCACTGTTCGTTATTTAATGTGAGTCATGTGATACAGTGGTTATTTTTGGTGATGGTATAACCATTTCCAATCTTCAGTTTCCATCACATTGTCAATAAAAACAATCAAGGACATACACAAAAAATCCATAAACAAATCAAGAACTTGTTTGTTTTTCTCAATTAACCAACGTAACCTTGCTATAATTCATTTGTTTTAAAGAAGCTGGAAATTGAGATGATTTGTGTAACGGTTAAAATATTTATAAGAGCAAAATAGATTCAGTAATAGCAGTCTGCAGTATTTTTATCTTTCATAAAGTTGGTCCGATCCTGACTTGAGTTAAGAGAATAATCTGTTTAATTTGTAGTTATGCATTGGAGAAAAAAAAATAATAACTTATTTGTTTTCTTAAGATCACTCATGAGTTTATGTGCCTATGAACAGTGGGCATTATATAGTTTATGTTTGTTGATGAGGGGCTTTCCCAATATTCGTACAACCTGTTAACATATGATATTCTATTCCTTTCATTCTGCATGAACAGAGTGGCTCTGACTTCAAGCAATACCTGCAGGAGATCAGAATGTGCTTGGATAAATCCCTGCAACCATTTGATTGTCCTGAATCGGAATGTATGCACTTGACAATGGCATACAGCAGCCCTTGCTCATCCAAGACTCCCATTGCATTGCCACCACTCACAACAGGGAATACAGTGGTGTAGTACATAGTAAATGCTGAGTCAAGCAGTAGGCCTTTTAAAGTCATAATAGGATTACTTGCATTTATCCTAAAATTAACCTCCCGAATTATTACCAAAAAGCTTTTAAAGATCGTTCTGGAACTAAACACCCTGTGAAAATATTTCGTCTGGCTTGTTGTCATTCAGATGAAATCAAGAAATGCTGGTCATTTCCAACGATCAGTCAATTGACTGATTTTTTGAAGTACAGAGTGTTAAATAATTAAGAGTGTTAAATAAAGAGAGCTATTTTTTTTTAAATAAAGAGTGCTCGAAAAGTGTAATATCCACTTAGCTGAAAATTCAACAGGTGAGGTTTTTAACATTCTTCTTCGGGTTTTGAATGGTGTGATTATTGGAAACGAACAAAGTGAGTGATAAGCAAATGATCTTGTATGCCTTTAAACTATCCAAAATCTCTGTGTTGGACCCAGCTATCTTGAACCCTGCGGTTTTGGAAACCCCTTTTACTTTTTACTCTATCATGAAATCTTCACTGCTTCCATCTAGTGCTCTAGACGGAAAATGTGCGGCCCCGATGGGGACAGGGGTTGAGAGGCTCTATTTACTCAGGTAGAAAATGGAAAACGTACGCGACCAACCCGTCTGTTGAAAATGTGTAAGGTGTTCCATCTGCGCCAGGTCTGCTTAAAGGGAATATACATCATTTGCTTTTGCTGTAATTTTTAGAAATGGATGGAATTGGGGGGTTGGAAATATATAGCAAGAAAAACAATCATTTTCCTGTAGTCTGGTTCCCTGACTCCATTTAAGAAGAAACAGAGCAGTTTACATACATTGGGGAATTGTAAGGTCAGGGAACCAGTCTAGCTGGCTTGTACCCGTTCATAGGTGTGTAATCGATTGCAAACAAGTGCGATGGTCAACTGGGGCCAGTATTTGAAAAAAAGCCAGTTTTTTTTCCAACGCTGATCGGCCACTTTTCTTGAAAATGACAGTATACCAGGTGCCATGATTTTACAGGATGCTTTACACTGTCATTCACTAACAGTCCAGCAAGGTATTTCAAAATGATTTGGTAGTTTTATTTTTTGATGTTTGCAAATGTTGTATTTTCCCTTTAAAGTGGACCTGAGTGGAATTCAACATGGGAAGCCGATAGTTTGAAAAGGCCAATATTAATATGAGTACGTGTATTATGGTTTTCACATACCTTTTTTCAAGAAAAAAAGGAGCTTATTGATTTATGACGACGAGGAATGCATCCAAGATATCAATGGAAAGCTTACTGGCCCTAGTTTATGATCAAAAGTTCATCAGCTGTTCATATTATCCCTTTGTTTGTGAGTTACCCTTTTGGAGGACACCTGTGTTGTATAGTGTACGCAAAATGTGGTATGGTAACTCTGCCGAGAATTGGCCCAAACTCTGTTTTGATACTGAAGTGTTTGTAATTTTGACAATCAGTTTTGTCATTCTTGTAGAGCAATGGGTGACATCACACAATAACTTGTAAGAAAAAAATTTTACATTTATTGATGACTTATTAGTCAAGTGGTCAAGACAATGTCCTTTTTGTACATTCTTCATATATACTGTAAACATTTACCCACAAAAGCACTGAAAAATGAATGTTATAAATTGTTTCCACTGATTATTGTATATACATAGCTCAATTTTACAGTATGGTGCAAAGATCAGACAATCAGCATACAATCTTTTATTATTTTCTACTTTCCTGAATATTGTTTTTGATGTCATTGGTTCAAAGGCTGGGGTTGATTTTTTTTGGGGGGGGGGGATTCTTGTTATGTTTCGGTTTATGTTATTTGTTGTATGTTATTGCAATCAAGTTTAGCTGGTGGTACATTCCAAACCTTTCATGTCATTAATTTCGGGCTCGAATCCTGCTGAAGATATCTTGAATAAGTCTCGGGAACATTACAAATTGGCTTTCTTTCCTTGTTTTCTAATATATTTTTTCTGCTTTTCCAGAGGAGGCAAGCGACGCCCATGTTCATTAGACATTATTAGAAATAGTTGACTGTTCTTGTTTTGGTTATTAATGCTAAATGACCCGTGACCTTCGGGAAGCGATATTTAAGCGGGTTCCTAGAGATATATGTATTTTAATGTAAACTGTTCAATCTGATGGTGCCACACAATTTATTTCAATGTAGGGTATATATAGGCCTACAATCCTGGCCAAATCTCGCTGGGCCCCATTCCCCGGGCCTAGTAGCTAGTGTAGAGCTTTCTCCGGACACTTGACCTCCGTAAAATCAAAGCTTTCAATTTGACACTGTGGCTGACTCGATTTTTAAATAATAATTACGCTTTATAATTAAAACATTTGCAAATATTTTAATTAGGAAATTTTCACCCGAGACGTCGTATGATTCCGGCCGCGCAAATTATCAAATCTGTAAACATACGAATATCCACCAGCCCGAATTAAGTTATAAGCAGGGAAATTGAACAAAGTGTATTATGCAAGATAGATTAATTATATGACATTCCACATAATCAGGAATGTTCATAAGAGCAGTAAATGAAGGAACCCAAATTAATAAATCGAAATAAAAATCTTAAACTAACCATATAAATATTTACAATACATGCTATGGAATGAATTCACATATCGGATCTCGAAAAATCTCAGAAAATAATAACACAAAAATTCAGTGGAATTCTTAGACAGTCAGTGTGAAAAATGCAAGGCAACGAAAAGAGTGAAATCAATGAATGAATGGAAATAAAAATCTTGAACTGTACAAATGTTTATATGTCGAACAAGGAAGGGAAAAGATCCACAAGAATCTGGAAAGACTGAAGGAGATATATAGGGGCCTTACTCAATGGATTAGGTAGACAGTCAATACAAAATAAACAGATTAATAGGTAAAGTAATGCAAAGAATGAAACCCAATGAATAAACGGGGAAACATCTTTAACAATAAAAACATAATTAATACTCAATTGCACCGGCGAAATTTCACGGTTTTCTTCTCTCTTTTTTAGTACCGTACACAGACTGGCAACAAGTGTAGTAGTACATCATGGCGGCGCGGAGAATTGGCCGACTCTGTTCGTTGCTCTATGGCCACTAGTGATCATTCAGTCTCAGAATAGTTTTGCTTGACCGAACTATACTTGGTCTAATACTAAAATTTGCTTAAACACCAGATACTTAATTTGGTACAACTATCCAATTTAATTTTTGGGGCCTTCCATTAGTAAATAGTAACGAAAATAGTCCTTGTTTTACCGGCCGTGCCATGTTATGTTCGTGAACGAGACAGTACCTTACCGGATTTACAAATGCGATACCGAAATAAGTTGAAATTCCTAGTTTCGGCGCACCGAATTTACAAATCCGTTGATTCCTAGTTACGCTGCACCATGTCCATTGATCTCCTATCAATGAGCTTGACCCGTTGACCTCGTCACACGCAGTTAAAGTGGGGCAGTCGCTACAAAGGTTTTTGTATACGTACGTGTATGTTTCTGCCTTGTAAACTGACCCCGCATTATCCCAGTACAGTCCATAGAGCTATATTAAATTACTAGAGCGCTAACTTCGTGTACAAAGTAATGCCTGCTGGGTGCATCCATGTTTGTGCACAAACCTATGGAGACCTAGACATTTTGTACGGCTTTTGTACAGCTATTTGCATATAATTTAATATAGCTCTATGGTACAGTCTGACTACGGAGAAATACAAATTTCTCAACGGTGAATACAAACAACATGTCTGAAAACGCCGTACCGTCACAGACTTTGACGGAGTACTGTAACAGTTTAGACTACTACAACGTGAATTTTGATGTGTATAATCGTGTGAGTCAAAGGATTAACAGATTTTCAGATTGGATAGACAAAAGCCTACCCAAACTTGCGGACTCAATGGAGATTTCCCTGCCTGCGACTGGCACATTAAACGTGCTTAGTGTGGGCGCTGGGAATGGTAAGTACAACTGAATTACAAACTACAATATGTTTACTGCATCCCCAACTGCCCAGTTTATCCTGCAGGGGTTGACTATTTATGGTTAAATTTGACCACATGATTTTGAAGTGATGTACAATATTGACACTTTGCGTACATCAGCCATCTTAGAGGTCTTTCTTTCTTTTTCAATTCAGAATAAAAATGAATGCATTAAATATGTCTGCTAACGATGTCCATCTACAATCTAGAACAAAAGCACGTAGCTCAAAATATGGCTGTCACGCCCCAACTATCGCATCGGTCCCAACTATAGTTGGGCCTGTCCCAACTATAGTTGGGCCTGTCCCAACTGTAGTTCCACAGTTGGGCTGGCCCAACTATAGTTGGGCCTGTCCCAACTATAGTTAGGACGGTCCCAACTGTAAGTTCCACTGTTGGGCTGGCCCATCTATAGTTGGGCCACTCCGATCTTTTTATTTTGCGGTGTCCCAACTATAGTTTCCATTGATGTACAACTGTAAAACGTTCCCTACAGCTCTGATACACGTCTGACTTTACTGGGGACCACTGAAATTAGCTATTGATGGGGCGAATCTATAGTTGGGCCACTCCAATCTTTTTATTTTGCGGTCCCAACTATAGTGTACATTGTTGTACGATTATAAAACATTCCCTACAACTCTAATACACATCTGACTTAGACCATCTGTAGTTGGGCCACTGCAATATTTTTATTTGGTGGTCCCAACTATAGTTTACAATTGATGTACGACTATAAAACATTCCCTACAGCTCTGTTACATACTGTCCGACTTCACTTGGGACCTTTGACATTAGCTATGGGTGGGGCCCATCTATAGTTGGCCGGCCATGGCAATCTTTGAATTTTGCAAAATGTTGCTGGACAATCAACCCAGCAGCTGGACAACTCATCCAACTAGGCAGTACCACGTGACCGGTCAGCCTTGCGGCATGCATGCACGACGAATACACGGTGCCAGCGCCGCGGAACATTTTAATCCAACAAGATCTATCAAGCATGAAGCATCCGGCGCAACTCCAGTCCTAACTATAGTTGGGCCGACCCAACTGCCGCACTATAGTTGGGACAGTCCCAACTATAGTTGGGACCGATGCGATAGTTTGGGCGTGACAGCGCTACTAGTACTATGCAAAGGCTCAGTACCTCCGTACATCAGCAATGTGCTCTTACGTACCTTAATAGGGCCTAGTACATCAGTACCTCAGTACTTTAGCAATGAGCTCTTATGGGCCTTGTAAGCAAACATACATTCCTCATGGGAACAGCAAAACACTGAACATTAAAGAAAAACATTTGGACCCCGGATGTCATGACCTGAATTGTAAACAGGGCAGAGGTCATGACATCCAAGCCAACAGTGTGATGAGGGCGCTGTTCCATTGTAATTACTGTACCATCAGTACATCAGCCATGAGCTCTTGGGCCTTATGTACGAGTTACTCATTTTTGTCGAGTTCCCTGAAAGTATTTCATAAATTATTGTTAACTGTTGATTGGATGGCGCCAGACTATTTATGCAGGCTTACTCACAACTCTCCAAGGTGTTCGAGACACACATCAAATTAAAGCTTATTACATCATCTTTCATTTTCTTTTCGATTTTTTTTTTTTTGGGGGGGGGGTATCTAATGACTTTTAGGAGAAATTTCCATCCGAAGATGATCACCCCTTAAAATAGTCCTGAAGCCTATCGCCATTTTGAAAAAACGGTGCATACACTCCATTTGAAAATAGAGCACTTTTAGGGCCCTAATTTCATCCAAATTTCACTAAACACAAGCTCACAGTCCTGTGCACGGCTTCCGCCCATATTTTTTTTACAAAACCTCAATTTCATGGCCCACAATATGCTCAAATATTAACGAATTTGAGGGCATGCAAATCGTGATTTGGACGGCGTAGGCAATTTCGGACCAATTTACTGGCCTGCAACCATGAGCACCCGAAAATGAACACTGTCCTCGTACATAAATTTGTGAACATGTCTATGACCGCATTACCTTTGGTTTTTTAACAGTAGGCCTACCGGTATTGTTCCTCAGTATTTTGTACATGACTACGTATTCAGCACTAGCGTCATCGGTGGTGAATAGTATTATCTGCTGTGAAGTTGTCTCACGGAATCACTCGCGAGATTTCGAAATGAAATGGAAAGATTTACAAACTTTTCTGTTTAAAGTTTAGTCTTGATTGTTATGAGAACTTGCGAGCGAGAGATTACGTGCCCTCCGTTCTCTCCCTTTTGTCTACGTTAAGGGTTAACTGATCGTCAATTTCTTTCCTGTAAATTGAGGTCTTGAATGCTATACCAGACGCCACATCACTGTAAATTATGCCCGGGCATGCGCAACTGGAATCTCACGTAATCTCTCGCTCGCACTTTCTCTTGAAATCAAGATTAAATTTCAAACAGGTAAGTTCTCGTTTAATCTTGTCATTTACCTTGAATTTGAGACCCGTCATTTGTTGGAAAACACTTAGGGAGGAAAGTTGGAGGGAGCCTTGTGTGTTGCCTATGGCTTCCCATATTCCTTAGGACCCAGGACCTTCCATCCACAACCTACATCCCTACGTTTGCATAGTGATCCATCCAGACTGAATTAAAACGAGACGCATCTTTACCTTCAACAGGCACGATCGACAGCAGAATCCTACCTCACCTTCGGGACAAGGTACATCCTAACGTACGAGCTATCTTCCTTGAGCCTGACCTTCACACGTTTCAACAGTGCCAAGACCTGGTCGGCAAGGAATCTCCTAGGCTACAAGGTATAGAGTTTGACTGGAGACAGCAGACATTCCAGGAGTATCGATCAACCGCCAAGGAAGAAGACAAGTTTCATTTTATCTGCTGCTTCAACTCCATCTACTACACGGGAGATATGGGGAGTTCCCTCAGATATCTCTACGATAAGCTGCACAGTGGGGGTATTCTTCTAATCACACTAGTTGATGGTAATTTATCAAATTAGGTTTTGCCCTTCACCGACGTTCAAACACTGTATACTAAGTGTGTTACCTCCCGAGTGAAAGGTGGAGAAAAAAGATCACTCGGGTGATCGACCTCCTGCTTTCTAGTGCAGATGTCTTACCACTCGACCACCGAGCTACCATAATAATGGTAATTTATGTTGATTATTTTGGCAGTGAGAACAATCAAGCGTTGGGAATATTTGTAGATGAATAGATGGCATTTCAGAAAAGATATGTAAAATTCAATTTACTGGCAATAAACATCACAGCAGGAATCTCTGGCTACTACTTTTGTTCTGGAAGCACCATTTTCTTAAACTAACGTGATTTCAAAACCTTAGAAGTGTGATGGGTCTTAAAAAGATAATTTTAATTATTATAGTACATTTAACAAAATAAACAATAAGGCGAGTTTCTCATTAGATAAGTCTGTATATGCATTAAAACTCAACAAGCACGGCTCTTTGTATGTATTTTTTTTTTTCATTTTAATTTTTCAGGTAAATCAGGGGGCGGGCAATTTTGGCAGTTCCTCAACACATCCCTTGGCCAAGAGAAAGACTTCTTCACATCTTTTGATTTGGAGGAGGCATGCAGGAAGCAGAACATTATGATTTCAGAGGTCCAGCCGATTGGGATCTACGTCAACGTCTCATGCTGCTTCGATCCTCCCCAAGAGCTTACCGAGGACGGGAGATACCTTCTTGATACCATCACTCGATCGGTCAACTTCGCCCAGACTGCAGCGGCTGAGCTTCGGAAGGATGTGCTTCGGTTCTTGAGGAGTGATACTTGCTCGTCGATAACCGCGGACGGGCAGGTAATCTTGGATGGGAGTAACTCCGCTTACATCATACGTAGACCATGACCAACTGGGCGTTAAATGAGTTTCCTTCTCTCTAGACTTAGAAAACTCAGGGAATTTTTGAGAAACACCAATAATCAGGGAAAACTCAGGGAATTTGACAGTGACCCCGCACCAGGTTGGGAGGCCAAATTTTTCTTGAATTTGATTTTCTTTCTGAAAACGCTTGAAGTGGTTTACAACTTTAGATTAATAAGTTGAAAACAATTACTTTATTGTGCATATTTCACACAAAACAAATATCAAATTGATTGCTGTTCATGTAAACTGCCATAGCAAAGTACAATGTATGCTATAAGTGCTGAAGTTGGAAAATGAAGCTGTTTGTAGAGGGTCAATTGGTTTAATGGCCTGCGTGTGTTTTTCTCTAGCGATGATTAGTCAAAGGCTGATAAAAAAACAAAAGACACAAATTATCAGAATCTTGGTGACAGCAAGCACAATGCGTTGAATAATTCACTAGTACCAGTAACTCACGAAAATGTAACGTGAGTAACCGATTTTGTGCGTCTTGTTTATCATACATAACACATTTTTCTGGATGACATCTTTGGTGCTTAGGTAGGTCTAGGTCTACTCTATCTACCATGGGGATAACAGTTATTAAACCTTTTTAGTAAGGTAATTACAGCCCAAGGAAACTCAAAAGTACATCAAAAATGTAACGTGAGTAACCGTGGAATTGCCCATGGGCAAATTCACCTCTCGGTATACGGAATTTACTCAGAGTTGAAGAATTCCAGTCATAAAATTCTATGAAGTTATTTTTCGATTTGTAAAAAAAATCCTTTGTGTACTACATCTGGTTTACGTAGATGGTTCAAAACAATGCGGTACCCAACACTTTCATGCAGATTTTGAGCAATAAAGCCTTTTAAAAACAAAACTAACGTTTATAAACGTACAAATGATACGATACGGGTTTTAACAATCTCATTCCCAGGGTACGTGTCAAGCAGTAGGCCTACCCTCCCATCACTACCTGCTCTCTCAGGCTTGGGGCGACTTTTCGCGACTGTGACCAAAAACATGTTTGTGACGTCAAATTGAATACCAGAAACATGTTTACACATGCGCACAAAAACGCTGAACCAAAAACAGTGTCAAAAAGTTGTAAACAAACATGGAGGAGGGTGTAAATGGGATGGCAATTCTTGTTCAGACATTTTATTACAGGCCACTTAAAATGTACAAACAAACGTATTAAAAATAAATATTACAAGCCTATTTTTCCCAACACTGTTTTGTAAAAAATTATGTCGTGTATTTACCTTTCCGACATCTTGAATGTATTCCGAAACCGACCATTGGCCTTTGTTCGGTTTTGGTCGGAACAGTGACGTCATTCCAGTCAACCGAAGTCACGAAAACGCTCAACCAATGACCAAAGCCAAAACACATGTTTCTGGTCACGGTCTCGAAAACACGGCCTGGTATTGGATCATTTGCATATCCAACAATTTTGGATTCGTATGCAAATGAGGAATAGTCTGATGCCTGCCTATGCTTTACATCAGCGTTTGTTTTTGTATGTGGTGTCTGGGCCTGGGGTGAAAACAGAATAAATTCGTTCCAGCGTGAGTTATGCAGTATCACATTTCATATTAATATGAGCAAATTGGAAAGGAAAGGATTATTTTTGGGAAGGTGTGTACGTACGGTACGTTACTATTGGAAACGAGGTTGAAAATAAAGAAAGCCTTGGGGACGAGGTTGGGGTTTTAACGTAAGCACATTACACACTAGCCGCATTGAATGTTTGTAATTGTAATGACGGTTCCTGTACATTAGTGTTAACTGGGAGGGCTACCCTTATAAAATATGGTTTTAATTATATAGGTATTACTGGAATAATTGAATATTTCCTTTAAGTCTTCAGCCACGATTTCAATGTTCTGTGTACAATTATAAAACTATCTCCTTTATCAAGTATACTTAATCTGCTTGTTTAACTACATGTACTTTACAACAAGTCTGCACGTTTAAGTGTCTATATTTTTAGACTGAGTCTCACAAATACATCAACTTTTTACAAAATGTCAAAAGAATTATTTACAATGTGTTTTTTTGATATCTGAAATGAGTTTGAAAACCGTACCTTCAAAGACGGAACCATTTTCTGGACAAGAGTGTATGAGATAATTTTTAACATACATGTACTATGTTAAATACAGATCAGGAACTTGAAGTTCTTGTAAATCTATTTTTATTTCAGCCATTTTGTTATGGAATACATGTACTGTGGAAAGCTCTTCTCTATCGATTTCAAACCTCCATTACCAGTTGTTAAATAAATACCTACTATTATTGTCAACAGGGCCCGTTTTTGAATCTAATAGAAATGTTTACCGGGGCTGATATAATCTCCTTTTCCTTTCAAATCCTGTGGTACCTTCCAGCTCGAGTTCGCTCCTTCTCAATCCGGTCCAGCACTTTCTTTTCTTGTTCTTTTTGCTGTAAAAGAAGTTGCACAAGAGGCGCAGAATGATTAGTGCTCAAATTTAAAGCACAATTGAAAATGTCTATACAAATTCGCATCGTACTGCATACAATGTGGCCTGTAGCATCAATTTCTGCAGGTAACTGCGCATACCGTCATAATCCGTCATTCTTTTGTTTCTGTCCATGACTCACAAAGCGGGGCGTGTAAAGAGGGGACAGAACAATGGAGGTGAAGAGTAAGGGAAGAATATACTTTTTAGATTTAAGTAAACTTGCTAAATTGCTTCAAAAAAAAGTGTAATATTTCTACTTTTTGTCAAGAAAAAGTATTAAAAGTGCCCTCATTCTTTCAAACGTGGCCATTCTACTAGTCTCCTTACCTGTTTGAGTTGTTTTTGTCTCTCTGCAATCATCTCCTCCTTGGACAAGACCCGCCGCCTGCCCCTTATCTTCTGCTCCTTCTTGAGCTGCCAGGCGATCAGGCTGCTCGCGATGGCCGACAGCACGCTGAAGGCGCAGGCTACAGCAGTAGTAGACAGCGCCACCATGACCAGAGAGTCCATGGAGTCCTTCATGAAGGTCTGACCGTCCGTGGTGTGGTTGACCAGGCCCAGGCGAAGCAGCTGGATGCTGACGATGCAGGCGATCAGGCTGACCACCGAGGAAGCAGTGAAGCACAGAATCTGTCGAGGAGATAACAGGACGAATTTAAGCGCACCTTCACATTCCAACCTTCACAGGGCGTCTCATATTCAGAATTTGGCACCATTATCTCAACATAATCTGATGTTCCAATTGAAGTCACCAACTTCCGCCATAACAGTGAACCTGTAGAACATAGGCCCTATACCTTTTTTTAATTAAATGTATAAATATGTTGATTAAACGAAAATTACAACAGATTGTTTAAATGTATCATGTTTAAATAATTCCTATACTTTAGGCCGATGTGATGGGTGAACAGTGAAGACGGGTTTCCGTCCACATTCAACATGGTTGGACGACCAGTGCGTGGTGTCAGTGTGTTTGTACGGCGTGCAATGACCGGTTAATGGAAATCAGTAGTTGCGACAGAAAACGTTCGAAAAATGTCCTTTTTTTTGGAAATAATACCTCGTGAAAGGTCAAAAACGCGTCGACAGGTACACGCCGGTCAAACAAATACACGGGATAAGAGCTCCAAAATGCGAACCATATCTGTTCCCTGTTGGGGTTGTTTGACAACATTAGACTCCGTTTCAAAACATAATCATTTATCATTTAAAGATAATTGTATGTGCAAATAATTCCTTCTGTATATACGTAACTAATAATACCATCACAGTTATCCTATAGCCAGCATGCCCATCAGCTTCCGGCATGTTGAACTTATAAAAGCAGATCCTGAAAGACTATTTTGGAGTCTCTCCTCCTGCGGTCTTTTCGAAAGGTCCGTAGGTATAACACAACCGTTCATACTTTAAAAACAAATGCAAATTGCAATCATACTCACTTTAAGCTCCTACTTTAGCGTTCACGGTACAAAAATAATGTCCCGAAGGAATAACAAGTGTTTATGTCCCAAGTCGGGTGTGGCGTAATAATTCGATGATAACGGGCATCTGACGCGACATGAAAGCATTTTTGAATATGGATTAAGGAAACACTTGTCTGACAGAAATCTCAGAATGCAGAATAAATCCCTCGAAGGCAATAAAGCAGTGAGTGGAGCATGCATAGGTCTACTTTTTGTCCGTTGAAAGAGAAAAGAAGGTAAGTCATTAAAATTTAACAAGCAGGCTGCAGGCTTGTTCTTCCATTTCCGTCCGTGTCCCAACGCATACGCAATCCAGTCAAGCTTCAAAATTAATACCAACGCTTTGGGTATTTCTAAATTGAAGTTTCAAAAGTACACTGATGATACGACTTACCCCGTACGCAGTCTTGCTCTTCGCTGAAGCGATGCCAAATCCACCACATACAACAACCTACAATTATGATCAATTAAAACATATTTTAATTGTTTTAGAAAATGGTCATTGTATTTTGTGTAGCCTGTTTTAAGCCGTCACTGCTGTTTTTGAAATGTGCCGTCACTGTTTTTGTGGCCCAGTTTGTTCCCTTCTTAATTAGCAGGTCTTTGGGAAATGGGAAGAAAAACGTTCACTTTTGACAAAATAATTGATAACCCAACAAGAAATTGAAGGCTTAAAAATGCTACACAGTGTGAAATACATCCGTTTAAATAATACACATGTAGCTCATTACATCATACAAAATCCCGACTAAATGAGATGTGAGTTGAGTTTAACAGTTTGAAAGTGCATGCATCAGTAAGAGTGCACATGAACCCTTTTCACCTATTTATATCTAATCCAGTGTGTCATCGCGAACTTGTATGGTTCGCGAAAACCAATCAAATATTTATTGCACTGCCGGGGTAATAATAGAGTTCATCAATAAGTTACATTTTGTGCGACTCTATAGCAAAATGTCGTTTTAGGCTGTTGCAGCTGTTTACATGGGCGTCGCGAGGGGGGGGGGGGGGGGGGGGCAAGGGGGGCGCTCCCCCCCCCCCCAGAAAAGCCCCCAAAAAAGGAAGGGAAAAAAGAAAAGAAAAAGAGGCGCGAGTCATATTGGTGTAAATTTCATATTGGTGTAAATTTAATGGGGGGGGGGAATGTCCCTGTCCCCCTCTAAAACTGATAAATCAAGAATATGTTGAGAAGTACAGGATTTTTGGGGGAAAATATGTTTTGCATCCCTCTAGAAAAAAATACTGGCGACGCACATGGCTGTATACCGTCGATGTGGACAATGGGATGCAATGTAATCCGCATGGACATTTTTACACCTTTTTTTGCAATCATGTTCCTTTTTCACACGTCCCATATCAAATTTTAAAGTGTGATGAAAGAACAGAACACTAGCATTGCTATCTTGGCACAACCTTCTCCAAGAATAAGAAACGGGGAAATAAAATGACACATTTGTATCCTATTTGAAATTTTCAAGGGTATTTTGGTGCAGTTTAATTTTTATGTTAATACAAATTTACATATGCATGAGCAAAAGTGTGATCTCATTTCAGGCATGAAACCTTAATGTTACAGCTATTTCACATATCAAATGTATATATTTCATATATACATTTTCTTTTCTTTGGTGATTCGTCGTTGTGGCAGTAAGCCAATAAGCAAATTTTTCTCACAAATGTTTTCAATGAGCAAATTTGTTGGGTTCAAAATTTGAACAGAAAACCCCTAAACTGAAAAGTGTCTTCCTGTAGTGATATCACAGCAACAGCTCTTATTGTTGTCCAGAAAAGCATGGAAATGTTTACATGTTTAAAGAAGTGCACTTTCGAATAAAATTAACCAAAATAGTTTTCACACATTTTATGAGGAGTAGAAAGTTGCACAAAATATGTTCCTCAGAAAAATTCCTGTCATGAACCCTATAATCACTGTCAGCAAAATGCAGTATTACTACTCGCTTTTGCATTTGGTAACTTAATTTTAAATGTTGTGAAACAGCATCATCAGAAAGGTATTAAGAAATTACGCTTTTAAAATCCGAGCACCCTACGTGCTATAATTTTGGACATCTTGAACTTATCTTTAACCAATAATTGTCCTCGAATAAGCTTGTAGAATATTATCTCAGAACATTTGAGCTAAAAAGCGTATAGTCTCGGGAAGATAACGGCCCATTATTAGTCCTTATATTCAAAGGGTAGGGTTCATTTTAAAAAAATTTAAAAAAAAAAGTTATTATTGTAATTTGAATTTTTACAACTGCACTCATAATCCAGAAACTATTGAATGTGTGGAATTTTTCAACAATATAACTGTGCCAGAAACTAAAGTTGGGGGAGAAGCGTCTGACATTAAAATTCAAAGAGCTTTATCAAACCTGAAACTGAATGTTTGAGCTATTTTTGATCTGAATTTATCTGTTGAAATTCTTCAAATGCCGAGAACAAATAATACGAAATGATATCGAGTATGAAAAGGATTAATCCTGATTGTTAATTTATATGCATAATGCACATAAATTATTTTCATTATGGTGTCAATTTAACACCATAAGGTATCGGGATTCAAGTCACTGATTACACTTACACAACTGCCACTCCAGATGGGCGCCACGGTGTAGGCCAGCCAGATTGGCGACTGGCCAAAGAGGACGATGCCAGCAGCCGAGCAGATCCCCCCAAGCACGAAGTGGGGAAGGGCCAGTCCCACCAGCACAGCAGTGATGACACGCATGCTAGTGGTCTTTTCCTCCTTGGCTGATGGGGGCTGGAGGTCCGGCTCACCGTCGGCATTGGCCGTCGGTTCTGGCATGGGAGGACGCTCGGCTCTGGAGGCGCACTTTTCCGCTGCTGCTGTCATTGTCGTGGGTTTGGCTTGTTTCTGATGGACTTTTGAGATGCTGTAGGAGATAAAAAATTATTCTAAATATTATCCAATCAACAAAGTTGTAGTTGAGCACTGGCGGATTTAGGGGTGGGGAGGCCTCTCCCTCCCCCCCCCCTCCCCGGGCCGGCGAAAAACGACCCCCCCCCCCCCCCCCCCCCCCCCCCCCCCCCCCGGTGGGAGTAATCTCATGTAAATCTGAATTAAGAAGTCAATTCACAAGTCCAGTTACAAGTAACAATTTGATGTGTTATTAACAAAGGAATGCATTTATCACATGTATACATAATTATGTAGCTAGTGGGACTGGATGATTTAATCTGTGATTGACACGTGGTGACTTATTATGATTCATTACAAGTTACTCGACAACAACACCTCCAATCAACAGTCTAGAAAACGGTTATAGTAGGCCAGCCAAATGTGGAAAAGTCCTCTAGAAAAAAAAGTCACGGCAGTTTTTGGTAATGGCTGGCATCCATGCTAGATTGAACCATAACAAGATGTGGGTGGATGCCACTCTTAGTTTTGGCCCTAAATATACATAACTTGCATAAATCGTTAATTCGCTGTGTAAATATATTTATCTCCATATTTGGGTATATTTTTGTATTTTTTGAAGAGGATGTGTAGGTAGAGTCACCGAAATATATATATTACCAGGCAGGTATTAACGATTTATGCAAATTAGGCATATGTAGGGTCAAAATTAAGGACGGCATCCACCTACATTTTCTTCCCCATCCCATATGACTGAATGATCGGACACTTGCCTGCTATTACCGAAAAAAAAATGCCGTCGAAAGTGTAAAATTCCACTTTGGCTGGTCCACTATTAGGAATCAACTTCGTTCCTATGGTGTCGAGCAGTACGCTTCCGCCATTACTTGCTCGCTCAGCCTGGTATTGGATTATTTGCATTACTGAGCAAATTAGGAATAGTCTGGTGCCTTGCTGTACTTTAAATCGGTGTTTGTTTCTGTATGTGGTGCCTGGGGTAAAAACGGAATCAATCCGTGGTGGCAGAGATCCGAAACACGATTTTCTTCAAATTTAAAATGTAACAATCTCATCCAGCAACATTCAGCGTCACATTACATATTACATTTATATGAAAAATGGAAAAGGGGGATTGTTGTTGAGGTGGATGTGACCGTAATAATTAACAATGCACGTTAAAATATGTAATACACGTTGGAAATAAAAACACCAAGTACACCAAAATCATGATTACCGGCTTTGCTGCATCGAATCAGGATACAGGAAGCAAGTTTCCCACCCAGGGGTTTCTAATGGAAACGAGGTTGAAAATAAAGTAACCCCAGGAGACGAGGTTGGGGAGTGCTTTAGGTAAGACACTCAGTGAAATGATTCGACAACTCTGGAAACACGTGATCACTATAATTATGTCCGATACAAAGGTCTCCATTGCCTAACTAAGCACCAATCTGCCACGTGCAAAGCACAGAAAAAAGTCTCATCAGCGCAATAAATCCGATTAAGCTTAAATTAATGGTTGATGTTAACTGGTCTCTCTATAGTTTTGTGGGTGACGTAAGAAATTTATTCTGTGATGTGTCCTTTCATGACAACCGTACTTTTCATTTCTCGTAAATGTAATTGACTGGGCTTTATTTGATTTTCCACTTCTCTGACCTGCCTTAGTCTACACGATATTATTATGCGTGGCTGCACAAGCTACTTATTCTCCGACGTGACTTCAATGCTCTCTACTGATGCGTGTTTTGTACGGTTGTTCTGGGGAGCGAAAAAAAGTCCCGTTTTTCAATTATCAAATGTCAAACCTTTCATAATTTGATTTTAATTGACAGTGCTGACTTTCTTTTCACGACAGTGACAAGCTTTGTCAAACAATATAACTCTATTTCTCCCAAGAAAATAAATGAAAAGGATATCCAGACGATAATTTTCCCCAGGTTAACTCAATTAAAATATCTACGTAGAACGTTAATAGGAAGGATCACTGTACATCTAAATTATTGGTAGTCGGTACTGAACAATAGTGTTATGAATGACATAATAATTTGCGGATAATGTCGGTAATAATTAGGCCTATATGTTGGTTCACTTTGCGTCCTTTGCGCCAAATCAAAATTAGTCATGCAAATTTTCTGCATAATGTACGGCAACCCAACAAACACACAGCTTTTTGCCATCATTGTGATGTATGCAAAAGCATACATGTACATCATACAGAATTAATATATCGTACAACTACTAAATTCTCATGTGATTGGAATTGTAATTATATTATCAAACATTCGACGTAAACGATTCGATTTTTTAAATGAATCAAAATTGTTATTGTGTGACATGTCCTTGGCAATTATGCAGCTACATCCATGTGCGCATACAATTGAATTATCTATCCACACGTATTTCTACAGCGCTGTTCTCTTTTATCAGTTAATTGCTTGACACCTAATAGCATTCCCATAGACACACACGCGCGACCCCGTGTCAAATTCAGTCGATAACAGCCGTAGGGAACAAAAATTACATGGCGGATAGTAACCCAGCGAGTGTGAGAAGAGGAGTTCGTTCTGTTATTAAAAAAGGTTCGGTTTATTTTTTGGGTCGATGTCAGAAAATAAATTCAATTCAAATTCTGCACCATTACTATAGTCACTGCCCATTAGTGTTCAATCTCAAGGCTCGTGAGCTCGGGCTGTACGTACGTGTTCATGATTATTCGATCTCAATATATTTCATCATCATGGTGAGAATGTTTTTCTCATGATGGTGTCCCTATAAACGCTTTGATGAAAAAAATTATGGTGATCGACTGCAACTTAATCACATAAAACAAAATCACATAAAACGGGACGAGATTATAATGATATTCGATCGCTGTCTACATGTAAGAGAGTGAACTTAACCACTCGAAAAGAATTGTCCAACATGGTTCTTTTAAAGAGGGAAAGTTCATCTTTTAGATGACCCATAGCGAAGAACTACTTTAATTAATTAACAGTGAAACTCGATCCCACTCTTTTTAAAGAGCCACATGGCGACAACTCTTTTCGAGTGGTTTCTTACTCTCTTACATTAGGGAGAGCATTTTAACAGAGAGCATTTTAACAGAGAGCAAATATACCTATAATATGTTCTTATACATGAAGATGCAATTACATAATATCCTTCTGCCCACATTCATGTTAAATTGGGATCAATTGGGATAATCCGAAACCTGGGAGACATATTTATAAGTCTAAAATTGCTGTTACTATAGTTACCATAGTAAGATTACCAAAAATTGAATATTCTTTATAAGCAATTCCCCGTCTTTCTACTACTGCAGGAAAAACATGGAGTAAACCAATTTCAAGAACCACAGAGGATTTTTTTCTCAGCCACTGTCGGACTATGGAACAAACTGCCTGCTTCGTGATCATTTGTGAACTCTCCAAGCCTTGAGGAATTTATTAGAAAATCAACCCAAAATTGAAAATGCATTCTCCGTGCGAGTGAAGGGTCAACGTTGGTTTTTGATGTGGTGGTGTGATACTCGCGACGGAACCACAATGAGATGAGACTGAGAGAGAAATGTTCTATACTGATGCTAGTGTACGCTTACAGAGCATTTTATTTCGTATAACACCATAGACCAATGAATGACCATATAAGACGACTATATCTAGACTGATATAAGCGACTATCCATTTTGAAGTAAATACCAGAGACAGTACTTGTGGTCGTGTCTACAACATCTAAACCAACCATACGTGTATTGCTATCTTCAGGAGACAGCAGACGCAATTCACTATAGTCCATCTGACGCAAGCACTTGATATTACTTTTTGGAATAGTCAGTACTACAAGGCTAGAAGACCGCAACACTGATACCTTCAGTAAATGGCTGCCGCAATTAATTGCATCGCACTGAAATACAACATGCTTTGTTTTGATAACCCTGATGAGAATTGTACGTACCTGTCAAGCTGTCAAGAACACGCACAGGCCAAAACTCGTGCTCTTGTTGGTGTTGGAGATTCTAATAATAGTATGGGTCTATCATAAATGATTCTCCAAGAACAACTCAGCATCAGTTCTGTACATCAGCTAACCTTCACAGTATACTGGCATTGATGTACACTGCATGGGGAGCAACGAGTATAACGCGCTGTGCAGCGTTGTGTGGTGCATCACCGGTGATGCAGCCGAGCTGATGGTATTCTTATGAGTTCGACCGGGAAAGGTTAGATGTCGCCGCGTGTCCGCGCAAATCCTGCTCTGCACATAATGATCCGGCGCAGTGTGCTTTCGTGTTTCCGCCGGTCGTCGGCAGAGTAGCGAGTGAGCGAAAGCAATGGCGGCGACGGCGAGGCGCTAGGCTAGCGGGCCTGACAACTCACCCGGTTCGAGTTGTCGACGACTCTTACATTTTCGTGCAAAATCGAAAGCATCATCTCACGGTGATATGATACCGATAGAAGTGTGAATGTGATCGCAACGATGAGATTGATGATGATGATAGAAAGTGAAGATGGCGATAATAACAATCTCGTTGGTGGGAACTGCATGTGAAACAAAACATGCTCCTGAGATGGCTGAATTACAGCTCGAGTGTCATAGCGCATAATTAAGCCTTATACAAAATCTATCAAAATGGCTATTATACTAACTGTTATACCTCAGTAGCATCAAACAAACTTGCGAAAGTATACGCCGCGTTCATATGAATCCAGTATATTTCTGCTATAGCGAATTGCGAAAAAATGAACTTGTCATTGGCCAATGAACTTTATATCAATAGGGCCTAAATTTACTACATGTATATACAAAAATTAGTTCAAGATTGAGTGGCTACACATCTCGATAAGTTTTCAATGGTAAAAACATTGGTTTCTTTATAGCGGCTGCATGGTAGGCCTATATTTCATGCTCAAAATGTAAGGTGGCTCAAATTCGCCAAAATTCTACATTCGAGTGTCATGGGTCACTGTACAAAAATGTTCGACCAAGAATGTCCATATCAGTTCAAAGTCGACGATATGGGGCACCGTTCAGCAAAAAAAGTACAAACAAACGCCGTCATCAAAATGGCAACGTAGACCTCGATGTACAAAGTGGCGGGAACGCTGTTCAGTCATACACAGAACAGTCGTGTGGGAGTTTCTAGCAATAATCATGGGAGCGCATGTAGCGCAGGTGTGCCCTTCACATTGCTTACAGCGTAAGATGAGCATCCTATTATCATTTCTCTAATGTTGTCTCCAATCATCAACACTTCGTATGTACCCACAGACGTACACGTCGACACAACTTTCAACTTGGATCTATTTGTAGGTGCAATGTCGTATACGTTATCCTTTATTTATACTCATGTTTTCCCCTTGAAATAACCGACCTCCAACATCTCACAAATACAGCATCGACAATTGAACTTTCGCTCGTACCCCCCCCCCCCCCCCCGCCCCCGCCTTGCAAACAGGGCGCTGGGACACGCTGATGAGCTTCACAGTATCTTGTTAAGAAAGTGTGGGTGGCATTCTGGGTAATTTATCATGACCTATGTATAAAGACATCCGGCTGCAGCTGTTTAAGACCGCTGTTTAAGACCGCGGTTGGCGCAAATGCTATCCGAAAACCTTCTCATAGAAATGTACACATTCTGTACCGGATGTAATTTGTTTTTCATTGTGGACCATGTGGACACATTTTGAGCATCGCATAATATGCAATTTGACCCTTCGTGAATTCGAAACGGAGCCCGAGCAAGTGAAGTCTGAGTATCACCCGTTATCCACGGAGCCAACTCCTGAAACGTCTGATATGTCTAGACATGCAGATTTATGCAAACCGCGCGCAAGCAAATCGGAAAAATCGTGACGTCATTTCATTCCCAAATCAGGACTAAACTGTGATTTTGTCAATTCGAATACAGTGTTTTGTAATACAAAAACAGCCGGCCGGGCGCGCATTTGCGTAACATGATACAGAACGCCGTAAACAGTTTTTTTTTAATCTTATGACGCGCAACGGCTGAATGACCGAAGACCCGATATAGAAAGCGCCCGCTGATTGGTCAAAATCTAGGAGGTCAAGAGGCGGGGTCTTGCCTAATTAATCAACAAATCTGTCCATACATGGACTAGAGCAAGCTTTGATGGGAATTCAAAATTTACAAAACAGATAAGTTTTGTAGATTTTCCGACATTATTACGGTTTTCAACGAAAATACACATTTATGAATGGGAATGAAAGAGTTTCAAACCTTGCAGGGTCGTGGCCGTGATGACTTGCAGGTCACAGGTCACAGAAAATCTATCCAATCAGAGCGTAAATTCATCAGGCTATCCCAGCGTCCTGTTTGCAGGGCGGGGGTACGAGCGAACGACCAACTTCGAACTCAAACTGTCGTCAGAGGGCGGCACATAGGCCTAACTGTTCGGCCAACAATTTTCAGTTCTCTTTTTTTTCCCAGCCATACCATTCCAACAAGAGATCTAGAAATGTTTAATCATATTTCACGAGTACATATTTTAACGAGGTTAGTAAACGGTTCTTTGCTTTTTTTCAGACTCAGTCAAAACTCAAAAGTCATGAGACTATAATTTCATAGTTTTTCACTTAAGATAATATAGAAAAGTGGGGAAAGGATTACAAAAATTGACGGACTACAATACAATATAATTTACTTCACAAGTGTATTAAACCATGGGTTTTGGTTGCTTTTAACAGCTACTCTTATTTATTTCATATTACAAAGTATTAAGCCAAAAAAAAATAATAATAATCGGTCTCCGGTCAGACCGAAGTTCCGGAATTGATGCGGCGACGCGGTTTTTTGTTGTTTTTTTAAGCTTGAATTGTACAGACAAGGTGGGTACTTTGCTTTTTTGTGCCCTCATTATACATTGGTGTTGTCTCCATAATTTGCCTTGGTGCCCTTTATCATTTGCCTTGGTGCAATTTCCCCATTCCTTGGTGCTCCTTGGTACAAAAATTTGAGGAGGTGCGGCAATAGAGGGCGCTGTTGTAGCTTCCGTGTTAATTTGAAGAAAGAAAAAAAGGTTGACGCGCATGGTTAAAATCGACGCGCGCGCTGACCAGAGACCGGAGTATTTTTTTTTTTTTGGCCTTGTAGTTTTGCCAGGACCAACTTATTTACTGTCAAAAGCATCATTTAAATCTGATATATATACATTTACATGTAAACCACGGTTTAGACTTATAGTGTAACGGAGTATAATATTCATGTTCAGGGGCCATATAGATCTTACGCCTACGGGCGTCTTAAGGAGGGCGGCAGTGCCGATCTGATAATCATGAATACAAATTAGGTTCATTTATTGTTACAGAATTAGAATATCAAAGAACACCTTCTAAGATGGATGCTGGGCATAAAGTCTATTTGCAGTCGACTATGGTACACTTCATTAGATTGCCTATAGCCTCTAGTGTTTTTGATGATCAAGTTCAAGGTCGTAATAATCACCAATGCTTTGCACCAATTTTCCTTAATGGACATAATATTCAAAACCATAATTTTTCAACATTATCTGTATCGACTGTAGTGTAAAACATACATCATAAATTGGACAGGGTTCAGAAATTATCACAAGTTGCATACTTCAGTATAAAAGTGAAGTCCATGTTCCATGATAATGCCAGAGCATTACTATCATTTGAAATGGAGTTTTAAAAATATTACAATACACTCATACTTTAAATTACCCTTTTCCAAAAAAGGGACAGAATTTGTGTTTGAGAATGACGTCAAGTTGTTTTTCTAAGGGAATGCAGTCCTGATGTGTGACAGCAGTATCCTCTGTATTATCTTGTTTGTTTTCAATGATTCAGGCTCTTTGCATCACATCCGGTCCAAATTGAACAAACACTCATCATAAGCACTGTTCTGATGTTACAATCCACGACTGCGAGTCTGCAAGTTTGCTCTGACACCTGCAGTTCAAGCACAGGATGTATCCATCGGCGTTTGGTTACCAACTGTGGGTTATGTCTTTTCCTCATCTTCTGTGGGAATAAACCCTTTCTCCTGAACCTCATCTTTGTACTTCAAAAAGTCTCTTCTCCGGATGAAATATTTGACCTGAAAGAATAACAAATAATACCAGAGATGAAACGGTACATGTTGTTTGATCACAGTCATCTGAATATTTGAAGAAGTAAAAACAGCAAAACGTACATATTTCAAATTAGGTTTTTAATAATTTGATGTAAATAAGATGATTACTAATTTATGCAAGAATACACCCTTTCATTTCAGTCTGGCTCCGCCTACTTTTTTGAGACATGCTCACAGAACTTTTTTTTCTCCTTTCTGTGTTTTATTGATGAGCACGTATACTCACAGAACTTGGATTGCCTTTTCTGTGCACATTAATTCATTTCAAATATACTACATGTAAACATGATATCGAATTTTGGTAAATTTTATTGAAATCAGTAGCTACAAGTCCTGATGAAATTTAACAAATCTCGCCAAAACGGATTTGGTCGAAGTTTAGCTTTAAAACAATTTGACTGTGTTACTCATTTGAAATACCTCCAGTTCTGAATCAATCTACTTTTTCCTACTTCAGAAAAAAAAACTCATAACACCCTGCGGCTGCCTTATCTTCATTTCCCTTAAGAGGACTGAGCTTGCTATTCATTTTTCTTAGACCAAGAATGGAATTTGATTCTGCTCCCTGACTGATCCTGGCAGGTGCGGTCACACCACTGTGGCGGTAAAGGGTGCTATCATGGTATATTCAAGATATTGCCATTTATTTGAAATGGACTACATACCCACGAAACACCCCCCCCCCTCCAAATCCGGCTGGTTCCACCCACTCACCCAAGTCTTAGAGCAGTGCTCGTCAAAGCCCTGTCTCTTCTGTGCACATTTCGTCTCGTCTCCACTGTTATTGTTTAGGCACTTGAAGTAGTCATCCCTGGCTGCCCAACACAACTTGCGACTCTCAGCATTTGGAAATGAAGGTTTGTCCGTCATCCTTTCTTTACACAAGGTGTTGCAAATCTCTGTGTAAGAAAATCAAACACAACTCTAGATGTTTAACCGAAACCTTGGGCCATAGCATTGGTATTACCATTTGATGTATATTTCATAACATATAGGGTCTCATATTATATAAAAAATAAAAATCGTTCACTCAGTGAACGGTTCACATGTAATTGAGTAAAATCTGTGGTTCTCAAAATGGAATATTATTAATGATAAATGAAGGAAAAAATGCTGTTCTCATATTTATTAGTTTCATTAGTATTTATAAAATTAACAGTGACGTTTTTTAAATGTACAATGACCACTAATAAAATTAAAAGAGTTCCTTCCTCCGCGAGTAAACTACATCATTTACATGTAACTTGAAGTTATATTAAACGAAGTGGCTATCGTTACGGCACTCGTTGTTTAGCGCCCTCTACGATATTTTTTTGGTACGCACGCAGGTATATAATTATTTGTTTCCACACGTTTTATCGAGCAGTGCGCCAGCTCAGCCGATAGAGGGTAGGATTTTGCACCGCGAGGTTGCGGGTTCGGATCTCAGTTTTGCACTCGAATTTTTTTCCTTTTCTAACCTGAGGCTTTGGAGGATTTTTTTAAAAGGGAAATAAAGTCCGAATTTCATAAAGTTCAAATTCACTTTTTTCCTTCTAATTTTATATTTTCTTGTCATGTTTTTTTATAAAAGTTGCCAGGTTGCAGTCTACCGTAACGATAGAAAATGGGAAATGCGTTACGGCTGCCGTAACAATAGCCACTGCGTATATTAAACTCTCCAACACTTGCTTGCATGACTTGTTTAAGTTGTCTACGTTTGCACAAACTTTCATCATCACTAAAAAAATTCTAACTTAGTCGGAGGAGCAGGGTTAGTTAAAGGTGACTGCTCGATTGTGTTAGTATTTTTTCTTACCGATTGCCTAGTTTGTTTGGCACTAACTTTACACTTCCAGAAGCACTGCAGTTTAGTTGCAAACAACAAGTAAAGACAGCTGACTTGGTTAAGTTTACAAAAACAAACAGAACACAAGGAACTTAACCCGGAAGTTAAAGCTTTCGCATGGCTTGCTGGGATATTATCAGTGACATGCGCGTACAGAAAAATGGTAGCCAGCACTGCTGATGCTGGTTGATGTCGGAACAACTTAACTAACATTCGTGCATGCTAAGAATTTCCTCTAAGGGTCGCCCAAGGCAGATACCCAAACGTAGTTTGGAAAGAAGCTGCACCTATGTGGAAATGCAGTAAAACGGGACGTCGAAATTGAGGTCAGCGTTGGCAAGCAATCGCCGCAAATATGTCTGGGTCTGGAGGCGTAGATTTAGCAACGGCAACAACGACTAGCAATCCGTCGGCTGATCCCAGTCGTGGGGTTAGCGTGTGCGCTGTGAAGACGCCGCGCGAACCGGCAGGGAAACTGAACGTGATAAACGGCCCTGATGCTGGAAGTACGGAAGAAGACAACCATTCTAGTACAGGGGACGGGAAAAGTGGGGGGAATTTCATTTGCCAAGTTGGAGGAGGTAGCCTAAGTAAGATTAATCAACATATAAATCATGACAACACAGAAAGTCATGATCATGAATCCATGGTGAATTGTTTGTCGACGAATGAATGCTTGAGTGAAAAAGGACCTGCAACGGTTGGTGCCAAAGGCTGCTCCTGCAGCGACAAAAATACGAACGAAATTTGTCATTTAGGTACCCCTGATGCAAAAATTGTTGATAAAGACACAAAAACAGACACACCGAAAAAAATAATGAAGCGAAAGACGAACATGGCCAAAGGGGCAGAAGCTGCTTCCGACCATGGAATGACAAATGGTTGTTGTGATTGCCATGTGGATGAAGCATTGCTGAAAACTGATGAACACGTTGTTGGTAGCCCTTGTACAAAGGCCGTAAAATCAGAGACACTTGAGAATCCTAACGTCCCGTGCCATTCTGGAGAAAACTCGGGAAACGTGACCTGCAATTGTGATGAGAAAATGAGTGAACCTTTAACTGATCTGACAAAAATGGTTGAGAATATTTGCCTGGAAAGTGATGATGCCCAAAAGATGGACTTTTCGTCATCAACGGAGAAAAGCAAGTCGGAGGCATCAGCCTGTTCTGAGCAGGGAGCAGCGTGTGCTGATTTACTTGCAGGGATGGAGCAGTCCTTTGGCGTCATCGGACCAGCAGTGGCTGGTGATCTCGACGATGCAGAATTAGAGGAGCTTCCAGCCTCCCTCTCTGACTTTGTTCTCGGTTGCCATAACAACCAGTACACAGTGCCTCCCTGTCCGCCCAACGACAGCGATATCAACACGATACACATTCAGACTGAGACAGGTCCTGATGATCACCCAGTCACCCTTATGCCGTACAAGTCGGAAGTCCAGATGCCAGACATAATGAGGCTCATCACAAAAGATTTGTCTGAGCCGTACTCAATTTACACATATCGTTACTTTATTCATAACTGGCCTCAACTTTGTTTTTTGGTGAGTATAATAGTACAACCAAAAGTATTTTACTAGGTCGCCTTCCAATAAGTACACCTACTTTCACAGTAATATGTGCCATCTTGTTCACAGGGCAAGAGACACGCATTGCTGAGCAGGCACAGCAATCGAAAACTTTTGTGCTTCCAAGTTATCATGTGTTTATTCCAATATGCACTTACGTCTAGCAACATGTGGTTTTTTTTGCCCCATTAATGAACAAACATCCTTTTTGTCATTTCTTCATTATATTTTTCTGAATTCTTTTTAAGAGGAGTGTAATAAGTTATTGCACCTACATAGCAACTGTTGGGTTCTTCCTTGAACACATTTCAACATGTCTATGTCTAAATGAACTATTGAATCATTTGTAAAACGAAAACAAAAATGAGACTTGCATATATTTTCGAAATTTAATTGCTATTTTGAAATTACATGTAGCAACTCATAGCTATTTTAAAAACAGTGGATTGTTAATGACCAAAATAATTCATGCCATTTTCAACTTAAACGTCAAACAAAAATATATACATAAGTCCCCTATAAAACAAAATTTAAAAATAAATACATACATGTCCATAATGCAATCATTGTTCATTAACATAGAGTAAATATACATACCAAGTAATGTCTTCAATACTGAGTTTTTTATAAAGAGGAAATTTGCATATTTTTTTTTTTGGACAGCATGGCTGATTTCGGTGTTTAGTTTCAACTGTCAATTTAGAGAAATTTTCATGAACTTCATTAAAATTTGATAACATTTTTAAATAAAGTGATATGAAAATACAGAATCCAGTTCAAACCTGTCACGAAAGATATGGAACAAAAAATAAAATCCCAGATTATTGACAATGATGTATCGGTAACTTCACGATTTTTCTTTGATTTTACTTCTTGAGCCAAAACATATTGCTGCCTCATTTTCTGTACATATCCTGTTTTTGTAAGGACAGAAATGATGGAGAAGCCTGAATAGGGGAATTTGTTTCCTGTTTTTTTTTTCTTTTTTTGCTGACACTTCTAGAATGATTAATTCAAATGTCAGCCAGTCATCCTTCACTGAATTATAGTAATTCACTCTTTCAAGATACATTTTTTTTCCATTTCACCCCCTATCCACCCCCCCCCCCCCCTTTCCCAGGCAATGCACCAAGACAAGTGCGTAGGGGCGATAGTGTGCAAGCTGGATGTCCACAAGAAGATGGCGCGACGTGGCTACATAGCCATGCTGGCGGTGGATGAACACTACAGGAAGCTTCAAATTGGTGAGAGTTCTTGCCGGGCCAATTGGATCCCTCAACAGTGTCTGGTGTGATCCGGGGTTCAAGTCAGAGCAAATCATGACCCTCCATGGGTCAGAGGTCAGAGGGGACCAAGCCCGGATGGATCATTCTATAAATTGAGGGTCCAAAGTGTTGACATTTTTCCTGTCCTTGTTACCTTGATACTTTTTAATTTGCCATTCAAGTATCATTTAGAGTGACTTCAAATTTTTTTTTAATTTGCTGGGTAGGTAGTCTGCTATGTTCATAATTACGCTTGGAAAATGACTGCATTAGGCCAAAAAAAAAAGTCTCCGTTTTCTGGTATGGAGCTTGCCCAAAAAGTGGTGCGGCGACACGGCTTTTTTTTTTTTTTACCTGATTTTTTTGCTTCAAATGTCGGCTGTTGACTACAAATGGTGCCCGACTAAACTTAGTGCAAAAATATGGGAGTCCAGAGAGGCCACATAAAGCTTATTCTCAACCATAACCCAATCTAACATTGTGCAGCAGCAGGATTCCAGTCAAACCAGTGAGTTTGGCGGTTTTGAGACATCATCTTTCATTGAAAAAAAAACTTTATCATTTTGCCGACGCGCATGGCTACGGCGACGCGCGCACATACCAGAAACCGGAGACTTTTTTTTTTGGCCTTAGGGAGTGCATCAGAATTATAGAACCGAAGGGACAGGAAAAAGTGGACCATAAATTTATAGAACGACCCAGATATGTGACGCGTTCTGTCAAAAACAGACACTTCGTGGCAGAGTTGAAATGGAGACATGACAACAAGAACTATAAGGCCGAGTAAAAAATAATAAGCAGTTCTCATCCGGCATATTTGAAAAAAAATCAAGGAGGCGGTCCCTTTTCGGTCCCAAGATGGCAGATTTTCCAAGATGGCGGACGGGTTCTTCGATTTTCTCAAAAATTTTGCTGATACAAAATTGTGTCCAAAGGAGCCATTACCCTCTTGCAAATGTATGAATTTTAAAAGAATTTTAAAAATTGAATTAAAAAGTAGGCGGCATGGAAAAAAAGAAAGCAGGTGGCGACAAGAAACTGATTTATTTTTTTACTCAGCCTAAACTTGCAGACTAGGCAAGCCTAGTATAGTTGGTCCCAGTCCAGTCTTAAAGGGAATGTACATCATTGGCTTAATGCTTTAATTTTCAGAAATGAACTATTTGAGGGGTTAGTATAATAGATCAAATTATTGTTACACTGCCATGTTTGAAGTTTTGTTTTCGAAAATGCTGGAAAACCAAGAAAAACAAAAATGTTCAAGTAGTCTGGTTCCCTGACTCCACTGAAGATGAAATGGATCAATTTACAGATGCCGGAAAATTGTACGCTAAGGGAACCAGTCCAGCTGACCTGCACCCATTCATGAACATAAAACCAATAAGCAAACAAAATTGGACTGAAAAAATTGTAAATTTGGAGCAGTAGTGAAAAATAGTTAGGTTTATCCTACGGTGGTCGGCCGACCACCGTTGGAAATGTAAACAAAAATACAATTTTCTTGAAAATGACTTCACACCAGGTGCCATAATTTTACAGGATGCTTTAGACTGTCATTTACCAACATCCTGTAAGGTATTTCGTAAAAACTTGGTCATTTTATTTTTCGATGTTTGCAAATGTTGTATTTTCCCTTTAAGTCAGAATGTACACAATTCTATTCAACTGATTCAGAGTAGCTATTCACTGGAAGTATTGTCATGCAAGTTGTCTGTACAGTGGGCAAGAGTTAGCATATGACATTATGGGTTAATCCTATACAATAGCACTGCCCGGCTCACTTCGCCAGCCTACAAGCAGTCTGGTTCACATGTGACAAGTGACTCGCCGAGTCAGTCCTTGAGTCAACATGGAATGATTCAGTTTCTGAGAGATGAAGATTTTTGCGTGACGCCTGTAAGCTGAGACCCAAAAAAACGGACACAGTTGCCCAAGCTAGACATGCAGGTTTTTGGGGGGTCGGTTTCCTTGAATTTTTGTCGAGGCCGGGTCGGGTCAGATTCGGGGAGTTCAGATCGGTTTCGATTCACATTCAGTATACATGTATATATCTATAATGTTTCGGGTCAGTTTGGCCTGGTCAACCCGACCCAATGCACAACATTAGTTGCAATCGATTTCCATTCTGCATAATCTGTTTAAGGGCTCGTGTGTTTTTTTCACACTCTACATCTATGTGATTTCTCCCCATTCATGGACTGTTTTGCCCAACTCAACCAAGAATTCCGTTACAGTTGTATTCAAAACTGATATTTGGTTCATTTGAAGGTAATTTCATATCTTCATCTCAAAATATCAATTTCACTCTAAATGATCTCAGCTTTGTTTCTGATCACTGTCTGTCTATCGGCCTTCTAAGTTTAACTGGAAATACACTAAGCGCTAAACAAAGCACACTTCAGTGACATCACGGTCATTTACACGGGCCACTCTTCTGTCAAACTTTGTATGAGAACTAAATCAATGAGGATCGCTTTAATTTGTTTTGGGGTGTTTTTTTTTTTTTAATACAGGCTCAAGTCTGGTGAAGAAAGCCATCCGTGCCATGGTCAGGGGAGAGTGTGATGAGGTAAACAATACACTCTAGATTGTTACAAGATTGGTGTAAAACCAATGGTTCACAAGTGCTGTTATAACCTAAGTGCTTTAAATGTAGAGTAGATCATTTTTTGTTTGTGCATTTGTTTCGTTTGAAGCAACAAAAGTGCTCAAAATCTAAAGACGGGTGCTTAACAACTAACCTGATGAAGTTTTAGCTCTGTGAATGCTGTGTATTTTTAGAAAAAAAATATTCGAAGATCTCGATTTCAATTCAAAAGTTGCTGAGTCATATTTTGAATTGTGCCTGAAATCCCATCCGGAACACATTCTCATTCAACCGATCTACATGATGTCGTGAACTGAACCGACGAATAATAGCAACTACGCGCATATGCGTTGTGTCAACACTTGTGTGCACCCATTCGCGGATTTGCCCAATTACAAACCAACTACTAATGGAAATTCCCCAAAATTGAATGCCTCACATGACTCATCTTTGGAAATGACCTTCTTTTGTTGTTTTCTTCAAAGTGACAGCATGTCAGAAGGAACAATTTCACAGGGAGTTTAATGCCATTAATATCTTTAAACCAAATAAGCTTTGCAACAACAATTTGGTCAGTACTTTTTGGATAGCTGCAAATGATGTACTCTACCTTTAAACTGTCAAATGAACATTCATGTCAGTTTACAAGCGTACAGCTTTGCGCTTGCCAGTGCCAACAACAATTCTCTTGAGTGTTCTCTAGAGAATAGCCTTGAAGAAATGTCGGGCAGCACGTGTACTCTGTCCTCATTTTTTTAATGCAATTTTTTTTTTTGGCCTGACCTAAGATCAAGTGTTGGCATCAAGTATTGAAGAGGAAATGCCTGATTTCCTTGTAGGTGGAAGCCAGATTATCAGGGATCTGTTAAAGCATGTCTCAATGTTCCTACATAGTACATTCACTTGTTAGAATATTATCAGACTCTGGTGATGGAAAGACATGGAACATTGACTTCTTGAATGAAACTCTTACAAGTAGGCTCTATACAGGGTCGGATTAAAAAAAAACGAAACCAAGATATTATTGCTAATTGGAACAGAAGTAGGGCACATGTGAATCAAAGGGAGATATCTTCTGTAAGGGTTGAATATCCTCTTTAAAATGACACCCTGATCATGTCCTTACATTCACGGTTGACTGAGCACTTAACCAATTTTATGAAAGGATCTATTTAGAGAGTTGCGCCACTTTTCATGATGAAATCTCTTTTTTCCCCCCACCAGCCTTGATTGGCAACGATAGCCTTTTAACTCTGTGACCAATGACACCACAAAAACCACAATTGAAAAGTGGCGCAATTCTCTATATAGACCTTTTCATAAAATTGGTCACTGCTCAGTCAACCGTGAATGTAATGACATGATCAGGGTGTCATTTTAAAGAGGAGATTCAACCCTAACAGAAGATATCTCCCTTTGATTCACATGTGCCCTACTTCTGTTCCAATTAGCAATAATATCTCAGTTTCGGGGTTTTTTTATCCAACCCGTATATGGACCAACTTGCCAGTTTTTTGATGATTTAATAATGTGGTATTTAGAATATGGTGCGTATACATGAATAGCGATTCAAAACCAATGTCTGAAAGCGCTACACAATTAGGCCTATTACACCTGTTCATCAGGCCATAAGACCTGTTTTCCGGAGAAGTTGGAGATCAGAACCGTCTGATCTGAGTGGTCTCTACCTTCACAGGTACCTACATTGTATTTATGTTCCTGGGTGCAGAAAGGCAATTGTAGTAAAGTGTCTTGCCCAAGAACACACACACCATGCTTCCCCTGTCGGGATTCGAACCCATGTACATTACGCACTGTCACTCATGAGTCAGACACTGTAAACATTTATCATTTTGTCTGAACAAAAATGAAAAAAGGAAATTATGAGCACTGTATGCCCTTTCCTATGTCTTATGATTCACAAGTTTACTCGGATCGGACTCAAATCCCATTATCTTCTGCCTACTTGGGCAGAAATCATGACAAAAAAATTCCTGAGATTTTCGGGGGAGGATAGCCAATTTGAATCATATGGACCAGCGCGTACCGCAATCAGTGACAATACTCAGTCAGATTTTTCACTGTCACATTTTTCACATTTTTCATTGTAAGTTATGAAGGAATTTGACACTCGGTATTGGACAGCTCAAAATTTATTGGTCCATTACATTTTCTTGGAGGGTTTTTTAATGTTAAATTGTGCCTGTTTTACTTGCCTGATATACATGGAGCTGTACAGACACTTATCAGACGGAGGAAAATGGAAACAGAAGTTCTAAGATCTTTTTTTTTACCCAGGGAGGGGGAGGGGCATTTAAGAACAGAGCATATAATTTCAAACCTTGTGTCCTATTTTCTGGTTTTTATCTTTCATTTGTCATAATTTTTTTCGATAGTCCAAAAATTTAAGCAGAAAAATTAAAGTAAAAATTGAAAATTAAAGAAGGATTGGAGCCTGTGCAATTTCAAGAATGCCGTAAGAGGCCTATTTTAAGTAAGCTGTCTATGTAACCCTGTAGCATTTTCAGTGCCGGTTACATGCATGTGTGATTTTGAAGTTTGAGAACTGGAAAATCCTATACTTATGATCCCTTCTTGATCATTTCTAATGATTTCATTCCAATGTCTTCCCGGATTCAAGGTTGTTCTAGAGACAGAGATTACCAACAAGCCGGCTCTAAGACTGTACGAGAACCTCGGCTTTCTACGAGACAAAAGGCTCTTCCGGTATTATCTCAACGGTGTGGATGCTCTACGGCTCAAACTTTGGTTGAGGTAAAAAAAAAAAAAAAAGTGGCGTAAATTGGGTGTATGGGAACATCCATTTCCAGTTTTGTAGTCGAGGAACTTGTGATGGATCACAAGTACATCACAAGTCCGGTCATAAGAATATCACAAGTCATTTCACAAGCCCAGTCACAACTCACAAGTAACACTAAAAACGGAGTGCCTTTGTCACAGATCATTTGAATAGCTTGTGATGTGATTTGGGACTAAATTACCCATGGATTGACTTCTGACAACTTATTACGACTTGTGTTCCATCACAGTACCACAAACACCTTGACTATGTAAACACTTTCCATGTTGGTAACAAATCGCATGTGTTCCCATTGAAATCAAAAATGGTATAGGTGCTTACAGCTGGAACCTTAAATTCTAAAGAAAAACATACATGTAATGCCTCTACCAAGGCAAATATTTAGGCTCTGTTTTTCATTGTATGTTTTCTTTCCATCAGCACCTTTTGCTGAGAGCATAAAGGCCATTTCATAGTCAGTGCGAAAGTGAATGTGAACACAAACTTGTGACATGATGGCAAGTTTTCGCGTTGTGATTTCGCAGAAGTTGAACAGCATTCAACTGCGGCGAATTTCGCGAATGTTTCCTTACATCAAATTCGCTTTCGCGTTAAGCATAAACAGGCCTTCACACTTGTGTCATTTTATTTGGTGTACGAAAATGCTGCTGTTTTGTCTGTTTGTGGAATAAAATCAGTTTCTTCAAGAAAAACGTTGAGCTCTCAAAATGAAAGAAGAGAGGGCTGTGTGACTTCAAACCTTTCTTTTGGCAGAATTTCAAAACAATACTTTGTGGGCATTCTACCTGCCAGCATTCATCAAAACTCGGATAATTATTACAACTAAAGACAAGAGCACTGCAAATGTTTGCTTTGCCTCAGACTTCAAAACCCAGTATGGACTTCCTGCACTTTTAGATCAACTTGAATTTGACCAGGTCATTTTACAAGTGAGGTCATACTTTCGTCCCGAAATCGTATGTCTAAAATTTCTCTGCATAAATTCTGCTTTGTGTGTATGCTGTGAGTTGATGTTTTTATCTGTCCCATTCACGTAAACTTCATAGTGTAATAATGAATGAGTATAAATCTGTTGTATAGTAATAATGACGATGCAAGTATTGATGATGTAAATTGAATAATGAGGACATACAGAGCTCAACGTACATACACGTCATTTTATAAATTTAGGAGCCAAAGTGTGACGCAATTATTTCCTGTGCCTGTTAGTTGTTACTTTGGTATTTTGTAATTTGCCATTCAAGTATCTTTAAGAATGACCTCAAATGATTTTTTATTTGTTGGGTAGGTAGTTTGTTATTCATAATCACTTTTGGAGGATGACTGCATTAAGGAGTGCGTCAGAATTATAGAAAGTCAGATGTAAAAGGTACAGGAAAAAGTGAACCCCAAATTTATAGAATGACCCATATTCTTTCCTGCTTTGGGCCCTGTAATCCTTCCTTCAAATTTGTTCACTTCACTTAAGCATTTCAGCCATTCAAATTGGTATTAACTAGTTGAGTTTGTCAAATGGTTTGGTCTTTGATGTGCATGGGTCCACACAGACATGTTCACACAAGCTTGTTCCGTAACTGTGGGGACTACACACGAGTTGTCCCATGGTACTATGGGGACCGAAGACGCTGTGGGGACAGCCAAAAATCCCCATAACTCAATCCTGATTTCCCTAACAATAAAAACGCTTCCCCATAACGCGGTGACGGCCCGCCCACTCCCTGGTGTACATTACCTACCTCATGCACAGGGTTTATTGTAGCTGTGATGGTTCAAGCTGTTGGGCTGAAAATCGGCCAAAAGTCTTTCAGAACCTAACCACCCCAACCCTTCAAAATCCAACTGCATGTTTTTGTTGGAATCTGTTGGAGTGAGTACTGCACTAGTAAACTGATCATGCTTTGAATGGGGTAAGGCACACCACCAATAATCAGAGTCCAACAGTTTAGGTGTTGAGTTTAACATATGGTATTGGATTTTGCATGAGTGAGGAAGGCTCCTAGTAAATCACTCAAGGGGTTTAGTGATGTACCTCACAGAGGCCAATATTGTTTTAAGTGTTTCCTTATTGTTTTGCCTCCTTGAATGGAGTTGAAATACCACACCGTAATCTGTAGTGATTATTAGAGAGCCAAAACAAAAGACAAGAGTTCAATAGGAAATATCTAAAAGATTGCGTCCCATTCTTAGGACATGTGGGCCCAATACAATGTTGTTGGATAGTGTGCTTTTTAATTGTGTACCTGGGATTGTTAAAATCATATCTTCAAAATAAGTAGAAAAATAAATGACAAAGTTGAAAATTCTTCACGTAATAAAATCAAATGAATTCACATTCTCTTCTACAGCAAAAGAAAAAAAGTTTTAAAGGCAAAAAAAAAAATCACAATTAAACTTACGCACATACATATATTTCCAAAAAGAACTTACTGCATTCAGTTATATTTTAAACAAAAAATTCCCAGATGAAGTGTCTTTTTATCAACTTTATTCAGTATAATGGCGGGACATTAGCTCTGGTATTTTTGGAATTTTCAAAGTAATTCATTTTGGAGCCAAAGTCTATACAGCTGCTATCTTCAAGCAAGTCTGTGTGTATTGTAATTTGCTGTGTACATGTACATACTTGCTATGGTTCAGCTCCTTGAACAAACTGTCCTGGTGCTAAAGTCAAAAAAATTCTAAAGAAAGTTTAGAAAGTACAAGAAAGCCAATCAGTCTCAAGCAGAAATCTTACTAAAAAAAATTAAAAATTGTGTTAAAATTTGGTATACATGAAGGAATTTCATTAAAATGGTGAAGCAGAATTGCTCTGCAGAGTTTTGAGGTTAATTTGAGCAAATATAACTTCAACCCATTGTTGAATCATAAATAGCCAACTTATATTTTACACAACACTGTTTTGGCAGTGGTTTTATTTGTGAAAGTTTTATTCATGGGCCTACATGTGCACAATTATTTTCATATATTACTAGGCCTTCGAGAACTAGGCCTTCAAGAACTGGGGTTTAATTGTTGTGTATGCAACAGCTTGGGAAATTATTCCCATTCGAAAAGGGGAACCCCCATTGTAATTCCTATTGATTTTCCATATACCTTCCTCGTGTAAATCACGTGTATATGAATGTTGTGGTCGATTGCATGCCCCTTGATCTCCTTTAGTAATCTCCATTAGGCCAAAAAAAAAAATATTCGGTCTCTGGTCAGACCAAAGTTCCGGAATTGACGCGGCCACGCGGCTTTTTTTTTTTTTTTTTTTCCTTTTTTTTTTTTTTCTTCAGCTTGGATTGTACAGACAAGATGGGTACTATTTTGCTTTTTTGGTGTCCTCATGTACATTGGTGGCCTCCATAATTTGCCTTGGTGCTTTCGATCATTTGCCTTGGTGCAGTTTCCCATTCCTTGGTGCTCTTTGGTAAAAAAAAAATTGAGGAGGTGCAGAAATAGAGGGCGCTGTTGGAGCTACCGCGGAACATTTTGGAAAAAAAAAAGATTGACGCGCATGCTTAAAATCGACGCGCGCGCTGACCAGAGACCGACTTATTTTTTTTTTTGGCCTTACTAATGGGGATCAATGGGTGTGCCAGTGTCTACCACAGTTCTAAACACCGCCCTCTGCTGGTCGTTTTCTGTGAAAACTGAATCCGTGTTTTTCAATATACCGTTAGGTTGCTGCGGTTACTGCGGTATATTTATATTTAGATAAATCAAGACATAAATTTATCAAATTGTTAACAGATTAATCTACAAAAAACGATGTAAATTATTTGTTTCATCATTATACCATTAATTGCATTGAAAATCTGTTTCGTATACAGATGTGATTTTGCCGTAATATTTATTTTGGGAAACAAACAATGTGTTTGTCTCGATATTGGCAATGTACAAGTATTACTATGATTGAAATGTAACTAATGTCAAATTACATGTAGCATGATTTTTGTACATAATGTGAAATACCTACATGTACAAGAAGGCCGCTTCCAGTGCTCTGTGATGCTGGGGTCTTGTTTGCTATAAAAAGAAGTAACTTATTACTTGATGTTCACAATTAGAATCGAAATCAATTCTTCTCTGCTGTAAATTGCTCGACACACTTGTGACTGGATTCTTTATCAGATTTTAGCCCTAATTTTCCAATTTTGTCCACACCCGACTTTTATGTTCTGTACATTATTGTTGACTTGTGTACACTGTTGTATTAATAACTGCCGTCGAAATAAACTTGAAATTGCTTGAAACCCTGTAGCTTTTTTACACACAGATGTCACTTTTGTGTCAAAATGTGAAAAAAAATTTGCATGTGTCCAATCTATTAAACGTCTGAATCGGTTTCTTCTGGAGAAAGCTGTCTGAACTCTGAAGGAAAAAATAATGAATATATAATATTGAAGTTGTGTATTTAAAATCGGCCACTGCCTTTCCATTGGACTAATGTTCAGCAAACACAGCCGTGGCAGAGGGTTTAGGCCATCAGCCTCGGTCCAAAATGTTGGCAACCGGTATCAAATGAGGGGAATAATCGTCATAGCGATTTTTGGCAAGGTATACACCTCCGGAGTTGGAAAATATGTGATAGCATTGCAGGGTGGCAGGAGTTTTTGTGTTTATTATATCACCGTGTTTTTTTTCTTCAAAATGTCCATCAAAATGCTTGTTACCACTCTAGGGGCGGTATACCTTGCGCATGCTCACTATAATCATTTGTGCCCTGATTTGATACCGACCAAACCCTCAGGCTGATGGCCTAGTTTTTAATAGAGTATTTTTAGTTGCGGTACGTGCAGTGATTTCACAGATCTTGCTTTAAAATAAAAAACTTTTCTTGCAATTATGTGTGTCCTGTCTTCCAATTTAATTTTTCCTGTGTACATGTACGTTTATATGGACCTATCCCCTCAACGGCAAAAAAAAAGAAGTCGTCGGGAGAGACCATTGGCAGGATCGGGAACTTCGCTCGTCCCCCCCCCCCCCCCCCCCCGCCCTGTTTGCAGGGCGGGGGTTACGAGCGAAAGATCAGAAACGTGTTGTGTCCCTCACGCTGGAGGGCGCAACCCAGTAACAGAGTGACTGTTTTAGCCGATTTGCGGCAAACTTTGACAGAATTTTTTTTTTTTAAACCAGTTTCAGGCAACAACAAAAAAATATTCGTTCTCTGGTCAGGCCAAAGTTCCGGAATTGACGCGGCCACGTGGCTTTTTTTTTTTTTGCTTTTTTTTCTTTTCTTCAAACTTGGATGGTACAGACAAGGTAGGTACTATTTTGCTTTTTTAGTGTCCTCATGTTCATTGGTGTCCTCCATAATTTGCCTTGGTGCTTGCGATCATTTGCCTTGGTGCAATTTCCCATTCTTTGGTGCTCTTTGGTAAAAAAAAATTGAGGAGGTGCGGAAATAGAGGGCGCTGTTGGAGCTACCGGGGAACATTTTTGGGGGGGGGGAAAAGGTCGACGCGCATGATTAAAATCGACGCGCGCGCTGACCGACTTATTTTTTTGTTTGGCCTTAAAAGACAAAATTATAGCTGCGGCTGTTTAAAAGGGTTGAGGCAATAAAATGGGTCCGAAGTAGCATACGCCGGCCAAATCACGATTTGCATTCCCTCAAATTCTTCAGTACTTGAGCATATTGTGGGCCATGCACTTGAGGGTTCGTAAACAGTGAGGATGGAAGCCGTGCACAGGAACGTGAGCTTGTATTTCTGAGCAATTCGCATGAAATTGGGGCTCTAAAAGCGCTCTATTTTGCATTGGAGTGTAGGCGCCGTTTTTCTAAATGGCGATGGGTGATCATATTCGGATGGAAATTTCTCCCAACTTACGATCAGATTATTACCAAAAAAATGAGGAAAAATAGAAAGACGATCAAACTAAGCTTTAATTTTAATGCATGTCTCGAACACCTTATAGAGAGCAAATTGTGATTATTTTCTTGAATTTCTAAAGTGGGGAAATTTATCATTGGATTCTATGGCAATTCATTGCACCTATATGGGCAGTGTTGAAAGCGGACACTCACAGACACTCTTTGGCAGTTGGTGGCGCTCTTCATCATTTCTGCCGACTGACGAGACAAGCTTTTACGACCGGCCAATGTCTCCGGCCCGATTTTTCTTCGCACGTCCACGCCTGGCTCGCTCTTAAAATCTGTAGCTAGCAGTTTGCAATTTGCCACTCTGCAAACACCCCTCTACCGCTGTGCCACTGGCAAAAGGTGGATGAAATTAGCGGCGCACCCAAGGAGGGGGGGGGGTTGACCCCTCCCACTCGTAGAGGTTGTTAAATTTCAACTTCAAAATATTCCCCCTCCGAAAAAAGAACACCCAATTTGTTTGAAAAAAAACCCCAAAAATTGTGAACCCCCCCCCCCCCCCCAAGCTAAATCTGGGGTGCGCTACTGGGTAAAATAGGCGCCAAAGATATCGGGAAAGTAGGAACAAAAATATCCAGCTAGTTTGCAGGCCTTTACACTGTTTGAAAAGTTGGTTTTAAATTGCGCGCTCCAGTTCTGAAATTGCGCACACTATTCAAAACGAATAAGGATCCGAGCATCCCGCTCTTAATTCGAAAATCCAAATTAATTAATTGAACCAAAAAAATCAGCTCATGTCGATGTCAAGCATTAAAAAAAAAAACTTTTTGTTTTTCTGAGGCCAAAAGTTTGGGCGAATTATTTTGGATTCTTTTTAACTTCTACAAAATTTACCAATTGACGTAAAATGAACGGTTACCGTAGTCATATTGATCGAACGAAACTTAATTTTGATAATAATCAATTATTTAATATTCATAGATTCACGACGTATACCTTTGATTCCTTTTTACATACTACCAGAGACCTGCCGGGCAGATGTAAATATCCAACTAAAGCAAAGTTTTTAAAAAAAATAGAGGATTCAAAAAAAATCAAAAAGTTATGTGCTAGCCAAGCTTTCAGGGATCGGTCTGAGCCATAACAATGCCCCAGCCAACCCCTTAGTTCTCTTCTGGGATCTCGGTCTTCCCGGCCAATACACACTTCCTTCCCTGTCCATCCATGTAACCCCGGAGGGCCAGGCGCCATGTAAAAGCAAAGAGCTAAGGGAGGAACAGGGCGGCACCCTAAGCCCTGATCCTCCGAGTGGACCACATGCCCTGAACCTGTACGAAGACGCCAACCTGGAACTCACGGACAGTACCAGCCGCAGAGCTTACCGATTAAGCTAAGGTACCGTTGGTATTTGACGACGGGAAATTAAACATCTTGTGCTAAATGTACTTAGAGTTACGCAACAGTGAACACTATTATTATGCAGGCTTTTTTTAGCTATCGGGTGCGTTCAGGGGCGGGTCCAGGATTTTTTGCGGGGGGGGGGTCCGGGCACCTTAGATATTTATATCCGATTATTGAGGACAGGCGGACCGTGTTATTATTTAATTTGATTAAAAATTATTTATTTTTCGTGTGTGTCTGACCGGTGGGGGGGGGGGGTGTTTCGTCCCCCTCTGGATCCGCGCCTGACTTCTACGATTTGTATTTGGACAGATATACAGATTTTCAACTCCGTCACTACTATTTCAACAGTATCACGCCTTTACAAATAAAACGATAATTTGTTTTTACGGATTGTTTCCTCAAAAATAATGTGAACAGTACGTTCTCATCCTTAATTAGCCCCGCCACGCCCCAGCCTGCTCGGCACGTTACAGTATCCAGAAGGTGGAAATGAACATTTACGAAAAGTATAGGTTTCATATGTGCCATCGATCATACATGCAAGACGATCTTTTCTTTTCCGGTCATAAAAGAAGTGCTTCTACTAAGTAAAGTCTGTCACGAGCCAATGTGGCCCATCAGGCCGGTGTAGCGTGAATATCCGACTCCGTGAAATGTGGACTCATTGGTAGTACTGTGCACGCGTGAGTACGATACTACGCTATTTTTAGGATCGTTTCGGGAGAGTGACCTGTCACGTGCGAGGGATCAACCAATAATAGGGAAATAGAGGTCCGATTTTCATAGGAGTCGGATTTTCATGTGACACCGGCGTTTATCTCCGGTTTCAGTGGCATGAAACGACTGGAAATATTACTTTCCCCTTGGACGGGATGCTAGTCCATCGCAGGTTACTCCCCAGCTAATGCAAGTAAGTACCCATTTATACTCCTGGGTGGAGAGAGGCAAGTGGGATGAAGTGGCTTGCCAAAGGACTCTACATAATGGCCAGCAGCTGGAATCGAACCCTGACCCTCTGATCATGAGTCACGAACCATAACCCTAGGCCACCTTGCCCCACTTTTCACTTCTAAAGACATCAAACTTTTTTAGCGGATAATGTACTTTATCATGCATTAAAATGGACAATCCATGTGTCAATACATGTACTACTGTCATTTATTTACAGATCGAACCAGGTTTTTTTTATTTTTCACAGGTTTAACTTTACAAGACCCATCTTACTTGATATGTGTAAATATCCCATTTAGAAACCAACAAACTTTAGTAAACAAATTCATTACACATTAAAGTATATATATCGAAGGATATATTGACAAAAAGGAAGGTAACAATCTTCCGACCAAAATAGGAAAAGATTAATAATTATTTGTCTAAATTACATAAGGCGTTAAAATATGACATTTACAGCAGGGATCACATTATGCAACAAGCACCAGGCGAATCATTAATTGCTTATATTAAGAAAAGAACAAAAAAAACACGTTGAAAAAAATCCTGAAGTATAAACTGATTTGTTTGGGCGCTAAATTTCGCCACGGTTGCATGCAAAACCTACGTGATAACGTGAAGTGGCGTTACTATTAGGAGGCGGGGTGGTGCGTGATGGGGACACGCCCCCTTGCTCGAGGACAGTTCCCCCCCCCCCCCCCCCCCACCAATTTCTCTCTCAGCATTTGCACGGAAGAGGCAAAAATAAGCTTTTTTTTTCGTTAAAAACCATTGAGTGCCCCTCCTGGAAATAAAGTCCCCTAATTGGCCCTCCCCCCCCCCCCCCCCCCCCCACCCCCCGAAACTTGAACCCAGTTATGCTTCTGGTGTGAATAACAATTTATATTTATACCAAAACGTTCAGTCTGACATGCGTGGGATATTATAATCGCGAAATGGCACCCGACTCAGTCTGACGTTTCACAGTCGCGCCGATCTTAATTATTCCGAAGAAAAGAAAAGTGTTCGCCGTTTGAACTCCATGCGAAAGATCGACTGTTGCAGTCGATCCTCGATCCAAACGACTCCTGGGTCAAAACATTGATAAAAAAATTTAAAAAAATAAAAAAAATAGATCATAAATTTCACCTGTTTGAAACCCAGTTGTATCTGGGTCGACTTCAGTCCCTCTCAATACAGCTCGGCGCGGCTCTGACACGCCTGTCTGAAACGGTTTTTGCTTTTCCAGTTTTTAATCACTTATTTATTGTTCAAAAAAAGGACCAAATGTTTACCTCACTGACCCAGCCATTATAAATTGAATGACATCATTTACACGCTATATTCAAAACCTTGGCATCGTGGAGTTAAAGAAAGACCAGCAAATACAATGAAGTAATAAGTGAGCCATCTAAAAGATGTGTTCCCGTATTTTTTTCGAGTTTCACCTCGAAAACTAGATTTGTTTTCAATGCTATTTTCCCAGCAATATGAAAGTTATTCACTTTTGAGGCATGGAACGAAAAAACAATCCACAAACGTTTAGTTATTGAATTATTTCTTCACAAAAGTCGAATTATTGGCTGCCAGGCAACAATTCGGCTCCATTATAGGGCACATTCATTTTGTGCGCAAAATGAAGCGCCTTTTCAGAGGGTTAATTTTGCAGACGCCCAAAATTGGAATAAAAGAAGTGTTTTTTTAGTTAAAAACAAAACATACAAATTAAACAATCGTTAGGAAAAAATGACGAGCAACTTTAATAAGTAATTTTTCAAACAAAGCACCAACATGTTTACCTCACCGAACCAGCCGCCATTGAAATACATAATTTACACGCTTTTTATACGCTTTGCATAGTGACATTATGAAGAAAAAAAAGACCAGCCAAATGAAGTAATCAGTGAGCCAAGTTCACAGTAACGACGCGAGAGAGTCTGTGTCTTCCAAGTGCATCCTCGTTTCCGTTCCAATAGACCCCTTGCACAGAGCGCCCCCACTGGGGACAGCTTTTGTTACTTGTGACACAGCGGAACAAAGGAACAAAGTCAATGCCCTCAGTGAGATCGCTTTATGCAAGGGCATCATGATGGCGATTTGGTATAGACCTTGCGCGTTGAGGCGGGGTTAAAGGGCAATTGTTTTGTATCGCTATAGGATAGGCATGAGATTGTGCATTGATTAATTGTTTATTAATTAATTGAAATAAAGAATACCCTCTGAGACACCTGCAACGCATAAGGTCTAACCAGCTCGTTAGTGTGACGTCACTTCAGTTTAAACCACGCCCACTGCAAATTAAGCAGCATTGGAACCATTGGAACCGGAAGTTAACGCAACTTGAGTGTTTATCCAATGGGCGCTAGTAATAAGTGTTGCGCGCGCGTGTACGACCCAGATTGGGAGATCCTAATGTCTTTGACTTCTGAGCAAAAGCTTTACAGTGGAACAAAAACTTGTCCTCACTGAGGGCGCTCTATGCAAGGGGTCCAGACTATTGCGATTCCGCACAGGGAGCTAAGGATAACTTCTGCAAGATAGCTTTATTATGTAGGCTATATCATGTTTGGACTCCGGGGATGCATGCTGATGACGTAGCGGCGCATTTCTCAACAAGTCCTGGCTTCTCTTTGCTGCATCCTTGAATGTATAGTCTCCATTTCAAAGCCAATCTGAATTGGTTTGCTGTGGACCCAATTGCACCTGCATTGTGTCCGTCAGTGTTCTAAGATGGCGGATGAGCCTAGCTGCAGCTCAAGACCAGAATCAGATGTTATCCAGAACTTAAAAATTATCCCGATTTGTACAGCAGTATGGCCACCTGTCCCATGTAGAAATAGATGAAGTTCTTGGTCTCGTGCGTGACGTAACTGCCGAAGTTTTTACCCACGATGCAGTGCCAGGTGGTGGTGTACTTCTTGTCGAACTCTTTCTTGATGAAAGCAGCGATGTCTTTCTCTATGTTGAACCTTTCCATGGCCTGTGTAGCGCAGTCCACGGCGTCGGACTGCATGTCGTCAGGCATGTCTGCGTTCTTGATGACGGCCTTCTTCTCGGCCGTGGATTTGGATGAAACTCCGTACATTTTGGGTCTGCATTTGGGAATCAGAAAAACACACATCATTAAAACGTCAGTTTCGTTGCCTTTTTGTTACTTCGTCTAGCTCGGTCGGAATTCAAGTCTATAATGGCGTCGCTACAGAGATAGTACCACACCTCCATTATTTGGTCGTTTTTTGTCGTCGAAATCCTGAGGCTTGTCCTTTCGGTCGGAATTCAAGTCATAACGTTTTGTTGTGAACCCTGTTTGTCTCAAAGGCACTAGAAAGCACTCAGAGAGCGAAATCTCCTCCAAGGCTTAACAATTCCCCGCCATATTGTCAGTACACCCAAAAGAAATACTCGCATAAATGGTGAAGAATCCTTTAAAAAAATCCTGCATCCAGATCCGGATCACTTCCAAAATCTAATCGATTTGTACTTGTACCAAGGACCATCCGTAAAAAAAAAATGTCACGCACTGCCGGCGACCATAATTTTTTGAGTTGTCTTGTTAACAGACCACTTCCAACCAACCAACGCCGATGAAAACATAACCTCCTTGGCGGAGGTAATTACCCGGAACGGACCTACCGTTTCAACGAGAAAATCCTTGCTCATGGGACTTGTACCAATTAACCCTTTGAAATTATTCCGCCTGAAATTATATCATTCTGAAGAAACAATCCTTGAAGTTGACTTAAGAAAATGTGCCCGTGTTATGGGCATATTTTTTACGTGTCTTAGCGCCGGGGTCCGCGCATAAGTCCGACGCCTCATAGGTCCGACGCCTCACAAGTCCGACAAAATGTCATCACCAACCAAATAAAGGCCAAAAAAAAAAGGGTCCGGTTTCTGGTATGGAGCTTTCCCAAAAAGTGGTGCGGCGACGCGGCTTTTTTTTTTTTACCTGATTTTTTTGCTTTAAATGTCGGCTGATGACTGCAAATGGTGCCCGACTAAACTTAGTGCAAATATATGGGAGTCCAGAGAGGCCACATAAAGCTTATTCTCGACCATAACCCAATCTAAAAACACGTTAAAATTGTGCAGCAGCAGGATTCCAGTCAAACCAGTGAGTTTGGCGGTTTTGAGACATCTTTCATTGAAAAAAAAAACTTTTTCATTTTGCCGACGCGCATGGCTACGGCGACGCGTGCGCATACCAGAAACCGGAGACTTTTTTTTTTGGCCTAAGTCCGACGCCTCATAATTCCGAAATTTCGGACTAATGAGGCGTAGGACTTACGATATGGCCCCGCGTTGAGCAACGGAATTCGCGAGACCCCTAAAAATGGTGCAGACGTTTTCTCTGTTTTTTCCCGTGTGCTGTATCCACTGAGCCGAACCTTCAACAAGTCCGCTTTGACCAACAACAAAAAGTTCGCATATTTTATTTTGTGCCCCGTTAACAATAATTATGAAGTTGTACAATCAGTGCCAGTTAAAGAAATACTTCCCGTTTCGGTAGAATGCACAAGTACATGCAATATTAAAAGGCCTGGGCACAGTACTATAGCAGTACTCTGTTGCGCACTGCCCGGAACATGTAGGCCTATATACTGTTGCTTGTATACTACATGTACCATGTAGTATCGATTCACCGATAGCCAATATAAGCTGAAGGATTATGATCAAAATGAAACAAATCAGAGTTGGAAATGACAAAATCGGGACTTTGTAACTTTGGGGGGGGGGTTACTGTTTGAAAAGAAGTGGAAAGTATTTAGTTCATCATTGGTTTCATTACGAAGCCCCTGACATAATGTTAAACTCGTTACATCTAAGTCATGTATTCATTTGCCCAAAAGTAGAAAAACACATGTACGAGACTTAAACTAACAAACACATTATTGAATGCATCAGTTTTAATTCAATGTCCTTGAATTGCTTTCTGTGAACTCGAAACAGTGCAGATAGGAGCATGCAACACCATGCACGCACTTTTGGTTCATGCAGACACAAACGTTCATCTAAAGAATTATCACAAGCTCGAGGTGAGATAAGCCCACGTGCAATGTCGCCATTGTCATGATTGTGTCAGTCAAATCATTTTGTCAATACCAATGCCGAGATTTCTCGTAAACAAGTCGTAATTGATGTGATGCCTTCCACCTTGCTCACCTCAACATACCCGGTATAAAAACAGTTTTATTCAATTATAAGTTTCGTACGATGTGATAAGTAAATACAATGCATCAATATCGAATAGGACGATTCGTGTTTTTAAAGCGCAATTTAGGTTAAACTCACCTTGTATTAACGGCTGATTTCAGAAAATAAAAGTACAGCACCTTTGCAGGAATATAGAACTGTAACTGTAACGAGGGAGATGAGAGGAATGCTGTAACAGCTCAACCGTGAGAAAAGTAATTTGATTGGTTAACAGTTGACAACTCGGTACCTGTTGTTCGGTAACTTGTTTCGGTAGATGTACGTTGAACCCTTTCTGGAATGCACGGTTATTGTTATCGCACACAGGTGCGGGTCCGGCCATTATAACCGTAGGCCTTTACTTTGTTGTACGGCACCATACCAGTGAATATCGGCCTACTTACAAAGCTTTTTTTACCTCCAAGTCACGGAACCAAAACAGACGTGGGCCGACAGTACAACTTAAGCCTACCTAGTGTACCCGAACCCCCGGGATTGTACAAAAACACGTCGGTCGCTATTGTCTAGGGGACATATTTGCTGGTGTGTTATTGGTGGAATTATTAAAAGGTCATCCGGCAGCTTGCCCTTGGCATGGTGAAGTTTATGGTAAAGGCTATATGAAAGTATCGAGGATGAAATTCTTCTTAATTCCCTTTCACTTTTCTTTTTCCCAGCTTTGACAAACGAAATGTGTAGGCTAAATCGTAAGGAGCCCCAAGTGATATTACTTCACAACCGTACATTTCTCTTAAAAAATTATAATAACCAACGAAATGTAAACTTTGTTCGAGATATGCAGGAACAGCTGGTGTATGCCTATTGTTTTTACTCAAAAGTCGAAATTCGGCTTGACAACGATTTATTCACGTCATTAATGTTATAAATAAAGGGCGCCACCTTGAATTCAGGTTCAGGTCTTGTAGGGGGCGAATTGGCCGGGGGCGAGGTAGTAAGGGACATAAAATTGGCCGAGGCGAGTACCGGGAAAATAGCTAGTTGGTCAGTGAGCGAGTTGACCATCACTCCAATGTGAGCTACATTGTGTCTATTTTAACGTACATTTTTTCCGACGCCGAGTTTACTCGAGACCCAGTTGATAACTCGGACCAAGTTGGGTTAGGACCGATTTGGTTCACACAAAATATAAGCACAACGTTTGAAAATTGAACCACGACGTTTGAAGAATGAACACGACGTTTGAAAGTTGAACCACGACGTTTGACAGTCTATTAATTGAACCACGACGTTTGCGTGTTCGTTTTGGAACATTATGTCCGTTTTAGAACGCCATAAAAAAGCACTTTCTCGGATACCTGCAACGCAAATTTATAAGGTATATTAAACCTCTCAAGACTCTTGGGGGCGGGTCGGAGCGAGGGGTTTTCCTTTGATAATGTCAAACAATGAATATTTATGTGCCCGTGACTCTTAATACGCATGCGTACATTATGTCATTGCCTCTTTGGAAAGCGTCTCTGGATGTAATTTAAGAAAGTTATGCAAGATCGCATCTAATACATTTCCGAGTCATTCCATTAAAGATGGTATATATAGGCCAACGTAATCGACGGAGCCATCACAATTGGACTAACATTGAGTCTAGACCAACTCGTGAGGGAATACACATGTCACTCAAAAATGTCAGTGACAATGACACTCGGAGATTGACATTTTGGTTTCATCTCTGCAGACGATCTGCAGATGTTTCGTCTTTGGCTCATAATGGCTTAAAAGTGTTTGTTTCTTAGTTGATTCCACATTGTATCCAAGAAGACTCTTTCCAAACATGGAGCCGATTATTTCTCTCCGTATCACCAAGACCACCGTGGGCCTGATTGGTATCTTAGGCAATGGTCTCGTCTGCATTGTCATTTATTTTGCCAAGTCCATGCACACCATTACCAACCTGTTTATCTTCAACCAAGCCATCGTGGATTTCCTCGGTTGTTTGTTGCTGATTCTCGGCAGCAACGTCCCGGTGCCGGACCCCTTGCCTTCCGGTCCGGCCGGCGCCTTCTTGTGCCGGGTTTGGGTCTCGGATGCCCTCCTTTGGCTGTCGTACTCGGCTTCTACATTCAGCCTGGTCATGCTTACATTCGAGCGATACTTCGCCATCGTGTACCCGTTCAGATACCGGGCGATGTTTGCTCACGAGCGCCTAGTGCCAGGGGTGATGATCGCGGCGTCTTGGCTGATCGGGGTCTTGGTGGCTATATACGGCGGTGCCATTTTTGCTCCGGTGGACGACCACTGCGTCCCCGTGAACATCCCCGGGGCTAGCGTGCTGGGCCTCCTCATCATCTGCCTGCAGTATGCGCTCCCTTTCGTCTTCATGGTCTTTGCTTATGTAAGTATCATCCTGGAGTTGAGGCGGAGCTCAGCACGCGTCGGTGTCTTCGTGCCAAGTCAGGCTACCACGGGGGAGACATCCTCAAATCATGACCCCAACCGGGTGTTGGAGCCTCGTCTACCGCACGACCCACTCCGTCGCGCCCGGCTCAACACCATGGCCACCCTGGTGATCATCGCAGGGGCTTATGTGGTTTGCTGGACACCCAACGAGGTCATCTTCTTCCTCTTCAATCTTGGTTGGCAACTGGATTTCTCCAGTCCCCTATACGTCGTATCAGTCGCTCTAGTTGCCATCAACTCGTGTGTCAACCCACTCATCTACGCCATCAAATACAAGCAGTTCAAGCGGGCCATGAAGATGCTGTTTCGGCGCGAGTCGGAGCCTTCCCACGCGACCATGGAGACAGAGATGAACCCATGATTATTCCACTCTTTACGCACAAGCACAGGCTAAAAACAACTCCAACTCGCAATTTCCAATATCCATCAATATAAAATAACTACTTATATGCTTAATATGGGCTGCTTAAATCTGACATATTGAAAACTGGCTCTTTCGTTTATGACTTCATTGCACGGATCTAAATTAGTACATACACAAAATTTCGAGGACTGCAGTTTTAATGGTCAGTTATTTTAAACATACCAAACGTATTTTGATGCAATGTTAAAAGCAGAACAAGTCTCTTATTGACATGATCAAACCCTGTGCATATAAACAAGATAAAAAAAACTTTGTTTTCAAAATCAAATTTTTGTAACTTTGCACTTGATATGCGAGCAAATCACTTAAATGTGTATATTTATCTTTGTAGAATAAGGGGTTGTGTCAAGTGTGTTCTTTATTTAAAACAAAAACAAATTATGTAGGAAAGCACTGGCGGCAATGTATGTTTTCTTCATAGCCTACAAATTGTTCGCCGAATGTAAAATTGTGTGTAAATGTTGTTGTGGTCTTCATGCAGTGAATTTATTCTCTAGTAATTTAATTTGGAGCATTATGCTAGATTGGTATCAGTCCCTGATAAAACTGATTATAACAACCACGCCGCGGACAGAATGTTAGTGGTTGCCATGGCAATAGAAGTATCATACGATATCCAACTACGTAGCTTGGTCGGATCGTTTAATAGCTCATATTACCACGTGCTATAGATATTCATAGTAATCATCAAAGTACTTTTCTTTAAATATGGTATACGTGCTTTTTCAAAATTTCGATTTTCTTTTCCGAACGAAAGTTAAAGGAATATAATGTCCTGTAACAAATAAATTTGCTTGTTGGCATTTGCAGGTCTTTATACAGTTTTAAAAAGTGGTTTTTAACGTTGCGCTATATGGCGCGCTCAAGTTTAGAAAGTTTTGAGCGAAAGCTATAAATAATCATATCTAGTGGCGTAGTAATCTAATATGCACATGCGCTTGGCCGGTTTTTAAACAGGTAGGCCTACGTTCGGCGAGGGTCATTATCCGTGACCAGGCCTCTAGCCGGTTTTAAACGTACTTGTTTAATACCGGCCAAGCACTATTAGTGCAGCTTATAGCATCAATATAAACTTGGTATACCGGTGCCTATAGGGCTAGTATAGGTCCTACGGAACACTGGGGCCTAGGGCCTACGGAACACTATGCGCAGATCGCAGCGGCGGTGTTTTACCGGCGGTTTAGAAACACCCACGTAACGCTAACCAATAGGAATGGGTAAACTGCCTCCTTTTTCTTTACCTATATGCGTCGTCTATCCACTGCAGGATGTAGCCCTCTGGAAGACCCATCCGGGTTGTTCTTTCCTTTGCTGTCCCTGTCCATGTCCCCCCCCCCCCCCCCCAACCAACTTTGATATGTCATCTCCATATCTTTTATGTGGTCTGCCTCTAGATCTTTTTCCTGTTCTGGGTTGTCATTCTGTTGTTCTTATTGTCCATCTGTTGTCTGTCATCCTGGCTATAATGTCCTGCCCATTTCCATTTCATTGTGTTGACATCTTTGGCGATGTCTTTTACTTTGTTTTTTTCCCCGATTATTTTATTGGGTATCCGGTCTTGGAGTGTAATTTACAACATCTTTCATTGCATTGCTAGTGCTCTCTGGGTGGTCGACAATTCATTGTATTTACTTGGTAACTGTCCATATTTGGCATCCATAAGTAATCGTTGGAAGTATGGTCGAATACTCTCTTCTTCAATGATATTGGTAGTTTTCTGTCAAATAAGATTTCTTTATGACGTCTGAATAGACCCCATTCTGCATTTATTGTTGTGAGTATTTTCTTCTTTCATCTTTAGGGATTGACCAAAGTATTTGTATTCCTTTACGTTTTCTATTATTTCATTCTCAAATTGGACATTGACTCGCGAATCAATATTTGTCATAAACTGTCTCACATAATAATAATTAACAAGTAGAGAAATGAAATCAACCATTTTTTAAATTGATGCTGTAGTCTGCTCGTTCCTTTCCTTCCACATTTGTTCTAGCAATACAGAAGTTATTCATTTTTGAATGAGTCATCGACTGAAGACATTTTATTGTTATTTTATTGGATTATAACTTTACAATTCTGAATTATTGGCTGCCAGACAATCAGGGGCGTAGCCACGGGGGGGGGGGCACAGCCCCCATGAAACCTTGTCGCCCCCCAGTCGCCCACTGAGATTTTGAGTTTCTAAAAAAATTATCATTGATCTACATGACGCTCCCCCCCCCCCCATGAAATGTTCCAGCCCCCTCCCCCCCCCCCCCAGCGCCCCCCAGTGACAAATGCCTGGCTACGCCACTGCAGACAATCATTCCGTTCTCGCGGGGTAGGTTGGTCCCCGCCCCACAATCAGTATCGATAATTTACGGACCGGGAGCCAGTCTGCTCGCAAGACGGATGTTGATTAAATGTTGTGCCCAAAACAAACGTCCTCTTTTCAGAGTGTTGCAGACGTCCCAATAAAGCATTGGAATAAAACATAAATGTTGCAAATCGCAAGCGAAAGAACAGAAAAGATTAACCTATCGTCCGTCCCTTCCGATCGATGCATCTTTCGGGAGTTTTATATTGACAGTGCGTGGACTTTATTATTGACCACAGGGAAAAAAACAGCCTTCCTCAAATTTACCTGACCACGTATTTACATAGCATATAGTCTAATGAATGAGTATGGGTAAACAAAAAATTTAATTTGAAGACGTCGTCGAAACTCAGCGTCGACGAGCACCATTAACTCCAAATTTTGCAAAGGTGTTTTTGATTGTTTTCCGTCAATGCTTGAAGACCAATCATGACGTTTCCGAAATGGCTGTATATGGAAAGACTCGGGATAACGCCTTTCACGCGCTGCAGCCAAAAAAAATCGGTTTCTTTCGCAAAACGGTTCATAGCATATAATTTGACCATGGAGTGTCTTAGACTACCGCCGAAGCTTGCTCGCCCCAAGTTACTAGACACTATACGCTAGAAATTTCGCAAAAACGGTTTATATGCTATAAACCGTTTTGCGAAAGAAACCGATTTTTTTTTTTTTTTTTTTTTTTGCTGCAGCGCGTGAAAGGCAGCATACCGAGTCTCATACACCCGTTTCCGAAACGTCATTATTGGTCTTCAAGCATTGTTAAAGCATAAGTCCTCCTGCAAATTGCCTGATTTCAGACTGTTCTTACAATGTGAATAACATACATGTATGGACACCATGTGTGTACATCGTATACTTTTCCTTTATTTATGTATCTCCAGTTTCCGGCAAAAATGTCAGTGTCCACTTGCATGTACAGATATACATACCGGTACCGGTACATATTCCTGTTTTGAATGCATAAATTACTGAATTGTTAGGAAGCTTCTAAGTTGCTTGGTGAGGAAACATTGAATAATCGTAAAGTGCGCAATCTTTCATTCAATGTAACAGAGACTAGTCTATGAGACTTGAGATGTTGGCTTAATATTTGAAGAAAGTTGCCAAAATGTTCAAATTCAGAGTCACTAGTAGAAAGTAGTAGAAAGTGAAAACTGCATTTTTATTCATAAAAAAAAATGTTCCAGTTTGGTATTTTTAGATATGACCCATCTCTGTTTTGGGCTCTCTGCACTTTTGTGAGTCTGAAGTGTAGGCGGTGTAGTTTGGCTCAACTTTCACTTTTGGTCTTCAAGTATTGTTAAAGCCTGACCTCCTTCGGCTAAAATTTCTCAGAAATCGATTGTAAAAATAGACCATTTTAGGAAAAGACCTTGTGGAGATCTCACAAACGCATCTAGGCCTACACATAGCTTCATCTTGCAGGTTTTCGCACGAACCTGATCGCACCCGCCTCAAAAGTCGAACATTGTTAAGACATTTTCACGCCTGCAATTAGATCACGTTTGCAAGAAGAAGTCATTATGTCTACTGTCGTGGAAATAATTTATTTAAAAGCAGAGCAGAAATTCCTCTTGGCTCCACCGTAGATGTCAGGGTTACAAGGCGTACAAAGACTGACATGCGCTTATCACGGGGGGGGATCGCAATTAAGTAACCCATGCGAAGTTTTTCATTAAATCGCAAGTTTCTCAAGCACGTTAAACAAGCTCCGCGCCTTCTTAAAGGCAGTTTTCGAGTTGAATCGAGCGTCTTACGTTTCGTTGCATGTACAAAAGTTTTTGTCTTCTGTTACTGACGTACTGCACATCAATAATTTGATAGCGAATTCAGCAAAATGGAGAATGGAAGGCATTACTCGTGAAAATTAAATTATAAAATTGACTTCCGAATTGCCATTGATTCCGGTGCTCTACCAACTGAGTTATGCTGGCATGTACCACAGTTTGTCGATGTCTTTGTTCAAGGGGTGCTAGTCAGACGCCATAAATTACTCATTCTATTCATCAAAAAAAATCGATGTCTTTGTTTAAGGGGTGCTAGTCAGACGCCATAAATTACTCATTCTACTCATCAAAAAAATTCATTCCGCAGTCCCCCGGCCTTTATCACAATATCAATACCAAAAAAAGGAACCAAGACAAAATAAATATCACTGATAATTCTTGTTTTGACTGCTGACTGTAGTGAGTGAGGTTTCAATGTTATCCCTACTAAATAAAATCGAACAAACGAAGAAAATTTCAAACAATAAAATGTCCTGAAATTCATATGTATGGCAATTAGGAGATTATGCAGAGTCACATGTATATTAACACCACCACTTCTAAGGGCCAACAATACCACATAACAAAAGTACAATGAAGTATTAACTTGTTATACACAATAAATAATACACAAAATTGTTGTGCATGATCATAGACCCTTGAATACGACGTTTGAGAAGTTGAACTGCGACGTTTGCAAAATTGAACCACGACGTTTGGAAGTTGACGTACGATGTCTGAGAAAAGTTAAAGTACGACGTTTGAAAAGTTAAACTACCGCGACGTTTGAAAAAACAATTGAACCACGACGTTTATTCAAACATTTTGAAATTTATGTTAGATCGACATCAGTCCCTGATAAAACCAACTTTGCGATGATTATAGTACCCAGGCTGACAGATGTAAGTGGTTGTCATGGCAATAGAAATATAATCACGCGATATCCAACTAATATGGCCAATATTCCTGCGTGATAGACACAGTAATCATCAAAGTACTTTTCTTAATAATTAACCATGAAAAGAAGTGAAACGACAGTTTTTAATCAGTGCTGCACACCAAGTGCATAGTCTAATCATTGCTTCCCTTCCGCAGGTTTGTGCAATATTAAACAGAAGGAAAAGAGAAAGTTGATTAACGAAAGAGAAGGCAACGCTGTCCCTAATTCTAATCGATGCTCTTTTGGGAGTTTATACTGACAGTGCATCATTGACAGCAGGGGCAACAAGCAGACTTCTTTCAAAGTTACCTCATCACTGTTATGTTTGCATCATGCATGTAGACTTCAAGTAATTGGTTCAAAATTCTACTTGTCGGAACTCCGCGAAAGGATTAAAATTTTCACTCAAATGCAGTGGCGCAACTAGGGTTAATCTTGGGGGGGGGGGAGAGCAGGGGGTGCATAAAAGTTTCGGGGGGGGCGCAATAAAGGCAAATGACGTATATGTTTTTTCAATTTAAGATTGCAAACAGGGGGCACCTGGGAGGCACGAATATCCGCTGGGGGGGGGGGGGGCACGTGTCCCCCGTTTCTCCCCCCCCCCCTAGTTACGCCACTGCCAGTGCTTTTAAAAGACGAGTCTGTGTCGACCAAATTACCCATTTGTTTCAGTCCAAATTGTGTTTGCTATTGGTTACATGTTCATGAACGGGTGCAGGCCAGCTGGACCGGTTCCCTTACCTTACAATTTATTTCATCTTTAGTGGAGTCTGGCAGACTACTTGAACATTTTTGTTTTATTTGGTTTTTCCCGCATTTTCGAACACAAAACTTCAAAACATGTCAGTGTAACAATATTTGATCTATTATATCAACCCCTCAAATAGTTCGTTTCTGAAAATTACAGCAAAAGCCAATGATGTACATTCCCTTTAAAGGGGGAAAATTTGAAATTTCTCAAGCCATGTAACAAGCTCCGCGACTTCAGGGTCTGACATATTTGTTGCTTACGCAAGTTTTTGTCTTCAGTCACTGACGTACTGCATATCAATAATGTGATTTCAAGTGACTTTGGATATTACTCTTAATTATTTTTAATAAAACTTACAACAACAAAAATGAATGGAGCGGGGTTTGAATCTGCAACCTCCGGACCACCGCACCTACCAACTGTGCCATCCTGGCTCAGGCCAAAAAAAAAGTCTACGGTTTCTGGTATGCGCGCGCGTCGCCGTAGCCATGCGCGTCCGCAAAATGAAAAAAAAAAAAAATCAATGAAAGATGATGTCTCAAAACCGCCAAACTCACTGGTTTGACTGGAATCCTGCTGCTGCACAATTTTAACGTGTTTTTAGATGGGGTTACGATCGAGAATAAGCTTTATGTGGTCTCTCTGGACTCCCATATATTTGCACTAAGCTTTGTCGGGCACCATTTGCAGTCATCAGCCGACATTTGAAGCAAAAAAGTCAGGTAAAAAAAAAAGGCCGCGTCGCCGCACCACTTTTTGGGCAAGCTCCATACCAGAAACCGGAGACTTTTTGGGGGCCTTATCCACAGTTTTCAATGTCTTTGTTCGAGGGCGCTATTAAAAAGCCATAAATTATTCTCAGTCTACTCATAAAAATACTTTTCCGGCAGTCCCCATCCTTTATTGCAATAGAAAATAAGGAATGGAGACATCAATTGCTAAAAACAAAATCACTGATTGTTGGTTCTGACTGCTGACTGTACAGTGGTTTTCTTCAATGTAATCCTTTATTTAAAAAAAAAAATCAAACAAATGATGAACAATTCAAATAATAAAATGTCCTGAAATTCACATTTATGGCATTTAGGGGAATATGCAGAGTCGCATGTATATTAACACCATTTCCAAATAAATAAATACCACCACTGGCCAACAATACCACATAAATTATGTAAGTACATGTACATGAAGCAGTAACTTGTACACAAAAATATACACAAACTGTATTCCTGTACAATGCATAATGTCACTGATAGTTTCAGGGATGTTCTACTTTGGTATCCTACTCCCACTGGGGGAACAAAAGACTGCCCTGGCAAACTGTCCCTCCAGAAAACACTGGGGCGTGTTCTTCCTCCATCTTAAACAAACATAGTCTAAGGATCATACACTCATGTGTGCAGAGCCACACAACGAATGTCTGATATATGTGAGCGTTCCAATGTTATGCCCGCCCGCCAGCCAATCCGAGTCGACTTTAGAAATTGAGATGTCATTTCAATCAGAAATGTGGACTAAGCCGTTGATTGGTCAATTTGGCTGCCATGCTTGTTGTAATACAAAACAGGTTACCGAAAAACCGATATAGAAGGTTCCAGCTGATTGGTCCGAATCTGGAGGTCAAGATGTAGTCTTGTTTTGCGTAATTAATCACCGAATCTGCACGCATATCATAGACCCTTGCTGTGCATGGCCATATTCCATAGACTAAAGAAAAAGAGGCCTAGCATTAAATATCAGATATGAAACCAAAACATTAACAGCAGATATATATTGATTTAGCAGATACATACTCTAAATGAAAGAACTAAAGAAACACGTAGAGCTATTTAAGAGATCCTATGATTGGCTTATTTTCTCTACCAGTTGTACCATTCCTTTGGTATAAAATAAAAACATAACTTTGTAAAAAAGAAAAGAAAAAAAAGATGTACTACATCAGCTCAAAAATTAAAAGTTACAAGTCAAACTCCGGGCAAAATCATGAATCCTGAGTAATTTGTGAGTAAATGTGACTAATGTCATTTGACTTTGACTTTTTACTCAAAAAGCCACTTTCATCTTTGTAAAGAAAGTAATGTTGCCTTGTAATGGACAGATGAAAATAACCCCCCAAAAACGACAGAAAAAGTTTATCATAAAACAAACAGAAAGTTGTGAATTTAATTGCACAAATCTCCAAAACAAATGATACAACATAAGACGTACAACCATCTCAATGAAACTCAGCAAAGACACACAAAAATAGTTTACAACTTAATCCAAAGTTGGCATTAATTCAGAGCATAGATGAGCTGGTGCACAATGTTGTTTGTTATTCCGTGTGCTTGGCTACTGTGATTTCATTGGTCTAGAACGGCCACGAGTCCAGTCTGTAGAAATGCATACACTGGGTTCCACATGCGCTGCATATAAATTGCGCGTGTTGAGCACGCGCGTGTAGCACCGTACCTGCCTGCGCGCTCGTGACTGAAAACTGCAACCGTTTCATGTCTGGCAGGAAAGCCTGCAGTTATCAAAGGTTTACATCGCAAAGATTTCATTTATTTCTCACATGGTAAGTTACAACAATTGATATTTTTGACTTAGTGGCACGATATAACAAAACAATTGTTGACTGCTGCGACGTGTGATATGCCATTTTTAACCACCTCGGGGTGCATAGCACCCTCAGGTGTGAAAAACGGCATATCCCAGCAGTCAAATGGGCAACTCACTGACCATCGAAAAAATACCATCGCAAGATCTATGGAGCCACCAAAAAGTTCATGTATAGTGTTCAGTGAAGGGACCTCAGCAGCGTATGCTGTACATGTACGTGACATTATCAGGATCCACAGGGAATTTCATCACAACAAATAAGCTCCAGAGTTTTTAAAATTTACTAAATTACTTCAGAACTCAAACTTTTCTCAAAGTTCGTTGGTAGCTACTATGATTAGGGAGTCAGGTTGGCGTAGCGGTACTTTCCTCGCCTTCCACCACTATGACCCGGGTTCGAATCACCACTATGACCCGGGTTCGAATCACCACTATGACCCGGGTTCGAATCCCGCCTGGGCCAATATGTGGATTGTGTTTTCAGTCCCTACATGATTCCGTGGGTTTCCCCCAGAATGTTCATCTGGGCTTTTCCTCCCACCTCTAAAAACTGTAATTTCTTCTCATTGTCTCCTCTCTACAGGTTTCTTCACGCTTGCGAGCTACAGTGCCTAGGGCGCTTTTAAGGAATCCTGTGGGTTTCATTGCAAGAAATGATTAATAAAATAATAAAATGCATGCATAAGGCAAACTGCGAATCCCAAAAAGGAAAATGCCAAAGATGATGTGGGCACACGCAATGGAAATACCCGACTGACTTTAATAATGTTTTGCGTTACACCCCAACTATAGCAATGGACCTAACTATAGTTGGGACTGTCCCAACTACAGTTAGAATAGCCCCAATATATAGTTCGGTCAGTCTCAACTATAGTTGGGATGGTGGCTTCAGTTGGGATGTAACATTTTACAAAAGCTTTCATACTTTTTGTTTACAGTAAAACGGTCACCTTTTAGGTTTGTTAAAAGCGAATGTGATATTGGTAATGCGGAAAGGTTACGTATGGTACCCTTTGCCCTGTGTGCCATGACTCTCTTAGGTGTTAAAAAATATGTCCCGCATTGCAACAGTTCATTTTTATAAGGAATTTCACAGTGACGTATTTCAAAGAAGTTTGCATCAGAGGAAAGGAGACTTTGAGGAGGGCATCTTTTCCTTGTCTGCTGTGTCTCCACTGAGCAATGCCTGGAATTCTCGAACCTCGTAAATGCTGCTTGAGAGTCTGTGTTGGGAAATCACACACAAAAAAGATAAATGGTTAGAGCGATAAGTCTGGCTCCCTTGCGGGCAAAATATCAACGGAGAACCAGAGCTGCAGTTGGGTCAAAGTGGCGAGACAGCGTCTGGGTCTTGAGCCACTAGGGTCGAGTCTGAGTGTTAAGCCACTAGCATGACTAGGGTCAAAATCTGAGTCGGGGTTTGAGTTTCTTGAGTCAAGTCTCAGTTGGAATTCCGAGTCATCAGAATTATTTTGCTTTCTATATTTTTAACACATAGGCCTAATTGTTCGTAAAGAATATGCGACTCACTGTAAGGAGTACTCGGTATCAAATCTGAGTCATACTAGTCAGATCTGAGCTTGAGTCCTACTCTTTTAAGTCCTACTGTCAATGTGACTTGAGTCAGGTCCGAGTCACTGTACATGTAAATTCTAAGTTGGGTGTGATTTAATTTCTGTTTCTCTCAAGAAAGGGGTTGTAATTATTGTTTGGAATATATCAATTTGATGAATTTATTTTCAAAATGTTCCGTTTCTAACTTTTTGTTTTTGGTTTGATTAGATTTCTGTCGGGAAAGAGAATGCCTGCCAGCATATTCACTTTGGCACATTATAGCACAATATAGCATTTTATTGGAAGTGACGTTCACACTATGAGGCCTACAGTCCTGTCACTAACTGATCCCTCCGTGACAGCTTGATTCCTCATCAAAAGTGATTCAGAAGGTCCCTGTGATGACTTGAATAAGGCTAACAGCAAATGATCAAGTTGCTTGTCGGCTAATTTGATGACCTCAATTAAGAGTCGTTACTAATGGGAAATGTTTTGCCCTATTAGTCTGCAGGCTTCTTACTACTACAATTATTTTCCTAATGACCCCGAGGGTAAGTTGACACAAAACTGTCCATTTCACAAGCCAAAATAAACTTAAACTATCCATAACAGTACGGCAGATAGATGATGAGATTGTGCCTTTGATTATAAAAGCATGGCATTTGGCACACAGTCAGAGTATGTCATGAGAAAGACATTTGGCTATAGGGCCATCGCAGATTTGTCCTTTGAAACAAATAAAGGTAGAATAACAAACAATGGCAACCATTTTGAAAATTGCTTGTTATTCTACCTATGTTTTTTCAAAGGATAAATCTACGATGGCCCTATGGCCATATATCTTTCTTAAGATATACTCTGACTGTTTGCCAACTGCCATGCTTGTATCATCAAAGGCACAATTTTCCCAAATATTTCCCCTATTTGCCCCACTATAAGGATCCTCTTTTCTAGATTTTTTTTGATTTATTTTTATTTCAACAGGAATCAGTTTCATACAGTTTCAACATGTTCTTCCCCCTAGCCAGCATAGCACTGTCAAATATATTTTACAAACCCACATAACTTCTGGCTTGTTTGTACGAGTTTGTATTAAAGAAAACTGGATTAATGGATTTGATCTATCTAGGCCATGCTATATAACAAGGTCTAGAAATGACAAAAGAACATCTTAATGACAAAATCGTTGCAACCCACTTCCCTGCATACAAAAAGATTATGGTCTCAACCTTCAAATCACCACAAATCCATTGCGTCACTGTGTTCCTTTTCTCCAGTTCATTATTGGATTCTTTATTACTCACAGTAAAATCAACTATTTTAGGATGATCCAATCTATTTTTGCAATGAGGCAGATCTTCAGATGTAATTTAAAGGGAATATACAACATTTGTAAACATCGAAAAATAAAACTACCAAGTTTTTGCGAAATACCTTAACAGGATGTTGGTAAATGACAGTCTAAAGCATCCTGTAAAATTATGGCACCTGGTATACTGTCATTTTCAAGAAAAGTGGTATTTTTGTATCAATTTCCAACGCTGATCGGCCGATCAGCGTTGGAAACAACTGGCTTTTTTTCAAATACTGGCCCCAATTGACCATTGCACTTGTTTGCAATCGATTACAAACCTATGAACGGGTACGAGCCAGCTAGACTGGTTCCCTGACCTTACAATTCCCCAATGTATGTAAACTGCTCTGTTTCTTCTTATATGGAGTCAGGGAACCAGACTACAGGAAAATGATCGTTTTTCTTGGTTTTTATAGCATTTTCGAACCCAAAACCTCCAAAAAGTCAGTGTAGCTATATTTGCTTTATATTTCCAACCCCCCAATTCCATCCATTTCTGAAAATTACAGCAAAAGCAAATGATGTATATTCCCTTTAACTAGATACTGGCTTTTTCATTTTGAACGACACGTTGGAAGTTAGGATGCAAGAATATTTTAAGGATGCCTACTAACGGCTAGACTAAACACAGAGTTTTTCTTTCAACCTTTCAACCGCCTTTTCTGAGAGGACCTTGAAGGAAGTCCTTTTGAGACCTTAGAAAGCTTTTAGAGTCTTAAATATTTTTCAGCAAACTTTAAATTAGTCTGTCAGTGCAAGACTCTCAAAGCTTTCTAAGGTCTCAAAAGGACTCTCTTCAACGTCCTCTTGGAAAAGGCAACTGAAAGGTGGAAAGAAAAACTCTTTGTTTAGTCAGTTCAGTAACAGTTAAAGAGAAGAAGCGAATGCACAAAAAGGAAGCACTTCGCAAAGCGGCACCTACTCAGGCAGCAGCTTGCAACTCAATTACACTGCAGATTTTTTTTTTTTTCAAATCTCAAGTGGATGCTCGCAAATAGGCTTGGGCGACTCTTACTTTACGGGGGATTGATTCCAATTTTTTTCCAGGAGTTACAATTCCATTTTGGATCGTCTCCAACCCAAGAACCTCCAAAACTTCACCAATATTAGCACTGATTTATTATAGATAAGGTCATTTACAGTGTCTTGAATCTATTCATTGGGGAGCTAAACTAGTCTGATAAAAATAATGGAGTCAAATTTCTGATTCCGAGTTTGGAAATGAATCCATTTGATTCTGATCTGCAGCCACCCAACCCTACCAGAAAAAGAATTTCAAATTAACACTGACACCAAAGACGTGAGTGTACTCAATTGTGTTAAGGCTTGACAACAGAAAAGGTCTCTCAAGTTTCATAAAAAAGCCAAGCATTGGTAACCTCACCTTGGCTGCTTGTATGAAATGTGTCTGTTGGGCTAGGAACATTTACTTGATGCATCTTATAAATGTTGGGCTAAATAGCTTTACCTCTCGCTGCGTCGGCTTTGGAAAATTGAGCAATCAAAGCAGCTGGAACTGCTGATGTAATGCTTACCAGCTAACGAGGTTATGGTGCATGCGTCCTTGGGCAAGGCACTTCATTGCTTACCTTACTGGTTAATTACCCCTTTTCAGATATGGGGGACACTAAAAGAAGGGCATCACCGGCATCATCGGGCGAGTATAAAAGAATTCGTCTAAATCGAATAGTGCCCCCCCCCTCCCCCCCCCATTGTGTCCACAAAGCCTAATGGGAACATGTTATACGGAACAAATTTGTTGTAGTGTTTGAATGCGCCCTTGTGCAGATAAAAGCAGCATCCATAGGTATACTCCCTAGGGAGCTGAGATGGTATTTAAAATGTTCTGCAAACCTGCTTCGCAGGGAAAGACATGCAAACTATTTCTATGTGCACTTAAAGGTAGAGTCGATCGTTTGTGATTTGTGCATTTTTTTGTTTTGTTTAACGCAATAAACATGCTCAAAATCCAAGACGGGTGCTTAAAAACTAACCTGATGAAGTTTGAGCTCTGTGAATGCTGTATATTCCGAGAAAACGATATTCTAGGATCTCGGTTTCGATCAAAAGTTGCCAAGTCAAGTTTTGAATTGCGCCCGAAATCAGCGTCCGGGACACTCATTCAGCCAATTGCAGCTACTACTGACAAATGATAGCACTTGCCCACACCTATTCACTAAATTACAAACCAACTACTAACGGAAATTTCCAAAAATTCGTCACTTGACACGTCTTTGGAAAATGACCTTCTTTATTGTTTTTCTTCAAAATGACAGCATGGCAGAAAGAATAATTTCCCAGGGAGTTTAGTGCCATTACTATCTTTAAACCAAGTAAGCTTTTCAACAATAATTGTGTCAGTTACTTTTAGGATCTCTGCAAATGATCTACTCTTCCTTTAAATATATGATCTTTTGAATTGTCCAGAACACAATTGGTCCATGTTTGCAAAGTTGATGGCAAGGATTTTTCTTCACTGAAACTCTGGTCCTCTGACTGAATGCCAAGCTTGTCAAAATATGGAAGAATAAAGCAGTTGAGAACTTCAATAACTAATGGATCAGGGCCCAATTTCTTGGCTCTGCTGAACACGTAATTACGCGCTTACGATCACCACTTTTTGCTAACAGCAGAAAAATGCTACGCTAACACTGTAAGCACAGAATCCTTAGTTACGGGATGTACACATGCGCAAAAGCCAAATTCCTTGCTAAGCAGTGAAATACGCTTACTGACATTGTAAGAGACAATGTAAGTGACATTGGAGAGACACACATGTTTGGGCAAAGTTGACTGGCCCTAATGAAGCAGTCTATTGCTATTTAAGTGTAAGAATAGTGCAAACTTTTTATATGCCATTACTATACAGGGTGTATCAAAAAAGGAAACCCAGATGTAAATGTGAATTACATAAAATCAAATAAATAATTTCAAAAAAGTTAAAGATCATGTGAAACACCAATGTGTCCTCTTTCCAATGATACCTCGAATGTGTGTCTGTGGCCACGGATGACTGAGCATTCGTTGTTATTCTGTCAAGGGTCAAAACCTGCACTGGGCCAAGTTTGTGCAAAAGGGTAACTGGTATTCTCGGCACAAGGAACGGCTTCATTCACGAAAGACATCCTTTTCTTAAACAATTATTCAATTTGGACACAAAGTGATTAAACCACTCTCATTGCTGAAGTTGACCCCTCCTGGCCCAATGCCTTCAACGTGGCCACCATCTCTTTCCACACAAGTCTCTGCACATCCATTTAAACCTTTGCATGGTCTATTTCAACCGTTGCATAACAAACCAGCCAGCAATCTTAGCCAGGTAAAACTTGGCTCATAACAGGTTTTGACCCTTGTCAGTTAAACAATGAATGCTCAGTCATCCGTGGCCACAGACACACAATCAAGGTATCATTGGAAAGAGGATACATTGGTGTTTCACATGATCTTCAACTTGTTTGAAAATATTTATCAGATTTTTTGTAATTTACATTTACATCAGGGTTTCCTTTTTTTTATACACCCTGTATGGTTTGGTTTTTTATTATTTCTTCCAAAATCCTATGAGATAATTGACTCCAGTAACCACAGCCTCTTAAAATATGCATTTCAAAAAAATCTTACTTTTTTTTGTTTTGTAAAAAAATTCCGGCCACTGAAAGTTCTCGCCCACTGGAGACAGTCAAGCAAACAATATAATAACTGACACAACGCGAGTGGATCTGATGTCTGAAGAAGAGAGAGGAGCAAAGAACTCATAGTTACCTGCCGAATCCATTAAATAGGGCCACAATTTCCTGACGACGCAAGCTGAGACTTTCCGGACTTGAAAAGAGAATCTTCAGAGCAGTTCCTAATCCTTGGATCTGAAAAAAAGTTAGTTATATAAAAGGAAAATGTTTCTTTTTTGTATGATGCACTATTGAACATCAATTGTTACAACCCGTTGCATGCAAATTGTGTAATTATCTTGAATTTATCCAAATGTTGGCTGGTCCACTGCACCATGACTTGTTATGGGATTATAAGGATGATGTAAACTTGGAATATTGGCTTTTGACCATCAATGATATATGTCATGTATGTGATGCGATCAAATGTTACAGATTTGAAAAGAGCACAATCTCAGCATTACTGCTGTGAAAACCGCATGCTGATACCATCTTTAGTTCAAAAATCATGGAAGTCGGAACACCCAGAGATGTGATAAAGTGATGTGATGAAGTGGCCCTATTTTGGCCTGAATCTCCAAATGAAAGTTCCCGACAAACGACTCATTTAGCTTGATCGCATCACATATTATCTTCAAGAAAACTTCAATCCTCAATGCTGATTGGTTGATCCATGGTACCAAACCGTGCTACGTTATCCCATGTAACACGGTCTGTACCGCTCTCTGCGTATTACGCTATTCTAAGATGCATGCGTCATCCGAGCTGCACGCACGTGTAATATGAAGCCGCTATACAGCACACGGTGCGTATTCCATCTTAACTAACTTACTGCGCATCAAGTCTGCTTGAAGATAAATTCGTTATCCCACTCGCGCTTGTGCAACACGAAAAATGTCGGTCATTAAATTTGGGCTCGTGATATGTTGGACACAGACACACTACGTTATTCAGTGTTCCACTCGTTCTCATGGGATAACTATTATAAACACTGTATACTAAGTGCCTTCCCAAGATTTATGAGAAAGAATTCACAAGCTAGCCCAGGTGGGATTTGAACCTCAACACCTCTGCCTACCAGTGCAGAGGTCTTACCAATGAACCAACAGTTCTTAGTGCAATCGGTGAAATGTAAAAGTTTAGCTCACCCCATCATATAAACCAAACTTCAAAGGTCACTTTTCGTCCAGACAAAAAGCACTAAGCAGTTTATTAGAAAGAAGTATTTTCTTAACCATTCATTCACAAAGTAGTAAGTTTTTACAAAAAGGCAACCTGAGGACATTAAGTTAAACTAACAACCGTGAAGAAAATATACTTACTTGCAGTTTGCCCCACAGTTTGCACTTGTCACAGCCGACGCAGTCCATGATGCGTGAGATATTCAAGAAGTGATTCCGAAATTCGTCCTACAAATGGAGAAGAAAAACACTCAATGCTAGATACTAGAGTGTAATCAATGTCTGGGGTGGAGGGTGGAGAGTGGAGGGGGGGGGTGTGGTCAATATCATATTTAGCACAAAAACAAATGAGGGGACAGTATTCCAATAAACGAGCTGTGATTTTGAAAATAATCATAATCATGAGTAAAACAAATTTGAGGAAAGTGTCATTCAAGATTAGTCAGTAATGAAACAACACCATTTCTCAGAATTTCATTGTTGTGTATATATGCACGTGATGAAATGAAATGACAGAAATGAAATTAGTGATCTCAAGTCAATAATAAATCAATCACAAGTTAAAGGGAAAATACAACATTTGAAAACATCGAAAAATAAAATTACCAAGTTTTTACGAAATACCTTACTGGGATGTTGGTAAATGACAGTCTAAAGCATCCTGTAAAATTATGGCACCTGTTGTGAAGTCATTTTCAAGAAAATTGTATTTTTGTATACATTTCCAACGGTGGTCGGCCGACCACCGTAGGAAAAACCTAACTATTTTCCAACTACTGCTCCAAATTACCCATTTGTTTCAGTCCAAATTGTGTTTGCTATTGGTTATATGTTCATGAACGGGTGCAGGCCAGCTGGACTGGTTCCCTTACCTTACAATTTTTCGGCATCTATAAATTGATCCATTTCATCTTTAGTGGAGTCTGGGTACCAGACTACTTGAACATTTTTGTTTTTCTTGGTTTTTCCAGCATTTTCGAACACAAAACTTCAAAACATGTCAGTGTAACAATATTTGATCTATTATATTGACCCCTCAAATAGTTCATTTCTGAAAATTACAGCAAAAGCCAATGATGTACATTCCCTTTAATCATAAAACAATCACAAGTTAATCATAAGTCAATCACAAGTTAATCATTAGACAATCACAAGTCAAGTCACAAGCTATTCACATGCTATTCATTGCACATTGACTATTACCTACCTTCAACCTCTTGGCCTGCAGCTTGTCTCCCTGAAACATAGTACTCTCATTGAAGTGATTGGAGAACTGTTTAATAGTGTGCAGGACATCTATGACATCATCTTGTAACCGTTCATCTTCTTTATCTTCACCTGTCAAAAAAGATGACCTAATCATTGAATCATTGCCCTACATTGCCTAAAACTGAATTACTTTAACCTTGGCGAGGTACACATTAAAGCTTAAAGGCACAAACCAGAAGACCGGTGTGCTGACAAAAGCTGTCAATCTTTCAGGTCAAGCCCAACTACGTACAAAAGCATGCTCTTGTTTATTTCCAAGCTTGTTAAACCTTTCTGACAGTTTTTCTGAATTTGTGGAGATTTTCCATAGACACCAACCAGTATAAAACGTCTCTTGTTCAAACAACGGGGCAGCCTTTGCGATAGCTCGCAGTACCACAAGATAGGTGAAGTACAGATTCTTTAGTCGTATCGGGCCCTCTCCGTCTGTGGTCTCGGGGTCAAATCTCTTCTTGAACTCATTCACGTTGAGCCCCCAGGTTTCCACCCCAAATAGTCCACCTTGAATAAAAAAAAAAAAGAGAGAAGACACTTCAATATTGTGTGTTTTGTCCTTCCCAGATATAATTTCATATATGGTGTATGCTTAGTGCTGTCTAAATGCTTACAAGAAAAAAAATCGAGCTTACTAGGGTAGGACTCTAACCCATAACCTCCTGCTTAGCAGTGCAGAGAGATGTCTTACCACTCAACCACCGAGCTTGCCGGGGTTGGCTGTCTGGTTCAAATCTGATGTAGCAATGGGTACTGCTCCTAAATTAGTCCAAAATTATGAATTCTATAGTGCTTGGTCTGGCATTATTCCCAAGAAAAATTAGGGCCCACACTATAGGTCTCCCTCTGATGATGACGGCTGATGGCGCTTCCTACAGATTACCACGTGCATCGGCATTTTGGGCGTCAAATTTTTGTGACACGCATTGGCCGCGTCGTATTTCGAAGAAATTTTGAGCAACATGTGCACATGTTTGGAACATTTTGCACACTGTGCGCACACACACCTGATAGCGTTGAACATGCAGGTGTAATTTTCCTACGAAGATGGCCATCTATGGGAGGGGTCTATTTCAGGCAAAAGTGCAAAATTCATGCACTAACCTATATGTGTGAACCTAGCATGGTCTCCTCTCAGCCACTTAGGATTATAAAGAATCAGCTGTTCTGTGTTCATTATCACCCAACAGACAGCCCAATTACGTTTAATTTGGTGTTTCTCCATTGTTTCATATTTATAAACAATACATACCAGATAAGAGATAATTAGCACAGAGATGTATGTTGATACTGCTATGGAGACCTGATACAAGCCGATAAAACACCCTCTTTTCCAGACACATTTCTGTCAAAAGATATCAAAGAAGAAATTAGGACAGCAAGTTGAAACGGTTTCTTTCTGGAATGCAAATGCATATATACCGAAGACCCTGGTCTGTTAAAGTGAAGTCAAACTGTAAGTATGCTGACAATAACTGGGTTTGTTTATGACTTACGTACACACAAATTTAACTAAAACTAAAAACTACATACCTCAGCGTACATAAAGAATGACAGACTATAAAGTTTTCAGCATTTACACAGATTTTTTTTTCTAAAGACAACTTCAACAGATTGCACACATTCCTCACAAGGGAAGACCACTATTTTTACATTTCAGTACTATGGACAACAAACACAGTTCACAAACTGGAATCATGCGGCAGCCTTTTTGTTTAAATCAAACCTGTGAAGGTCATCTTATTGGAGTATCAATGAAAAAAAGACTGGTGCCTGTTACAGGGACACTGCAAGTCTATTTGTTGTATCAGGGTACATGTCCAAGATGTCGGAGGCTATCACGTATTGGAAGATTAAAGAAATGTATTAAACCTGTGAAGGTCCTCTTATTGGAGTATCAACGAAAAAAAGACTGGTGCCTGTTACAGAGACACAGCAAGTCTATGTGTTGCATCAGGGTACATGTCCAAGATGTCACAGGCTATCACGTATTGGAAGATTAAAGAAATACAAGGTACTTAACTAATTTTGTGTCCTCCATTCACAGGATGCAAGATATAGTTCAGGACAAAACAAAAACTGAAGTTTAAAAAACTCATGTTTGCATGCCTTGCATTTTTCATGATCCATGTATGGAATTATATCTGGGTAGCCATGGAGCGCAGTATAGCACAATGCACATGAAAGCTTTTGTCAAAACAAGCTTAAATTTCCTACTAAAAAATGGCTGCGTTATTATTGGAAATAACATGCAAGGGATATGAACTAGGAGAAGTCTCAGACCCTTTCTAAAAACAAGTAGGCTCACAAAATTACACTCATAATAGCACTCATCTAAAGTTGCTGGTTTTTATACTATTATTTTCCCTTTTTACGGGCAGCTTTTACAGCAGAGAAAGAGTGTCATCTGCCGTGAAGAAACACCAATCATGATTTAACTTCAAGTGTCACTGAAGTCCTTAAACCTTCTTGAAAATGATGACGTTATTTCAAGGCGATCTACATGTCCTTAACCTTGTTTGTGGACAGCCGTACTTTGTTAGACAACTCAAGTTATCTATTGGCTAAGCTAAACAGATATCCATCAAAACATTAAGACCTGAACAAGGGCCTTGGGTTGTTTTTTTTTATTATTATCTTCTTTTCTTTTTCTTTTTTCTTTCTTTTTTCTTTTTTTATTTTTGTGAGCCTTAAACTTTACAACAAGCATGCTTTGCAACCAGTCAAGCTAACATCTAACTGCTCTACTGCAAAATGCACAAATCTTTGAATACATGTAGCACAATGGATGGCGATGGTTTTGGGACTATTTTTTACCTTTCAAGTATTTGGAAACTGCGGGGTATCAGATGAGGGCAACAGGGGAGAAATTAAAGATGGGGATTAAAATGTTAGGTGGGTTAAATAAAACAAAGCTTAGCCAAAGCAGGGGGGGCTTGCAGTAGGGGGGGTTCTAATCCACTCATGTATGAAAGAATGCACAGGCTTGCTACCTGGGCCACATCTGCATTACTTCGCAATGGTTTGCACTCACACTCGTGGCTATGGAAGCGGCTGAAGCCACATCCCACAGACACGTGTGTTACTGCTAGACATAGCCAAGTAAATTAGACAGGGGCTCAGATCAACAGCTGTACAAATAATGAGTGTTTATGACTGCAATGATAAGAACAATTTCCTGAGGTGACAGATGGAGTGGAATGGAACATTCTATTCTTTACCAAACAAAATTATTCTTTCCATCGCACGTAAGTTATCACACGTCAATCACAAGTCACTCAATCTCAAGTCAAGTCACATGCTATTCTCATCAACTGTGCCAAAGGCATTTTAAGCCCTATTACTTGTGACCTTACTTGTGATATGACATGTGATGGACTTGACCTCAACTACACGCATTTCTCAAAAACATTTAGCCCTTCATCTTGTGGTCTGCTCGCTATTAAAGGGAGAAACTTCAAACGTTTGTTTCACAAAAACTACCATTGGCGATTTTTCTTACATGTATGTTTTTTTGGTTTTTTGGGTTTTTTTTTTACTTGCAGTGTTTTTCTTTTTGGTGATTACCTACTATCTTTGGGGAAATGATGGTGTTATGACGTGCAATGGGAAAATTGTAAAAATGGGAAAAATTGTAAAAATGAGAAAATTGTAAAAATGGGAAAATTGAAAAAAAAAGGCTTAATCATGAACCAAATCAAAAATGATAGTTTATCAGAAATTAAGAAGTCATGCAGCAGATTAATTTAAAGGGAAGATACAACATTTGCAAACATCACAAAACAAAATGATCAAATTATCAGAAAATACCTTACTGGATTGCTAGGGAATGAGTCTAAAGCATTCTGTAAAATTGTGGCTCCTGGTGTGCTGACATTTTCAAGAAATATGGTATTTTTCCAACGCTGGTCGGCCCACCAGCGTTGGAGAAAACTTTTTCTTCTTCAAAAACTGCTCCTAATTTTTCATAATTAGTTATGCCGCGTTTCCTTTACAATTGATTACACACCTGTGAAGGGGTACAAGCCTGCTAGACTGATTCTCTGACCTTACAATTCCCCAAAGTCTATAAATTCTCTGTTTCATCTTTAGTGGGGTCAGGGAACCAGACTGCAAGAACATGAATGGTTTTCTTTGTTTTTCCAGCATCTACAAGCCCAAAACGTGAAACAAGTCACATACTAATCCTCCAAATCCATCTATTTCTGAAAATTGCAGCAAAAGCAAACGTTGTACATTCCCTTTAAATATCAAATGGTAACTGAAACGAAAAGTTAGTCCTTGAAATTACTACATAAAACTGTCAAACAATTTCATAATTTTAGCAATGGAAAATTGGGGACAAGGACCGAGGAATCAACCAGCAACTGAAGTGTTGAAAAAATGGGGAGGAGAGGGGTAGGGGCGTAGCCGAGGGGGGCCCTGGGGGCTCCCCAAGGTGCCCCCCCCCCCCCCAAAAAAAAAATTGCGGCTTGCCCAGGAAGTGTCTTTTTATAGTATCTTTTTGAGTAATTAAACAGAAAAGGAATGTAGATGACTATCTGTTTACTCGATTCTAATTCCCTTAACTGTACAGCTTGAGGAAATGTGAATAAATTGGTAAGGAAAAAAAAACACCAAAAGAGGCCCCCTCCCCCTCCTCTGTTTGTTGACTTAGCAGCACATTGAAACGTAATGCACATGCATCTCATGAGCACATAAATGAATATCCGTCCAAAATCCTATCAGTCAAGTCGCTAGACATGTCAAAGCCAGCAAACGATAACTAACATGAAACACTATAGGTCCATCACAAGCGGGCGCCAAAAGACAAAACACAACTGTCTACTGACTTTTCCTCAAGTCAACCCTCAACACAGCCTTGGTACTTCAGACAGATTACACATGGGCACAACTGCAAGATCAACATGGTGCTTAGCCTATTAACAATATTGGTTTTGGGGTTTTGGGGTGGTTTTTTTTTTGGCATTTTCCACCACTGGAGCCTGACATAGTGCACAGAGCCATAGGTTAACACAAGTAACATGTGTGGGTAACTCTTTGTCTGATTTAGGCCCTACTATGATAGCAGTAGTGGCAATTGTTGCAAGACTTAAAGCTATAGTCCATCATTTGCAGCCATCCGAAAAGTAACTGGCGTAATTATTGTTGAAAAACAAACTTGGTTAAAAGATAGTAAGGGAACTAAACTCCCTGTGAAATTATTCTTTCTGGGAAGCTGTCATTTTGAATTAATCAACGAAAGAAGGCATTTCCAACGGTGATTCTTAAGAAGCACCGTAGGAAAATTTAAATTAGTAGTTCGTTTTGTTATTCAGCGCAGCGCGCACAAGTATTGGAACGACGCACACGCGCGCGCGGTTGTTGTAATTCGTCGGATCAGTGCGCAACGTCGCGTATAGCTGCAATTCAAAACAATTCAAAACATGATTCAGTAACTTTTGATTTGAAATTGAGATCTTAGAATGCTGTTTTTCTCGGAATGTACAGCTGAAGCTTAGCTGAAACTTCATTAGGTTAGTTGCTCAGTATCCTTCATTAGATTTTGAACTCTTTTGTTGCTTCAAACGAACAAAATGCACAAATTATAAATGATGGACTGTAGCTTTAAGGCTTTTCTGAATTACTTGGCTACAGTTGAAAATTACACACGCGCCTATGACAGTGGCTGCAGCCTATGGCAGTGGCTGCAGTAATTCAGACGCAGTCTAACATCTGCCAGCAAATGGATACTCTGGCACCAACGAGGGTTCCTTTGGAAATCAACACTTCAGGGAACTATATAAAGATGGATGCAGCTAGCACCTTGGAGGCCATTACCTCGGACAGACTTGTCTGTGAGCAGCGACTTGTACCCCTCCGAGTTGGCAGGTTGGTCGGGTCTGTCAAAGACAGAAAAAAAGACAAGTGAAGCTAAATCCAGAATGAACATTTTCTCTAGGACAGTTCATGAGGATGCTTGCATGTCACAAAAGCATTTACAGCAAACTCCACCACGGTTGAAATGTGTTCACCTGTACAAACTACAAACGAACACTGTAGATACTTGCCGTGATATCAAAAATTGGCATGTGTCAACCGGTCTTCAAGGGGATTTTTGGAAGGGGCACGGAGTGAGAATTAAAAATAATGCTTCTAAAAGTGTTCCATATTATCAAGTCAGACAGGTGTAAGGGGATCACATTTACAAAAATTGCGCATTTTTCGCTTTTATTTCGGTTACACCCTTTACTCCTGCATTTTATTGATTAGGGCATTCTCTTCTTTTTATACACTTGGCCAAAGGTCAAAAGTACTATCAATGACTGCTGTTTTAAAACTGAACAACAATAACCATTATCAACAACATTTTGACCTAAGATAACCATCATCACAAACACTGTCACAGACGTCTCCTTACTAGATGGAACCATCCTTTTGAAACAGAACCCAAAAGTGCAACAATTAATCATCAAGGATCCTAACAACAAAACAGGCCTTTCAACACTATTGTCTCGCCTACCCGTGTTGAAATCAACATTGATTCAACATGGGAAGAACCAGCTTCAATCAAAATGGAAAGGCAAGGCATACCTTTCACTTTATACACTTGAACAGGGGTCAAGCATGGATTTTTGATTTTCTACCAAGGTAAAGCCTCTCAACTGATAATTCTTCTTGAGTAGAGTGTTGGACCCATGCAGAAGCCGTGTTGTACTCTTCCTAGCCAGAAATGGGTGGGGGTGTAAAAATCTCTGAGTTTGACCAGTGTCCAGCACAGAGATTTGGGATAGTGTGAAAGGGCACTGAGAAGTGGTTTCTTTAGCTTTGGTCAAGGCGTTCAACGATAGTGTCCGATGATGGATGGCCGGCATTACTGTAGACGCACGCTATGCACTCACACGAGAACTGTACGAAGCACGAACAGCGACCTCACGTGGCTTAGCTACAATATACAAATCAGTTGGTGTTGGTCAAACACCTTGGAACAACCGTTCTCCTTGGCTTATGTTTTTCTTTATTTTGTCACTGATTTTCCAGCGACGACCTCATATGCGAAAAAAGATGCGATTATTATTCATTACTTGGTCTTGGAGGCTCATATGTTACATGGACAGAGAGCTGGATAGTGTGGCTGCATTCTCCAACAAGTTTGGAGTCCGCAGACCAAACACAACTGAATATAAATCCAGCCACAAAATAACAAAAATTGCCCGAAAAAGACAGGCCAACGCGAACGTTACTCCTAGGCTTTGGACCAGCATGACCTGCTTTGCATATTGTAGCCTAGCCGCGTGAGGTCGCTGTTTGCACTTAGTACAGTATGTGTGAGAGCAAAGCGCGGCTACTGTTTAAATGTTAGCAGCCGACGATCCATCATCAGACACTATCGTTGAACGCCTTGACCAAGGCTATGTGGTCCCTAAATGTAGTCATGGTGCTTACTTGAAACAGTTCTCATTGTAAATGCTGTTCCAGATCCGCCAGGCTGACTCCCCTTTGTAGCCAGTATATCTCTCTGGGTTTAGGGTCATGTCTACGTACTGCATGCCAACCGACTGTTCATCTGTGGACACCAAGTGAACATCGAGAAAGTTAAATGCTTTTGTCCAGGAAATGCAAAATAAAGGACGAGTGTTGTAGTCAAGTCTGCATGCGTCAGCACAAGTCACTTGCAAGTCCAATCTCAAGTCAAGCTATTGAAAAGAGCTGTTTACAAAGGCATTCCTTTGGAAGTGTAATTTGCCCCTGTTTCGTGCTACCTGACTTGTGATCTGATGTTGTGATAGACTTGTGATTGACTTGTGAGTGACTTGTGATTGGCTTGTGATTGACTTGTGAGTGACTTGTGATTGGCTTGTGATTGACTTGTGAGTGACTTGTGATTGGCTTGTGGATGACTTGTGAGTGACTTGTGATTGGCTTGCGGTTGACTTGTGAGTGACTTGTGATTGGCTTGTGGGTGACTTGTAAGTGACTTGTGATTGGCTTGCGGTTGACTTGTGAGTGACTTGTGATTGGCTTGCGGTTGACTTGTAAGTGACTTGTGATTGGCTTGTGGTTGACTTGTGAGTGACTTGTGATTGGCTTGTGGTTGACTTGTGAGTGACCTGTGACTGGCTTCTGATTGACTTGTGATGGATTCGTAATGAACTTATAAATGACTTATGATGGCCCTATGATTGGCTTGTGATGGACTTGTGATGGACTTGTGATTAACAGGCAAGCCGCTTAGAGGACAATGTTTGTCCCCTGTTACTTGCTACCTTACTTGTGATTTGATGCTGTGATGGACTTGTGATTGCCTGTGATTGGTTTGTGATTGGTTTGTGATGGACTTGTGATCGACAGGCAAGCCGCTCAGCAGAAAATATTGCTTAGCAATTTATGCACTAAGCAGAACTCAGCTGGGAACCAGTCACAAGCAAAACACACTTTATGGCACTGTGGCTGGTAACCTGTATTTACTAAGCAAATATTTTCTGTGCTTAGCAGCAAATGCTGCAAAGCCAATTTATATATGCTCAGCAAAGCTGAGACCAGTCACAAGAAATATACATAACACAACCTTGTTTCCATGAGCACGATCTTGCTGCGCCATGTTGGTTCCCATCATGCATTGCGCGATCTAAAACCCCTGGAATTGTGTAGTTTAAATGTGGCACTATTTGGCATATTAAAATAAGGACAGCAGTCAATGTGTTTAACACTTGACGCAGTGCTTAAAATTTTGAAAAATTTTTTTGGTAGAATCAATCCTTTCAAGCATGAGATTTCAACCTCGCGTTATAGAGCAAGGATTTTATTAAATGTACATACCTCTGTCGTCCCTTTACAAGACAAGATACAGGGTTTTTGAGAGCAAAACACAAGATTTACAGAATCCATATCCTCATGCATTGCGCAGTCTTGAAAAAAAATGTCCGTACGTGACGTGACGTGCAGAAGATAACGCGAGCGCATATCGGGCGTGCAGTCTTCGAAATAGGCACACAGTAGGCTCTGAATAGTCAATAAGGGTTGTTGACGCATTTTACATGGCCAAGGGTTAGTGAGGGAACGCGCACGTGGCCAATGGAGTCGAGGCTGTACAAATAATAACATTTTGGCTGGTGCCAATTTTTACAGTTTTTTTTCTTTACTGTGACATACCATCTAGCTCACAGAAATCTGCAGAGTTGTCGTCGTGCTCCATCCACGTCTTGAAGGCAGCCTCGCTCTCCTTGCTGATGGTGGTGTCTAGGGCACTCAGACGGATTTCCTCATCGCTCCGCGAGTCACATGACCCATCAGCATTCCCCCCTGCTTCCGGCTCCTTTAAGTACTGCACAGGGTTTAGCCAATACCAGTAAAATAACATCTGAACACCAGTTTATAGAGGGTTGCAGAACATGTACTTTTATCCAAGGCAGCAAATATATAAGTTGGATTCATCTCCCCTTCTCAGCTAATGATAATTAAACAGCCTTAATTAAATGATCACACTTAATGGCATATAGGATCATTTGCTTATTCAAGCATTTTTGATCGTTTACAATAATAACATCACTCAAAATCCAAAGAAGAGTGTTGAAAACCTAACCTGTTGAAGTTTCACATTTCAAGAGCACAATTAAAACCATGCACAACCTTTTGATGACGAAATACGTTTTTATCGATTACACTCTATATTTCCAAAAATCAGTCCATTTACTGATCTTTGGAAATCACCTACATGTCTTGATTTCTTCTGAATGACAGAAAGCCAGACGGAATAATTTCACGGGGTGTCTATTACCAGTACAAACTTTAATCCAAGTCAGCTTTTTGATTTTGGGATAAATGCAAATGATTCTATATGCCTTTATACTCATACACTTGGCCTCATATTATTGTTGTTTGATGTTCAGTAATAAACAATTGACCCAATAATGAGTCTGGGTCTCTCTTGTCGGGAAACTGAGAGCCTCCATGATTCCTGAGTTTGCTATTTGATCCCAGGTCTGAGTTAGAAAAATCTGTCTAGAAACACTACACATGACCGACAACCAGTGATCCAGAAGGACAAGCCTAGACTTTCTTCACATATTCAAGAACTGCATGTGAGCCTTGGTACCAGATCTGAATAAGTTTCTTGGAAATGCCTCCTTTCTTAATATTTTTTTTGTAATTTTCATTGGTGCTATATGTCTACAGCAAATTCAACATCATAATACTTATTTGAAGCAAGATATGTGATATAGGGGAACCCCCTCCCCCCTTCTTTTGTGTTGGTCATTGTGTTCTCGGGATCTCAGGAATTGTTTTGAGATATCTAGGCGGATGTGTTTGGTAGCAACAGTCAAGAGTGTGTATACGGTATCGTGCACAGTACAATACATGTCACAAGAAAAAAACTGATTGAAACTATACCAATATATCAACAAAACCTAGTAAAGGGGCATAACGTATTGTAATCAAACACAGAAATCTGAGGACTACATGTAATTTTGGAAAAGCAAACATGGGACATACATGTACAGGTTCATGAAGTGTGGCATCTAAAGCACACTGTACTACGGTATCTACATGTTTCATTTCATTTTTTTATTTACATAATTCATTTCATTTAATTCAACTCCAAACATAAAGTTTTAGATTTTTTCTGAATCATTTTTTCACGACTTACCTTTTCTTTTCCATGAGATATTTCTTCTTTGTCTTTCAGACCACAGGGTACTTGGTCCTGTGGGAAAGATAAAAAGAAAAAAAAATCGTCAACTTAATAATCGATCAATCATAATTCTTTTAAAATATAGGGGGAAAATAGTTCAAAGCATATAATTGGATATATATATTTTAGACTGCACTTTAACTACATTTCCACAGAGTAGCAGTCCTCACAGAAACCTTCAACTCATGACTTTTATTGTCAAGTTATTGATTCTTAATCGTCAGATATGATTTTGCCAGTGAATATCTATGAGAAAGGGTTATTTGCATAAACTGATACCCTGTATGATACATCAGTAGGCTTAATTCCCATCATAAGAAAAATCGATATTTGCAAGTCTGACACGAATAAATACATTAGCTTTAATGGTTGTCCTAGGGTCATCTTTAGAGACACAGTAACAGCTTTCGTGAATACCACACAAAAAGCGTGCACGTTTGCCTGTATGTCAGCTAGTTTACAGCATATCCAATTGCATAGTCCCAGAAAATGTGTACATTTGTGTCTCTTTTTCTAACAGATAATCTCTGAAATACAGTGTCCACATCCCGAAGTTCACACAATCTTGTTCCATAGCTGTGGGGACCATACACCTGTTGAGCAATAGTTATTATGGGGACCAAAGACACTATGGGGACAGCAAAAGTCCCCACAAATAGGTCCTCATTTTCTTGACAACAGGAAATTTCCCCATAACGCGGCTTATGCTAGGGCACATTTCAAAGTTAAGTGTGCAACATATGTGCGCTGTCAAGCATTCGATACATGCACATTGCACATGTACACACACGTACACTCACTTAATAGGGCAAAGTGAAAAGGTAGGCCTACGTGCAGTTTCCACTACAACAAAATATTTACTGACCTGTACACGTAGAATCTAATTAAGGATTTAATTTTGCTAACAAAAAAACCCACTTGTATTCACAGATATTACTTTTCTAAAATATTACTAAAAAGACCCAATTTATTGTTCTTACTTTGTTAGAGATGCTAGAACACTCTCCAAGCTGACTGCATGGTGGTGTATCTTGGTTACCATAGCAACCAATTTGTTAATTGCAAAGACCATGTACATGTATGAAAGCAATTTAGAGCACTTCTGTTAAGTGAGCACTGCACCACTTACAGACAATAACATGTACATATATGTACATGTACATATACTTGTACGTCAATAAATAACGAGATTTACTTGAATTACTCCTGAGTGTAATATAAAATAAATAAATCGTGACCCAACAATTAGATATTTTTTTTGTAATGAATTTCAACAAGTGCATGCACGTGCCTGAAATAAACATTTTCGTCACTTCGTTTCACAACCACCCTTTCAAGCACACTCAAATGTACACGTACATGTTTGTATATTAAATACTGAATAGATAATAGAATATTGCTGGCAGGTTTTTAATCACTTCCAAAGAAAGATTCACCGCGCTGCACCACTGCATACATGTATCAGGGTATTAAATTCTGATGATCAATGCATGACTTCACATTCATTTAATCTCACAAGACGTGTATTAATTACACGGTCTTATTGTCAAGTGTCAACCTGTATGCTACTAACTGTCGTTAAATACTAAATGTACATGACATATGTTTTTTTCATCTTTCCTCATTACATTTCGGTTTACAGCAATATTTTGTACAAGTTTTAGGAAAATTCTCAGATGCAATGGTGTGAAAACTTCAGGGGAATTTTAAAATGGAAAACGTACAAAACAATGGACAAATTAATAGAAAGTTGATATTTTAAACAGTCCATAAATGTTTTATACATGGATGTAAACTCTAAAACAACAATGAAATATAAAAACACTCTTAGCAGTTTTAGCAAATCCCTATCATCTAAAATTGTTTTGACTGCGTTTATATTTTTATGCACATATAGTTCAGCTTCTAACATGTCTAATGATGAATCGATAATCTTCCAACTAAGAAGCTTACGTACATCTGGGCACGGGCAGACAGCACAGCTCTCTAGAGCACAGGACCCATCGTCGGGCCAGAAGGGACACGTCTTGTCAAGGTTCACCTGTAACAGTGGACAACAACAGACTGTCTGTGATACTCCAGGAAAAAGAAAGATTTGTTGAAAAGCAACAATTCAACATTTTTCTTCAACTCAACAAAAGGAGAGGAGAAACAATATTGTAGAGACTGGCATTTAATTCTGGTACAATTTTTTTATGTTTTAAATAATTTCCTGATGTTTTACTTTCATTTTTTATTTTAGTTATTTCAGATACATAAACAAATTATGCATAGATCTTTTGTTTTTCTACAGTGTTGTATACATTGAAAAATGTCAATTCTTTTTTCTGGTAATGCAATGCACTTCATTTTAAATTAACTTGATAAAAACAAATAATTAAAATGATACTACATCATATGTATGCATAATTTCAATAGATGCCATAGTTTTTTAAGGTGTTCTCTTCCCATCTATAGACAAATTTAGTGTCAGCCATTTTCTGAGGTGGCACTGCGGTGGTAAAGTTGGCTCACGTGAGTCGCACTCAGGTAGTACGCAGCCACTCCGGGCTCCTCAATCAATAGCGTTTACCAAAATGCATGCACACCTCGTCTTTAAGAATGCATGCGGCGGGCACGCAGACGTGGCACCATCTCAAAAATGGCTTCAAATTTTGTTTGGCGAATTACACTATATACATGTGGTATCAGTCTACATGCTGGGTTAAACTCATTATTACATTGCAGCCTGCAGCTCAGGTCTGTTCAATTCAGAATCTGGTCAACTGTAACATGGCAGACTATTAACTATTAACTATAATACATGTGTCCCATGATCTAATAATAGCATCTGCACATATGCTACATCTATGCTTTGAAATGATGACATGTACCTCGGAGCATCAAATAACATGAACCCATTAGTCAGTGAAGCACCCCAAAATGCCCTGCCTGTTACTCCCTGGACCGCCCAAAACCACTCTGCCTGTTACTCCCTGTACCGCCCAAAACCGCCCCAGCACTTGCAGGGTTTCATGGATTCATCAGGGAATAAATACAATGTAAAGGTCAGTTTACAAATAAACAACTTTGTCACACAGCAATGTTGCATGTTTTTATTAATATGCAAGAATCAATGAGCAAAAATGGCGCGCAACTTTGTTGCTTAAATGTAAACGCAGAGTTGATATGTGTGTGTTTATAAAAGTGCTCAACTTGCTGACTACATGTATGTCATGTGACAAAGTCACGTACGTGTACAGCTGTTGATGGCTTAACACCAGCCATAGTTTGTTTTGGCAGACACTTCAGAAAGATCATTAGTTACGTGTCTTTGTACACGTATAATAGAGTTCCTTTTGTAAATTGTGGTGAATTCAATAGTACTATTTTTTCCCTCTCTGCAGATAACCAAATCAACACCAAAGCTGTCGTCATAAATATACATTCATGTACACGCACTGCACTTTTTCTTTCCATATGGTAGCACTAGCAGGCACAGTTAGCATTAATGTTGAAAGGAATACAGAAACGAATGAGAAATAAGTCAACTAAATTGAATGAGAAAACTCCAGGAATACTGATTCCACTTTGTCATATACTTTTGTCTAATTCCAAAATCTTTGGGAAACATATGGTGCATGTACACATACATTTTGTACATTGTGGAACATCGCAGCTGAAATCTGAGCGCCTTCACCGTATAATGCCTGCATGCCACGCTACAAACTGTATACTATTCATCTGGCCTTCACCTACCTTCAATGAAAAATGGGATATACTTCTAGTTCAGGGCAACTGAATCTTGAGCAAATACATTTTTCTTACCTTGAAGAATTTGAAGAAGTTTCGGGTCAGGAGGGTTCGCAGTCTCTCGTAGATTTTGAGGTTATTGAAGTCGGCGACTGATTCCACTTTACAATTGCAATCATCCACTTGGCCATCCAGCTGTAGAAAAAACAAATTATACAAATAACATGGTGCTTATAGCGCATTATACAAAAGGTCTCTAAGCATTTCACAATTATTACCCCTTTTCGTCAGGCCATGAGACCAGTTTTTGCAGCTCGAGATCAGCGCATTCTGAGAGGCAATTGTAGTAAAGTGTCTTGCCCAAGAACACATAAAGCACCTCCCCGTCAGGGTTCGAACCCACGTGCCACGGCACGCGAGTCAAAACACCGTAAGCATTGGACCACAGAGCTCAAATTAACTAGCAGATCAACACTGACATCCATAACTTAACACTGTTATCTTCTTTTCAGATCCAGTTGTAATGAAACAAGTCAGCAAAAACTTCAAACGGGGAAAAAAATGGAATTCATTTTTCACACATCAAATAGCAAAATCTGTACACTGTACACTGTAGGACCTGCACATGTGTACGTGTTCATCTTTTCAAAACTTGGACGAAAAATACCAGAGAACAAAAGAGAACAATATTGTCCACGATTCCCAGCATACGTCCGCGGTTGGGGTCATGTACAAAACCAACTGTAACTGTGGGGACTACACACATGTTGTCCCATGGTATTATGGGGACCGAAGATGCTATGGGGACAGGAGAAAGTCCCCATAACTTTGTTCTAATTTCCCGCCCTTGTCAGCAGGGTGGATCCAGGTTTAGCTCATGAGGTGGGTTAAACTGTCAAGAGGGGGGTTCAGCAGGCACATTTTGATTTTTTAAGGGGGGTCAAGGTGGGGTGTTAACCCCCCCCCCCCCCCAGGGCTCGATTTACAAAAAAAAAGTGGCATGCACTGGTGCAAGTAGACCAAAAAACCTACATGCACCAAGAAAAACCCACATGCACCATAACTGACTTACACTGTGTACACCTGTCTGCTTCTCTGAAGGCATTCTTTCTCTTTGATTTATCGAACTTTCTACAGACAGTACAGTACAAACATGTAGCCTTTTTTACTCAATCATGCTCAAGCCTAGACCCGTGAACGTGGCGTTGTAAACAACGCCACGCTGTTGTGGCATTTCGAACATGGCGAAATTGATCCCCCATACATAATTTCGTACATATGTTGAGTACTTACATAGAAATCTAAATTTGCCTTCCCGTGAGTTCAGGATTGTCATTTCGACGAAATTTGCCGTCGATGAAGACCCATACGAACGTGTTGAAATTAGATTTTAACCCGACAAGTGACACAAGTACCCAGGGTCATTTGCGTGCAAAGTTATCGAAGCCCTCCGAGCTACCCATCTGCTTCATGTGGCGCATATGATAGGCGGCGTCCGATTGGCTAATAACGAGACCACGTGATAAACGCAGCTAATAATTTGGAATCACACTTATGATTCGGACATAAGGAATGCCCGGAGCGTCAGTGTGATACCAACTTATCCGCAGCATATATCACGTGGTAAATCACATGCATGATCGGAGGACTGGTTGCAGGACGTCGAGATCTTGCCAACTCTGAATCTGCAGAGAGGAATAATTTATGGATATATAAAAGAAATAACACGTTTGTACACTATCTGGTCAAGTATTCAACAAACTTTATTCTTATTCTCACTCATTTGTAAATATATGCATGAAATGAGTATTTTGGTGGCTAAAAAAGTTACATGCACGTCGTGCATGCTCAGTAAAAAAGCTACGTGCACAAGCAAAAATCTACATGCACTGGTGCATGCGTGCACCGGGTAAATCGAGCCCTGCCTCTCCCCCCCCCCCCCCCCCCCAACATCTTCCTAATAGATCCGCCTCTGGTAAGTGTGTGTAGCTGTCTGTGATGTGTACAAAGACAAGCTGTATTTTATCCATTTTATGCACCGGTACATCTACATGTACAGTTTCTGAAACACTTTCGTGCCTATGAATTCAAAATATCAAAGTGATCAATCTTGGTAATTCATACTGCCTGTGTAAATCATATGACAAACCCAAATGCATTCAAAAGGCAAGGTCAACCTGTACAATGTGTACCAATGTTCAGTGTTGAAGGTCACATAGAATTTTGTTCTGAGTACGGCCATGTCCGAAACAGGCTTCCAAATTTATGCTTCAGCTACCAGTTCGGACATTTGTTTCATGTCAATTGCATACACATACATGTACATGTATACCGGTAGATTCAATTGATGAGATTGTCAATTTTAAAAAGAATTCTCACAATTGGATGAAAGGTCTGAAAGATGCATTTCTTTCTATACTGATAATGTCTTTCTCTAAGATTAAAAAAGTCTGACTTCAGACAAAAGTCCAGGCCTGCAATTGTTAAAAGATCTAGATAATAGCTGTAGACAACATAATCGGACATGGTCTAACTTAAAAATCCCAAAGGGCTCCCTTTTCCGAATTGTGATATTTTTGGTCGAAGGACAGGCTGTAGAAACCAGATAGATGGTAAAACTAATAGGGGCCTATACATGTACATGTATTCAATTTTATTTCAAAAAGAAAGAGCTACCATGCAGACCAAACAGATAAATTGACAATTTGTCAAGTACAATGCATGAAAGCTTTCACTTTGGGCAAACTGAATTCATCAATAAAATGTCGAACAGATGTTTTTGACAAGCGGCTCCAAATAAAAACCCTACATCAACCAATCAAATTCTGCCAAGTAGAACTGTCAACTTTATATCAATATTCCACTAAAAATAAAAAGACAAGTAAATATCGTCTGCTGTAAAAAGACAAATCCTTGAGAAGTTATCAATGTTGATTAATTTCTGCGAATCACAAATGAAATGGTGCAACAAAGCCCCTCTCTTAAAATGTATTTTGCACTGTTCAAGCAATCTTAAATCTACACGTACGTGTTCAATCTACACATAGGACAGGACAGTGTCAAATTTTGATAATCATAAATAAATGAATAGAATCATCATCAGTGTCCAATCACATTCGTCCACGTTTCCCTAGGAAAACCAGTTTCAGTTTGTACTCAATCAATACTACACAGGTTGAGTCAAAAAAATTGAAACCCATATGTCGGGACCATTTTTTTTGGTGAAGTTCTGCATAGCATTTCCAGGATATGAAGCCCAATTCATAAGCTTTCTTTTAGTACAAGAATCATTCAAATCACTCATGTACTTTTTCACGTTACGGAATTTTAAACACAAACACCATTTTGAAGTTCTGTCCACGGATCACAAAAAAAGGTAAGTGTTCTTTCAGCAAAACGAAAACAATTCACATGGGGATGTGTGTCAATTGTTTTCGTTTAGCCATGTTATCTGAAAGAACACTTACCTTTTTATAAGATTTGAGGCTTTGCATGGTGGAGTATCGGTATCGTTTCGGTTTGCGGTAACACCATGTGGTAATAACTACATGTACCATGACTACTGCTTAGAAGATATTTAGTTCTGAAAAGAACTTGTCCGCCTTGTTATCAACTTTCGCTAAGTAGTTTTTGTTCTGATAAGAACAGTCCTGCTTTAAGTTCTAACAGGACTTGTCTTTGGTCTCAACATTTTGACTAGCCTGCTCTAGTCATCGTCAGGAGACCTTTTTTGTGATCGGTGGACAGAAGTTTAAAACGGTGTTTGTGTTTAAAATTCCGTAACGTGAAAAGTACATGAGTGATTTGAATGATTCTTGTACTAAATAAAAGAAAGCTTACGAATTGGGCTTTCATATCCTAGATATTGAAAGTGCTGCATGCAGAACTTCACTTTAAAAAATGGTCCTGACATTTGGGTTTCGTTTTTTTTACTCACCCTGTGTGACACGGGGGTTCAAGCAATTAACCTGTAGCCAAAAACATGTAATGATAATGAAATCTGCCTTTTCTCAGAAAGTTTTACCATAATATAATTTTGACCTTACCTAATTAATATGCTCAGCTTACATGTAGATGTACATGTTCTAACAGAATCAATGTTAAATCTAGTTCTCATTAAACATGTGAATGATATTTATCAATTGAGAAGGGATGTTTGGTTTTGTGTTTTGCTTTGATTACAGGTGGATTGGCATAATGTTAATCACAAAGTCTGCAAAAGGTGGAACGATAGATTCTATGAAATTGTTGCAGGCTGCAATACAAATGCACTAAATGTACGCCTGTATGAAAGAAAGAAAGAAAAGTAGTTTTTGTAGTGGTGGGATTAAAATCTGGATATTTTAAAATTCGGTTTGAATTCCACAATTCAGTTTGGATTTTGGAAACCAGATATATTTGAAAACTAAGTAAAAAAAAAATTACGCATGGGCAATTCCATGAAGAATTGGACAAATTATTAAAAAAATGAAATTTGTTATATCTTTAGAACTACAAGTTTCACAACAACACGTGTGGCATCAAATTAAAGGGGACAACAAGATCTTTAATTTTAGTGGTGTGACAGTGAGATGGAAGTACGGTACATGCAGTTTACATGTAGCATGATTTAGGGTCCAAAAACGGGGGGGGGGGGGGGTTGCTAAAATCTTTGATTTTTGTACTCATTTTGGCACCTGGTTTTAACTTGCAAATTGTAGGTGTTATTGTGAGTTTTTGCTTTTAAGGCATAGGGAAAGGTTCAAATTCTATGCCAAAGGAGCTGTTTTGTTTTATTATTAGTTTCTTACATACATAGTGTGCATGTTTAAACCGGTACTAAAGATGGGAGGACAAACTGTAACTGGTCATAGTTTGTGCCATAGTCTCTGCCCATTGGACTGGGTAAAACACTTAAATATGGGCAAATTAGTGACATAGGCCTATATAAAGGGTTTTAACAGGTCAAAACGCAAATGATATTAGTCCCTAATGGGCAGAAAATGTGTACAAATCACATTGGTACTCTGTTACTTGCTACAGACAGACATGACAGAAAGCCAAAATTTTGGACAGTAAAATTACAATGTACTTTTTCCCTTTGTCTGCAAAATCTTGCAATGACCTGTCGAGCTACAATTGACCATAGAATCATCCCACTTGACAAGTCAAAAGCTCTTTAAAGATTGAACATACTGTTCATGATCAAAGGCGTCAATCCCTTTTCAAAAGTGGGGGGGGGGGGCATACCTTGATCAGAACTAATGTGAGCGCGAAGCACGAAACCCTAATGGCGTGCCGGGATCCCGAAAATAATTGTATTCTACAATTTCTGACCACTTTACACATTTTTTCAGCAAAGATTATCATTTGAACATTATTTTTGAGTTTGGAGTCATTGAATTGGTTATTCTGAGCTATAGAATCTTATGTAGGCTACAATTTTTATTCGTGGACAAAAAAAGAGGGAGGGAACAAACGATATGATATCCGCCCCCCCCCCCCCCCACTTTAAAAAGTCAACATACATGTAGTGTCAACACACACAGAAGCGTCAACACAGCATCAACACACACAGAACTTCAGAAGCATCAACACAGCGTCAACAATCCAAATCGCATTTAAATTGACAAAAGCAGTGTTCAAACTGTGCACTATGGGCAAAAACGAAATTTTGGCATAAAATCAATAGGTTAAATGTCTGAAAATTGCAATTTTCAGTTCAAGAAAATTGGCTCTCGAGCTCTCCGTGCAGCTCCGAATTCGGCAGCCATGTTGCCTCAGGGGCAGCGCTGTGTTGACGCTGTGTTGACGCTTAATAGTACGACCTGTTGTGACTTCATACATGTATTCACTGGATGGGAAGCAGACCATTTTACAATTTCGCACTTTATTTCCCTTTAAAAAAAAAATCCTCCAGAGCCACAAATCACAAAAAAAAAATGTACTACTCTGTAATTACATGTTGGCATGGTTGGAGTCAATTTAAAAATAAAAAAAAAGAACAATATTCTTTTACTGAAACTGAAAGCAAGCCGCTAAAAACTGGCGATCGTGTAGTGTACAAGGCCCATGTTTAGTTTCGATCAAATTACAGTCAAGGGTGTTTTTATTACTCAAAAATTACCCTTTCAACAAAAAACAGACTTCTCTTACATGTAGTATTAAAAATGGCAATCGTGTTGTGTAGGACCCCTGTTTTGCTCAAATTAGAGTCAAAAATGTTTTTTTATTGCTCAAAAATCACCTTTACAATCAAAAGCAGACTTTTTCTCAATTCTAATGACGCCCGTTTTGCAATTTTGAACAGATTCTTGGGTAGAAATCACGATTTTCCTGCGTGGTTTGTGCGTTGCGATTCAGCGAGCCGTGCATGCTCACGGTACATCACGCGGTGATCGCCATCTTTATTTTCGGGTCGAGTGTTGTCGCCGCGCTGTCATCGTCATTTTAGCCCAAAATTTCCCTAAAACAATCAACCCCCTGCCCTCTAATGACATTAACATACCTGTTTATAGCCCCATAAATGTGGCCAATTTACTGGACTACCTCCATAAATAAAGGCCACACTTCCACCATTGTACAAAAACATGTCATACTTTGTCAAATTTTAATTTTCACATTTAGGTTTAGTTTGTAGTTTATTTTTGCTTAAATTAGAAGCACACTCACCCTCTTTATAGGCTAATCAGAAAATTGCAAACGTGTGCAAACGAATCTGGAAATTTCACAAAAAACAGACATCTAAAAAAGGCAGCACTTTCTGATTATCATTAAGCAATGAGCTTGACATGCCTAATAATAGTGACACCTTTTTTTTGTAATTTTTGAACAGTTTCTTGGGTAGAAATTACAATTTTCCTACGCAGATTACAGTTGGTGCCTTGCGATTCAGCGCGCTTTGCGCATGCACGGTACACCCCGCGATGATCGCCATCTTTATTTTCGTGTTGCGTTTTGTCGTTGTCATCATCATTTTACTTTTTAGTCTAGTTTTTAATTTACCCCCAAATTTCCCTAAAAAATTCAAAACCCTGCCCTTTAAATCTATGACATACCTGTCGCTAACTAGTTTGGTTTGTCAAATAATTTAAAAACGGATATAGGAACCGGGCCCGTAGATACACGATCGCCCTTTAAACTAGCCGGCTACACTTCCAACATTGCATTGATGAATGGGGAGGGATAACCGGGCTCACCTCGCAAAAACACCGGTGCAACGCCCCACTTTTGTTGTGTTTCTGTGCGTCGAGCAGGACTTTATCTTGCAAACACACGAAGCAAAAACACAGCAGCATGAGCCTCATCACGTACACCATGTTGTTCTCTTCACTCTCTGTCAAACAATAACGGAAATATTCATGTTGATGTCATTTTTACACACGTGCAAGGACGTGCAATACGTGACTTTTTGTAATCATCCGGTCTCGGTATGTTTTTAGAAAATAAGTATGGTGCTTGTCCTCGTTTATAAACCGTTAATGGTCGTTGGGAAACCAGACATGTGTCAAAAGGTGGCGCCCTACACAGTTGATGGAATAATAAAAGGAGAGAGGGGCTGTGATAAAGACACGTCATGATATGGGCTAATTGGGTCAAGATTTGGAGGGGGCGGGGACCGGGTAAAGTGTGGAAAAGTTGGAGCGGGCAAATCTTTGCCGTAGGCTGGTGGAAACAATGTTTGGGCATAAACATAAGCAACAAGTTTTGTTAAGGGTTTTTGAAGAGGGTGAGGATTGCAAGGCGTGGGGGGGAGGGGGGGGAGGGTAGTTTTAAAATGACTTGTGTTCATCTCACAAGGTATTCCCCTTCAATCAACGAAGATCCAAGAACTTAGCCACTTTCGTTGTAGATATTCATCTTATAGACCTAAATTTTGCTGCATAGCAACCATACTTTTGCCAAACTTTGCTAAAATGAAATTTCAAGCTAGCATTCCGACAAAAAATACCTCTTTAATCTCAACACTAAATTTAATATTAGCAGATAATGAAGATGACATCTCTTGTTTGTCTTCATTGTAATTGTAAAAGTGCCATTTGGAGCAAAATCTGTTGTTGACCACAGCTGAAAAGTGAAATTTATGTCACTGATGGTTGCCAAACAGATGGCCCCAGATTTATAAAACAAAAGATAGGTCTATAGACCCTTTTCATGGCAGCCATCTTAGAGGTGCAGAGCTTTTGCTCCAAAGGGATACACTCAAGTAGCAAATTTTTCGCACGTTGTTGATACATTCTGCAAGATGGCTGCTGTCAACAGCTTCACACTGAACAAATACTACAAAAATAAAGATACACCGAGACAGATATTTAGTTCCCCTCTGAAGTTCATTCCTCATTTATTTCCAAAGTGGCAATGTTCTTAAGAGCCCCACTCGACAAGACCATTTCTTAATTTACAATGTGAGGTTTCATACATTTTTACTTTGTTTTTTTTTCTTAATCTGCCAAACAGGCGCTGATCGAAGGCTAACGTTTAATTCTTTTTATTACAATTATTCATTAATGTACTAAAAGCAAAACTACAGCAGTGTAATAATAATTATAATATAAACTCGACTGCATTACATATGACAAACCCAGTCAGCTAGGTCTGTAATCAGTAAATTTTAACCACAATATAAATTAAACAATCTCATGAACGTTGGATAGTTTAGTGTGGGACTGTGTACTATTTCTACAACTACATGTATACCAGTGGTATATGTGAACAAAAAAACAAAACGTAATGGACAATGTTACAGGGGGTAGGGAATTACAAATATCACATCAGTTCAATATTGAAACACCACCTCATGAATATTCATAATCGGCCAGGAATGAATGAAACACAGTTAGGATTGACTTAGACCGAGGAAATACTTTTTGATTTGACAGTTAATTTCAACACCATCATGAATGTAAAAAAAAAAATGCACTGGGACTTTTAAGCATTATTACTTTGTGCTTGGGAAATCATTTTTTCAAATTGAGGATTATCCTCGTCGTTAATTATGATTTGTTCTTTGGTATCGAACCGAAACAAAACACATTTTGGGGAAATAGGCAATACAAGAAAAACAGGCTTGTATGGTTATAATGAGTCCGTTTAAAGGGTATGGAAGTGCCATTTGTTACCTTTTAATACTACTAGACAGAGTTGCGCATTGGTTGTTTTGCTGATTTACTCGAATACAATTTGCTTAAAAATTACTTCAAGTAATGCACAATAACACACTTACTAGGGAATCGGTCATAAACTCTGACGATAGATCCGAGCATTAATGGTTTTTCCCATTAAAAACTGGAGAAGTATCAACTGTTTGTAGTTCCATGTGCTACCAAAAATGGTTAAATGTTATTTGGAAGAAATCTGGGTCGTTTAAACAGAGCATTTCAAACAATTATTAAGCAGGAATTAGTAAACAAGTGTAGATAATTGGGGCAGAACCAGAGGGGTTTTCCAACCCCTTTTCCACCCCCCCCCCCCTCCCCCCTGAAAAAAAACCCAACCACCATATACCAAAGAAATTGAACTTTGACCCATCCTCTGGTCCCACCCACATTCAAGTACAGTTCACGGTCATAACTTACACTAATACCTAAGATACAAAATTTCCAAAGTGCGTTTCTGTATTTACATGTTTGTGTTTCTTTTTTATGTGGCTTGCACTACAATCGAGACAAGGACTTCATCAGCAAATTCACGCAACAAGTGTCTGACAAGACAGGAACGACGACGTTAACATGTAAGCCATAGTGCCATCCTTGAAAGCTGGTTGAGCAGAATGGCTATGGCTAATCTAAAGGCTTTGACCGCCAATACAAACAAAATCACATTCCTCTTCACTAATCTAAGAAAAAAAATTTTGTTGATGTTAAAGGGAATGTACATCATTGGCTTTTGTTGTAATTTTCAGAAATGAACTATTTTGGGGGTTAGTATAATAGATCAAATATTGTTACACTGACATATTTGCAGTTTTGTGTTCGAAAAATACTGGGGGGAAAAAAGAAAACCAAAAATCTACAAGTAGTCTGGTTCCCTGACTCCACTAAAGATAAAATGGATCAATTTATAGATGCCGGAAAATTGTAAGGTATGGAAACCAGTCTAGCTGGCCTGCACCCATTCACGAACATGTAACCAATAGCAAACACAATTTGGACTGGAGAAAAAAATGGTAAATTTGGAGCAGTAGTTGAAAAATAGTTAGGTTTTTCCAACGGTGGTCGGCCGACCACTGTTGGAAATTTATACAAAATACCACTTTTCTTGAAAATGATTTCACACCAGGTGCCATAATTTACAGGATGCTTTAGACTGTTATTTACCAACATCCTAGTGAGGTATTTCTTAAAAATGTGGTAGTTTTGTTTTTCAATGTTTGCAAATGTTGTATATTCCCTTTAAATGTGTCCCAAGCCTGAATGAAAAAATCTGTGTATTCATTGTTCATATTGCCTGAAACAGGTTACCATCCACTGACCAATACGGGCCTAATTTCATGGTTCTTCATCCCTGCTTACTGTAGCAGAAAATTCTGTGCTTATGGTAAGCGTGTTTCACAGGTTAGCGAGGAATTTTGGTTTCCGCGCTTGCGTACATCCTGTAACTAAGGATTCTGTGCTGACAGCGTAAGCACATAATTTTTCTGCAAGCGCGGTTAGCACATAATGGTGATCATAAGCACGGAATTCTGTGGTTAGCAGAGCCATGAGCCATGAAATTGGGCCTTGGACTTGCTGACAATGCCTACACACTGAAGCCGCTGGCCACCATCTTGGGACACCCATGACGCACGCGTAGTTGGTATTGGATTTTTTCTTCAGCGTTAAGGGGATGAAAATAAACATTGTATTTTCTGCCCTGCTTTTGACATTTAAAACAACCTATTTCCTAGAACTGGCCAAAATGCAAAGGATAATCAATGCTAGGGGAATAGTTGTTTTGAGTGAACAAAAAAAAAATCAACTGCAGAACATGACATTTGGGGGATCCAAGATGGTAGATGTGTTACTTCAAGGTGCAATGGACACTCAGTGGGTGGCAGCCAGTCCAGTTAGTATAGAAAACAGCACATGTACCAGCAGAGTCCATTCTATTCACCTGCACTGGTTATAAAACCAAGTCGTTGATTTGTACTGGAATTTCATTATTGTAATCATGAGCCCTGAGCCCTGGCTGCAACATGGAAACCATTAAGCCTAGTTTCCATATCGACGTAAGAAACGCAAACATGACCCAAACTGCAATGCAGACATATGGAAACATTTCATCCGGAAGTGTCGCTGACAACTCAGACAGACGCAAATTACCTGGCAGACGATCGGCACAGTTCCGCGTACTGTCTGAGCAGTCTACGTAGTCTGCAGAAGCTTAACGTTGATATGGAAACCAGCTTTTTTTGTAACTAAAAAATGCTGAATGTTCATCCTAAACTATTTGGAAGAATACCGCGACAAATTTTATTATGTTAAAAAAAGAGCAAATCACTACAAAAAGTTGCCCTCTTTTTGTCCGCATTTAGAAGTATTCCTTCACCCTTTATGGCCAAATGAACGTCTTGTTCTCTTTTGAGCCAAAGAGAAGGGGTAGTGAGGCAAGTTCTCGTTACACTGGAAAGCAAAAGCGAAGTTGATAGTGTCATTAATTATCGTGAAGTTTGCAGTTATCCTGACAAAAATCTGCTTTACACTGAAATTTTCCTGAAGCATCAACTGGCCCGTAACCTGTTTATACTAAAGATACAAAAAGGAATGAAAGCATTTTTTCTCCTTTTACGTCCCAGACGAGACTTGCACAGCCATACAGTGCACAGACTTGTTCTACATCGGTTAACATATTAAATAATACATACTTTAAAGATATTCATACAAATTAACATAAAATAATGAATAAAGAGCTTCTGTGCTCTTAATTCAACACATGCTCTCTTTTTTTATATTCGATCAGATAATTTTTGAGACATTAACCAAACAAAAAAAATCAGTAAAACTTAATTTAACATATTCCTGTGATTTCAAAATGAGAAACCCACAGAGAGCAATAGATTCAACAAAATGGTTATTGTTAATTCAATGAAGCAAACATTCGACAATAGTGATGTTATTCTTTAAAACTTGTCCACTCATTCAGAAACACTGCCATGCAATTTATATTTGGTCCTGTTTGATACAAACCTAACGTGTTTTCTTTTTCCCCCTTCAATTCCCTTATAAGTGACCAGCAGTCAGGTCTGCCTGCCCAATGATGACGACTGAAATGACACTCAGTGGTATCGAGAAAATTATAATTAACCTGGGGTTTATTTTGACAAACAAATGAGATACAACTTCGTTATACTTTCTACAAAAAAAAAAATCAACAAGAAAAATATTTGGACAAGATGGGGTGTGTTCAAACATACCTGCAAATAAATGATATATCTGTCCATTTTAATTCCAAAAACTAAGCTAAAGTTCTATTATCTGTAAGA